TACTAAAGTTTTCCTTAAATTTTTTAATATAGTGTTTAATTTCTCCCCTTTAGCTTCGCTTACTTTCTAATAAGGATTCACGATTAGGCTAGTAGCTATTTAGCTCCTTTTTATTCTCTATAATAAGTCGTTTTACTATAATAAGTTATTATTATAGCTCTACCTTCTTTATAAGGGCCTAGATAGTCTCCTCTAGTTCTTTAGTGGTAGCTTTAGCTAGTTCTAGGCTAGTCTATTCTAATTCTAGGCTTTATATAGCCCTAACTAGGGGATCCTATAGATCTAGTGGTAGATCTAGTCTTTCTATTGGTTAAGTCTTATAGATAGTTTGAGTTTCTTATTCCTTAATTTCTTAGACTTATAGTATTAGTCCTTAGTCGTTCCTAATTTAAGAGGTCTCCTCTAGATTTCCGGTATTACTTTAGGTAATATAGCGGGAAGCTATTATATCTTAGGTAGTTAAAGAAGAAGAGTTAGAAATATTAGAGTATACGATTATTAGGTATAAGGCCTATTAACCGGGTAAGATATAAGGCTTAATGATTGGGAGAGAGGATTAAATATATTGTCTTAAGTTATAAGACTAACTCTTGTAGGAGGGAATAGGATCCTAAGGATCTAGGGGTTCTTATGCTTGGATATAGGACCCCGCATTTTTACTCGAACCGAGTACTGAGCCGATTACGAATCAACCCCGCTTTGACCCCGGGACATGAATGACGTACTTAGGTAAATGACCGAGTATCAGAATTGAAAGGACCTTGATCCTTTACATAGTGCGGATATAAGGATCGGCCTGATATCCATTGGAGCGGATATGCCGCAGTCTATACAAGATTCAATAACCTAATAGATATTATATTAGGTTTGTAATCTAAAGCCTCTCCTGAATACCAGATAGCTACTTAAATGCAAGATCAATTATTATTTCCTCTATCACCTCTAAAGACCACTTCCTCCACTGATCTATCTATTTACGCCCGCGATAATTTTGGTAGGTAGGACACTGCTAGGCTAGATATCTTCTCGCTAGTAACTAATAAGTCATGTATACGACCATAGGTGAAAAACAGGACTTTCTGTCTGCCTAGTCACACGAACTCAGTCACACTTATTCGACATATTCAGTACTCACTTTACCCTCGGCAGTCAAGCGGCACTCCAGGGGGAGTGTAGGTGATATGGGTGAGAAGTCCTGAGACTGGGGTGATAGGGTCAACTCCCTGTAAAACTATGTCCATTCCAAGAAAATATATCAATGGAAGCCCCGAGGCCCTTCTCCACTCTGCCGTTATATTCTTTGGATTTCTTTACCACTCGAAAGATATCCCCCGAAAAAGAGATTCCGAAAGCACTCTAGAGGGATTTGTATAGTCACAAAAAAACAGCATCCCAATTCTCCTCGACCTCACATCATCATTTCACAATGGTCAATCAAAATCCATGTTTCTGGCTCTCCGGAGCTGTTTACCCCTAGGCTGTGCACTTCCAGCTTCGTTTGAATTTCCTCTCATGTTTACGTGGCCCCGAGCCAGATCTGACCACAACCAATCAATCAATGGCCATTTCAGCACTCGCCAATTCAACTAGTTTCAGCCAACAGGTATTGAGCTCCGTCTGCTTTCGAACGAGAGATTGACACACTCCGTAGATAGACTTACAGCTAGAAGCAAGGGCTTCGAGGTCTTGTCGCAAGGGAGTGTGGAACAATGCACGAGAACATGAACAATGTAAGATGATTAACGAGTACAAATACTTCAGATTTCTCTTTGATTTCTTAATATAGATAAGAGGTCCTTGACCAAAGCTCAGTTCGAGGTGATTCTCAGTTGCTATCCAACACAATAACCTCCGCCTCTACTTCCCCGACACTCTCGACGCGGAGCGCATCTCCAGCATTGACCATGGTAATAAAAGCCCCATCGCCCTCCTCAAGAACGGCATCCTCCCTACCATTGATCATAACCTTGGACCTGCCCTGTTGGGTCATGGGCAGGTGAATATAAACATTTCGTTTCTTCCTGGACTCGACAGCTTCTCCAGCGCCCACAGTCCACTTAAACGTCGAGGCCGGCTCAATAATTCCAGCCCCCATAACGAAATCAGCATGAATGGGGATAGTACCGGGAATTTTGGGCACGGCAGCATCTTCCTGCGCTGGGGTAGCTTCAGGTCCCGCAGCAAGCGGGGATAAGATAGGGACAAATGCTCTGCGCTTTGCTTCCTCGCTAAATGCCATAGTGTGGTACTGTGGCCTGAGGCCCTGTTTCCAGGGAAGTGCCCAAATTTGAAGGAAGTGAACAGACTTATTGGATTCGTTCTGCTCCGAGTGTGCGATCCCTGTCTCACGTCAGCTTCTATTAACTCTAGGGGAACTTGGAGGTTCGAGAGACTTACCCGTTCCGCCGGTGGTGAATTGTACATCGCCCCGCTTCATTCGGTAAAACTGTTTTCCTTGCTCCCCCTCGGAGCCCTTCTTGACCATACTATCCCGGTGCGTGAGCTCACCATTGAGGATGTAGCTAAAGATTTCCGCATCGCGATGCGGATGCGTTGGAAATCCATTGCGCGCTGCTACTCGGTCCTCATTTAGAACGCGCAGGCTTCCAAAATTCTGGAATCTGTGATCGTAATAACTGGCGAAGCTGAAAGTATGAAAAGATTTCAGCCAGCCGCCATGTTCAGCGTATCCACGGTCACTGGATCGACGGAGAACAATCTTGGCGTGGGCGAGCGGATTCGACATTGTTTTACTTTTAGATTGGGTCAAAGAGCGTAATTGGAATGTGTTTTTATGATTAGAAAAAAAAAAAAAAAACTGTATGTAGGCCTGAAGGTTTCTCTATTTATATAGCTTGAGACCAAGTCGTGACTCAAGAACGTTGGAAATCCACATCTCATTGGGATTATGGAATCATTATCGATCACCAAGAAGAGTAGCACTAATCCGAAATAGGCTTAGGGCCACATATAATCACTGACCTTGGGTGACGAATTGCTGATTCATCCATCCGTGCTATACCTAGGCAGGTATACCTAGGCAGGTATACCTAGGTAGATATATACCTAGGTAGCCAGAGGAACCCGTACAAGGTACTAGAAACCAGGCTTAATAAAAGACCGAGTGGACATTTATCTATACAGGTTGTTATATCATCACCGTGGTATTTCGGAAGAAGATGGTTTATTAATCTCTAGAAAGTAACTGGTCTATTTGTTGAAATTTCTATGTCAGTCCCACGGTCACTCATCGCTCATCTTTTTCATCTCTCAAATCTCCTCAATTCCACTCTGTATCAAAAGTCCGCTCCGTTCCACTTCTCCCAGTCATGCATCAAAAGTCACACTTCCATTTCTAGCTAGCCTAGAAGGTAGTGAACTCACAACAGATGCCGATCCATACTTCTCGTTGCCTACCCAAACATGGCTTATCACTCAACATCTCGAGGAATCAGCGCTTCTGTTGAGCCAGAGGGAAGTTGAGCGTCGTGGCCCCGTTTCAACTATGGCAAAGTTCCTTTGCTACCGGAAGGACGATATAACTCAAAAGCTTGCGTTTATGAGGGTCTGTCGTCAGATTCCAACTATTGGCACAGAGTACAGTAAGCCCGAAATCAGAGCACTCCAAGCTATGCCGGAGTATATGCCTACTGAGGTTAAGGCATTTCAAAAGCTCAAGTCTATGGCATGTGATGTCACTCCCGCCCTCCTGGGCCATAAAGAGGCACGACAAGACAACGACGATTCTATTCAGAGGGCTTTTCTATCTACATTGTCTGGGATAAGGTACCTGGAGAGCCTCTCTCCGATAAATATTTCTGGGGTCTAAGCCGTGACGCTCGCGACGCTATCCGTCGAGAGTTTCGCCGAGTCAATGAGTTTGTTATCACAGTACGTACTTTTAAAACATACCAGATCTTACCTATCGAGAAGACCGTTTCTGCCATGTGGGATTGAGCCGGCCTCCCCTACGACAACCAACCTAATCTATGATCAGGCATCTGGGTCAATGTGAGTGATTGTTTCATTCCCACACCAGTACCAAAGTGGGAGTGCGTGGGTGTGTGCTAATTTCTGTAATTATCTAGTCAAATCTGCGGTTTTAGCGCGGCTGAGTTTCTCCTCCCCCCAAAGCCATGGTCTGACACACGTTATGTGCTGCACTGCCTGGCAAACCCTTCTCGCAAGATGGACTGGGCTCTGGACAGCAGTGAGTGGGAGTTATGAATAGGGCGGCTATGGAGGATCAGTGTTTTAATGTTGGATGCCCTTATGTTGAGCAACGTTGCTGCCAAATAGCACAAGTAAGACATGATTGTATCTTACTATATTGTAATGTGATTGGCTTGTTTGGTGCTTCTCATTGTACTCACTGGCTTAGAATGTGGGAATACTATTGGCACAGCCCTAGTCTATGATTAGATTTGGTCTTTCTTGGTCTATCGTAAGATCTAGGTTTGGGTCGAGTTATTCCCAGCCAGTTCTTCAAGGAAAGAGTGCATTTCAATTATCATTGTAAGCATAAGAGAAAGAGAAAGAGAGAGAGAAAGAGAAAGAAAAAGGGAGGACAAAGGGGATCGAGTTTAATTTGAGGTCTCACTCTTGTACTGCCTAGGTATACAAATACTGTAAATATTAATAGTCCTCGTTCTTGGTAACGGCAAACAGTCCTAAAAAGGAAACAACCCTAAGCGGCGGCAGAGCCACCCATCTAGAATGGTAACAATGGTTATCGAAATCTAGCTATACATAATATTGATATACGCCACTTCCTATAGCAATGAAAGATCCCAAAGACATGATTTCAACAGACAACATGAATTGCAATGATGCACTTGGAAATGTGATTTCTAGCTCCACAGTCCAAGAATAACCTACACTATATCCAGACCAGTATTCGGTATTTGACAGTTCCTCTGCAATACAGGTACCACTAAGACTCTTCTCATTCGAGAACAAGTCCGAGAATTCAAGATAATCAACGTAAACCAAGTTATTAACTATAAAAAGTTGCCCTTTGTAAAACGTGTATTGTAATCCGCAGCCTTCTTCACCATCTCCCGGCGCTGTGCATTAGATATCTTTGAAGCAACGGCCATATCCTTCTCCCGATCAAACGCACGCGCACTGGGATCATCGTCTTCTTTTTGGACACCTGGTTTTTCCAGGCGAGTGTTCTTCCCAGTCACGTCCTATACTTCCGTTAGAGGAGAGACGGAGAGAATAAAGGCGCCATTCCAATATGAAAATTACCTTGTATCTCTTGATTTGATCCTCGATCAATTTTGCGTTTGAAGCACCTCTGGAGTCCTCGCCCTGGTTTGTTGAACCACCCACGCCCATGACTGCATCCTGTAGTCGCTTCATTCTTTCTTCTGGAGTCTCAACCCACGAAGAATCCATACTCTTAGGTGCTGTGGCTGATTTGCTTGTATTGAACTTGCGATTTCGCAGTTGTGTGGGGTCGATCTTGGAAGCCCAATCCGAATGGGAAGGAGGCTGTAGCATCCATTGATCTCGCTGGCTTTCTTTTTCCGATTTTGATATACCGGAATCTGTAGGCTCTGTATGAACCGAGTCTTTCAGTGGACCGGATGGAGGAAGACTTGGACCGAAATCATCATCATCATCATCATCATCATCATCATCACTGCTGGTCTCACTATCGGCCTGAGGCGGAGGGAGAGAAGGTCCGATTACCTTCCGTTGCTTTGAGACCGATTGATGATCTGTCTCTTCAAATTTCCGCTTTTCTTTAGAATCCATTTGGAGAGGCGAGGAAGTTGAAGGCAAAGAAATGTGATTATCTCTTATCGGAACTTATCGTATGAGCTGATGTCATCAAAAGGTACCCGTCCACGACCCAACTTCCCGCCTTTTTTTGTTTGTATACTCCCTCTGGTAGGGCAACTGTTTCTCTTTTTCTCTGATATCAAATCCCTTTATACCCCTGTGATTTTCGACTTGTTGTTTTAAATGTATTCGGGATATCACCTTTCTCGACGAGACCGCTTTTTCGACCCCGCATGCTCGACCCGATAAGACCCTGAAACCTGAAACCGTCAACGGGTTGATTCTCTTGATATCTACTGGGAACAACTAGACAATGATATCCCTAGGTGGGAAACTGGACATGGATGGAAATGAGGGTCAATCTACAGAATTCAATCCGACTCAGCCGATTTCTTCGGATCAACAGCTCTCTGCAATTTCAAGTCAAGTACCACCGGTCCCTAGAAGGTTCCTGGTTCAGCCAGTCGAAACCGTACGAAGCTCCAAGGCTCAGCCATCTTTGAAAGCAAACCAACCCTTACCACAGTCTGGGATACATCCAAAAGAGCCTAAACATCGACCAAGAAGATTTCTACCTGAACCGATTGAAACAACCAAAGCTAGTAATAGACGGGCGTATTCCACTTCCGAGGCACAGACGAATCCTGTATCTTACAGCAAGACATCGACGGCTCCAAGACGATTCAAACCCGAGCTGATAGAAACCGACACCCGCTCCGTCCGAAAAGGGGAACCAGTTCGGTTTTCCCAACGGCATGTATCATCAGCACCCCATACAATCATTTGCTCAGATACGCGATCGTCGTCAAATCCAGATTTCCATGCTCGTACCCATCTACCACCAGAATCCCAATTTTCGTATTCCAATCTTTTACGTCGACAACAAGCCCGCAGACACTCGTTCCGAGTTCCGGATCTCCCATCGATCCCCTCTGACAGCAGCGAAGAATCGGATAACTCCAGATCGCCATCGGCATGCACTTCGCCTGGGCCCCCCAATCAAGCGACCTTGTCCTCAAGCAAGCTACCCCGTGAGAGCTGCGATGGGAAAATCTCGGAATTCCTGCTCTCTCTTGCCGCTCGATCCGCACAGAAGCAGTTAAAGGAGCAAGCGTTGGCTGCCTTTCCTAACGAGCAAGTGTACGAGCCCGTGGATCATTTTGCCATCAACGAAGATGACGGAGATTCAGACGACGACGTCTCTCATATCAAGTATCATCATGTCAAGTCTCGGCGACAATCTTCGGCAGATTTGTCCTGGGAACTTGAGTATATGCGCCACCACAAGGAGGAGGCTGAGATGAGGATCCGGGCGATGATGGCATCGGGACAACCAAAGTCTTCATCGGAGCACAATAAAAATGGCAAGAGTCCACCTATGCTTGGCAATGACATTGTCGTTCCTCGAAGCGTCTCACCCGAGGGAACAATATATGAGCACACTAGCACAGATGCAGCCTCTGGTGGTGTACATGATCTCTGTACTGGCTGTGGTGGTTTGTGGTACGCGGCGCCTCCTCGGGATGGCGGAAAGGGTGCTGGTCTTTGGATGGGCACTTGTTGCAGGGATGAGGGCCAGAAACGGGAAGCGCATGGTTTTGTACCTGGAATTGTTACCCCCATGCCTCGCGTCGATGAGGCCGGCATGTTCATAGGACTCAGCCCATCTCCTTCAAATACGCACCTGGATCGTCTCGTCTCGCCCGAAAATCATAGTTCCCGGAAGCCCACGAGCCCTCATCTCCAAAAAGCCGTCGAGGCTGAGTTCCATGATGGATTTGTGACTCAGATCTATAATTACCTGTCCCTGGGTTACCCTTGCCTTGCCCGCTATTATGATTATGAACTCAGCCGAATTTCGGGCATTTCCCTCGATGATCTCCGCCGGGACGACTTGCACACTGATGCTAGAGGTTACGTCGTAGCCCCCCAAAATGACGTTCTCGCAGATGGATGTGCACGATGGAAGGCTCTTCGTCTATATATCAAGGAATGGGCGAGACAGGAGCCCGGTATGACCGAAGAAGATACCAATATTGAAGGATGGGGGCAGCCAGAGCGAAGAGGCAGCTGGGGCAACTGAAGGACTTGGAAAGATCTGAATTTGTATGTTATGATCGAGAGGCGTGCATTTGGTTATATAATAAACGGATACATATTCAATTCACACAACCTGTTACGATTTGGTCTGGCGTCGAGTCTCGGGAGGATTGGAGATATGTAGCCCGATGGAACTTTACGTTTGATATTTAATTCGATGAGAGAGTAAGCTGCCGAATTCCGGTAGAATTGTTTCAATGTATTGCTTCTCCCCCTAGGTTTGTGGTATATGTCACTAAAATCCACGTTACGTGTATCTCTATTAAATACTTCCCTTTTGAGCCCTCTCATGAATGATACCCGGGAAAATACTCTGCTCTGGTAAACCATCTGATCCCCCAACTCCCGTTCCGAGGGCAGTATTGCTACCAGGGGATGAGAACTCACCCGTTCCAAGGTGAGGTGATCGAGCCAAGTATGTCGATGGAGTCAGTGGGGAGGTAGCTATCTGACCTGTACCATGGGCCTCCCTAGGTGAGACATCCGTAGTGCCAGCTGCACTTGATCGGAGCTCAGATTGAGATTGCGACTCAAGCTTAGGTGTATGCTGATCTAAGAATGGGTCATTTGGAAGTCAGTCTGCTGCGTAATTCCGGGTCATTTCGTCAAGATAGAAATACCATGCTTCGAGAACGCCGCTTCTCCTGATGGACCTGGACCCAAGCCCTTCTGATCTCCGGTTCCATTGGCCTCGGAGTATCGCTCGATCCTGATAAGAAGATGCATGGTTAGCTCAATTTCCTCGACGCCACAGACATCCCGGGCAACCTACAAGGACAATTCCCCGAGCAAAGTCTCATGTCGAAATGCCTCACGAATATCTGGTACATTGCTCTTTGCTACATGATTGCCAGCAACTCCAGGCATGGAACAATTTGACCCAAGCCATCTTTCTTTAAGGGAAAGCTCAAATCCACTTTGGTCGACTGAATGTTTGGCGAGTTCGCACATGTCGACTGCGCTGAATTTGTAGATCTGCGCTGCGACCGAGTACTCCTCGATGAGGGGCTCTTTTGTGAATGCAAACTGCAAGGGATCATCGGTGGACAAAGAGACGTTGAGTCCTCGCTTGAAGAAGCTAGCGCAAGGGTTCTTATCGTATGTGAGGAACAAAGCGTTGTTGCTGAGTGGTGACATGGCAATGCCGATCTGATCTAGGTAGTAGAGGTATTGCAGAAGCGGTACCTTGCGTAACAAGATACCATGACTGATGCTGTGACAGCAGAGGAACCCGACAGCCAGATGATCGGGGTCGCCTGCCTCTCCGCAATGAGGGCGTAGAACAAACGTGTTGAATCCTCGACGTTTCCGCCAGTTGTTGAGGGAAGCGATGTTGGCGAACATGAAGTATAACCAGTAAGTGTAAGGCGGATTCTGCTTGGTGCTCCACTCCCGGGGGATGGGGTACTTTCTATACAGTCGGCGCTCGGGCTTGCTTTCGTCATCCACACTGTCGAATCCAACCACTCGCTGAAGGAAGATGTGAAGTTTGGGATGACTAGAAGGATCTTTGGTCACTTCGAACAACGGCTGGAAGACATTGGTGATGACTTGTTCAAAGTTCTCCATCATGCCACTTGCTTTGTAAACATCATAGAGACGAGGTACCTGGATAAGCCAGCGAACATTAGGCGAAAACAACTTGTTATCCACCACCCAGGCCGCAAGCTTGTCCCATTCCTGAAGGGAACGACCGTAAATCGAGATTCGCCATTCCACCATTTGGTATTTGCTAGATTCCAAGTCTGAAATCACTTCCTTGGTGATCTCTGCGAGATAGCGACCTTCAATGTAATTGTCTGTTTTGAGGAAAATTTCTCGCAGTCGGGATTCACCGACTGGATTATATTTCAGATTGAATTTGTCAAATCGGTGGAAAGAGTCAGTGTGTGCCTACGAAGGTCAGAGTCAGTCATGGTAATACTTCTGGTTTTTAATAATAAGCGTAGCAGAAGGAGGGAATAAGCTACTACTGGTGCATTGAGACTGCATCTTCCTTTATCATTTGTAGATTTCGAAGAATCAAAGAGGGAGTTGAGGAAGAACTTACGTGCATATCCAAAGTATCGATGCTCAGGTCATAAGCAGTCAGGTTGATACTCTCAAAGACCTCTCTCAAGGTCAGATGTTTGCCGTCTCGGAAAAGGACAACTTCATCCGGAGACTTTCTCATTTTGCTCTTGATGAAGCGAAGAAGATGTTTCTGGTTCATGCATGCCGAATGATGAACGTGGGTATCCACTTTGCGCACGTTGTAGAAATCTCTGTGAGGAACCTTCTTGCTGTCGGCAATCTCCTGGTATTCATTGAGCAGCGTATACAATTGGAATTTGCCCTCCAAGTACGACAACCGCTTGAACGCAAAGCTCTTAGCAGGTCCATCGGTCGACACATCCACAACGGCATCTAGGTCCATATAGAAATCACGCAACGAGGGGATCTGGACGATGGGTGTCTGCTGGTCAGCCTCAGAATCAAAGACTTGATATACACTGTTGCCATCCAGTCTATACGTCCAGGGCGATTCTTTGGGCAGCGGCATCAACTCCTCCATGTCAAAATCCGCCCCGATGTCTTGGCCCATTTTCCTCTTCTTTCCTGTGAAGTCAGATGGGCCACCGACATTGCCGGGTTGGTATTCTTTGCCATCATCCCAGGCTGGTTCTGGAGGGGGAGGATAGATTTCCCAGTCTGGTTGGTCTTTGGGATCATTTCCGGGTCCCTGCAATGAAAGTTCTAGATACTGGGATCGCCGATCAAGCAGTTTCTTGATTTTGCCATAGATAGCGTTCAGCTCAGACGTCACAGCATTATTGCTAGACGAAAATCCGCTAGCAACCTGAGGGCCTCCAATCCCCGCACTGGCGCTCTGCAGACTCTCCGCCGCCAAGTAGGGTCCCTGCCCATGGAGAGCACCTACAAGCGCCGCCTGGTTTCGGGCCGAATCGTTCGCCTCATCTGAGTCATCTTCGAGGAAATGCGACACCGAGAGATCGGGATCGCTGGCAGATTGCAGGCGTAGTGTCGATGGCTCGGAGTCAAATACCATAGATCCCTCGCGGGAGATCTGACTTTGAGTATTCATTGGTTCCGACAGGTTAGCCGGTGACCCTTCGGGGTGTGATTCGACTGAGTGGGCTGGGGCTGGTGGACTCAAAGGAGTGTCGTTTCGCGCGGCTAGCTGATGATGTTGATAGAAGAGCCTTGCCTCCGCGTGACTCATGGACTTCTCATAGGCATAGTCATAAGTAGCTGTTTTCTGCTGTCGATCTCGGGGTAAAATATCTTCTGCAGGCTGATCTAGTGCATCGGGGGTTTCAATGAGAGAATCCACTGGTCCCTTGAGACTCGGGGATGAAGTGGCTGATTCATTGTTAGAATCAGCGGACACGCTGACATTCCGACTGGAACTGAGATCGGGTTGAGGTCCCATGACACTGTGCTTTTTGTTTTTTTTCCCCGCCCTTGCTATATACCTGAGATAAAAGACGAGAAATTCAGTAGATCAAGAAAATTATTGCATAAAGGGAGTTTTTCCCAAAATGCGAAAGTAATTTGAATTAGACAGTAGATATCAAAAGACGAGGAAGAAAAAGGAGGAAGAAAAAAAAAAAGCCGATAATGTGCAGAGGAATCTCAAAGTTCCTTCGGTGAAGGGAAAGTCCAGGCCCAGAGAATCTGTAAATTACATACAACATCAATACAACACATCTTCAAGTATCGCTATTGAATTAGATATGATATATATGACTTGATTGGTGTTGATGTTTTGGGTTATTTATGCTTGATAGACTGAGTCCATTCAATTCAACTACTTGGTTTTATGTGATTTTGGAGATTATCTCGAGTTTATAGGAAGATATGATCTAGATTCTACTATGATGTATGGCTGTGTACAATGTATCGTATCATAACACCTCTCCCCTTAACCTCGCTCTCTCTCTCCCCCCTCCACCTTTAGGCTTCATCAATTTCCTTGACCTTGTTTTCAGTATTCCCCTATTATCATTGTTATCATCTTGAAAGCATTCATTGCTTTTATCTCTTTTGCTCCTACCAGTACGTCAAACTCCCTATTCTCCTATCCATATCTATGTATTCCCCCCAAACTTATCGCACCAAAGAGCTTTGAATGATTTGCTAAGACTGCATGAGATAACAGCTATTGTAACAAAACAAAAGCAAATATACCTCCCACGTGGATACATCCGAAACTTGAATTCCCCCCCCTTACCACTTCCCCCGCCTATCCGATCCGCCGGAAGTCATGGCTTCTCTCAATCTCTCGTCCAATGGCCCTTCGATATCGAAAAGTTATCAGACAGTGGTGAATGCACCACCCCTTCTGGGAACGGAGGATCTCCGACTTATGGTCAATGGGCTGTCTACTCCGTTTCCACCCCGCTTGTCAGTGCCTTCCAGCAAGATGCAGGTAAGGAGAGTGTCCTTAAGGTCCAAAGCACCGGAGGTTAGTGATCCTGTTCTACCATTTCCATCATCTTGCATTGACAGTTTTGTACGACCAGAGGGTGAATTGGCCGATCTCATTGAGGAATTTTCCGAAGGGCGGGTGCAATTCGCCTATGTGAAGGTGACGGATTCCAACACCGGTCTTCCTAAGAACGTTCTTATTGGCTGGTGTGGAGAAGGTGTGCCGGAGCGAACAAAGGGTTACTTTACCAGTCACCTGGCGACAGTTTCCAAGTTTCTTCATGTGAGGAGTTTTCTTTCTGTGACACAACTGCGGTGAGACTGACTTGGCTGGATAGGGATACCATGTGCAGGTCACAGCCAGAGCAGATGGGGATCTCACCCCCGAGGGAATCGTCCAGCGTGTGGCAGATTCCTCCGGTTCCAAGTATTCAGCCGGCGAGGCTTCTGCTCCGGCCTCAGCCCCCCGGCCTGCTGTAGCTAGCAAGCCTGCTTTCACACCGACTCGATCTGGGGGTATCACTCCTAACCCAGCTGCTCGCGTACAGCCCACACCTTCAAAAGCTAGCGTCAATGATGATGGATGGGGTGCAGATGCCCCTCCCGTGACTCGCACCCAATTGGAAAAGGTACAATCGGCTTACCAGCCCACTAGAGTGAACCTGCAAGAACTCAAGGCAAACCCCACGGCCAGTCGTCAACCTGCCGCTGCTACCTCGGATGATTCTAGCGATGTGGTGAGGGGTGGTTACCAGCCAGTGGGCAAAGTCGATATTGCTGCAATTCGGAAGCAAGCTGCCGCCTCCGGTCAGCTAAAAGATGATCGCCCGGCAATTATCAAGGGCTCCTATGAGCCCGTTGGCAAAGTAGACATCGCTGCTATTCGGGCTAGAGCACAGAAGCCGGAAGGCACCAGTGAAAACGTTCCATCGAGCATCGCAGTCAGCCCACAGCCAACAACGTTGCCCGAGCGACCTGCGCCTTCCAATGTTTCGGAGCGCTTGACCAATCTACCCAAACCAAAGGTTGCCAAAAACTTTGGCCCGAGCCCTTCCTTCCCAGGAACAAAGCCACCACTCCCAGTTGGTCTTGGGCCTAAGCCAACCACCAGTGCGCAGATTGGAGCTGCAAGCCGAACTTTTGCCGATGAGGGAGGCAAGACACCTGCTCAAATTTGGGCAGAGCGCAAGGCCAAAGAGCGCGGAGTGGCTCCCTCATCTGGAAGTACTGAGGCTGCCTCTACCCCTGCCCCGATTCAAAGCCAAATTAGTGGCCAGAGCGAATGGAAGAGCTCCTATACAGGCAAGTCTTGGGCTCCCGTTCAAACTGCACAGGAAAGGTCGTATGTTCCCGAGCAGCCCATCGACGCCAAGACCAATGATCAGCCAGCGGATGAACCACGGCCTCATGTGAGTGATGTTCGTGACCAATTTGCTCATGAAACGCCTGCCCCCGCGCCACTCGCCTCTCCTGCTCCCCCCGTCCCGCAGGCCAGTCGCCCTGTTCCTGTCCCAGGGCTGTCCTCTGCGCCCGTCGAGTCCGAGCCCGAACATGATGCTCAACAGGTTCTTCCTCCCCCTCCACCGCAGCCTCCTCGCTCCCCAACACCTCCCACTCCGGTGCGTGAGAGCTCGCCGATTCAGATTGCCATGCCGGTTGGCCATAGCGTTGCCGACAGCGTTGCGGATGTTCATGAGGAGCAGCAATCTCCTCCTCCTGCCATGCCTGTTCGGAGCCTCCAGGAGGTCGTCCCAGATGAAAGAGAACTTGAGGATGATTCTCACGACCTTGGCCGCGCTGCAGCCGCGGCAACCGCTCCTCAACAGCCCGAGCCCACAGGCGGACCGCGAGCTCAGGTTCAATATGACTATGAAAAGGCCGAGGACAATGAGATTGAACTACGAGAGGGAGAGTATGTGACTGACATTGAAATGGTCGACCAGGATTGGTGGGTGGGTGTCAATATTCGGGGTGAGCGTGGTCTCTTCCCGGCCAACTATGTGGAGATTGTGGAGGACAAAGAACCCGCGTCACACGCGCCAGCCGGTTCCCATCATTATGAAGCAGAGCCAGAGCCAGAGCCAGAGCCAGAACCTACTGCTGCCCCCGTGCCAGTTGCGCCCACACCTTCCGCTGCACCATCGGCGACTGTTCCAAGCTCCAAACAGGTCACAGCCACAGCTTTGTATGACTATGAAGCCGCCGAGGATAATGAGATTAGCTTCCCCGAAGACGCGAAGATTTCCAATGTGGTAAGTGGCTCTTTATCGGCCTTTTTGCGCCATCCCTTTTTACAGTGCTAACCCGGTTACAGGAATTCCCGGATGATGACTGGTGGCTTGGTGAGTACAATGGCAAGCAAGGTCTATTCCCTGCCAACTATGTTCGCCTGGACCAGTGATTGGGTCATATAGATACTCTTAGGGTTCAGCACTCCTAGAGCCAATTCCACATTCTATTGATTCGCCAAACTAGATATGTTGATCTGACTATGAATACCCAGTTCACTACTTCTTTTTGAAGATTCATAGAACATGTATCTATATAAATATCTATATAACTATACCCAACCCAATCTAGTCAAATCATCGACGTCATGGTCCGGAGTGTGCTTATGTCATCATCACGTGTGCCGAAAAAGTGGCCATCAACAACGTTCCCAAGGTTCCAAGGAGAGTTGCTCAAGGCCTATAGGGAGATCCCGGTGACCGTTTACACGCGATCTCACTTTGCGCGTACCTTTTCCCCTTTTTTCCTTCGTCTTTTCTCTTCTCTTAACTCCGAGGCCTAACTCTTGTGCTCACTTTCGACATCATGACATCGCTGGGCGAGGATCTCCTCGTGACAGTGAACAAGCTCCAGGATCTGGTCTTCAATACTATTGGGAATGATTCCTTGGATTTGCCCCAAATTGTGAGTCTGGTCGGAGAGCTCTCGAAGTTGGAGAAAGGAGTTGTCATTTGATACCCGGTCAACCCAAGACTAATCCCCACCTCCCATCTTAGGTTGTTGTTGGTTCCCAGTCATCCGGAAAGTCTTCGGTCCTAGAGAATATAGTCGGAAGGGACTTTCTACCAAGAGGTAGCGGAATCGTGACCCGACGGCCCCTAATCCTGCAACTTATCAACGTGCCCAGTGAACGCGATGATAAGCCGGAAACCGATGAGGTGCATATTCCCCACACGGCTGCTAGTGTTGCCGGTCAACACGAATGGGCCGAATTCCACCATCTCCCGGGCCGTAAGTTTGACGACTTTGGACAAGTCAAGCAAGAGATCGAAGCGGAGACGGCGAGGATCGCTGGAAGCAACAAGGGCATCAACAGACAACCGATCAATCTGAAGATCTTCTCGCCCCATGTGCTCAACCTCACACTCGTGGATTTACCTGGCCTGACCAAGGTGCCCATTGGGGACCAACCCTCCGACATCGAGAAACAAACGCGTACCTTGATTCTGGAATATATCGCCAAACCGAACAGCATAATCCTTGCGGTCTCTCCGGCCAATGTCGATCTCGTCAATTCCGAGGCGCTGAAGCTTGCCCGCCAGGTGGATGCCATGGGCCGGAGGACCATCGGTGTTCTGTCAAAGCTGGATCTCATGGACCATGGCACCAATGCAATGGACATTCTGTCTGGACGTGTGTATCCCCTAAAGCTTGGATTCATCGGCGTTGTCAACCGATCTCAGCAGGATATTCAGTCTGGAAAATCGCTTGCCGATGCATTGCGGGCAGAGTCTGAGTTCTTCCGGCATCATCCAGCTTACAGGAATATGGCCAACCGCTGCGGTACGCACTTTTTGGCCAAGACCCTGAACACAACCTTGATGTCTCACATCCGAGACCGGCTTCCGGATATTAAGGCTCGGCTGAATACCTTGATGGGTCAGACTCAGCAAGAATTGGCCAGCTATGGAAACAAACAGTTCAGTGGCGAAGAACACCGAGGGTCATTGATTCTTCAGCAGATGACCAGGTTTGCTGCCTCATTCATTTCATCTATCGACGGAACTTCATCGGAGATTTCTACCAAAGAGCTATGTGGCGGAGCAAGGATTTACTACATCTTCAATTCTGTTTTCGGAAACTCACTGGAAACAATTGATCCCACTCACAACCTGACTGTCTCTGACATCCGAACGGCCATCCGAAACTCGACAGGCCCTCGCCCCAGCCTGTTTGTTCCAGAGTTGGCCTTTGATTTGCTGGTCAAACCACAGATTAAACTCCTTGAATCACCCAGTCAGCGATGCGTGGAGTTGGTCTATGAGGAGCTTATCAAGATCTGTCACACATGTGGCAACCAAGAATTACTGCGTTTCCCTCGTCTTCAAGGAAAGCTGATTGAAGTTGTATCTGACCTTCTTCGTGAGCGCCTGGGCCCCTGCTCGACTTATGTGGAATCTTTGATCTCAATCCAAAGAGCTTACATCAACACCAACCACCCGAACTTCCTCGGCGCCGCAGCTGCCATGTCTTCAATCATGCAGAACAAGCAGGACGAAGAACGAAAAGCCGTGCTAGCAGAGGAAAAACGTAAGCGTGATAAACGACGTCAAAAGGAATTGGGAGGTCCCAATGGCAATACAGGAGGTCCCGATGAAGAAGAATATGCTGACAAGCAAAATCTCCCCATTCGAAGCCACTCCTCCAAGGGATCGCGGAGCATGTCTCCTCACGTTGGCCGCACAGGCGAGAGTGGCATTGCTGCTACCCTGAATGGCGCTCAATCTAACCATGCTGCGTTCGGTGGCGGTGCCTCGAACACTGCCCGGGATTCCTTCCTGAACTACTTCTTCGGCAAGGAAGGCACTCACAACATGGCCATGTCCTCAGCAGGCCTAAACACCCACCGGCAGGGACCACATGCTGGTGAGCCTAGCATTAGCCAGAGCATTCGACGTGCCGAGGCTCGGGCTCCCATTATGCCGACTGAGGAGTACAGTGCACCATCGGAGTATGGCGGCGACGTATCTGTTTTCGTAAGTACTACCGCACAGGCGTTATGCATTACATCCATCTGACTGACTTCAACTCGTATAGCCCAATGAGAATACCGAGCCTGCACTCACGGACCGTGAGATGCTCGAAACCGAGCTCATTCGCCGTCTCATCTCATCATACTTCAACATCGTCCGAGAAACCATTGCAGACCAGGTTCCCAAGGCTGTCATGCACCTTCTTGTTAACCACTGCAAGGATGTAGTGCAGAACAGACTTGTGAGCGAACTCTATAAAGAAGATCTTTTCAGCGAGCTTCTATACGAGGATGATGGCATCAAAGCTGAGAGAGAGAAGTGTGAGCGGCTATTGGAAACGTACAAAGAAGCCGCCAAGATTGTGGGCGAGGTTTTATAGAATTTTTTTGTATTTTTGGTCTGGCTTTCGGGGTAAAGCCTAGGTGACCTTGATTCTGCGTCATTCTTGACGTCCTTCCACTGTGGGAGATGTTGCTTCTCTCAATTTATGTACAACAATTACGGCGTGCACATGATATCGATCTATCTTTCCCTCTACGAGTGCAATGCGCACACGCGTATGACCCAGTGAAAGCCTGTAAGATAATATATGCAATATGCAAAATGCAAGTACAAATCAACGTCTAATATGCCATATCACTGGGACTTCTTGGCAACGCTTCGTAGACGTGCACCCTCAAAGCCATATAAACCACCCCCGACAAACACCAGAGCTGCACCAACCAAAACACCGCCTGTCAAATGGTTCCCAAAGAGATAGATCGACAGAAGCAGTGAAACCAACTTTCGGACATTCAAGAAAATAGTCACAGTCAAAGACGACGACTTGGCCGACAAAAGATGCACTCCCCGGATACATAGGTATTGTGTCAGTGCATTCATCGCCAGATAAGCCACTTGAACTGGAAGATGCGCCAGGAAAGACTTCACAGCCTCAATCTGACAAATCCGCTCCAGCACCGAGGAAGCGGTGCTCCCAACCGTACCGGACCACACCCCCAACCCGGAATTCCAATGCGACAGCAGGGAAGGCGACGAAGCTACCACCTGCCATTGACCCAGCAACTGCGGGCAACTCGTCAGGAAAAGCGGCAGAGAAAGCGCATGCGAATAGAAAAGTGCCTCTTTCCAATGATCTCTACCGTAAGTTGCGTACAGCCGATCGGCATAAATCCCTTGGAATGCAGAGAGGACCATCGCCAGCGCGAGGATCGTGAAGCCCGTAACGGTGGTCATCGTATCCCCCGTATCGGAGTCGACGTGGATAGACACACCTTTGGATTGCGCATCGGCCATGGCGGCTGCCGCCACGCCTACTGTCAGCATACCTACCGAGGCAATCTGGCCCCGGGAATAGCGCTTGCCGTTATACATGTAGCCGATTACCATCGAGGCGACAGGGCCTGCGGACCGGAGGATTATGTGCAGGGGGACTGAGATCTTGTATGCGAAGGCCCAGTTGTTGAGAAGGTTGACGCTAACAAAATAGGCAGTGTATACCACCCATGAGCGTAGTGGGATAGCGCGCGAGTTCAGGAATAGGGCTCGTGGTCCGGCTGATGGGGACAAGAAGCTTGGGATGGTGAATAGAGCACAGATAGCGAATTGGGCAAATGTTATCAGGGGACCTATGCGGGAGTTGGATTAGGATTTGCGATGTGGTTTGTTTTGATCAGCTCTGGTTGTTGTGCTTACCAGCAGTGGGTTGTTCCCTAGTTGGAAGTGGAATTAGCCTTAGGTTTGAATTGGCCTGCTTTGTTGACTTACTTGATAATTGCCTCTAGCGCAAATACCTATACACAATATCAGTTCCCATTTTACCCTCCATAGTGGAATTGAGGATTCTCTGGAGACCTACATTGGCACAGCAGCCTCCAAAGATAAGAGAGACCATTAGAACCATGCTTGTCCAGCTGGGAACTGCCGCGTGAGCGGCTGCAGCAACGAGACCCGGAGCATCTTTCTTAATTTGAGTATAGTCCAGCTTGTCCTCGGACTTTCGAGATCGAGATGGAGTCGAAGCGAGGTTCGCGTGTTCAATTGAGTTCGCAGAGACTCGCGAGCGATTGATCAGGTAGGAGTCATGTCCTCGTTTCGACGGTTCATGATCATTGAGCATTCTATTTGAGTGAGTGATACAGTAATATGAGAAGTTGAATTGACTTACGGAGTTTTGAGGCGATCCAAGGACAACTGGCGGTTGAAAGAAAGCTGGCGATAAGGGTGGATCACGAGATATGTGTATAGCCACGCATAGTACTTGTAATCCGACAACAGTGAATTACGCAAAAGAGTTTAGCGTGCCATTTCAGGTTTAGCGCCTTGTTGCGCGTTACGCTCGCCGTGCGTGTTCCTATGAAGTCCCCTTCATCGCTCCAACTTCTCGCCCTTCTGCCCATCCTTGCCCTCTATTCCTCCTGTGCGCCTTGCGAGTCGCGCCAACCTGCAGTACAGGCCCCTGACGTGTTAATCGGTCGGTTCGTCATCGAACTTCTGCGCATCCCGGCGCCTTCACCCTGCGCTCTTTCTGGAAAATCGTCCGAGAGAAGCAGGCGAGGTCGAGGACGTTCTCAGCCTTGGCTGATAACGACCGTCTCATTTCGGAACTGAAGAAGGCAGGGATGAGTCTTGTTAGCGCACACGGACGACCTATTACAGCCAGCCCTTGGTTGCTAAGTCCGCAAGAGTTGACGGGATGCTAACAGTGACACTCCTTCCCTCCACGATGACTGTGAGGCTTGACGGCGGCCGTGCTGGAATCCAGGAACGATCTCCGAACCTGAATTTCTAGCCAGGTGCCATCGCCAGATCGCGTACGAACAGCCATACTTTTCCCTGTCATCGTTCGTATTCGGGAGCCCCGTCGGCCCCCACCGAGTGCATATTGTCGCCGAACCGCCGCTGGTTTCATGATCGATCGGCGGAGAGGATCAGATGGACGACTGAGAAAACAAATATTCATCAGGTATTCAATTTTGAAAGAATAGAATATCAGGTAAAAGTAATTGTAGTGGATAATTTCGGCGAGAATGAGCTTCTATAGAAGAATGTGTCTTTTCATGTTGGAGAGAGTGATAATCGTCCCTGAGGATGCCTGGATTAAGTATTAAGGCAGCGACTGCCTTCTCCGTAGACATAGTCACTGGACAGTTAGTTAACTAGTGAACTAGCCAGCTTGACTGTCGTGGAATTTTAGGCAATTGAGCCACCAGGTGCCTAGGTACCTATCCACCTACATCCTAATACGGCTAGCGCAAGACGCTATACCTAGCTAGGTAGCTGCCAGTCTGCCCCACATAAGAGCCTCATATCAATGCTCCTCCACTCAACCTATTAGCTATCCAAGAAACATATCTCCAGAGCATCCAAAGCAACTCCAATGTTGTCCTCATACTCAACCTGGTTCCGTAAGGGCCCTGACCCTGGAAGTATTATCAGCCTTGACCAACCTGTCCTTTCCCGGTGGAAGATTCTGGAGAAGCTGAACGAGCATGACTATCAGGTCAACGAGGAGGAAAATTCTTACGATTCGAGTGAAAATTGTCGAAGATAGCATTCAAAAAAGTATACTTACGAGACTCCTCGGTCCTTCTCTAAGAGCGAGGCGAATACTGGGGTGCAAATACTCATGGCTGTAAGTAGTCCTAGTCACAAAAGGCCGCGATTCTCCCTCCAGAAGCCACGCACAATCGTGGCCTTTTCAACGTCACCCCTACTTACTTCGTCTAGTGTAGTACTTTATGCTATGTACTATGTACTATGTATACTATTATGTTCTCTTATTAAATCTGTTATTGCACTATGTACATATCAATCAACAATATCATCGTCACTGAGTATCAATTTCTCTTCGGGCAGTCCTTCCAAAACATTACTGGGTTGCTTCATACGCTGTGCTGGCGACTCCTCCATATCGTCAAGGCCATCATTACGAAGATTCTCGGTGGAACAAATGATAGTAATCTTATCCAGCTGCCAACAATCCGGGTCCTGATGCCGGATTGCAGCCATATAAGGCAGTTGATGAAGCAGTAGATCATTCCGGGGTATCATCGTGACCACACCCGGACTCTCATCCTTGTTCCCCGAGTTGGTCGAGGTCGACCTTCCCACTTGGAGATTTTTCCAGGAACTGACACCCGTGAGGTCAGAACCCTCGCGAGAAAGATGCTGCTGTCTAAAAGGATCGAGTAATCGGAGGGACCAGGAGTCGATCAGCCCATCAACCTCCTCAGCCTCTCTCCATAATCGCAGAGATGCCGGGTAGAACATCTTGTAAGCATCACCCGCGCGGCTTCGTCCAGTTCCAGACCCAACCCGTCTCTTGACCGGATAAGGAAGGGCGAAAAGAAGACCACGTGCTGCAACTTGAAAACTCATCTCTTCTTGCCGGAGCACGTCGACGCCGCTACCGAAAGTGGGAATTCCAGTTCCTATACCGGCCCGTGTCCCTTGCCCTGGTCGGCGGTCAGCGCTGAGGATATCGCTATCGGAGAGTGCATCGATGCAATCGTTGAGATAGTCGGTGAAATTATCTCCATCACACGAGGGGATGTAGTTCTCATGAAGAGCACTGATGAACGTTGATATGTCGGTTCCGGTCTCGTCGACTAGATCATTGACCAATACCTGCGAAGCTTTTGGTCGTGCATGGTGATGCAGATAGTCCGGTGGAGGTGGAAGGATCTCGACATCACCCTCGATCAGACTCGGGTCCATGCGTTTGTTGTACACGATCTTTCCAACGGCATGGAACATGCCTAGACTTGCCTCTCTCTGAGTTATCATCTTGAGAGATTCTTTCTCCATGGCTGTCAAAGCAACTTCGCCTCGAGCTCTCTTTGTTTTGGTCACGCTTCCTCCCCATCTCCCCATATCATCCCCCTTGAGACAGAGGAACTCGAGAGAGGATATTGCACTGCGGATATCGCCAATCTCAGAGATACTATCTATAACTCCCGGTCCAGGTATCTGGACACGTCTGGAGTTCCGCGCCTCTTTGTCCAAAACAGAGCGCAATGCCTTGTGCATAAAAGTGGGTGCAATACTATTGAAATCCAATATCGTTGTACCGGGGTGATTGTAGATCATGGGCCCCAGTAACCGGTGAACTGTCAGATTATCTGAGATCGAGGACGCAGATCCTAACAAAGTCTCCGACACAATGATCACGATGGGCGGGTCATTGGATCCAGAATTACCACGGGCTTGACCATTCGTACAGGCAGCTAGATATCGTTGAAGGGACGTCCGAAACGCCGTGAGGGCGGACGATGCCCGGCCAAGAACAGTTGGAAACTCCTCTATTAAAAGTATCCGCTGATTCCGAGGTTTCTCATCTTTCCGAGTATCGAAATCGCTGGCGTGTTTAAGGTCAAGCCCTCCAAATTTGTTACCCCGACCAAGAAACTCTTCAAAGTGCGCGCTCATGGATTGATAATCGCGATCTCCAAATTCAGAAACCGGGGGATTCCTCCACTCGACAATGTCGTAACCAAGTGAGTCGGAGAGCAGGGATACAGTGGTCGTCTTCCCACTGCCTGCCGGACCTCGTAGGACGAGTAACCTCTGTATATAGTCAGGGCCACCCTTCAAACTCAAATCCCGAATTATCCTCAGCTGATCAAATGCTCACCTCAGAACGCCTCCCAGCAAAAGCATCTTCCAGCCAATGCTGTACGTCCAAGACTTTTTTCTTATGAACGGCCAATTCGCTCAGGTTGGCCGGAGCGAACCGCTGAGCCCACGGTCGACGGTCCGGTTCGCTAACTGATTGCGCAGCGACTGGCTTCTTCAAAGCGGTATTCGCAGAGTCCGTAGACAGAAGAAATCGTTTTGTCGTCTTCCGCGGTGGTTTGACTGGTGCCTTTGGCTTTGGCGCAGGTTGACGCGTCTGGCTGGAGCCCACCGCCGCTGTACCCAGTACCGCCCGTTCATTAGCTAGATGCTGTGTGAATATCTCATCGTAGGAGTCGTAGTCATCTTCAATCAAGTCCACGTCGACAGTCTCCCTAACCTGCGGAAGGGGCTGTTTCTCGGCTTTTGGTGCCCATCGCTGTCCCTCTGTTGCGGGCTGGAAGAAGCTGTGCAACGACTTGGATTTGGAATCTGGGTTCGGTGACGATCTGTTCTTTTTGTTTGGAGAGGGTGAGGATGAGGGGAGCCGAGTTGATGGTGTTGCGCGTGGGTAGGAGGTTTTGGGCCGCGTGGAGAGGGCGAAGGGTTCTGCTGATTCAATAGGACTGGAGCCGTCTGAAATAATGGCTTTTCGTTTTGATTTGATCGGTATTGATTCCTTAGATCTGCGTTGTCTCTTAGGAGGACGACTGTCCATGATGAATCGGTCAAAAACCTGGAGAAGTTGAGATCCGATAAGCTTCTGATACCAAGCGGTGGGCCTTGTGCCGTATAAATCTTTACTAGCAGAATAAAATGTATGTTGAAGATATAGATATTATTGTTAAAACATATATGAGAATCACATTCAGAAGACAAATCGCACAGCGGGTATATTGACCAGAATCTGAGTCGGCAGAGCCAAAGAAACCAAAATCCCCCAAATAAAGAAAAGAGAAGATACACAGAGGTAAAGTACATCCTCATGCACCTCCAAACACATCATAGTAATAATCTTCATCCAAGCCATCTCTCGCAGGGACCTGAGGAGCCTCCCCAGCAAAAGTGGCATCGTCAAACCGCACATTGAGCAGGCGGATCTTCAGTCCATAGTTGCTGACCAGATCAATCAGCTTGCTTGTCTCTGCAGTGATAGGCTGCTGGTTGAGGAGCATCAGCAGACCATCCAGCCATTCGGACGCAATGCTGTGCGAAGATGGCCGCAGCGTGAGCAGGACTACTTCCTTTTGTGTAGCCCTGCTGCCGGATCGGGCGTGGCTATGGCCTTTTCCATGTCCAGTGGCTGTGGAGGGCGCGTAGCCATGGATGGTAATCTTGGTTGCGGGTTGGCGTGGTGCGGTCTTCACGGTGGCTGTGGGGGATTGGTCTGGGTTGGTAGAGACGTTGGAGACTACAGATGATACAATTGAGAGATCAACTGTTGAGGTCAATGGCCCGGGATTAGCAGCAAAATTTAAGATTGACAAGTCGGAGACACTCACTTTTCTCGGGTAGGGTGTCCAACTCCGGAGGTCGGTCACCCATCAGGTCGAATTGACCAAAATGCAGGTATCGTCGGTTATGAGAGAGCTGGGCATATTGATACGTGGCAGTGGATTTCTGCACCGCCCCTGACTCCGGCTTGGAGTGAGAGTCCAGAGCGAACCAGCTACCTTGGAGTAAAGATCGAATTCGTTGCTCCTTGACGAACTGAAGAGCCTCATGGTGAAGTTCCTCGCGCACCTGTCGCAAGTGTTGGCCCCATGCATCCTCATATGTAAGTTCAAGGAGTTCCATTTGCAGCCCGCGCAACCGGTGATATTCGAAATCGGCCAGTTCCTCTTCGACATCCTGGACATCCTTGATCCGAGCAGCTCCCCCCACCACCGACTCAATGAGGATGCGCACAAGCTCGATGAGTTTGTCCAAGTCCTCTTCCTCGGCCGCAGTCGCCTTCCATAGACGGAAGAAGGCCTGTAACCCGGCAACATGTAGTCGGGTCCAATGTAATAGCAATGGCTGGAACAGCTTTTCAAAGCCTGTACGGGACTCTGAAATGAGATATGTTTTTGTGTCATCCATGTCGGACTTTTCGACCTCGAAATGCTCGTACAAAATTGATGTAACAGCCAACGAGGCCCGAGCAATCGGACACCGCTGTCGTGATGGCTTTGTAGAGTGCTCCAAGAGCATGTTTTGAAACTCATCCCCATGGCTGCGAACATAATCCGCCAGATCCATCATACCTAGGAAACCGACTTCGTAGAATTCTCCCGCCGGACTCTCCGTCTCAAACCCAAGTCGCCTCCACTTTTCTGGATGGTGTCGCCTAGAGCGTCGTGTATCGTCACCATTCTCGGCAGTCTCGTCGGCGCTTTTCTCTGGGTTACTGGCCAGATAAATTCCCTTCAGTGCACGGCGATGCTCCGGCTTCTCTTGGTGGACAGGGATATCTCGCCACTTGCGTAGCAGGATCTTGGTGAGTGACTGGAACTCCAGCAGCGGATGCGCTAGGTCCTGAAGGGCGGAGTCCTGCATAAGCACGTAGACTGCTCTAATAACGCCCAGATCCTGTAGTTTTTGAATAAACTTGGGCCACTCCGCCTCGGAGTCGTTGGTGATCGAGTCGCGCATGAGCGAGTTGATCAACTGGAGCGCATTGGCGCATAGCGCATGATCTGCAGAAGATAATCGGCTGACGAGCATCTCTAGGAACTGGGGATATATGGCGATCGCAGGCTTTAGGGCGCGGAAGCCAAAGGTGTCGACCTGGGACGCACGGTTCCCAGTATATGGGTGGGAAACGATGGAGACGAGAATGGACATAGCACCGCGGAGAATGTTGACTAGGGGATGGGTGACGATCAACTCAACAATCTGGAGGACAGTCACATTAGCATCTGGCATGATGGAACGGAGATAGTAAACACAGAGCACTGCAATCGGTTTCAAGGATACTCACGCGCTCCACCAACTCCTGGTCAACACACTCCCAACCCTTGTCGACATCGAGTAACCTCGAGAAACTCGTCAAGCTATATGCCAAGGTATTTCCACTTGCATGAAGGGTTAGATACCGTAATCGAATCAGGCCCCCCTCTGCGATGAAGATGTCAGCAAAGGACGGGTCTCCGATGTTGCTCTGGAGCTTGAAGACGGCCATTTTGCGGACGGCATCTTCATCGCTACCTAGGCGCTCGACCAATTCAGCGACATTGACTGTCTCCATCTCTTGGTAAGTAAGAAAAGAGAAGTTCAAGAAGTTCCAAGAGGGAAGGGAGATTAGGGGGGCCGGCTGTGGGGATGGGGTTTGAACGGTCTCGTCGATCTTTGTTTTCAACTTAAGTACGTGTGTATTTATATACTATATATTTACTGTATATATATCTATATATCTATAATAGCGCTTACACTATATCTCTATCAACCAACTTGATTCATATGATGTTTTGATTTTAATGCATTATGGTCATTACATGATTTCCTATAGTCCCCGGTGAATCTATACACAAACAGCGCCAAATCCTCATCTCTCCCCTAAAAACGCCACAGGATATAACCTGTTTCTTTTCATTATGTACAACGGCCTAGCCGTCATCGTAAAAGTTCATGACATATTGGTCAGCGACGCCAGCCCACATTCCAAATTACATGGGCAATGTCTCGAGCGGTGTTCACCGTGTCCACAACCCGGTCCAGAATACTACTACTGGGGGTCTCGGTCTCGCCTTCTGGCATGATCATGCCGGAAGCAGTTAGTCGGAGCGAACGGTTTGATGCTGGATCATCTTCCATCAACCATGCGCGATCACGATCAGGGTAATTTCCCGTGAAGTCCAAACTGGGATCTTCACATTCATCCAAAAGGAAGTTAGCCGAAGACTCAGGCTCGGATGGCCCCGACGGACGTATGGTGTCCACAGAGGGAGTTGGTGATGTCGTCCGAGGGGTGGACCATCGATCAAAGATCGTCGGAGGGTGGGGTTCGGGGGCATCCCCGCGATATTTGAGCGTGGTCGAGGGGAGCGGGGCGATGGTTTTCCCATCGCCACTGAAGCTGTTGCGTGGAGTGCTGCGGTTGCTCAGGGAGGACCGGCCAGAGATTTGTCTCATCATGACTACGCCATCATCGGAAGATGACTCGTCAAAAGTGACCGGCCAATCGTCCTCGTAGCCCTTGGCTTCAACCGCGATGCATTGTACGACTTCATTGTTGAAGTGAATATGGCGTCGTTCGCTTGGAGATGTCATTCCAGATGAGGAGGAGGTAGTAAGAGTGCCACCGAGAGAGTAGGTCGAGCTTCCAGTCCGGTGATGCAGATGGTCCAAGTCTGTGTTGGACCTCGGGAAAGGGGGTCGAGCCCAATTGTTCTCAGCTTCTTGAGCTTTGAGAATGGCCCCGGCATGCTGGAGTAAGGTATGTTGAGATAGAGACCGCTGGAGGATGGCCTCGGACGCGGTCTTCTTCTTCAGGATCGGCTTTCGGTCTAGGTACGAGTTTGGTGTGTCCAAACGACTGGGAGGGGGCGATGGAGAGGTTGTACGTTCGATGGAACTTTTTAATGGTCCGTATAGCCAGGTGACATCACAGTCCTTCAGCCTGGGAGACGGTTAGCGGGGGCGAACCAAAGACGATAAAGATCAATAAGATCAATAAACCTACCAATTGAGGCTTTCGGGCGATATCGTTCTGAGGTTATGCTTAGCCTTGGCCCATGTCCTCCATGAAGCATTCTCCAGTCTCACTCCATTACTATAATCGTTTCTCCGACTCGTCACATACCGCCAGGAGGACCAGATATCCTCCTCCTTCCAGTCATGTGAAAGGTAGTCTACATGTCGAGACGGCTCATCCTCAATTGAGCTGTCATCTGCCGATGGAGTCTGTAATGTCCACGAAGGGTGTGATTCTGTCGACGCGTCGCTCACGTCCTCTAGTTCTTTGGCATTGTGAAGGGGTTCTGTGTCGTAGGAAGGTAGCGTGAGCTCGTTTTCCGGGGCTAGGCTGGTTATAGGCGCGTAGACAAATTGCCCGGGGATAGGAGTGAAGTTCGGAGAAGGGGGCGCAGAGTGGAGGTTTGCGACTGGGGATGAGTCCCTCGCACGATAATCATCTTGCATGGGTGATTTTCTTGGGATGGTGGGATCTTCTAGGAAATAACGCTGCGCAGTGGGACCAGTAGGACAGCGTAGAGGATCCGGGAAGGGCGAATGAGTTTCGCGAGAAGTCAACAGAGTCGTCATATCCCTCTTTTTTTTCAATGATGTAATATGATAAGAGGTTGGAATAAGACCATCAACGATATATATCATACCCAGATGATTACATATCTCGAAGTAGAAGAGAGGGGGAAGGAAAGGAAGAGAGAGAGAGAAGAAAGAAGAAAGGGAGGAAGATAAAGAAAGCCAAATCGTGGAGGTGGAGATGACAGTTACCGGTTTCTGGGGATTTGGGGGATTTTAAGGAATTAATAGGGACATTAATAGGGAATTATTAGGATTGAAAAATCAAAAAGCAAGAATTTATATAGAATGCCAAATTTGTCTAGGCCTAGACTAGAGACTCGACCTAGAGAACTGCCCTATTAATACTTTTATGACCTTCTAGACTCTTCTCCACGTATAACGTCTGTAGTCCTTAGATACCAGGACTATATAGCTACATAATTACATGCCTACTATCTACCTAACTACCTATCCAACCTGTGTCCATATAGCTCTATAGCTATATGACTGTATGACTACTCTATACTTACTACATATATACAATATCAAGTACATTTAATCGGAGTATCACGGAGCCACCCGGCCTAGATCCGATCCATCCGCAAGGCCTGAGCACTTTACTTTCAGAGAGTCAGACCCCTTCGATCCACTTGGTTTTTGCCTTGATCTAAACGAGAAATCACTCACAAGCTAGCCGAGGCAATGGCGTTTCTGAGAATTACGTTTTGTACGGAGTTCACCTAGACCCTGTGAAAAGGGAAAAATTAGCCATGATCGACCGGAGATATGAGCCGAAGCTAAGAGCAAGATCCCCTGGAAGGGTCAATGATAAAGAGGTCCTAGTGCACAGGGGCTTCACATTGACATCTAGAATTCACCTTTTCCAATGCTAAACTCCCCTTCTAACGTTGTAGGAGAATATGCAAGATAGAGCTAAAAAGCGCCGAACTTGACAGATAAAAAAAAGGGAAAAAAAAACAATGTACGCCGAATTGCCTTTGTCTGTGCGCTTGCATCGACAGTATCTGGGCAATCATCTAGAAGGGTCATGATTGGCGAAACTCCTCGACATCGGTTCTTAGGACGCGCCATTGTTGATGCAAATCACAACCAGTGATAACCGCCCATCGCTGCATGTCACCGTGAAGTACGGAGTATTCACGGGCCCTTTGAATCTGAGAGAAACCCGAAACTCTGTCAATATACCCCAGTGAAGTCCTATATTGTAGGATACTAAAATTCCTATGGTCTAGCCCATTGCTATACTTCCCCGCGGAGGCTTTGATCGGTAGCAACACAATGCGCACCACCCCGGTCTCTCCCTCACGGGCCTCTTTGACGTTGGTCATATTTGACGATCATTGGCTCGACAAAATCAAGAATATTTGCCTCTGAATTGCTTTGACGTTGCCAACACTCAACATCCACAGGGGTAATAAACTCCCTCTCTTCATCTTTGATAACACAGCTGACGGAAACCGGCTTTGACATTCCCAATGCAAGATGCGAGACACATTGCAAGGTTACAATCGACTATCTTATCAGACATTTGTGGATCTATCAATTGGTGCACCAATTGCTGCGCCGGGCCCCCTATCATGACACTGCAGTGAAACGGCTCATATCAAGAGGCTTTTTCTTACCTCGCCTCCGACTTTCCAGATTCAGGTAATCAAGGATGTGCCCCTCCATGGAGAGAGATTAGACCATGTCAACAGATGAGCAAGGATGTGATGATATCCCATTCCTGAGATAGAATAAGGTAATTTTGTAGGTGAGCATGTAAAATGGTCCAATGATTGAGCAAACTGATAGACATGTACCATCACACGTGACATGGCCCAAATAGGATTAGCTGGCAGAACTGCCCCTCCGCCCCCCCATATGTTGATTCTATCAGCGAACAAGTCTAGACCAGTACTACTATTGACCATATTTTACATACACATTATGGAGGTAGAAACTGTCCCATCCCAGGCAAGACAGGTTGTCTATTGTGGAGGTGAGGAGCCCATGGTGCCCCCCGTTTTGAGAATATAGTGCTGACGAAATCATAGTCTGCACATTACCCCCCGAGGTATGACCTTTGGACTTTCCCATGCCCACTAGCTCCCAGTCCCCCCCAGCGAAAGGCCAGGCCTTCTTTTTTTCCCCCGCTTTTGCCCCTGCTTCTTTAGCTTTTATCATTGTGGCCCCTTCATGCGTGGCATAGCTCCTAGCCACTGGAAAGCGCCCACAGAGCCTGCATAAATTGCTACCTGGAGACACCTTGCATCGAAGATCTATTTTTCTAACATGCGGGGTTCTTGTCTAGTACTGCGAGTTTGGAGGTACCGCTAAGAAATGCGAAGAGTGGCTAAAGGAAAACGAGTCGGATCTGTGGGACTCACTATACTCTGAAGGTACAATGCTCCCATGCTACCTGGCTGACCATTACCTACAGCTGTCAAGCCCCAAGCCTAGCAATGAGACCAACATTCTAACACTGGTTTTCGTTTCCTATCAGATGCCCTGAGCGCCAACCTCTCCACCCTTTCCGTCTCGGCGCAAGAACGTGCCGCCAAAGACGCCGCCAAGAAGGAGGCCAAAGCTGCGGCCAACGAAGCACGCGATAGCGAGCGCAAGGCTGCCTCCAAGGTTCAGATCAAGCGTGTCGAGCGTAACAAGCGCAAGTACGTGACGGTTGTGATCGGACTGGAAGTCTTCGGACTGGAAAACAAGAAGATCGCAAAGGATTTGGGCAAGAAGTTTGCTACCGGTTCTTCAGTGACCCGCTCGCCTGCCGGTATCGAGGAGATCACCGTCCAGGGTGATGTCAGTGATGACCTGCGTGAATGGCTCCTCGAGATTCACGGCAAGAAGATCCCCGCGTCTAATATTGAATTGATTGAAGACAAGAAGAAGAAGAAGAGCGAGGGCCCGATGGTATAATGACGAACACGAAACCTTGGCGGACTGGGTATCATGACATAAATCTAAAATAAAAGTACAAATTGAAGACAATTCAAGCAGAAAACGGAAACCAGAAACCCGGTTGGATCCGAGATAATGGTCTAGGTCCAGGGCCCGGAGCACAAGAAAACAACATTTCATAATTCATCCAGCACAGTCAAAGGTTCATGTTCCGCAGGTGCTGCATCATGCCCTGACCGAACGGTCGACGTCGGACCAGCTTTGGCCAGGCTCTCGCGGCGATCTGCAAGGTTGGACGGATATCGAGAAGGCCCTGAATCAGACCCTGAGTCAGTTTCCGCGAGACTGAGGACCTCATTCCACACCTCGGACTGGGGTGGCACAGAGGGCGCAGAGTGGTTTGACACCGTCAAACGTGACGTCTGAGCGTGGGGAGACCAGACTAGTGGCCAATTCTGAATTACCAGAGCGAGTACAAGCACCAACAGTGCGCTTGTCACAATACCCCAGAAGATGTGCAGTCGACGACTCGTTCGGGTTTGCCATTCTGTTTCCCGCTGCTCCCAGCTATCAATCTCGTGTCGTACTGTCTCAAGTCGTTTACCTAGTTCTTCGACGCGCTGTCGGCCTGCTTTCATGCGTTGCTCTAACGCGTCGGCCTTTTGGATCTGGGGCTCAAACCCTTTGAGGTCATTGAGCTGTTTGCGGATATCCTGGTCTAAACCGGCCGTCTCACGTTCAAAGTCGTTCAGAAGTGTTGACGCCGAGTCAGAGAGTTCCTGAAATAGCGAGATAGTTGAATGGAGCGCTGTGATCTTCTCAAGCAGGTTGTAGTAGGTGTAATCCAGCCGACGGGTGACGTCGGTTGCTAACGTCCCAATTGAAGTCAATGCGGATCGCAGATACCTTGAGCAATCGTTAGTCATTTCCTTGCGCGTAAAAAAGCAAAAAAAAAAATACAGAGACATACTCTTCACCTAGCTTTCTTCGCTTCTTAACCTTCTCCAGGTCATCCTTAGATAGAATCTCATTCCGGCGGATAGGCGCCAGTCGCTCATGCTGCTCAGGCGTATCTAGCAGACTACCCTTCCGACCATCAGATAGACCAGTAGTTGACTCAGACCCCCAGCGACTCCGGGTTGTTTCCCTTGTAGTCGGCCTTAACAATCCGTCATCGCTCTCGCGGTCCTTGTCCTTTCCACCCGACCACGTAGGAAGCAATCCCCTTGCGCTCGCCGAGGAAGTCAGGTGAGTCATGGGATTAGGGAAGCGCAGATCCCGCGACTTGTTATATTTGTGGCGTTGGGACTTTGCGCCATCGAAGGTAGGTGGATCTAGCGGGCGAGGGGATGGGGATGGGCGAGTTCGACGTTGGGAGGCGGGCTCCCCTCTTGGAGAAATTTGGCGATCATCAGAGCCATGGCGATGCGACCCGCGAATCTTTCTTCGGTTTTTTGGGGGTGTTTCTTGGGTGCCAAATCCGGAGAGGTCCTCGGAGTTGGACTGGAGGTTGCCGGCTTGCTGGCTTTGATTCTGGTTCCGCGGAGTTTGGGTGGGTGGGAATGTAGCGGAGGCTTCTCGGGATGCTGAGAAAGATGCGTATTTATGTGGAGGTTCCATAGCGGTACATTCTGTCAAGAAAAGCTTGGGGAAGCTTGGAAGCTTGGTGTGTTGGGGTGTGGACTTCGGGGATCGATGACGCCAAGGCTGAATGACTTGATCGGCGACTCTGCAACTGGCAGTGTCATGTACAATATAGTCCTCCCAAGGTCCCTTCAATACAATTGCGCGAAAGAATCTATTGCGATTATAGAAAAAAATTTGTCTTGCTCGCTAGTAGTGACCTATGACCTAACTTTAACCAAAAAAAAAAAAAAACGCCTGTAATCAAACAGCCCACGCCGGAATGAGTGCCCAGTCTTTCTCGCCAGGGACAAGGAAGAAGTCTCGACAAGCCAATGTATATACACACAATGCAGTCCTGGGGGGTATGAAGAGATGTTATGGTGGAGATATAGAGAAAGACCGTGAATAACTTCAAGAGCTGAGCAGCTTGTTGCGCTTCTCTCTGCGCTTGAGACGGTCGAGTCTCTTGTGGTGCATCTTTTCGGCCATCTTCTCATAACGTAGCTTCTCCTCCTTGGCTTCTCGGCGGTCCTTGATGCGCTGGATACGGGCCTGGAAAGGGTTTAAACGGTCAGTGATATGATCTTGGGAAGGGATGTGTTGTCGGACATGTGACAATCTTATGGAGACAGGGCTCGCAAGAGAGGACCAGACAAAAAATCCCAAAACAATTGAGGAAAGTAAAACACATTAAGAGTGAAATAGGAATAAGATCAACATACCTTCCGCTCAGCTTCGGCTTCTTCCTTCATTTCACGTTCAAGTTCCTTGACAGCGTCGCTGTGCTTCTTGAGCTCCTGACGCTTAGCGTATGAGGTCAAACCCGCAGTCGGGCGGAAAGCCTTCTTGGTGCCATGCCAGTTTTTACCTGAAGTTCCAATGGGGTTAGCCGGGGCGACGAGGAACAGGAGGGAAGTGGGGAGTGGGTATAATAGATAATATTTTCTTTTCACTTACCATTTTTCCGTACGCCGGTAGTCGGAGGCGCTGGTGTAGCCGTTGAAGTAGACATGATTGAATATGTGACTTCAAGGGGGAGAAGAAAAACACAATTTCCAGTGAACGATTCAAGGTGAGATGGAGGAAACGGTGAAGCAAAAGAGAGAGAGTGTGGCCCCCAAAAAAAAACCGGAGGAGTTTTTTCATTGATTATCTCGATCTGATAAAATGTCTTGGCGCCCGCTAACAGAGAAATTGCTTCGGGTCCAAATTTCCCAAACTCCACCTTTCTTCCACTTTTTGACTCACCTCCCTGGCTGCTTTAACATTATTTCCCTAATCATTCCTTGTTCTTTCTCATATTCTCCTAGTCTTTCTGCACGGTGGCTTGGCACACCCTGTAGGCCCATCAAATCCCTCGTTACACCGCGCCTCCCCCACCAGTCCACTACTTATACCTCCGTTTCCCATCTTACCATGATCCCACGATAACACTCTTTTTTCTTTCTCTTTTTACCGATCATACTTGATGGCGACAGAGCATGCGATTATAAGTGAACCGATGGAGCTCCCATCGCTCCCGCCCAACCAGGGCCTTGAGGCGGTAAAAGATATCATATTTGGATCGGTAAGGAAGTCCTTGGCATATGCAGGAGATCTCAATCTGACAGTCTCCAAAGTCGGCAGGAATGGCAGGCAAACTCTTCGAGTACCCCTTTGATACCGTCAAGGTCCGATTACAGTCACAACCCGAACACCTCCCTCTCCGATATGCAGGACCGGTGGATTGTTTCCGTCAGTCTTTTCGAGCTGATGGCTTCCGGGGACTCTATAGAGGCATCAGTGCACCGATGACCGGAGCTGCAGTAGAGACCAGCTGTCTCTTCTTCAGTTATCGTCTCATTCAGGATACCCTACGCGCAACGGTCTACCCGGGCGTTGAGCACCTACCATTCTTCGCGCTCATTGGTTGTGGAGCTCTATCCGGCTCGGTGACATCGCTGGTCCTCACACCTATTGAACTGGTGAAATGTAGGATGCAGGTCCCCGCCGAGTCAGCAGCCATCAAACCCGCTGGTCCCATGGCCATCATTGCAAGCATCTTCCGACATGAAGGGCTGGCAGGATTCTGGCGGGGCCAGATGGGAACCTTGATTCGTGAAACCGGCGGAAGTGCAGCGTGGTTTGGCGGATACGAGGGAGTGTCATCGCTCTTCCGCAAGTATAACAAGTCGAACCCGCAAGTAACTTCCGACTCACTCCCCATCCACCAACAAATGATCGCAGGAGCAACGGCGGGAATCAGCTACAACTTTCTGTTTTACCCGGCCGATACAATCAAGTCCCGCATGCAGACCGTAGATGTCTCGCGACTGCCGCTCCATGCTCAGCAACAGACCTTCTGGGGTGTGACCAAAGCTCTATGGAGGCAGCAAGGGCTTAAGGGCATGTACCGCGGGTGCGGGATCACCTGCGCGCGCTCAGCGCCCAGCTCGGCCTTCATTTTCACTGTTTATGAAGGATTACGGCAATTTTTTGGATGAGAAAAAGAGAGAGAGAGACCGCTACAATTTCCCTGCACATAGATTTTTTCCCCCATTTTCCTTTTGAATTTTTCATACCTGACTTGAATTTTGGCATCGTGCGCTATACCCCGAATACATTCAAACACGATTCTTTGATTCTTCAATCCTTTCCCTTCAATTTTACCTCTTCTTCCTCGATCTCCAATGCCTAATCTACTTTGGCTGAATATCAAGTGCCATTTTACGCTTCTCGGCCTCACTGTTCGCTCTGGGAGATATTGGATCGTCCGAAACACGGCTTGTAAGCTAGCATGTTGTACGCTAGATCAAACATCCCCGGTCCCATAATATCTCCTAGCTCACAGGGGTTCTTCAGATGTTAGTGCTAAAGGTGTTCGAAGTGAAGAGTGTTACAATCTGGAGTCTTTTCTTTTGTCATAACTTGAATTTTGGTATAGAATCGCAAATCAATTCATCTCAGATATAAATCCTCCAGTGACCCAAAGAGGACACTTACGTAAGATCCTAATCTCTAGTTAACTACATATCTCTTGGCCGTATGCCTATCTATCCTGTGAACATGTCCGATGTCGAGAATCTAACAGCCTCATCTAGGCTCGAGTTGAACAAACGCAGCTGCTTGCGTTGTAATCAAAGAAAAGTGCGATGCGATAAAGCATATCCATGCAGCGCATGTGTGAAAGCCGACGTGCAGTGCACCTTTCCGGGCCCAAAAAGAGCACGGCGGACATTAAACAGGCCGCCAATCAGTGAGCTACTCGCTCGTTTGAAGCAGCTTGAAGAAGAGGTTGAGCAACTTCGCTCAACGCGCCCCGATACCGACTATACATCCGAGTTGGATAATCGTCGGGATACGGAGACTGTCAAAAAGACAGAATTGCTGGTCCTCAAAGAAGGAAAGAGTCGATACGTCGGTGATGAGGCTTCTGCTGTGCTGGGACAAAAAGTGGGAGAGGGGTACTGCTGGTATATAGACGTCAACTAATTTGCTATGCAGATATCTGAACTCCGTGATATCATTGAAAGCTCTTCGGATGAAGAGTCATATTCGCCGGATGCGGAGTATAGTCCCAGTATCCTACCAGGGGGTGGACTTCTTGGAAACCATGAGTCCGCCTGGTCTCTCGATTCTTTTCGCCTCCATTATTACCAACCAGGAAGGATTAAGGCATTATGGAGAATATACCAAGAAAATGTGGCACTGTTAATTGTCATACTTCATCGAGCCACCATGGCGAGGATTGTTCAAGATGCCTCTGCTGGCATCGAGTTAACCCCTTCAGATGAGGTGTTACTCTTCTCTGTGTGTTATGCCGCTGTGGCCAGCATGAAAGCGCACAACTGCCCTTGGATACTTGACAGCGACCATGATACAGCCATCCAACACTGTAAACAAGCAGTGAGCCACGGACTTCGCCGGGCAAGTTTCATCAAATCTCAGAGCCTGCCTGCTCTTCAGGCCGCCGTTCTGTTCTTACTGTGTCATCGAGTCGGTGGTGATACGCGCCTTGTATGGGCTGAATCTGCCATTGTGATACGGGTTGCCCAAGCACACGGCGTTCATCGCGATGGGCAGAATTTTGCATTACCACCCTTCGAAACTGAGATGCGCCGTCGATTGTGGTGGCATATCTGCTTGCTTGACATGTTGTCTTCGGGAGATCAAGGGGTCGATACTCAGATCAGACCCGAAATGTTCGACACACGGTTTCCGAGTAATGTTGACGATGATGATATTGGCTTACATTTAACTGATCAGCCATCACCGAAGACCGGCTTCACAACCACCACCATCTGCATCATGAATTGCCAGGTCATGAGGGACATTTTCTGGCCTTGTCAGGGTGGATACTCTGATATGTCTACGCAGGATCGCGAGGATCTTGTCACAGCTCTAGGAAAGAGCATCCACGCACAATACATCGATCATTTCGACCTGAATATCCCAATCCATTGGACGATTGCAACTATCGTACGACTCCAACTCTCCAAGGCATGGCTGGCGACGCATTTCCAGTCTAGAGACTTGGATGTGAAGGTCTTCCGCCATGACGATCGTGTCTTTGAGGTTGCTGTCGAGCTTGTGCAGTTCTCCCACCTTTTACAAACCAATGAAGGCACATCACAGTGGAGCTGGCTATGTAAAAGCTATAAGGAATGGCATGTGGTCGCTTTTATACTTTCCGAGCTGTGTTTGCGTCCACTTAGCCCCGAGACTGACCATGCTTGGGATGTTGTGACCAAGATGTATGGGCTCTGGCAGCAGGATATGCACACCGATGCTCTGCTTCAGAGGCCCTTGGATCGGCTCATGGCACGCACCGCCTCATTGCGAGCTGCTAGACAAGGGCAGAATATCCAGACACCATTCAGTGGAGAGGCCTTGACTGATGCGTCTTTTGGCATGAATGACGGAGATTCTAATTGGCTTGAAGTACCGGAACTGTTTTCTGGCTTGGACTGGCTGAGTGGGTCACTCTTTTAGGCCATATCATTCTTTCTACCAGGGCAAGTATTTCAGTATCAACACATTGATTTCAAAAACTAGAGCTCCACATTATTCAAGCCTCCCGTGTCTCGAATTGGCTGTCCTCCTTTAACCAATCCTCAAAGGTCTTCAACTTAGGATGCAGCCGTCTCAAAGCCGGAATATCCGCACCAAAGCCCTCATCATGAAACCATCTGAACATAAATCCCAGCTCCTTGACAAGACCCAGCATCAACCAAACTGGAATCCTATAAGTGGTAGGTACATTCTTGCCAGTCGAGTTCTTGAAGATTTCCGACATGTGATCAAAGGTCAATTCATCTCCGGCAAGCGAGAAAGCATGATTCTTCGACGCCTCGGGGTTCATGAATGCGGCCGCCGCAAAGAACCCAATATCACTGGTCGCAATCAGCTGCAGCGGCTTGCCCTTGAGGGACATTTGCCATGCAGTCGTGAAGACTCTTCCGAAGTAATCCGGGGTGAAGTTATCAAAAAGGCAACGGGACGAAGAATTGTCCAGTTCATCTCGGTCCCCTTTGCTTTTTCTTTCAGATGCTTCTCGATCTCGTGTTTGAAAATGAAATGTGGGACTGGAGTTGGGTTTTGGTCTGATTTCTCGCCGCCGCGGTCGACGGAGCTGTATACGAAGTACCTGACGCCTTGTTTGATGGACTCGTCTATAAGAGCGATTCCTTGACGTCTTTCATCGTCGTTTCTGGGATTGGCGGTCTATTTTATATCGGTCAGGATATGGAATTATTGTGAGATGTCTTTTCCAGGGACACTTACTTGGACACTGAACACGCCCCAAACCGGGGTTGCAGATTGACGCTTTACATTCTCAAAGATGGCCGCCGGGTCATCGAGGTTGCCTTGAATCAATGTGATATTGGCAGAACTTTGGGCGAGATTCTTCGCTGCAGTGGAATTGGTATCACGGGTCACGGCCAGGATGTTGACGGGGCCACTTTTCTCTAGAAGGCTCTTGATCACAGCACCTCCTTGTTTGCCAGTGGCACCCGTGATGAGAATTGTGGTCATTGTAGTGTACGATGTCCAATTCTGGATTTCGATCCTTATTAAATATCTCTTTGCTGATTTCTAAGACTCGAGACACTCGGGCTGACTCTCAACCCCGGGATATGACGTCACCTATCAAAATGAGACTATCATGAAGTATACAACATATATACACAAGACAAGAACATTAGAAAAAGAATACAGTTAATTATTCACCGCAATAATACTCATCCCTCGATGAACTTCCTTGTCGGCAGCATGTAAAAACTCCCTTACCGTCAGATCCAAGCCTTCCTCGCCTAACAGGTCTCCTTCCAATTCACCGCGCAATAATGGTCCATTCATACCTCCATTCAACTCCCACACCTTTCCATCTTTCTTAACAAATGCAATAAAATGAAATCCACATTCCTCCTGAGGCAACGGTACAATTGAACATCCTTCCGATGCCGCATCCATATGCGCCTCTTCCAAAAACCTCGAATCATACAAGAGTCGCGCCCTCTCCACCGGTCCCAGCTCAACCGCCAACTTGACAATCTTCTCCAGCTCCGATCCAGCCGTGACATATTTCCCATTCTCCAAATTGACCACCACATGCAGTAATGCCATCAGCCCACACGCATGTCCAATCGTCTGTTTCATCCACAACACGGGTTCGTCGGCCCCGCTACCGAGATACTCGGGTATGCTGTGTTCGACGCTGGACCGCGCGGCGAGGTAGATGGGTTTGTCGCAGAGGAGGATGAGGGCGTTTACAGGTCGTGGGATCCAGGAGAGCATTTCTGGGGTGGTGGAGAGGATATCATGAAAGGTGAGACTCGGGGATACTCCGAGGTTCTTACATAGATGTCTGTGGACTTCTGGGTTGTTTTCTATTTGTCGTGAGTATGGGAGTTTGGGATGTCAGTCTTTGGGGGAGATGACTGGACTTACCTAGTGGTATAAAGGTCTTTTGACCGTTGATGATCTGCACGCCTAGATTAAACATGTTTTGAAGATGCGAAGACCTTTCTGATCGTACGTTTCAATGTTTTGGTGATAGAGGGGTGGAATAGCTGAGTCATCCACCTTCCTATCTTGGTTATAGGTACTCGAGATATCTACATAAAGAGATGTATCGACATACTTACATATATATTTAGAGCGCGAGAGATCGATCTATAGATCTATAGAGAGAAGATAGAAGATAGAAGATATAAATATCTACACCTCAATCCCGAGATCAGCGGTATTTGTGTATACTGTATGTCGATATCAACATCTATAAAAGACACTTCCTTACTATATTGTACATACATATATATGTATATATATAGGTAGATAAAAGAAAGCCCTCGTCAATTCTCCTTGACATCCAAATCTCCAATCAAACGGACTTCCCCGGAGTCCGAGCATAAGAACCACCCGCCTATCTCGGATAAAAACCATCTTCCCCCCTCTTCTTCTCTCTATCTCTCTCAGAATGGCCACCCTTACAGCTCAGGAGCTGACAACCCTCTCCACCAAGGCGATTGACGCCAAAGCCACTGCGTACTGTATGACTTCTGAAGACTATAGCCCCCATATCCAATTCTGCCAAAACTAACACGGTCCCAGGCCCATACTCCAAATTCCGTGTCGGAGCATGCATTCTCACGACCTCGGGCGAGTTCATCTCTGGCGCTAATGTCGAAAATGCTTCCTATCCAGTTGGGACATGCGCGGAGCGTGTGACTATTGGTGCGGCGGTTGTACGTTTCCGTTTCCTTCGCCCTGTATTTCAATTGTTGATCAACGAGGACTGTCCTGGACCATCCGCTTACTCCTACAGGTTGCTGGCCACAAGAATTTCAAGGCTCTGGCTGTCGCGACGGATATCAAGCCTGCTGCCTCGCCCTGTGGGATGTGTAGACAATTGTGAGTCTTCTTCTTCTTCCTTCTTTGGTGGTTAACTCATCGGATCATTCAGTATCCGCGAGTTCACCTCGCCTTCTTTCCCGGTGTACATGTACGACGGAGAAGGAAACTACAAAGTCATGACCATGGAGGAGGTGAGATTTCTTTTCATATTGATCGCTTCGATTCTCTGCTGATGAACCCAGTTGCTGCCCGACTCTTTCGGCCCTGAACACCTTAAATAGGGATACCAACAAAAAGAAGGTGACAGGATTGGAAAGATGCATTGCAATCTGATAGTGGGAATAATTACATCTACAGGTGTTAAGCAAACATATCAAGGTGAATCTCATCTTGTCCAATAGCTATCCATTAGCCCTAGAGCCCTCTCTACATAAAAGCCAAGAGCCACAACTATACCGTACACAAACCGAAACCAACAAGAAACAAAGCTTCATGGACGCTCATAATGTCGCAGTCAAAAACCCAAGCATTTCCAATTGGAAATCATAAACGAAAAAAAAAAGAAAAGCAGCTATATCGAAAAAAAAGAACCATCCCCCAAGCCCCAGAAAAAGCCTACGCTTGTTCTTCATCATCATCAAAATCATCAGCTCCAAGCAACTCATCTTCGTCGTCAACAACAGAAGAATAATCCCCTCTCCTCGCGGCAAACGAGCCACGAGTAGCATAAGGTCTCTGTCCTCCCCGCCTTCCAAACAACCCAGACGAGCTCCGTGCCAGACTCTTCACAAGTAATGGCAGAGCCTGCGCAACCGCAACAATACCTGCAATAATCGCTACAGGTACCGCGACCAGCACCGAGTCCCGGGATAACCAGCTCTGCGACGAAACAGCGCCATTCTCGCCCAGCCGAATCTGGCCGAATTTGCCATCCCAGTGTGTGTACGCATACCATCCGACAGCGGCGGCGACAGCAATCGGGGTTACGATCGCGAAGAATAGACCGATTCCGCTGATGCCGTGCTTCTTTTGATATTCTTCTTCTTTGTTCGGACACGGTCTTGAGACGTCTTGATCAAGGAGGAGACCGCCTACGCAGGTTGTTTGAGGAATTCGGCGGTAGCCGGTTGGTTCCCAATATTCGACCATGTCAGGGTCTTGGGCACATTGTGCAATGTGGTCTTGGGGTTGAAGACCCGGGACAAGACCACAGCTGCCGTCATTTTGGATTTCGTAGTTATAGTCACTGATTCATGTCAGTTAACATCGGAATGTTAGGGGAAAAGAAAGGGTGATTGGGCGGTTTTGTGTCTACTTACCATTCAAAATCGGCACGGGTGCAAGTGCAGTTCCGACCGATGCTGTGGATGTGTGGCTCGCGCCAGGCATTCCAACACTCAGCGGCAGGTCTCTTACGGTGGTACTCCTCAACATGGCCAAAGAGACAATTCTCTTCCTGGAAGGGATGACTGGGGGCCCAGTCATAGTAGTCGCTCTCATCGTCGTTACAGTCGCGGCTCCAGATGCCGCTGAAGTCAAGCGTGATGGTGACACGCTTGCCGCCGTCCATGCCCCAGAGCAGGAAGTTCTTCGATGTGTCTGATGGCACGGTTGAGATATCATCGATGACCAGTTCCTTTTCGGCGAACTGGAACTCGTGCCAGGTCATACCCTCGTCAAGCGTGTAGTGTACAACCTTGGTTGCCTTCCGGTCGCTGACGAGCACGATTACTGAGCCTGCGGCGCCAAATTCCCACATATATTGTCCCTTTTTGACTTGGATCCAGGAGATGCCGCCGTCTCTGGTGAGGTATGTGTCGGCTTCAGCTGAGCTAGTGAGGTATTCACCGACGTTGCCGAGCGCGAGCATCAGTCCTATGGCGGAGCCCGAGTAGAGGGTGTCACGGGGATCGCGGCGTTCAGTGTAGCCGTGGAAATGGAGAGCGCATTTTTCGGTGCCTTTGCTCTCCGTAACAGAGCAGCCGAAGTTCTTGCCATCGACATCATGAGTCGGCGGAGCCAGAAGCATCCACTGACCACCGTCGTTGTGGGTGATCATGGTGCGTAGCTTCTTGGCCGCGCCCTTGCTCTGCACTTCTTCCCGATTCGCAACCACATTGGCAATGGCCACGCCCTCGAGGCCGTGCAACTCATCATAGTCCGTGTAACCGCGGTCGTTGACGTTGAGTCCTTCGAGACTCTGGACGAAATAGGTGCCATTGCTATTACTTTTGACCAGAGAGCCGAAGCTATTTTCATTTCCTTGGCTCACCTTCACAAGAAGGAACAATGCGTGTGGGGAGCTAGGAAGAACGGTATACTGAGGGACCTTAATGTTGAAGGGGAAGTGCGCATGAGCGTAAGTGCGACCGTCGACGCTCACGCTAGCATTCAGATATTCCTTCTGGTCTCCTTCGTACCAGGCGACAACGACGAAATCATTCCTGGTGGCGGAGCGGGCGATGTTGTCAAACTTAACGGTCATGGTAGAGAAATAATCATCACTGATAACCAGTTGCCGGTTGTTGTTCTTTTCTTCATCTTTATACTGCTCGCAAATCACCAGCTTTTCACTGCTGTTGCGGCCCTCGTGATATCCAAAGTTACAGCCGTCCACTCCAATAAGCATCGGGTCCCAACTAGCGCCTCGCTTGTCGGTGACGTACGCCTGCGAGCGACAGTTCTTCCCATCACAGTCCTTGTGACCGATCCAGATAAGAGAGTCCTGGAACTTCTCGTGGAAAGCCAGCGGGCGGATGCCCTCCTTGTTCGGCAAACTAGGAGCCTCGAAAAAGTGGAAAGAATCCCCATGATTGATAGTGTAGTACACCTTCTTGCTGTCGGTGAGGAAGAAAGCTGCATCACTGAAGTAAGGATGCTGGACCATGCCCGTAAACTTCTCATCCGCGTGGATTTGCTTCCAGTTCCGGCCATGATCGCGCGAGATATACAGCTCAAGTTTGTCCGTGAGCATCATGATAGTCTCATCTACGCCGTTGTTGCTGGCTTGTCGTTCAAGATAGAAGTAGCTAGTCTCCTTGGCAGAGAAGGTCTGTGGCTTTTCTGCACGAGGTTTGCCATCGGTGATTGGAGGGGGCGCCGTGGCATTCGAGCAGGAGCGCTCAACCTGACGGTCGAGTTCCTCGCCACCTTCGCGGATGCATGCGTTACCGGGGATGAGTCGCCATCCCGAGGGGCCCATGTACTTGTCGCTGGGCTCATTGCACTTTCCAGCCGGCGGTGTTAGCGGGAGGGCTGGTAGACACTCCTTGCGGTCCTCGCTGCGAATAAAGTTGTAGTCACATTCAAAGTCTTCAGCGGAACACTTGCAGGGTTTGAACTCAGGGCCGTTGATGGCGAATTCTTTCTTGATAAAGCACTCCGCGTTTGCCTTACGGCGTTGGAAGAACTGTTTATGACCCATCAGACAATCCGGCTCACCCTTTTCATTCAAACGGGCAGTCCACTCTTCAAGGTCCTCAGGGCCACACTTGCGCTCATGAAGGCCATCGAAGTCAATGAAGTACATGAGGGCTTTGGTGTCATCGCTGGAAATGCCAACGAGCAGGAACTTGAGGCTAGTTGAATCCGGGGTCGAGATCAGATAGAGAGGCTTGATCTTCTGCTTGAGATCAATCGACTCCCACTCTTTCCCGTGGTCGATGGAATATTGGACATTGTCCGTCTGACTGCCATCCAAGACCGCCACGACCACACCTCCTTGGTCGCCAAACTCGTACCGGTGTGGGCCCTTGAGAGCGCGCCGCCAGGTAAGACCCGCGTTATCTGAGGCATAGAGATCACCCTTGGAGTAGTCCTCGAGGTGATCTCCAGTGTTACCAACGCCCATGATCAAGCCTGGAGCTGGACTTGAGAACATCCGGTGATCTGGCAGGGGCATCTCGTGCAGCGCGGCGTAGGTAGTCATCGAGTGGATGTGTAGATCGTCTTTATCAACCTTGAGCGGTTGGAAGGTCCTCCCGTCGTCAAAACTGATACTGCTGACAAGCTTCTTCTTAGTCGAGTCCGACTTCCCAGCTTCCTCCCAGTTCTTGACCGTGTTGACAATCGAGATACCCTGGATACCTGCGACTTTTTCAAAATCAACCACGCCATACAGGTCCTCGTTCGTGTGCTCGATATTCTGCGTAAAGTACGTGCCGTTGGAGTTGGATGAGAAAAGTGTACCCATCCGGTTATCATGCCAGGTGGTTTGCACGTCGATCTGGATGCTGTAGTTGGTACTTTCTAAAATAGTATAGGCATCCTCTTCAATGCGGTGCGTGCCAAATTCCGCGCGGTGCCACACATTCGCGTCGTCAGTGACATATAAAGCCTGCTCCTGAGTGCCGCGCGATTGAAGACGCGCCACGATGTACTTGGACACCGAGCGGATCTGGAGACTGATACCGCTCAGCGGTTTTCCATGGTCCAATTTTGCCTCGGTACCCTCCGCATCACCTTTAAAAAAGGTCTCAGAATAGATCAACCGCTCTGTACGAGTATGCTCAAACGGCCCCTTCAACCCGGGAACCACACAGAGGATCCGATCTCCTATCGACTTCGGCAGGTCCATGTCCGACGCGAATTGCGGGCGGCTCGCGGCCCAAATACATTGGAGTGTCATCTCCCGCAAAGGCTGGATATTCTCGAAGTCGTCGATGGTATAATATGCCTGGGGCATACAGCCAATGATGGTGCACTCCAGACCCATAAAGATAACCTTCTTCGGATCCCAGCCATTGAACTCCAATGGTACTGTGCGCATTGATGCAAACGGCATCGCATCCACCTGAAATGGTTTCCACGACTTGGCCTGATCGGTCGTGATCCAGTGCTTGCCCTTCTCGCCGAGGATGTATGCGCGATTGGCGTCATACGGATGTTCCCAGATCAAGTCGACGGTACCTTCTATAGTTCCATCCTTACCCTTGACAATCTCCCATTTCTCACCACCATCAAAGGAGACACGTGCAGTGAGGGAACTTCTGTCATGGTAGAGGATGGTGTTTGTGCCGCGGAAGTAGAACAGGTCGGAGGGCAGATCGTTGAGTTCATGGGTCACGATGTTCGGTTCATTTCCCTTTGCTGCTGCTGGCTGTGAAGTCCATACCAGCAGCAGGCTCAATGTGAGCAACAGCCACCGTGGGATCATGACCGGTGCTGCGTAGGCATCTGATGGGGTATGGGGTAGAGCTTGAGCGGACCGGACCGGGAATTCGGGGTCAATCGATGGAGGGAGGAAATGTAGAGTCGCTACAAAGGAGAGGGTTATTGACGGGTAGCAGCAAATCTACAATCCAGTAGATATGTCGTAAGTTAAGATGGTGATGCTGATGACGGAGCTGCGTGGCCTTCTCTTCAGGCTGCCTTAGAAGCTCCATGTCACGTGTATTTCTTATCGGCCCTATCGGCTGTATTGACTGAACCATGGTTGGTAAACAGGTCTACTGGCAATCCAACCATGGATGAGAGAACATGATCGGGACTAGTCTCCAGGGCTCTATAGATGAAAATCATCTGAAAGGAGGAAAAGTGCAAAGATGTGATCGTGTGAAATCAATCGACATGGAGTATTTGGTAATATATACAGTACTGCTGAATAGATACATGAAAATATCCGGGGAGTCCCGTGTGGAATGCAAACATCGCTCAAAATGCAGGGATTGGGCTCTGGAAAAGACGTTCAGAATGATATAGAAAGGAGTTCGCGTCGAACGAACAGGAAACAACATCTTAGTGTTGCGGAAGGTCAGGAACATTTGAGAAAAAAAAAAAAAAAAAAAAAAGAGAATTAAAAAGCATAGACAAAACGAAGGTCAATCAAAAGTCGGAGATTTAAATCAAACTCGGCGTCGGAGCTTGCGCCACATCTTCCTCACCATACCTTGCTCGTCCATGTTCGAGTCCCAGATCGACTGACTGCGATCCGCAGGGGGAAGAGCAGCTAGTCGCAAGGGATCTTCTCTTTCTTTGGAAGCAGGAGGGGTGGGAGAGTCGGTGCGGAGGTCAGGTCGAGTGAGTGTCATTTTGAGAGTCATTTCACGGTTTCCCGGAAGTCGTTGTGGGACCCCCTTGGTCCCAGGCAGCCAGGATTGGCGCTGCAAAAGGGCCGAAGATTCCACGGAGGGTCGGGGCGCGTCCCGCTGGCTGAGCACGGGAGAAGGGATTGGTTCATTGTCTACCGAACCCCCTGGACTCCCCACCATGGTACCATCATCATCTTCGAAAAAGGTGCCAAAGTCCGAGTTGACCAAGGTTGGCTTCGGTGAGGAGGTCAAGCTGGGCGAGACTAATTGAGGTGAAATGGGTTCTGGGCCGATATTCTCCTTATCTTGATCTAGCGAGGGAAACCCAAATTCAATGGCTTCGTCGAATTTTTGTGGGGATGCCAGGTACACGCGCAATTTCAAACGGGCATCGGGGTCTTGGTAGTATTGCGCACAGGGGTCGATGCTCGAGGTGGATGATTTGGGCACATGTTGAAATCGGCGGGAGGACGGGCGCGAATTGGAGGTTGGGTTGGAGAGAGGAGTGAGAGGCTGGGAGCGGCTGACAGGCGGGAGTCCCCGTGGTGAAATGGGTGTAATCTCTAACGTTTTGCGCAGTTGGTTGGAAAATGATAAGGAGCGACGGAAAGAGGGACGAGATCTCTTTCTGGTAGCAGCATCTGCCACATGAGCATGATATTCATCGAGAGATAAGTCGAGATCGCCATCGTCATCGAGCCACCGGAAACTGTCGTGGAATGTTTGATCCATATTTGGGTCTTCGTCCGACTCGGAGTCTGAATAAAACACGGTCGATGGCTGAACAGGCACAGTTGGCCGGGAGTAGTGACTTGTGGAAGGGCGACAGGTCTCAGACTCTGGACCGGGATCGCGGTTCGAATCTCGACGGTAAGCTTCGTCGGCAGCGTCGTAAATCAGACTTTGTCGATAAGCGTTCCTCAAGCGTCGACGTTCTTCGGGAGAGAAGAGCTTTTGTTGAATCTTGGCGGGAAGAGAATGGAAGTATTGAGAGTCCGCCTGGGCGGCCAGATAGGTCAATTGAAGAGAACCGGGTTTGCGTAATTTTTGGGAATGTTTGAGCCCTCGCTTCCTCGAATTTCGTAGACGTTGCGAGTCTCCCAGACGAGGGGCTCGATAGACCCGATTCTCCGTCTGGTAGTTCGACGTGGAGTAGGTAGAGGAATGATCGCTCTGGGCTAACCGAATGCGCAAACGCTCAACATTCGAGAAGAACTGGTTTGGGGTCAGCTGGGGACATTACACTGGAGTAAACAACATCCCATGCGCTGCCATTTGCCAAGATTGACCAATTCCGACCAATATCGGCCAATGTTGCGAGACAACGAGGGGCGCCACGGACAATAGTGCGGGTAGGCAGCCTCCACCGTGGGTTTCAGGGGTAAATCACAGTCAATCACAGAGCAAGGGTAGACAAAGAAAATGGAAAAATGGAGAAAACGGGCAAATCCGTCTCCATTGGGTTAGGATCCTCTGTGGGACTATTGAAGGGGAACGAGTAGTCCGAGCGTGTGACGGTGAGAGGAAGGGAGGAAATGAGCCCTTACCTTTCTTCGCACTGCTGGAGGCAGTGACTCAAAGTCCTCGGTCATGGTAGAGACAGAGAGGAATGGGAATGGGATAGGATAGAAAGATAGTCTGACGGTATAGGAATCCAGGAATATAGCAAGATGGCAATAGAGTAGTGTAGAAAGGGAGCAGTGTAGAAATATAGAAGTATAGCAGTGAACTCCGTAGCAGTTAAGGATATAGGAATCAAGTCTATAAGTATACAGCAAAACACCCCAAGTAGAATCCACAAAACCAGGGAGCCAAGGAGATCTATATATATGTTCGTATCCTCACTTCAAAGTATCAAACTCTTTGACAGGATGCTGTACATTAGCGCCGTGATGTGATAACTTTCTATTTCTAGATCTCACCTCGATGATTTTTGATATCCCCCTCTCTATGATCTATTAGGAACTTGAATATATCAAACCCTTGATACATACTTCCTCCTTACTACTCACTACTCACTACTTATTGCATACTCTGCTCAGAGGAAACAGAAAATGAATTCATCCCTATGCCAAGTCAGGTACAATATACGCGCCTTGGGCCAGTAAGGAGATCAGCCTCAGCTCCACTCAGATCTTCCAGTCTGAAACACACCCTAGATCGGGGGAAAATTAGAAGTTGGCAACGTTGGAGGTCTTTGTGAACTTGTTTGTCTCCCTGTTCCCTGTTCCTCTCAATATTGGGTGCGGATTACTGCCGGGGGGGGTTAACGGGGAAGACTGGTGAATGTGATGTATCAGGTATTCCACGTCCAATGAGATCGTCCCCTTGGACAAAGAGCGTCAATGTGAGGCCTTGACACTAACCCGATCTTAACTACGGAGTACTCCGCCCGGACAAGATGGTAATTTACTCAACCGGCTGGTTTGATTTGATCATTACACTCAATTTGAACGGAGGGCTGTAGAATTAATTGAGGTAGAGACTGTCCGGAGATTACTAGGAGCCAATGATTTGCTTTTGTTGGATCGGTTGGGTGTACAACGGAGGATGTACAATATTACATGGATGCGTTGTCCGACAGTTATACTTGCATAAGGATCGACAGATTAAGTCAAATCCTCAGAATAATTTTCTATCAGTCCAAATCAATCCTCCTTGCATCGGATCAATGCATAGATTTTCAATTGTAGACAAACGAGGCCTTTATTTTTCCGGACTCGTGGCACGTCGAGACATGCGAACTCGGGACTTGAGGTGTGATCTATCATCTGCAAGTGATATTTTCCGATTTTCCTATTTTCGGCAAACACGTACTTTATGCCGTGTTCACTAGCACGGAGTACTGTGCGGAGTAGATCTTCTGGTGAGCCTCACGGATACGAGCCATTTTATGCAAGTGTCCGTGTCCAGATATAGGGCCCCTGTCAGGGGAATTATCCTATAGAGTACGGAATATGGAATAAGCAACGAGAACCGATAGTCAGCTACGGAGTAGATAGGCAGGCAATACTCCGTATCTATAGAAGACTTGTCAAGAAGACCTGTACATTGTGGTCTAGTGAACGATCTCCACGCTAAAGATGCAAAGTTCCGGTGGATCGAACTTTGAAGAGGAAATCTGACATCGGATGATTTTCCCTCGAATGCATATGCACTCTATCTATGTACAACATACAAGAGTAGTAGGCGTATGCGGCCTTATGGTGTCTTTTAAACAGCCTTCTCACTTATGCCTAGAGACCTTCAGAATCCCCTTCTAGTCTTATAGGTAGGCGGGAAAAGGCGGGAAAAGGCGGAAACAGCATACTTGGTGCAAGAAACTTTTCTATGTATAATTTCTGATTTCTGATCTATAAGATAGTCCCATCCTACACATCTGCATATGTTCAAATCCACCCAGCATCCTTTTCCCCGTCACTTCTCTTTCCAGCCTTGACTTTGGTCAATGTCAACTTTCTTCCCACGCCCCGTCCGAGCACCCCATCAACCGGAATGATATCATCTTCCACGGATGTTCGTCTCGAATTGGAATCCTTCTCAAGACTCAGTAACACCTCAACCGCATCTCGGTCCTCAATGACTTTCGGATGCCGCTGCGCAAAATACCGTGCATACTTGTAGAGCGACCAGTAGCAACTGACCACATTGATGAACGTCAGGGCGATCTTGTAGAAGGTGTAGTAAAACACTAAGACTTTCCAGTCGATACGTTCTTTCTTTAATCGGAGGTGAACCTCGTTGAAGATTATCACGTTGAGGATGTACATCCCGACCGTGACGCCGAGTAACATGCCGCAGAATGAGGGACGGACTACGAATGAGATTGGGAGGATGAATGGAGCGAAGAGATAGATGAGAGTTTCGTAGACCTATGAGGGCTAGGGTTAACATATCCAGTTCTGACCACAACATCAACATCAACATCAACATCAACATCAACATCAACATCAACATCAACATCAACATCAACATCAACATCAACATCAACATCAACATCAACATCAACATCGACATATGCATAATGTTTTATCAAATATCAAAAATGGGAATAGAATGTTTCTCTGTCTTACCTCTTGAAATACGCACAACTTTGCACCAAACTCCCACCAACCCAATTTCCAACTGGTCAAGATGTACTTCAGATCGTAGTATACACCAACCACAAAGAAGAAGTTCCACCGCTTGAATCGCTGTTGGAGGACAGTCATCTCGCCAAACCCGCCACGACTACCCCCGGAACCACTGTAGAACACCGACGCCGGCGTCTCTGTTTCAACAAAAACCTGAGAGCACATAGTGATGCGTCCACCCAGACGCCGACACGCATCGCCGAAAAACCAATCCTCTGACACGGAGAAGCCAGGATGTTCATGGAACGTCTGTTTTAAGAACTCGATATTCCAGAGCGAGATAGCTCCGTGTGGGAATGTAGCACTTCCAAATTTCCCGAAGAAAGCCCGCTGGAGACCGGACATTTTGTACTCGAGGTCCTGGGCTTGTTGGCAAAAGGTCCCCTTGGAGGAATTGGGGCCGACGCTTTTGATTGTGTATCCGAGGCATTTGACTGTGTTTTTGAGTCTGTCACTGACGATTGGGAAATTTGGAGGGAGAAGACAGTCGTCGTCGATGAGGAGGGCGTTCTCAAAGTCTCTGGCCGCATGGCTGCCGACGAACTGCGCCACGATCTTTGAGCCGATGGGTACCCAAAGGTGGTTAATACCGTAGGGCTTGCAGACTTCCTCTGTGTTGTCGAGGGGGGTTTTGGAGTTGCCATTTGCTATAACGAAGATGTTTTCTTTGGGGAAGATCTTCAAGGCGGCTTCGAGGGTTGCGCTGATGATCGCTGCTGATTTGTAACAGGGAATGAGGAGAGCGGTTGATTGTACCTTGGAGGTGTTGCTTTCCAGGTCTGGAGATCTAGTGTCTGATTCAGAGCCCAGGACTGGAGAATCCTTTTCAAACAGAATCATCAGAGGACAGAATGCGTATCTGATTTGATTAGGGCTAGAAACTTGGAGTCTTCAGAAGACACTTACAATGCAGCCATACCAATAATAATCGCGTATCCTCCTTGGATAACGAATTTGGTTCGGACAAAATAATACAACCACCAGACAGCGCCTTTCCAGAGGGGCATACCAACGAGGACGAAGTAGACGAACAGAACGAGGAATGCATAGATGCTGTATTCAAACAATAATCGCACCCAATGCTTCCGTTGAATGGCAACACCTCTCAATTTCGCTTTTTCGTACACTTCTTGTAGACTGCTCTGCTCGCTACTGATTGCCCGAGGGCCGACTTTGCTGAGTCGTTGAGGATTGAGAAATGCATTCTGAACTGGGGTTATCGGTTCTTTCTCGGGGATTGGAGAGGCAGGCTCGAATGTCGCGGGCTTTGCAAAGTAGTCGAATGTACCTGAAGATGGACGAGATTTGATTAGTATATTGGTGTATCTGAGATGCTGGCATCAATTTGGTATAATCTTTCAATTGTATCTCCACAATTCTTCTGCCATAGATATGGGAGATCAATTTCATACCATGAAAAGCCGGAGGATCACTGAGTCCACGAGATCGAATAGCTGACTTTGGTCTTGCCACTGCTCGCAAGGCAGAAAGACTCAGAGGACGAGTGGACGAAGTGCGAGGTTCTGGAAGTGATATACGATCGTTGTCGGGGAGAGATTGTTCCCACCGAGCCAATTCCCATGGCGAGTTGAATTTGGCGGTGGTGAGTAGTTCTTTGGGGATGAAGACATCTTCCACAATGGATTTTCTGGGTGTTTCTTCCGCCATTAAGATTATAGATCCAATTCGCTGTCATACATTAGGGTATAGTAGTCTGAATGAATGGAAGGCAGCCCGATGCTACCAGTGAAAGGGTGAATATCTCGCTACAACAAAAGATTTGAGGGCGTTTCTTTTATTTATTAGAATCCTATTTCAAATCCAGATCTCCTTGGAGTAAAACCTCTTGCCCAAGACTGTGTGGGCCAAGGCTGTCTCCATTTGAGAGACTAGATCTGATGGGGGCATACTAGTATGTACTATACCTATGGACCTGAAATCAGAACTTGGACAGGAAATGAGCATTATGATAGTTGGCAACATCATCGTCATTATTCTAGGCCTAGAGCTCGCTACTGGTAGTCTTGTGGTGTAATAGCATGGCCAGCTTGCCATGGTCTTGTCTACAATTGTACATACTGCAAATCTTCTTATTTTAGCGTGAGAAAGCTATAAATATGGAGATGGATCAGAATATCTCCCACACTGTGGCACACTGTGGGTATGTCAAGTCTCTCTATGCTCTAGGCCTACCATAGATCCGCTGAATCATGGGCTGTCTTTCCATCAGTGCTTCCATAGCGTCTTCTTAACATGACTGCTCAGAGCACCTTCAATTGTCAAATGACCAAACAGACTACCCTATACCCAAGTATCTCTATGATTCCAGCACCCAATTCTTCATCTGCTCGGACAAGTTGCGCAGTGGAGCATCGTCTCAAAGTTTTTCGCCCATGAACCAGCGAGATCCTAGTGATCGTCATTCTTACCTTCCTAGGTGGGTAAGCTAAGGTGAGTCTCTCTCTCTCTGCTTGAGTAATTTGTCTAATCTGATTATAGTGGGGAATTGCACCTGGAGACTAAGCACTCCGTACTGTATATGGTGCTTGGTTGAACAGCTTCACAACCTTGGGATATACATCAGTGCTAAGTCCTATCATCGGTTACAAGATATCAATAAATACAAAGAAGAATACTATAAAATACCTCTGTGATACCTCTGTAATACCTCGATACCTCGATACCTCGATACCTTCCAACCTTGGAAGTTCAAAGTTTCGGGCCGGGCAAAATTGGGTTTTTTCAATTTTCAGCCCCAATTTTCTACAAGTCATGATTTCCATGATTTCAACATTTCCAGGAAGAATCAAAGGTTCTAGCTCCGAGGAGAAGGGCTTGACACACAAATAATGTCTTAGGTATATCGGTTTTATGTAGTCATCTAAATCCAGATTGCCTCGAAAACAGGATAACATGGGAAGCAGGAGATTAGGGATAGATAGTACCATGGTAAGCCTCTGATTGGAATGGAAAATTACACGTGGATCTACCCAGTCGAGGCCATTTCCATCGAGTACAGCTACACCGAGCCAAGGTTGCGAGAGATTGAGTGGATTCCATGTCGAGTCTTCCCATGGGCTTATTCTTTCTGTAGGGAGGATAGATGTGGATAGATGTGGATCTAGAGATCTCTAGGATCAAAGGTAGTTCTACTATGACGTCTGGTAAACAAGTCGTTGAGTCTCTAATGGAATAAACAGGAACCAACGCGAAGTGCTTCATATTCAATTTGAAAATTTCCCAGCCTGGACTCAACCTTCTCAAATGACCTTTTTCAATGATTACAGGGGGCAAAGCGATGGGAGATCGAGAGGGAATACAGACGAAACTACAGAATCAGGGAGATAATAAGTAAAAAAGTGGACAGTAAAACACAATAAAAACAAGTAATTCAAGGACTCCAAGCCTGACTCGCCCCCCCCAGGACAGAGTCATGGCCACTAGAAACACACCCAAATGGCAATTGTCTTGTCTAAACTAACTGAGAGTTGTGTTCACCTTCCCCACGAGAGCGTTCTGTGGCCGTCTTACTCGTCTACCGGGTCCCATTTGGATGGCTACTCCGGGATAACGCCCTCGAGAGAAAGCCTTGCTTCCCTGGTCCTGAATTCCAGGCCCTCAATTCTCATCAAGTTCTGGGTAAGAAGCTGCTGCGGTCCTGACAGTGAATTTTGCCATCCAGTTACACTCGAACGCTCTTGTAGTGGAGAGATCTGGGGCAATCGAGCACACAAGTCACACAAGTCCAAGTCTCCGCAATCGTCGGAGCGGGTAACGCTGATAGTGGAGGATTCACGGCTTTCAACGTCGCAGATGGGGCACCCACACACATGCAATGGCGCAGCTGGAAGAGGGTATCGCTAGCAGTGGCCCAAGCAGATGAGGGGAAGTACGCTCCTTGGAACGGCGTAGGAGCCAGGAAGGCATGAATCTGAGTCATCTGGGATTTGGGTTCCAGTTGATTTCCTTGGAAATAGTTGGTATGAGCCCTCTGAGCATTCATGGTAGGTAATTCTGGGCCCACTCGTCCATGAGCCGCGAGTGAGGCCTTACCACCCTTTGATATGGCTCATCACTCCCGTTCCAGTAGCCAGGCAGATGAACGACGTCTGCATATGACAAATTGTACCGAAAATGTTGAAAAGATGAGCTGCCTCCTTTTCTTCTCGCCTGAAAAACTCTACAGGCAACCAACCCGTAAATCAACAGGCGTGCATCGGAAGTTCAGAACCTACAAATGTTAGTCTTGTCAAGACTCGAGAATCTCGGCTCGGAATACTCACAGCTCAGCATGTTTGCGGGATCGAATTGCAACAAGCAGTTGTGACGGGCTAGATTGCACTAGGGCCCACGCAGGAGGAACAGACCGATAGTGCTCAAATACTCCGTCGATTGTTGTGATCAATAAAATCAGAGTCGTCATCTGGTAGAGGCAGGTTCCAAGGCAGAATGGGGGACCTTGTCTTCCCCATGCCCCAGAATCAGGAAGATCGTCCCACTCAGTGTCATGTCATCAGCCTGCGTTGAGACTGGATTCAGTGAGCCATGATGCTGGCGTGGCACCAAAGAGAGAGGCAGAATGGAGGACCTTGTCTACCCCATGCCCCAGAATCAGGAAGATCGTCCCACTCAGTGTCATGTCATCAGCCTGCGTTGAGACTGGATTCAGTGAGCCATGATGCTGGCGTGGCACCAAAGAGAGAGGCATCATCAACCCGAGAACACCTTTGCTGTGTCACTGGTCAGCGGGTTCATACAATACAGTCATAGGGGAGGGACGCACACAGCACTGAGGCACCATGTGGTGGTTCATGTATACCAAATATAATGGTAACAAGTGACCAGCATATTTCGACTTGCCTGTACGGTTCGAGGCAAGTCTAACAAGGGTGTTTCAATGATGAATTGACCCAGCCATGGGCTCTGTTCACGCTGCTAGGCGATGTTTCGGCCCAGGTTTGGATAAGGTTGTCGTGTAAGGCTCGTTCGGTCAAAACCCTACCCATGGGATTCAGTGGCCCACAGTTGTAGGCGAGTCATTGAAGCCCAATGGATGAGGCTAAATGGGATATGTTGCGACGGGTTCCGAACACATGTATTGCCTTTGTTCGCTCCTCGCCCAAAGGTTATAAGTATAAATAAAGAGAATGAATCAAGATCGAAGGCTTAAATGGCTCCGTCTTCTGACTCCCAGAGGCCCGGAATGCAGAGAAGAATCTCGGAGTATATCAGAAGGATGGTGGATGGTGATGATCGGGATCTTGTACTACTCCCAGGATGTGATGCCTCGCAGATATCATGCCGATATGAGTATTAGGGAACTCAAAACGGAAAATCCTCGATGTTGGCACTCTTCGAAAACGGTCGGCAAGGAAACTCCCCATGAATCTAGATGGTGAATGCCATGCCTTCTTACCCGATGCGACGTCGTCTGAAGACTTAGCCCTAATTGAGCAAGGGCATCAGGCTCATTTTGCCTCCTTCTATCAGGCAAGAACAGTCAGCAACGGATGATCGCAAAGGAGCCAGGAACAAATCAAGATGGTACATACTCTGAAGATGTTTAGGGCCTATCTTTGCCACTCCTTGTTCCCTTGTAGTCTTTCTGACCAGCCATTGTAGGTATATAGTCGGGTCATATCCATCTTGGACGTCTTGCTTTGCATTTCTCTTGGCCACTTCTATGACCCCCATGCTGGCCTTTTGCCTCTTTCCCATTCTTTCTGCCCTGCATAGAGAAGAAGTGTTAGCTATGACCACTCGGAAAAAGACTGGGACAAATCAAGGGTGTGCGTACTTTGGCAAAGGTTGGACATGGTCCTCGACCAACAAGGTGTTCAACCTTGTCAAGATTGTCCAGCCCATCCAGCTTGCCCAGCTCTGCTGATGTGAATAATTGCTGGTTAATTAAATGCATAACTTGCATCATGATATACCTAACCAGCAACCGGATCTTGTGTTCCGGGCTGGTTGATATCGGCATGTCATGCCAACACCCGGATTTTTACGTGACTGGGAGGGAACAGGAGAGCTGTCGCTCTGCTGGGCCTGGTTCAGTTTGCTGGGCTGTTGTATAACTCGAAAACCATGCAGTTAGCCAGCAGTGGAGTAGGTTGAACCATCCGCCGACACCCGCTAGCAACAGGGTTGTAATGTCAACACCCGGGATGTCAAGACCGGGGTTCTGCGCAATGGAATGTTATATAACTGGCATCGACGGAGATTTTACAGGAGAAGAAACGGAGAAGAGAAAAATACGAATTTATGGCTTCCGTGGGAGTGGGAGGGGGTTGGATTCTTCCGGAATTCTACATAGGCCCTTCCGGAAGGCGCTGCAGCGCGCGACTAAGCCTGTCGCATCGGTGCCTAGACAATGTCTACATGACCCATAGAAAGATCTGGTAAGAGGAATCATACAGCAGTAAAGAAGATACATAATATAGACGAAGTACGGAGTACAGATGCATGCATTATCATGACGCCGGTCTATACCCCCCTAGTAGAAACAACTCCCACCAAACCAAAAACAGGGTATAAACATCCCAGAACAAGGCCATTCCCTCACAGTGCATTAAGAACCTGCTGCATAGCAAATGTATTGGAGTCCTCACGGCGCGAGACATAAGCCCGCACCTCCTGAACACTCAACTTACCCTCCTGGGTAACATTGCGTCCCGAGGCCCCGGGTCCGCTGGCCGTGGCAGCACCACCACGGATTCGTTCACGGAGAGCCTCAGACCCAATCACAAATAAGCTGCCAACTTCCAGTAGCACGTCCAGCGCGCCACCGGGACCTTTAGTCTCTTCGTCAATGTCCCAGGATTTAAAGAGATCTGCATATTGCGTCATGTCTTTGGTGACCATTAGTCCACCAGGTCCACTCACAGAGAACCGTTTGAAGTGTTCAAGAAGAAGGCTGCGCACTCCAAGGGCTATCTCGGTCAGCACTTGACGCACATTGGCACCGCTGGATGGGAGGGAGCTGCGCGCAATGTTGTGGACGCGGCTTAGGAACGAGGTAATTGACGCGCAGGTCTATTAGGGTTAGTAGGGGTCTAAGATGAGTATTGGATGGAACATACTGGAGTCTGTAGCATCTCTAACCATGCGGTGTTATCACTTTCCCTTGGCCGGAAGTCATTCTTCTTCTGGTTGGATAGCAATCTGCTAACCCAGGCAAATGTGGTGTCGATAGTTTTCTGCTCGATACTGTTGATTTTGTCCTCGATGCGTGAGGTGGTTTGGCTAGTGCGCTTCTCCATATCCCGGCGGGTGGTGATGCTCGCAGCTGATAGAGGGAGAAGGACCGCATGGATGCACATCACCATCAATGTGGTAATACTGATCGTGGTGCGAGCCGAGAAGAGGTAGGAGAAGTCGGGTTCGGCCTTGGCGGATTCTTGCGACGTAGCCGCTTCCAGAGCGGCGTCTAGACAAACATCCACATATCCCTCTCCCATCGCGAGGAGAAGCAGGTTGAGCAAGGCGGAGACATCTTTGGGTGTGTCGCTGTTGACACTGAGCTCCAGTCCCCGGCCCACGGCTTCGGCCAACCACTTCAGCATCCGCTTAGCGTCGCTGAGATTGGGTTGTCCATCTTCTTCTGTGAGCTTGATTTCGGTCAATCGAGTTGTCTCCAGCGTATCGCCTATCTTGGCTACGCTGAGCAGAACTTTTCGCTGGATAGGTGAGACCTCTGGTGAGTCCAACCGGCTAATAAATGCATCGCGTGTAGTCGAAAGAAGCTCTGATCCAGCCCGGGATAACGAGGCCATGAAAGTTGTTGCCGCCTTCTTTCGGCGGGCATGGTAGGATGTAAATCTGAACAGGACCGCATTGAAGAGTTCTTCTAACGTCCGCTTCTCGCGTTCGATGTAAGACGACCCAACGAAATAAGGAACAAAAAGCTCCTCTAGCTGCTGATCTAGCAACACAGCTGTCTGCGAAGACACAGGCTCCGGATGCTCGGTCAAGCCATGCGACTTCAGATCTTCGATCAAGGCACTGATATAGCCACGGGAGCTTTGCAGACAACGGAGGAATGCGAGTGAAGACACACCAGCCGCTTTCTCCAGCACCATTTCCAGTCGCTGCTGGATAGATTGCTGGAAGACTCGTTGTAAAAACTTGCCTAAGACCTGCTCGTAGTATGGAAAGGCCCGCCGAATAATAGCAGACTCCTCCTGAACCACAACCTTTACTTCATCGATCAACGACTGGAGGCTAGATTCAACGCCAGGAAGCTCCGCGTCCGGATCAGCCAATTTCTCCCACGACTCCGGATCACCGCCGACTTCCTCGGTCACCAGCTGGCTGCGTTCAATAAAGAACTGATGCTGGTTGACGAACAATGCAATGACACTGGCACCGCCATTGAAATCCTGCAACACAGTGGCGCAATCCTTCATGCCGTCAAAGTTAGCCTTGCGATAGAATTCATCAAACTGCTTCAGCAAATCCTTCTCCAGTGTCTCAGAGAACTTCTCAATAATCTCCCGCGTATTCCGCCGCGGGGTGCTGCTCTCGCTGATATCCTCAGACGAAGAGCTATTTCCGAACCCACCATTCGCACCATTCGAGTGAGCGCGATGTTCCTGCCAACTCTGCGGGTCCAGCCGTTGACTAATGCGCAATAGTTGGCGCGCGATGTGAGCGGAGCGCACCTTGGCCTCTCCCGTGCCAGATCGCCGCAGCCCCTCTAATAGTGAGAGCTCGCCTCGGTTACACACGCCATCCCAACATTGAATGAGGAAATGGGCGTCCAGGGCTCGTCGGCGCTGGCGGTCTAGCTCCTCCAAGCGCTTTCCTGTCTCGACTGCCATGTTCCCTGTCCCTGCTGGATTCTCGCGGCCGGGCACATTTAGAGACGTGTCAAGCTGTTGAAAGTTTTCGATGGTGTGGCGGAGCTTCTGACCGAGGGTGGTGAGGTTCTGGCCATGCTGCGCTTCTGCGCGTCGGACCGCTGCTGAAAGTTCATTCTCCCGGAGCTCAAGGTCTCCAGAGAGCTCGCTCAAGCGACGTTGGGCGCTTTCGAAGGTACGGATGAGGGGTTTGGGATCGAAGGGTTGGTTGGCAGCGGCAGTACCGGCTAACGAGCGACGATTGGAGATCGCCGTATCGGAAAGAGCTTCAATGAACTCCTTGACAATGAAGTCCCGGCTGGAGAAGTCCTCGAGGGTGAAACTGGGGCCTTGAGGGAACACGGTGCGGGCAGAGCTGGTTATTATGGATGCATTGTCCATCATGATAGCGGGACAAACATTGGCTGTCTGTAGAGCTAGACAATTCTCTCTCTCTCTTTCTCTGCCTTGGACTGGAAGTAATTGAAAGAGGAATCCGGGGAAAGCTGCGGGAGATGAATGGGTTGGCTCGGGGAGGACTACTGCCACGCACATATTTCTATTCTATAGACATTCTACAATCCATATCAACTGTATATGATTCTGTTCTAATGTACAAATTAATACAATTCATCGGATGTCTCTTTATAAATTTGCTTGAATATTGTGATGTAATCTCTATGTATTACATCAAATATACTGTTCTTTTCATATGAAAAGCCAAGGACCTCCCTAGGCAGCACAAGATATTTGGCCAAAGCCGAAACCAGAACATCCCAACTCCACTTCCCTCACACCATCACCCACAATGGTCTCCCAACGAGACCGTCAGATCCTACGCGGTGATCTACGTGGCCGCGGTACAAATCTCAGCGTAGCAGAACGCGAAGCCCTGCTCCAGAGCTATCTCCCCGACCCCGCCGAGCTAGGTCAGAAACCAACATCCCAGCCGACTGTCAGCGAGCGCAAAACACCGCGGAAAACCCCCATCCGTACATTTCTCAAGTCGCAAACCCATTACCTCACCTATGCCTTGACACATATCATCTTCGGTATCATCGTGCGTCTCCTGCAGGCGTACCATGCCGTCGTCGATCGCATTTTTGCAATTGTCTATCACCACCACCGCACCCCGGAGCTGATCCGGAAAGATGTGAAGAATCTCAAGCGCTTGCCGCAGCATCTGAGTACAATTCTCACGTTGCGGAAGGAAGATGATTCTCTCGCAGTGTTAATGGATGAGGTTGCTGAATTGGCTGCCTGGAGTTCATGCTCGGGAATTCCCCAGCTCAGTATATACGAGAAGTCTGGTATGGAATGATCTTTCTAGTATTCACTACCGAGGACATAACACCATGCTAACACTTTACCTAGGCGTCCTGAAATCTTGCATCCCAGCCCTCCACCAAATAATCACCACCAAACTCGCCTCCTACTATGGCACCCCCAGTCACCAACCAAACCTCCAACTATACGCCCCTCACCACCCAGTCCACCGCAGCGCACCCATCACAACAAACCCCACCCTGACCATTCTTCTCCTCTCCTCAACGGACGGCCGTGAGACCCTCGTCGACCTCACCAAGACCCTGGCGGAGATGAGCCAGAACGGCAAGCTCTCACCAGAAGATATCACGCCGGAACTGGTTGACGCAGAGATCAGCGAGATCACTACGCAACCACTCGCTATGGATCCTTCGCTACCGGATACGGTCCTCAAACCTGAGCCGGATCTGTTGCTTGTTTTTGGTCCGTTCCTAAAGCTCGATGGATATCCACCGTGGCAGCTGAGGTTGACGGAGATGTATTGTACTGGGGGACGCAGTCATGGAATTAGTGGTGATGGGGAGGCGGTGGAGTATCAGGGGTATATGCGTGGTCTTTGGCACTTTGCTGGGGCGCAGATGAGGTTTGGTAGGTAAGGTAGCTGGAGGATTGATGTTGATGCTGATGTTGATATCAAACTTGACGTCGATTTCGATATGGAGATGCTGTTGGTGTGGATGATGACAGGTTTTCAATACTGGCTATACCCTTATCATGTTCCTGTTCTGTTCTATAGTCTTCATTTTTAGCATAGCAATGCATTTGATGTTCAATGTTTCTATCCAGGCCTACAGTGTTACCTAGACTCTGGACAACCTAACAAAGAGCAAAATTCAAAAAAGAGTCAGAAATATCTATGTACGTATATCAATAAAATAGGTCCGTCTTATAGTGTATAACTGCAATATATAAGTCCACGACGTCTAAAAATAGAGTAAACAGGGAAGACGGTCTCGAGGGTGGCTATAAAGATCTGTCATAGCCATTTTCAAAGCAGGGTATGAAGTGAGCGCGAAACGAGCGCGCAAGCTCAGATGAGCCGAAGCTCTTCTTGCCACCGGCAAGATAGAGGCTGCCTTTTGGACCCTTTTTTCAGGCCTTTTTGTTGCTTCAGATAGGAAGATCGCTGAGGGTTTACCCGCTCGATGTCCTGTCTGGACATTAAAGCATTGAGGTTTTTTGACTTATGGACTATATTCCTTTCCAACGTCTCTATTCTTGTTCTTACTTTGATTTGGTTTGATCTGGTCTTTACCTTGGGATGTGGAAGGAAAGACTAATCTGCAAAGAGGTCGAAGTATACAAGGAAGCTTTTGATATCATTATGCTATATGCTAAAAACCAACACACGTTGAAGAGAATAGAAAAGAAAAAAAAAATAACTCGCCATGCATATCCAAGATAAATGCCATCAAAAGAATACCCGCCTCAATCCAAGCCAGTCCTCCCAAGTCCAGTCCCAATATCAAACTCCGAAAAAAAGAGCCACTCCACAGCAAGGAGTAGCAGAAACAACCTTGAGGTCGTAATGAAGTTGTACCATAGTTTCATGTCTCATTTGTCATGTCAACCCCCAATCTCCCACAGAGGCGGGTACATCAATTCCCATGTATAATCTTCACTCGGTCATATCCTCATGCCGCATACCATCCAAAGCCCAATTAGATGGAACAGTCGTTGTAGCCCATGAGCCCGCACCACGCACGCAGTCAAGACAACGCACAATCTCCGCCCCGGTCTCGGTGACTTCCTCTACAGCACAGCCAGAGCAAATTTTCCTCCTCGGCGCCTCGCTGGTATCGTAGTTGGCGTCGTCCGTTGGGCTCGCGCGCATATGCATGCCTGGATTTTCTGGAAGACCGAGTGTCCCACCGCAGGATGCGCTATCGCATTGCCGGAGACAGATGAAGCATGCCCGTTCGTGGCAGAGATCGCAGTCTGCGTAGGCGTCCAGGACTTGACGGGTCGTTGGGCGCCGGTGACATATGTGACACGGGCGGAGAGCGGAAGGGGATGCCGATTGTTGAGTTGGGTAGTGCAGGGGCACGAGGGTTTTGGGTGAGACCGGAGGTGAGTATAGGTCTTGGTTTGGGGGGCCGTAGACGTTCGGGGAGAGGTGGGTTGGAGAGTGTTGGTGTTGAATCTGATGCTGGTGCTGGGATGGGAGTGTAATATAAGGGCCTTGGATGTGTCGGCGCTTGCGGGGAGGCAGCGTGGTCGGAAAGAGATGTCTGTGCCGTCTGGGTGTCGTGATAGAGGCAGTGAGCAGCTACCGTCGTACTCGGGCCGATCGACTCGACGAGATGGGACATAGGTTGTTCTGATTGATCATGTTAGTCTATCTGACGCCTCACGCCTCACGGAGACAAACACTGTCAAACTTACGGACATGCTAGAGTCCTTGGCTCCTCATGATCCCGCTTGCGTTTCTTCCATGTCGTTATCGAGTCGATTTGCTCTGGCGGAAAGCCTGGCATTGATGGTATGCTGTATTTCAAGGCCAATTTAACGATTATAGATGGCCTAAAAGCGTATAGAAACCTCCAAGTAAATCTTCGAGTGAAGTGAAGCTGACAAGTAAACCAAACAAACGTTGGAAAGCCCAGCCGGGCGGTGTGCGATAGGAGATTGTTATCGCGTATCGTGGCGTTTTGGATTACTACACTGGAGCATTCATTGATCGAGTACAAGCTGAGATTGATTTTTCTTTTTTTATAATATGTACAAAGAGAGCAGCTAGAAAGAGTCACAGCCATACCAAGAACCCTCTATTTGTTTTCTCGAGTCGGAGATACAATACCATCCAGACGAGCCTGGATGGTTTTCTCATCAAAACGCCCACCGTCACCCACATAATTGCGTAGAACCTCATAGGTCATAAGCCGCCGAGGTGCTTTGCGACCTGTCATCAACTCGAACTGAGCAATGCCCTGTTCCGTTACGTTCTCCAATCCGTCAGACAAGACCCAAGGCTGTCCAGTCTCGCTCCGGACTCGGCGCATTTGGCGTAGGAGGGGTGTATCGAGGGGTTTATAGGCCAACTATATTCAATCAGTACGTGTGACAAAAGAAGTACACATATTCCAGGAAGGGAAAAGCTCACCTCGAGTACCACACCCCCCCGTAGGACTCCCAAGCCACTGCTCCGGCATCTCAAAGTTCGCCGGTGGTTCATCTCGGTCTGGATCAGCCGGCACACAAGAGGCAACGAGACTAGGCTGAGCAGCGTCTGCGGGCCAGTCTTGCTGGAGCGATTGCAGGACACAAACTACCTCGACCGAGCCCACCTGCGACGAGGCCCAGGAATTGAAATGGCGCGCGACTTCCTCGGCACGCGACTGCGTGCGGTTGTAGATGAAGATCTTCCGACACCCAAGTCGGAGCATGGCGTAGATGGCGGCCCGCGCCATACCGCCTGCACCAATGACTAGACCTGTTGTTTTTGCGCTAATCGCATTGCGCGGCGAGAGATGTCGCCTGATACATGTCATTATCCCGACCCAGTCGGTGTTCTCGCCATACCAGCCCAGCACCCGTCCAGCTTGGTTACGTCGGCTGGCCTGTTCTTGAAGTGGGAAAATCGTTCCATCTGCGTGCCCACGGAGCGGCATGATTGTATTGATTGCTCCGATGGCTTCTGCGTGTCGGCTTTTCGAAGCAAGCTTTTGGTATACCTGTACACGCCATGGCTGCACGACGCTGGACCCCCCGAAATGCGGATCTCGGCCCAGTCGGTCTAAGACTGCGAGAGAGGGCGAGTCTGGGATACTATAGGTGTGGCCCATGCCGCAGTGTGCGTGTGCGGCATTATGCATGGCCGGAGATAGACTGTAGGCGACGTTCTCCCCGTAGATGTAGAACTTGAGCGGATCGAGCACATAACTTTGGAAAAGTGCGCGAACAGCGTCGCGAGAGGTTATTTGCGGGTCGGACTTATTCTCTGCAGACTGGGTGATCGCCGGATGTGTTACTGCAGTGAGAATCGAGTTGAACACTTGCGAGGTGCGGCCCAGCGCGCCTATGTTATAGGCAATGAGTGGGGGATGATCCCCCGGGAGGGACTTGATTTTATTGCAAAACTCAATCACAGCCGCATTGTCCTCGCGCTTTGTGGCGACTCGGAGGAGGCGGACGAGCTGACAGCCGAGCTTTTCAGCTTCATCGTAGATGGCAAAGCAGCCCGCACTGTCCCATGTGATGGGACAAGACGGTTCAAAGACCCGCTGGCCGATGATCTTGGTATTCCCACGACCTCTGATGATCCCAGCCAGCCGGGATCGATCTTGATTCAGGTCCAAAACAAGGTATTCCACACCAAGACGTAGACCGTGCCCGATAATATCAAAGTAAGGTGAAGAAGAAGAAGAAGAAGAAGAAGAAGTGGTCGGTTCGAGGGAGCCGATGCCGGTGGAGGAAGTGTCAATGGAGAAAATTACAGGCGTCCGCGCATTTCGACGCAGGACAGAGACCTGTTTGCTGACAGTGGCCGCCATGTCTGGGCCCCAGCGATCGACACACAACTCGATGGCATCTCCACCAAACTCCAGCTCAGTCAGGTTAACATTGTCAGCGATCAAATCTGAAGATCGCACAAAGATCGCATGCGTAAAGGAGCGCAGTTCTGGCGGCGTTTCCAGCAGAACGAATGGCGAGTCATAGCTCGAATAATTCACATCCAGTCCGGTGATGAACTGCACAAACCGTGTAAAATCCTCCTTTACCTCTTGTAGCTTGAAAGAATAATCCGCCGACCGGCGATCCGGGCTCCCATCGTCCGATGCACGCGTCCGATCTTCAAGATTATAGAATTCGAAATTTGAACACATCCGATGCATCGGGTCGCCCTCCCGGAATAATCGCACCGCCTGGTCCTCCAACCCGAGCAATTGTTGAATACAATCGATGTCGCGCAGCAGATGAACCACCGGGTTAGACCGGGCATAGCGACGCAGATGATCCTGCACCGGTCGCGTCAAACTAGCCAGTCCACATTCCATAACGCAGCCCGTGCGATGGTTATCTAGCATCGACTTCAGGACTTCGATGTCCCGGCGCTGGAACTCTTGACTGCCATACCGCTTGAGATATTCTTGTCGTGTGATGCCCGTGACTTCCCGGAAATAGTGGTCTTCGGTAATAAAGCGTCGCTTCAGCGCGGTCGCGGCGACGAAGCCTAGCGAGCGCTTGCCGCATCCACGGATACCGATCAAGACGAGGGATGCATTGGGAGCAAAGCTGCGACGGGTGGTCTCGAGGCGAAGCGAGGGAGAGGAGGATTCCTTACATGCGGAAATGTCCGGTTTGCCGTCAACCGTGAGAATGGAGGGTTGAGGGTCGAACATGGTGAGAGGGATCAATTGGGGTCTAGGTCGAGTAAACGAGCGCCATGATCAGATATGCACAGGCATGTAATTGCATCCAGAGATCGAATGCAGGAATCTGGGATATCGGTCATATGTACAGGACACGTCTGGAATCTCGATCTATATCGACAGAGAATATGCTCAAAACTTCCGGATGATACAGATTGGGAATTGCCGATCAGAGCGGCAAAAGGCTTTTCCACCGACACATGTGATTAGAGTCACCGGACACAGTTCTATATATCCCAGCATCTATATACAACGTATACTATAGAACCCTTACCATTCCCGGAGCTTGATAAATATATATAACCTTGGGGATCTTCACGCCTTCAGATATCAGACCCGATCATGGAGAACTTTCCCAGATTCAAGCGAAGAGCTAAAGTGCCATTCTAGCGCATTGATGACCTTACTGTTTACATGAGAGAGCTTTTCGGTGTATGGTGTATTGACAGTTCTCCCTATGAGCCCATTTCTTTTCTGGATTTTCTCTTACTACCATGCTTGCTTTCTTTGGCCTGACAAGTCCCGAGATGGGAGTGAACCACCAAAATGGAGCCAGCAAGGAGAATATATCACAACGGCAAGATCAGTCAAGCTTAAAGTATTCTCCGCTCCCGATTTGTCTCAGCAGCGAGATGATGTAGGCTATAGCTGATTTGCATGGATTCTTAAGATCAAGTTGTAGGTGAATGAGAAAGGTTTGTTGCATCTGAGACGGACAGACGGTGAATGCTTTATACAGGCGGAATCTCCAAGCCATCAGCTTGGCCAAAGATCACCTTAGGAACGGTGCGTTGGAATTATTCATGGAAGATTTGTGCGGGAGTGATAAATATATATCGCTTGTGTTAACCAGTCGAAGCGAATTCTCGATGATAAGTTTCTAAATTTATGAAGCACAGCCACTTTTCGAGGGTACATCACAGAGCTCTATTGAAGCTGGCCTAATTGATGTAGTTCGGCGTGTGACTCACCAACATCATTTATAACCCCAAAGGAAAATTGCTAAGAGCCTTCAAGTAAAGAGTCGTAGAGTCGAGTCTAGGACGGGGATATCCATGGAGAAGATCCCCCATTTCGAGTTCAGATCCCTGAATACATCGTATGCACCCAGTCTAAGCCTTTTATATCAGCATCCCGCACTATCCTCTTTTGTTCAAGTGGGACATACTATGTATAGATCTGACATCTCACTGGATCAAAAAACACTGTGAAGCAATTAGTGTCTTTAGTTCCTTGGCATCAGCACTTAGCCAGAACCGGGAGCCCATGCTGACATATATTTCCCCTGCCATGGATGCCAAAATTATCCATGACTCGTCCCCAGAGCATCTCGCTATGGGGTCTGAGAATGGCTCAAACCGGGCCCTCAAGCGTCAAAAGTCATTCTGGGGCAGTCTCAGATCTTATGACGGAATCCAAGTCTGCGCAACCGTAGCTTCCATTGTGTTGGGGCTAAACGTCATCCTAGCGATAGTTGCGTTTAGCATTGGCTATTCGAAGTCGAGCGAGAGCGGCTTTTTAACTGTTCCACTGTATGTGGGTAGTTGCTCGAAAACAAGGAATTGGTCAATCGGACTGCACTTGTTGATCAATGGACTAGGTACACTCATTCTGTCCACGAGCAATTACTGTGCGCAGTTTTTAGCTGCACCCACGAGAACGGATATCGATAAAGCACATGCGCGTGGATCCTGGCTTGATATTGGAGTCCCTAGTCTCCGAAATATCTTCAGGTTAGGAACCACAAAACAAATCCTTTGGGCTATTTTAATGGTTTCTACGATTCCCATTCATGTCTTGTTCGTTACCGCTTCCCACGAAACAAAAATCGTACTTCTAACCTGTCATCTGCTTGCAGCTATAACGCCGTACTTCTCACTTCTCAGAGCTCAAATGAATACAGTGTCCTTGTCGTGCCATCAGATTACACTGGCAGTCGGCCGCTGAGTCTTCCTCATTCCTCCGAGTGCTTTCAATCCCGTGTGCATCAATCACTAGCCGACTTCAACTTGGATATTGCAAATGGCAGGTTTGATGTCCTGTCAAAAGAACAATGTCTAAAGACATTCGCTGTGAGCTACCCCCATGGCCACAGGTCCCTGCTTGTCTTGTCAAAAAATCTGACCTGGGACCTGCAAGACCCTGTCAAATTTGCGGGGAATGCAAACTCCCCAACGGACTATCAATCAATCGAGTCACGGAGCCCAGCTTCTTGGATGTGTCCCTCCCGTAACAAATCTGTGTGCACTTCATCGACAATTCAGAAGCAATTGCCTGAGTGGAAGATCTTGGCATCCGTTTTGGAGGAACCAACATGGACCATCACTGCACCTTTGGACAATGGATCAATGACATATACTCAAGAAAACTACACTAGTTGTGGCCGCGAGACCTCGTCTTGTTGGAACATGTTTTCTCTAGCTCAATTCCTCTGGGGAACCACACTCGCCCCGACGGGTGGAATCCTACCTGTCACAAAGCCTGACCTTCAACAATACCTTGGATCAACTTCTGTGTGGGGAGGCAACATTACTTGGGCAGAAGGAGTCGTCTATCGGCAGTCTGGTTCACAATGCTCCACATACGATGTCTTGAACACGCCCAATACTATTGGTTACTTTGATTATCCCTCAATTGGACTTTACACTGTTGATGGATGTGTAAGTATCAAAGGCGAGGAGAAATGTCAACTACTTTTCAACCCGACATTTTCCCTTGTGGTGCTTATGTGTACTGCAGTCAAAGTTGCTTGTATCGTGTTTGTGGCTCGCCGAGAACGAACGGACCGGCTTTTGACCGTTGGTGATGCGATTTCATCCTTCCTCTCAAAGCGAGATCCGTTTACCACTGGATGTTGCACATCATCAAAATCTGATTGGATCAGACGTTCCCGGTTTGATGGAGCAGCTCAACATAGGTATGAGGGGGTTGCTCAACAGAGGTTAGACACTGGTACACGACGATGGTGGCAAGCTGCTGGTATCAGGCAATGGGCTCTTACGCTCGGTCTGTATGTCATACACTGCTCGAACTAAACTGGACTATACTAACGCGTGAATGACAGATCCTTACCTTGTCTTGGTGTGGCAGGGTTTCTACTCCATAGCGGTTTGCAAGACACTAGACTAGATTCCGTCGGCGGGACGAATTGGTCTACTCTTTGGAACCTTGGACTAGGCTCTGCTAGTCCTTACACATTGATATATCGCTTGCATACTACCCTACTCGGCAATGTTCTTCTGGCCAATACCCCGCAACTTCTTCTTTCCGTCTCATACTACTTCTACAATGCTACCTTGACTGCAATGTTCATGGCACATGAATATGAGAGTTATGCAATTGGGGGAATGCGCCACGACTCCACAGTTGATACAATACAGATGTCGCCGGCCAAGGGACTTCGCGTGTCGAGTAATAGAAAGGGTGCTCAACGCTCATTCTATTTCCTCAGTCTCCCATTCCGATATAGTGTTCCACTCATGCTAACATACACTGCGTTGCATTGGCTTCTGTCTCAGACCATCTTCTATGTCCAAATCTATATGTATGATGCAGACATGTATCACGATCCAAGCCTTGACGTCGATGCGTGCGCGTGGTCACCAATTGCTCTCATATTCACCATCATCGTTGGGTCTTTAATGATCATGGCTCTTTTGGGACTTGCAATGAGACCTTTTCGCTCGGTTATACCACTTGCTGGGAGTTGCAGTGCTGCGATCAGCGCTGCTTGTCACCCACCGGAAGATGATGTGGATGCGGCACTGAAACCCATCATGTGGGGGGAGATTCATTCTCACTCCCCCTCTACGGACTCTTTTACACCCATTATAGTGGTTGGAAAAGCTCATGACGAGACGGATATGATTGAGATGCAAGGCAAAAGGAAAGTTATGCAGGGCCTTCCACGCTGCACCTTTACATCGATGCGTGTGGAGCGACCTACCCTTTTTCAAACTTACGAGTGAACATGGCCATATATGGGGTCTTATATATATTCTCAAGTTGCGACATACTTAAGCGTCAGATAGATTTTACATCGGCTTGGGATACTCAATCCAACTGCTGTACTCCGTACTATATATCAAGTCCTAATTAGGTCAAGCGTCGGCTGGAGTCGGGTGTCGGATATGATTTGGTGCCTTGGTGCCTTGGTGCTTCAGTCGTCATTTACTCTGAACTCGTATCAAACCTTGGAAGATATATCAAGATTCCTAATTAATTCTTATACAATTCCTATAAAATATTTCAATATGCAGATCTAATGTACTTTATCAAGTCAACGGATCTCGAACCATATGTTGTATACAACGTATAGGATTGTCGGGACACTCCGATCGTTCCGAGTTCATGTCCCGAACTTCACCTCCGAGATCCTCCCTCGGCCTGCCTATCTGTGACTTTGGCCGCGGAGGCTGATCTACACTTATTGCTCCTCCACTTTTCTCTTTGCGGGTAGTCCTACGCTTTTTCGTTCCCGTTCCGAGTCTCGGCCTGTCTGTTATACGGCCCGCGCCACTCTGACTTTCAACCGGTGCGATTCAGTGAACTCCAAATTTCGAGAGAGCTGCCGGTCCCCTTGTTTTCTCTGCATGGCATGTGGCTTGCGCTCATAGCCCCTCTACATGGATGAGGGATCGGATAAGGCCCCTCGCCGCAAGAGGGTCTCCCGAGCTTGCGATCGCTGTCGCAGTAAGAAAGTGAGTCGCGTTTCGCCTTCTTTCGTACATCTCATTTATCCAGTCTGACATTTTCGCGAGCATAGGATAAATGCGACGGTAACCGTCCCACTTGCTCCGCCTGTCAGGCATCGGGCCAATCCTGCTCCTACGATCCCCATGCAAAGAAACGCGGTCTCCCCGAGGGCTACGTCCGTGGCTTGGAAAAGTTGTGGGCGCTGTCGATCTGCAACATTGAGGGGTTCGAGGATACTATGCTGGCTATGCTAGGAAATACCGCCGAATCTGCCGGTCGTCGCGAGAAATTGATGACCGTGTGGTCGGACGATAGTTCCTCGGAGAGTTTACATGAATCTTGGAAAACGAGTCGGCTATTCGGCGCGCTGGAGAAAATGTTGTCTAGTTCTGATGTGCCGATCCTCGCTACTGGGAAGCGATCGCATAATCCGCAAGATGATGGTCGCGACGGTCAATGGGGGTTCCGAGTAGCTCGCACTTCCACCCCGCTTGGTCCCGGTGCTCCGCGTGTAGTTGAGCCCTTCGCCGCATCTCCGGGCCTAAAGCGCGCTCGATTGTCAAAAGAGTCAGATTATCGGGGGATTGCTGGATCTAGTCCACATACGTTACAGTTACCGCCTCAGACGTCGCAGCTGCTCGATATCTACTTTGCGGTCACGCATTCATGGTTCCCCGTGGTCGCCAAGCATAACATCCTCCGCGCTTCTTACCTTTATGCCAACGCCCCTTTCTCCGTTGCCACGAATTCACCTGGGTCCGGCGATCACGCCGCCCTGTGGGCAATCCTGAGTTATACCATAACTCAATCGCAAATAAATGTACGGGCCGGTTCCGCTGGAACAGTCGCCTTGGCTAAGCAGTACTATGCCGTGTCGCGGAATCTTATTCCCACGGAGAAAGAGCGTTATGAAATCGGTCATATCCAGGCGTTACTGTTACTAGCCTTGGTGAACATGGGCCTCGAGGACTGGACCGCGGCTTGGCTGTTGAGCGGTCAAGCAGTGCGTAGGGCGATTGCAATGGGTCTTGGGACTGTCTCTGGAAGCCGACGGTCTGATGAACTCAAACAAGGTAAGACAGTGTTTTTGGGATGTTTTGTGGTTGACTCTCTGCTCTCTTTCCGTCTTTCACGGAGTCCAGCCATGCCTCCAAGCGATCTCACTGCGGTGGGACTTTTGGAAGAAGATGGACTGGAGGAGTGGAACTCCTGGGTGGATGTTTTACCACCCACGGGTGCTCCGCAGGGCAGCAAGAATCCGCCGCGCCGAGGACCACTCTTGGCCCTGAGCTGCTTCAACCGCTTAGTTGAGTTGGCGAGCGTGCTCAATAAAATTTCCCGCCACATATCTTCGGGATACAATATGGCCACCTTTGCACAACAGTTGGTTGTGGAGCTGAAGCAATGGGATGATTGCCTACCTCGGGGATGTCGCCTGATTGGACCGGAAAGCATTTATCCAGAGCGGCATTCAGCTTTACTTCCCCATCAAACTTACCTAGGCCTGACCTATGTAGCCACTCTGCTTTGGCTCTATCTTCAATTGATATCGGGTGAGCAGGGTTTGCACCGCTCGCAGCGTCCGGCTACAGAGGGGGCCAAGAAGCTCCTCTACCGAGGTCTTTCTATGGTCACTCAGCACTTGGAAAACTTCTCCATGTGCGGTCTTCCACCATTGTTCGAGCTAAGCCTTCGCACAATTGCGGATCAAGCGTTCAGACTTCGCAGTACCATCGACTCATCGGACACCTTCCCCTTTGCCAGATGGGCAGACGAGTTCCGACACAAAACGGCAGCTTTCACTTCCACATGGCCGGCCTATGGATCTTTGATTTCTACTATGGAGAGATGGCAGCACTCCAAAGAAATCGGGGGGGCATCCACTTTTCCCCGGGCAGTCGGTCATCCATATTCGGGTGCACCCATGGCAAGGTCCATGCAACCGCCAGGCGGAGCTCGCAGCCTACCACCAAACGGCGAACAAAATTACACCTCTTCAATCCTTGGCATCAGTATGCCAGCTGACGGGCAATCTTTGACGCCCAAAGACACAGTAATGGAAAATGCAGATCTAGGCATGATGAGTGTGTCACCACACCACCCAAAGGAAGTACAGTCAGCTCTATCAGATAGGATCACTCCGCGCAGTAGATCCGATTCCGTGTATGGCACAGCCAGCGCACAAAATCCACAACCACAAGCCCGAACTCCCGACTCGACAACTTCAAACTCAATGATGCCCGGAGGCGTCGCTTCTGCCGGTGACATCGACGCCATCTTCAAAGACCTCGCATACCTCGATACCACTGAATGGTCCACGAACCGTGAGGCCGGTCTGAAAGATTTCGGCTTTTTGGACGATAACACATTCCAGGCTTTCTGTCATGATCCGGATCGCTTGGGCGGATCACAGCCATTGGTTCATCCGCCTTCTATAGGAGATATCTGGCCGCCACCTGGTTTTTTCCCAGAGACTTTCCGAGAGGTTCCCGAGGAGTCTCTGGGCGGCTGAGATATCTCCATATGACTTCGCCAGCTACCTTTTACAGACCATATTGCTTTGATCTGCTCCATCTTCCTTGAAGGGTCATCGCCCGTGGGCACGTCACCAGCCTCATTGGATGTCTAGAGATGTCCCAGTGCTTCCAGACATATTCTGTCTCAAAGGGATCACGTTGATCTGTTCGGAACAAGATCTAGGTTCAATACTTGGTATCAAGTCGCCTGTGAGGATCATGTCAGTGACTCATACTTCAGCTGTCACAGCCTCGGTGCAGGAAGAAGACTCTTATCCATCCCTCCCGAAAGATTATCACACTTTGTACATACTATACCCGTGCTGTAGGATATATAGAATTCCAGCACATCCTCTTAAATCTAGTGACAGAAGCCACACTTCAAATGAAAGAAATGAAAGATGTTCGCCATCCCTTAGGCCTGTCGAGACGATACTAAATTTTTAGTAGCAGCCCAAAACTAGTGCGACTTACGTATGTGTACACTCTTGCCCAGGTGTCAGTCGAACATGTATTGTTTCTTGACATAACACGTACACACAAAAGTGTTGAATTTATAGTTCTATGAGGTGGGATATATCTAAATGTATGGTATTGAGAGGCGGAACTGTCGATGAACCAAGATTGGTTGGTTACTAGCTAGACGACCGATATCGACATTTGAGAGAGACAAAACATTAGCTAGGGACTCGCTTATGGGCCGCATCCATGTACTTTTTGGCGGCTAATGTGTCTTTGTGATCATGGCCCAGTGTCTTCTTTCGCCCCTGAAGAGCTCGTTCGAACATTTTCTCTGCCTCGTCGTACGAATTCTGACGATAGAGCGAGAGACCAAGATAGTGTGTAGAATTGAGCGTCTCTTCCTGGTCACGGCCTAGCACCTTCTCTCGCCCATGAAGAGCTCGGCGGAACATATTCTCTGCCTCGCTGTACCGTTTCAGAAAATAGAGCGAGAGACCAAGATAGTGTGTAGAATTGAGGGTTTTTTCCTCCTCACAACCCAGCACCTTCTCTCGCCCATGAAGAGCTCGGAGGAGCCTAGCCTCTGCCTCGCTGTACCGTTTCAGGCGATAGAGCGAGAGACCAAGATAGTGGGTAGAATTGAGTGTTTCTTTATGATCACAGCCTAGCGCCTTCTCTCGCCCATAAAGAGCTCGTCGGAACAAATTCTCTGCCTCGCTGTACCCTTGCTGATGGTAGAGCGAGAGACCAAGATAGTGTGTAGAATTGAGGGCTTCCTCTTGGTCACAGCCTAACACCTTCTCTCGCCCCTGGAGAGTGTATCGGAATATGGTTTCTGCCTCTTTATACTGACCTTGATCATAGAGTGAAAGGCCAAGCCAGTGAGCAGCTCTAAGTGTTTCTCTGTGATGATGTCCTAACACCTTCTCTCGCCTTTGAAAAACTTGTTGGAATATGGTTTCCGCCTCTCTGAACCGCTTCTGGCCGTAGAGCGAGAGACCAAGCCAGTATGTAGAACTGAGTGTTTCTCCATGGTCGCGGCCTAGCATCTTCTCTCGTCCCTGAAGAGCATGTCGCAACATGGTTCCAGCTTCTCTATACTGACCCTGATTATAGCATGATCGGCCAAGCCAGTGTGCAGTTCTGAGTGTTTCTTCGTGGTAATATCCTAGTACCTCCTTTCGTCTCTGAAGAGCTTCTTGGAGTATGATTTCTGCCTCTTTGAACCGTTTCTGGCCGTGGAGCGCAACACCGGTCTGATGCTGGCTTTCAGCTTCTGTGGGGCGGAGCTCAGGGGCCGCGACTTGATCTTGATCTTGTATAACAACCGGTACTGCAGTACCTAGAGAAGAATATACCTTCTCTTTTTGTGTTATAATGGCAGTCCCATGGGCAGGGTTTAGCATATTCACCACGGTAGTTGAACCAGACATGCCATGAAAGGCATCCTCCGGTGTCTCTGAAGAAATCTTTGTGGTCCATGACGCAAACTCTTCGGTCATTATTGTGACTTGATAGGGAGTTTGTGGCTCGCCTTTGGTAGCTTTCATGGACTCGGGCGGGTGAAGTACGAGGGATTCTATCCACGCGCTTGACATAGCAGAGACAGCCGTCATTCGATCATTAGGATAAAGAGACATCATTGAAAGCACAAAGTCAACACCTGGTTGACTGATACCAGCGTCAGTAAGCATGGTGATTGGGAAGTCTTGCTGGGTTTTGTAATTTGCAAGCGATCCCGAATTCGGAAACGCAGACTTCTTGGTGAGCATTTCAAATACAATCTCTCCAAGAGCCCACATGTCTGTGGCATAAGCACTGCCTCGCTCAACGAACCCCCAAGTCTCAGGGGCAAAATACCTTGGAGTACCCGTTATCGTCGTGGATTTCCCGTGGTTTTCGTCGATGCGCTTGGTAATACCGAAGTCCGCAAGCTTGATCCACCACTTGTCTGGAGGATGTGATTTGATCATTATATTCTACTCATTTTGTTTAGTGAGTTCTCTCTCTGCAATTTGAATTTGAAAAGTAGACCTACATTTGGTTTTAAATCTCGGTGGGCAAACCCATTTCCATGCATCATGGTCAGACCCTCGAGAATCTGATACGCGATTTCTTTCGCCTCAGCCTCCGGTACGGGTGGTCTACTCTGTAGATATGCAAAAAGGTCGCCAAGTTCGAGGTATTCCATTGCTATGAAGAGCTGGCTAGGTCCTTCGTACCATCCGAATGACTTGACAAAGCATCGTTCATACTACTTGAATCAGCACATCCTCTCGTAATAGAACTTCATTTGGAGACTAACGCGAGGGTGTGAGAACTTAGCAATTGCCTCCAACTCGCGATTGAAGTCGATCGATCTGGGGCTCGGATCCGTGTCAATCTGCTTAACTGCTCGGACTGCACCATCTTGAGCTATGGCCCCTGGTCGCCCGCCTTTGGTACGTTTCTCCAGCCAGACGCAACCGAATCCACCACGTCCGATCCGTTTTTGCCGCTGCCAATGCTCTGATCTAGTCACAAGGCGCTGTCCAGAAGTTGGGTCTGACTCCTGGAATGTGTGGACTGTTTCTACTTGACAGTCCGGGAGGAAATATGTCTCCAACTTCGAGTCTCGAATAAGATCTGAGATTCGTGCCATTTCGATCTTCCTAGGAGCAATTCAGACGTTAAAAGTGGGTGCTTTTCCCCCGCTGTGGCTGAAAAACAGCCCAAAGCCATGTCACCTGACATAATCATGTCCCCCAAAGTGTCCGGCCTTATTCTTTTTATAGAGCAATCTTATACATCGATCGCATACATCACACCTATAAGCTACAGCTAACTGAGCTGCTCGTGTTGTGGCTACATCACATTGCATTTTTCTTGCCTCAGCCGCGAATATATGTAGTAGCGGTCTACAACTTGACCAACTAGGGACTTTGATGGACTTGGATGAACGAGGTTGGGTTTCAGTTTACGCTACAATGTTTCAGTCAGACTTGTATACTTCAGCCCATGCAGAGAGGTATAAATAATGTGTTCTTCCACTGTGAATCTTTCATTCCATATCCACATCTTACACTATATCACTATATCAAATATCTCTCCATCAAGTCAAGATGAAGTTCACAGTCTCCCTCCTTCTGGCTGCTAGTGCAGCCCTCGCCGTCCCCATTGTCGAGCGAGGCAATTCTATCCAGATCAGTGACTTCTGGGCTAGAGCTAGCGCTGGCTCCTCCGGCTCGATGCATTTCGTCGTGACTGATTCAAACTACCCCGAGGATACCCCTACTGAGTGCAACCTGCTGTGGTGAGTGTAGTCAAATAAGATCCCTTACCTATGGCAGATATTGACTGTTACGGGGTAATGTTAGGTCATATGGATCTTCGCCCAACGGAAGGGCCCGATGCAACAACAGCCAATACTTCATCCACTTCCCCGATGGCGCTGTCGACTTCAATCGGTTTACACTGGGACTAGAGAGGGTCTCAGGCCCAATTGCTGAGAACGGTCAGGTTTTGCTGGAGTCAGGTACGGAGTGGTCTTGTCTGGAAAATCCGGAGAGCAACGTTCAGCTGAGCTGCTCTTACGATGGTGTTCTCAACATGCCCGTGTGAAGATATATGTCACCTCGCAGTTAAGTACGGTACAAATACCTATTTTGGTAAATTGTCTTAGTTTGATTGATGCTTTTATTCTCATATTCATATCAGCTGTCTCTAGTATCACCTGTAGTCCCCCCCCCATCTCCTCGGTCTTCCCAGATCCTAGAGTCACTGGGATATATGAAGTATTGTTTGATCTCCTCGGTGATGAATCCTTGTATGTACTTGATATTGGGAGTCACGGATATCTGGCCACCTAGATAAATTGCAGTGGGGGTCTTGATGACTTGACACTATATGATCAATTTGATTGAAGTGGTTTGTTTCAAAAGCTGTCCGTGGAGCTCATACATAGTAATTAGAGATATGTTGAGCAGTATAGAAACTGTTTTGAGGCATATCTAATTTTTCCTTGCGAGCATACGCTGTGAATAAAACGGTAGTGGGCATTGTAGATTTCTTCAGATCACAATAGTAGCGAAAGAAGTCAAGAATGATGGACGTCTACAGCATGCTTTAATATCCATTCAGTCCAAAATAAATCAGTAATTTAAAAGTATGAGGCAAAAAAGTAAATCAAATAGTGCAGCACTACCTAACATAGCATAGCGTCAGTAAAGGGTTTCAAAGGGACATGAAGCCCTGGTGTAGAATTATAGACTTGCCTGATTAGGAAATCTTGAACATAAATATTTTCCCAAACCGAACTCATGTCTTTCATCTTCTTCTTGTCTTTGCTTTTATGACTTGACTATATTTGAGCATCATCTTTGAATACTTGTTTTTATCGCTCAAGATGCTAGATACGGTGCCTCTTCTGGTCCCGGATGTACAAGATTGAGAACCAATCCACATATTAGTATGATATATTGTGACAACTACAGAAGTTTTTTTTTTTACTCGAGGAACCCATTTTAATCCCAAGAGCACCATTCGCACTAACTACGAACATACCTCTCCCTCACCAGATCACCTTCATGGGAGTGGACAGCCCAATTCCCAATTCCGACAGCACTAGTAGTATCCCCCTTCCGCCCCCAAGAACCAAATATCAAATTACCAGGACGGTAAGATGGGTCTGACTTCATACGCTGAATAGCAGACACATGAACTCGAGCATTCGCAGGGATATCACGGGTCCGGCCACGCGGCGGCGGCCACCGCACAGCCTTCCATGCTCCATCAGGTTGAGATTCCATCCGTCGCAGGGGAAGATACTCCATCAGGCGCCAAGAAAGGACGGAGGTCAGCGGTAGACCGTTACCATACGAAAGGAGATCATGAATATGTCCTTTTGTGCCGGCTAGATGAAGCGCCTCTAAGTAATCTTTGTGGGCTTGCGGCAATTCCAGGCTCCAGACCTCCCTCTTCGTGTTCAATTGCAAGTGAAGATCGGGGTCAAACTCCTCAATGCACTCGTACTGCTTCAGCTTTCTCGGATCCAGTCTCAGTCCCGCGCGCCGCGCCTCTTGTACCATCCACACAAGAGGTGTGTGTGTTAATGGCCATGCCTCGCTAGATCCGAGATTCCACCCTCCGCCTATGTCTGCGTGTCCACCAGGGAACCAAAGCTCTTCAATGTCCTGCATTTCATCGTCCTCCGATTCTATTTCCTGTTTCATGCTTGGTGTGCTGACGTTTGGGATTTCGGGTAGAACGGGAGGTCCAGATGTGTCTTCAGGGCCACTGGTCGAGGTCCCCTTCGCGGACTGCTTTTCGTCAGAAGGCATTTCACGAAGTGATTCATCTTTATGCGATTGTAGCAAAACTGGCCGAAACTTGATACGCCGTTCATCAATGCTAACTGCATGTCGAACTACCTTGGCGGAGGTGCTCCCGTCAACATTGACCTCAAAGTCCGCGATACTATTAACTGCATCGAACATGCCCAAGAATTGCACACGATCCATAGGCCGTGATAGTATCTCTCTGCTATCTTTCATGACTTGAAAGGCTCTTCGCTTTGCTTCTCTGTCATTATCCGTCCGGCAAAGCTTCCACGATACAAACGCATCCCAGATAAACGGAACCACTTCTTCATTATCCGGGCCGAGAAGCCCGACATAGTCGATCATCTCATTCAGGAACCGCGCCGTATATGCGCCACGTGAGAAGCCGAAAATATACACCTTAGCCCCGGACTGATAGTGCCGCATGAGAAAGCGGTACCCGCCAAGAACGTGCCGATCGAAAGAGCGACCTAGTGCGAGGTTGAGCGCCTTGTTATTGTCCAATTTGCCCTTCTTTTGGATTGTCGTGCTGGCCAGGGATCCTGGGGTTATCTCGGTACCGATTCCCGCTTCTTGGAGTTAGTATCCTGGTGGTCATCTGGGGTGCATTTGCTCATACGTTGGTAGTAACATACTGTCTTGCGGTTAGAAGAGTTGTTTCAGTGTCAATAGCAGAGCTAACACTTACATTGCTCGTCGGACTTTTCTAACATGCGACAAATTCTCAAGACATTGGTGTCTGTGCCATCCGTGCGAAAGGTGTTTCCTGTGCCGTCAAAGCACAGGACAATTTGTCGATGTGACATTGTGCAGTCTGCTCCCGAGGCCCGGAAGGGATCCCATGGGTAAGGCTGGGGGAACTTACATTTATATGTGCTCGAGGTATTGTTTAGCGCTTTATCTGCCTTGTATTTTCCCCACTCATCGGCATTGTACGGCGACGATCATGGCGATCTTGATCAATTGAGGAAACATCGAGTTGGCAGAAATGCCAAGCGAGAGCGAGAATTGGTGGACACTAGTTCGCCTGATTGGGTGCCGTGCAGTTGATCTACATGGCCATTGCTTGTCGAGCTTTGAGCTTCAATTAGTGGTGACTTGGTGTGATCAGTCTCATCAGCGAGTATACTATTGCCGTTATGTGATACCCTGAGAAGCAGCCACACTTTTTCTTTGTTGAACCGAAGGATGCCAGTACCTATATTAGACAAAAATATAATCAAATGAGTCAGGCTGAATCCTTAGCCTCCCAAAGTGAATTTTCTACTGTTTATCAACTGATTTCCGCTCATAATATGCAGTGTCAACGGTTGTACATTTACCATCGCCTGGGTCTGTATCAGATATCTATTCTCACTGTCACCTCTGTTTCCCTCTTATCTTAATCATGACCACTGTGAGGAACATATACCTAATTAGTCCATCATCAACTCTCAAGCCAAAGAGACCCAGGTGCTCTTTGTCCCCGTGAGATTGAAGTGAGATAGGGCAAAAGTATCATGTGATGGCACCTTGTAGGCAGGTACGATGACTGGGACACAGCAATTTTCCCAGGACTTCCTATCTCCCTAAACGAAAGTCATTCGCTTCCTTGCCTTTCAACTGATCGCTTAAATCTGGTGCGCGATGATCAATAGCTCATCTTAGGTTTGTATATATTTGATCATCTTCTTTCTCAAGATTCTTTCTCAATATCCTTCGCGGATTGGTCATGCTTGTTCTATGCACTTTTTTCGTCCCAGTCACGACTGACCCCAATAGTTCCCTCATCTAGCATATGTTAGTGGACATTCATGTGGAAACCCTTGCATCAAGCATGGAACTAGTCACGCCCTAAAAGGAGGGGACCAGGGGTACGGAGATATGACGAAAAATATCTCGGGGGTACTAGGAAGTCATTTTCAAGTGGCTGGACCTGCCGATGTCTTTTCCTCGAGGTGAATCATGACAAATTTGGGGCCCGCTTTGACAATCCTGCATCTTGGACTGACAAGCAACTCGAGATCAAAGAGAAATTCTGACTGATCACGCGAAAACACCGACAGGTGCAGGATTTTGCTCTCAAAAGGAGAATTCCCTATGGGACTGCGAAGATAGTTCAGTCTTTATGCTCACCCAGTGGTGACACCAGCGTTGTAGATACGTTGGATTCTCGGCTTCATTTCCAACCAACCACGCGGGAATACCTCGTGGAACAGAAGCTAATCATCTTCGCGAAGCACCCTGGTTGCATCAAGATCAATATCCCTTCTGGCAGTGGCATCCTCCATTTGTAACACAGGCCATATAGCAGTTTGAAATAACTCCTTGGCTCTAATCAAGGTGGTCTTTATTTCAAATCCCTCTGGCGCGTCGAGCGAGGCTGGCAACATTGCGTTACAATATAACATGCAATTGAATACTGCAGAGGATCATGCACAGAGTACTACGAAAAATGGGCTGCTGTCACTGCTGTTGTGCTTGCTGGAAGTCTATACATCCACCGTAAGCTATTGAAAATTCCCACTCCGAAGCCCATCCTTGTTTGCGACCTCCTAGTTTCCTCACCGTCTTTGTTGCCCAGTATGGGACACAGACCCCCGCGGTTGGAGCCGTGGAGTGGCAATTCGGGCTTTTGGTTCTGTCTGGATCTCTGTGGTACATCTTTGATACATGCTTGTTCAGTGTCACTCACGCCGATATGCCAGACCTTATATTTCTATTGAGCCCGAATATCTCACTAAGAGGCACTGCGCACAGCTGCGTGCTTTTGGGTCGCCTTGTAATGCACCGAAATTGTGCCCATGGATTCAACGTTGAATTTCAATAGCCTGCTTTAGGCAATTGAGCGAGTTGACCCCATACCATGTCAATGACCCTACTGCACAAAAGTGGATTGATGCTTTGAAAAGGCTGAAACTGATATTCGGCAGGGCAAATGATCGATATCACCAATAGGTGCCTACAACTCTCCACCCAGAATGAAGCCGATGTGCGCTGCATCATATCGTTTTGCTACTGGGCGTGACCTCAGGGATGTTGGAATTAAAAAGAGTAGCCATGAAATTGAGCCGAAAAGTGTCTCATGCTGCACTGAGAGCATATTTGCCAAAACTTTCATGTCGATTTTTTGCATATCTCACCTCTTTTTCCTGTTCACTACCTGCAAATATGATGGTGCCCAATGATTGCACATGTATTCATATATCGATAGCGAGCTTCGGGAAGCAATTTTAGATCTTAATTTGAGACACCAGAGGGCTTTGTGAGCAGGAGGCTTCTTGTGGGCGTGAATTGTAGTACCAACACTAATATTTGCTACATGAAAGCTAATGTAGTCACATATTCCTCAGTTGGTCCACATTTTTGTTTCTTTTCAAGTATTTCCGGGTGACATGGCATCCAATAGCCGTTTCTTGAACTTTCGGTTTGTGTTAAAGCTTGCGAGCTACAATCGTTACCTCCAAATCACTCAGATTCATCTACAGGTAGGACGGTAATATAAGTTAGACACCAGGTGGATCGAAGTTTCATCCAAATTGAAATTATCTTCAGGTCCACATCCATATTCAAGAAATGTTTAGATTGATATATAGTGGTATCACTAGAAATGATCAGTAGATATAATGAGAATGAGAACGGTCCAGCGACCAGAAGGAAATGTTTCGTCTGCCCAGCAGACGGTGCCAACACAGCGCCATAACATAACGCCTCGCCAATAAATCTCATTTGAACCCAGAGAAACACCTTGTCCTCAAATTTGAGAATGAATGCAAGATCAAGGGGGGAAAGAAAAGGTGAAAGGAAAGTTGATATATGTACAAGACCAATTGAGGGAAAAGAAAGTGACTGAAGAGCGAGTGTAAAAACAAGATCAATCGAAGATGTATTCCACCTGATTGCATGAAGATTGGAATGCCTTGAGGAGCTTTTTCACACGAGGTGTAATCCAACCAGACTGTGTGCCATTACTGGCAACGCCAGCAAAGGTTGTAGAGGCATGTTTACAGACACCTTCGGAGTGATCAAACGAATATTGCAAGCACTCCTCATTGCGCGCGCAGACCTCTGCACAAATATCCACAGTAGGAATCGTGCCAGCTGCAAAATCAATCTTAATCTGAGAGAGGTTATCCCAATCATCACGCGCGGAGAAAGTCCCATCGTAGACAAATTTTTGGTAAACGTCTGCATGCAGCATGAGCGCGTTCTTCCCGCTGGCAAAGAACGCTCGGTCAAATTCCCACATTTCCTCAATATCCGTTGGCGCCATGTGGTGGTACGAGATCACGGGATAACACCATGGTTGCCGGCCGTATCCCTCGGAGAAATGGTCGATTTCCCACGGCCGTGAGGTCATCATCATTGGCCAAGCCCAGGTCAGATCGACGCGCACGTCATGCAGTGCTCGCGCCAGCGCGCAGTCACCCGCCCACTCGTGCGCGGTCATCGCTTCGAGGTCTTCCTTTGCCCGTATCAGGTACTCGTGCAGGAGATTCATTGTGAAGCTTGAGAGGACGATGCCCGCTCCACCGTAGCCAAAGAGTGTCTCGCCGATTTGCATGGGGCTGCCCAGGTAGTATTGCCGATCTGGGTCGAGGTGGGCCAGCCAGCTGATCAGGTTCGGCCACACCACATAGGTGTCGGCTTCGAGGAAAACGTACCACTTGGCATCTGGCATTACTTCTAGTGCTTCTTCGACCATTGGGAGGAATTTCCATTTGTCGAGCTTCCAGCCTGGATTGTTGACTTTGCCTAATGGACCATTTGTATCGTCGCCCCATTCTGCGTCTGTTAGGCCTTCACGTCCGACTTGTTGTAAACGGCGGTAGATGTTGAATTCGGGTTCTTTTTCCATTGTTGTCGCGCTAATATTGCGGAGGACGTCATACGTGCGGACCCCATCGATGGTTTCTTCGTAGTCGGAGAAGATGGCGAAGTGTGGGACGCATTGCAACGTTGTGCGAAGATGGATGGGGACTTTCTCGAGGGATTCGGTCGCACCAGTTTTAATGACGACCATAACATCGTCGAGCGCGTGTAAGAAGTGGCCACATTTCTCCTCTATTGTCTCCTGTTTAGGTGGGGGAGGGGGAGGAGGAGGAATTGTCTCCTGCTTCTCGTCCCCTACCGCAATTATTTCCTCTTCAGCTTGAGGTATTTGTTCTGAGTTGTTCACGATTGACGGGTTGGATTCAGGTAGTCGAAAAAGAGAGTATATCATGCAAAATGTAAGGAATGGAAAGACGACGAAGAGCCATCGTCGCGGAGAACTGGACATGGTCGAGTTGGCGCTCAAGTAGAATCTAAAGATCAAACAAGAATCGAGGCCATTGAGTTAGCGAGGGCAAGGACAAGGAGAGACTGAAGAGATTGAGACCAGTGCTTCATAAATTATAGCAAAGGGGGAAAAAAAGCAGGGTCAGTGATCGCTGTCGGTGATCCAAACCAGTTCGACCTCGGCGTCAACGGACAATCCATGGGCCGGAAGAACAGGCTTCATTATTCGGTGAACCTCTGAATGGGGTAAACGGGGAAGCTTTGATAGGCCAATCGTCAGGTTCATTGGGGACTGATCAACAACCACGCGGCACAGGAGGCAACTACGCTGTGGCGGCTTTCAGACCGCTGCCCCACGGGCAGCGTCATCGCTTGCGGGACTTTGCATAGCGAGGCAATGATCGACTATGTATGGAGTCGAGTGTGTGTGATTAGTGGAAGATTCAGGAGGTGAATGTCAGGGGGTAGGAAGTTTGAGATTTATGGCTCTTAATCTGCACTTAAAGTAGTTCTGCAGCCATAGCGTCAAATAAAGGGCTAAATAAATTAAGCATGAAACAAGGACGTCGACAGGGGCGTCAACACGGCCAGGTTCAGATCGACCTGATTGTGGGCCTGGTTATGGCCTGAGTAACAAGGCATGGATCACGTGTGTTTCAGCCGGGCACAGACCAACTTCGGACTGAGGTGTTGATCAACATTGAACTCATATTGTTTGGATATCACATACAAATAATTCCAAATACATCCCAGTCATCAAACATATACTGTTGTCTACACATCTACACAACTGAGGCGTCATTCTTAGGCTCCATCTTCAAATTCTCCATCCCTCAATCGCCTTTTCCGTTCCCACAAGAACACAGGGGTGATGGTCGAAGCAACAGCCACACACAAGATAGCAGCCTGAATACCGAAAACCAGTCCGAGCCCATTGCGCTGAATCCATTTGGGCTGGAAGTATCCCACCGCAAACCCGCCACAGGTGCGCCACATATTCAAAATGGCCGAGACACAGGTCGCCTGCTCCGGGTACTTTTCCAATGCATATGCCGAGATGGCGCTGTAAATGATGTTAGAGATATGTCACCGTACTCAACACTCCGAAGTCGATACTTACACAATCGTGGCGACCATGCCGATGTTCACCATAATCCACCCAATGACTATCCCAATCCAGTGCTTACCAAAGTGCATGGTTAATCCATAGGTGAGGAGACCGATCATCATGCTACCAATCGGGAGCCAGATGCCGTGGAGGCGGAGCTCTGTTCGCCAGGCTGAGCTATGCTGCTTGAAGATCCAGCTGTTGAAGAAGTGGCCAACCGCCCAGCCTGGGTAAATAGTGAGAATCTGAAGAGCAAGGGCGTGTGTGAGGATGCATACCACATAAAGCTCCAATCACACCGGCGAAGCGCATCGATGAAGCCTCGATGGTATCAAATAAGTATGGAGGGCTGTGCAGGAAGTTATCGATGGTGGTTGTGATTCCTGGAGAGTCAGCAGGTAAAGAACGGTGCGCTGATGATGTTTACTTACCAATTGGCCAGGTAAATGTTACCAAGATAGCGATACCTGTTGACAAAATCCTGGTCAGTGATTGACATTGCAAGGAGGTCAGCCATACCCACCGGTCATCAACAAGGGGAACTTGAATACATAGACCACGACTGTTCGACTCCAGTATCTCAAGGTCGTTCCCTTGGGAAGCAGGGTATTGCCAATGCCAAAGTAGGACGCGAAGCGCGACTGTTTGGTGAGTCGCCCAGGTTCGTGGTATGTCTCATAGCCGAAGAGAATTACCATGGCTGTGGACACACCATAGATGGCTGTCAGGACTCCGAAGGATGTGCGCCAGTCTGACCCGGCGCCGATATATCCTGCTATGGCGGGGCCGAGGAATGGCCCGACAAGAAAGGTGGTACCCCTATATCTAAGTCAACGCTACTCTGGTCGTCCTGGGTGGCAAGTCTCCTACCAAATATTGATCATCTGTGGCCATTCTGTTGTCGCATCAGCGCAAAGTACTCAAGACAATCCCAGCGAAAAGCCTTACCAGCCGATGTATACATATCATGAATGATCGGAAGCCCAATTACCTGCGGCACTGTCCCAAACAGACCTTGCAAAGAGCGGAACGTCGTGAAGGTAGACCAATCATTCGAGAGGGTAGCACCCAGGACCATGAACATGGTGATCACCTGAGGCCACAGCCAGATCGGCAAACTACATGCAGCCGTCAGTAGGATTCTCAACGTGCGCAAAAATTAAACCAACTCACCGACCGTACGCTTCAATGAGCGGAACAGCAAAAATTCCTCCAAATCCCTGCAGCAGAATACCATAATTCATACTCGTCGCCGAATGAGTGATCGAAATATTCCAATCCATGGCCTGCTCCGTGACCAGCGTTCCACCCCAGACCATAGCTCTACAAGAGAGTCAGTAAAATCTTCTATTTATACACATCTGAGCTGGCAGCTGCCTTGAGTTTATCAACTGGCCATACATACCCATCTGCCAACAACGAACTCGTCATCAGCGACGCAAAAAGCATTGTCTTCCGCACCGAGGACCAATTTCTCGGGTTCAAGGGATTCCTGGTCTCGGCATTTGAATTGGAATCGCATTCCTTCATTTCCTGTGTTTCAAGCGACGACGATGCCCTAACTGCCAACCCGTGTGTAGAGTAGACAGGGGAGGGTTTATCCGTCGATGGGTCCATCATCTTGCCTGTACTTTGAATATGGGCCAGAAACAGCAAACTTGAGTCAAGTAAGGAAGTGAAGATCCTTTACCTTGTGACTAGGCAAAGGTTTTATGCATGGATCTCACACATGAAGCTCGCGTGGCTTTTGTTTCAGAGCTCAAAACTTGGAGAGATCGGACATCTATATTTCCGTTTTTGGATATGTAGAAAAGAAAAATTCTCCGGAATCCATCTATCACAAAAGGTAAATTGAGTAAATTCTTGACTCCTTCGCTTTTGGGGCTTGAGACTCGGCTATTCGTCTTGATTCTATCTCGCTTGCCGTGTTTTAGTGTAATAACCCTTGCGCATACCTAACATATTGGACCAATTATCTTCCACTGAGCACACTAATCCCATATTAGAACTCTGTAATTGATCAAGGATTATTGTATTGTAACCTGCTAGTATTCTTATCATCTGTCCCTTTATTCTCATTGCACCGGAATTCGTGCCGGATCATGTGTACATGTACTTTGTAAGACTGTTGTGGATATTTAGAGCAAAGTATGGAGTATAATGGAGTGAACGGAGTATAAAAAAACACACATAGCACTTCCCTGACATTCCTATCATTCTCACACGCTCTAGTCTCAATGTCTTTTCTAACCCGCCTAGCCAGCCTATTGGGTCTATCATCCCCGGCCCTCGTTGCACCACCCCCAGGGGCCGCCCTCGCAGCCACCGTAACAACGGTGAGTGTGATGAGCCTATCCTATAAGTCGCTCTCTAATAAAAGATAGCCTGCCTCATTGGGATTTGTTCCGGTCGCGATTCACTTTAGTCTCTTCGATATCCTCGTGAGTCACGGCGGCCCTCTGACGGCTGATGAAGTCTCCGCGACCTGCAATGCGCGTATCAAAGCCCGAGGAAAGGACGAGCCCGAGTTGAGTACGTGGGCTGGTTTGAATGGCTAAGAACTATTATACTGACAAGAAATATAGGTACCAAACTAGCCTGTAAGTGCTTGGACAGGTATTCCGATATGTTGTACTAATACCTCTACAGCAGACACATTGTACATCATGGCCGGACTCGGTCTAGTCGACCGCGTGGCCGAGGACTGCTTCACAGCCAATGCTATCACGAACCACATGGTCGCCATGCCGTCCGCCCAACATGGTGCCCTGCACTTGTCAGTTCCCATACATCTAAGGGGTACATAACGTTCCATGCACTGACCCCACCCAGCACGACAGAAGGCCTGATGGCCGGCGCATTCTTGATGAAAAAGCTCCAGGACACCCGATTTGCTTACCCCTTTGCCGACGCAGAGGGCCCCTTGCAACATGCCTATCGGCTAATGGGTCAGTCTGAGCTGGCAGAGAAGCATACCTACTCAATTATGGAGACCCAGGGTCGTATGGATAGTTTCAATCATTTCATGGTCGGCAAGTTTCTGAAGTTCGGGACCTTCCCCGAGCGGGTCAAGTCAATGGGTTATGATTTAGATTCCGCGTTAGCGCGCGCTGCTACCGATTCTCGCACTAGCTCTGCTGTGATGGTCGACATTGGAGGCGGTCGTGGCGAGCTCCTCCTCGAGGTCCAGGCTGCGTACCCGCATCTCAGCGTGGAGGACCTAGTGGTGCAGGAGTTCAATGCCGACATTGACATCGTACCTGGTGTGCGCCTTATGCAGTGGAATTACAAGGAGGAGGCTGAACAGCCCATTCAGGGTGCCTGTGTTTATGCGCTCCAGCATATCTTGCATAACTTGCCTGATTTGGATGCTGTGGCGTTGTTGCAGAAGATTTCGCGAGCTATGGCGCCTGGCTCCCGAGTTTTGATCATTGAATACGCGAAAAATCTGACCTATACCTCGCTCCATGCTAGTATGATTGCGTTGTATGGGGGCCGGGAGAGGAGCTCAGTGGAGTGGAAACAGATGGCGGGTTTATCGGGGCTGGAAATAACTTTCGAGGTTTATGTTCGGGCTGGAGAATCATTGGTTGAGATGAGAAGGGCGGTTCGTTGCGCTAAGTTATGTTTTCTATATGATGTATCATTTCTGCTCCTATACAGATCACATCCCATCTCCCGAGATCTACAACGTCGCGTACCCGAATTTTATACAACACAGATTTGTCCTTCATCTGATGAACTCCTGCCCCAGCTCTTTGTAGATCTGATCTTAGAACACATCGAGCCCATCAATTCTTTATGGAATACGGAGTCTATTTTTCTCATTCTTTGTCACATCCCTTGTTACCCGCATGGCCGCATGGTTTCTATTCCTTTTCCCCCTAGGAATGTCGCCTATATTAAATCCACATATGCGAACCTATCTATCTGTCCCTTCCCGTCAAGATCAACCGATCAAATGTTTTGAACGCGCGGAGAGGCCACGCGAGCTTCGATTGTTGTCATAACTGGACGTACATGACCTCGTACCTAAGGTTGAATACTGCACTATGTCATTAAATGCACAGCTCGCTTCGCTTGACCTTGATTTTTTGATTTCTTCACTCCCTTGATTGAAGTTACATCCCTTGTTTCCCCTCAATCCACTCTTATTATACGCATCTTTCCACCCAATATACGAGAGTTTAGGCATGGTTCTGACCTGTAGATCGGTTCGAGAGACTTTGGTGTGATATTCGTTTCCGAGAACCTCCAAGAGCAACTTGGAAGAATTTAGACTCTGTTTTTCACTTCTGATACATCTTTTCCAACCCTGTGCATCGATCTATCCCAATGAGTACTTGAATTGGCTCCCCGCACTATAATCAAGAGTTTGGTGAATACTTGGCTGTTTAGCTGCTTGACACATTGTGTCCTTTTGTTTTATCTTCATTATAAATATTCCAAAACCGCTTGAGGGCGATGTTGACATTGGTATGCTTATTCCAGGGCAAAGTCCATATAAATGGATCGATAATGATCTTATGTTGACCGATGTTTGCAGGAACTGGCACATTTCAGGCTTGTTGGGTATGCTATCAATCTTTATGTATTACCTCTTACCTGTGTTCATACTAATTCTTCACCAGGTCCTCACAGCCATTGTTGGCGTAGCATTGTTATTCCGCTATGCTATCAAGATCTGGGTGCGTTGGGCTTTACCGCGGGTCACTGCACCCGGTCGAATCTGGGGTATAGAGGACTTATTCTTTCTCGTGGCTTGGGGCTTTGATATTACACATATGATATTTATTCAAATGAGGTGAGATCGACTTTTGTCATTACTTCTATGCCAGCTCATAACTCTGCATAGTGCCAACTGGGGTCTCGGGAGGCATTTCTTCTACCTCACTAATGGGGAGCGCCTGAATGCTATGAAATGGGACTTCCTTTCCCAGCCAATGGCTATCACTTCGGCAATGATCTCTCGCACAGGAATGATGTGGTTTCTTTTGACGTGCTTTGCAGCGAGCGACAAGAAGATTCGCAAATCTATCATTATCTGCGCTGTTGTTCAAGTCGTCGTCAACACAGTTACCATTGTCCAAATTATTGTCCAGTGCGGACCGAGCCCATACCAAACGGTTAGTGCTATCTAACTTGGTGCTCGAATCATGCTCATCTCATTGCAGACTGACCGAGTACAATATTTCCACTATATGTGGACACCACTCCCCTGAAGATGGCTCCGTCAAGTGCCAATCACCGGCCGTTCAGACGACTGTCGGGTTTGTGCAAGGAGGTATGTGCAGCTACTGTCCTTTAAATCAGCTCAAAGCTAATGGTAAGTACCACAGGATTCAATACTGCCATCGATTTCTTCCTTGCTGTGCTCGCTGCCGTCGAGCTCTGGCAATTCTTTCTGCGGACTCTCCACCGTAATCCAAACACGACGTTCTGGTCCCAATTCTGCAAAATCAGTGGCACCGTTCGATCCCGCCGGATATGGCAGACCATCACCCTTAGCGGGCCACTGATCCTCTCCGGCTGTGCTTCCATTGTAAAGACCTATGTGAGTAGACTGCCCTTTTCCTCGACTTCTACAACAACACTGATACCATTGGCCAGAAACTCAAATCCCTCGGCGACAGACAGGACTTCACCTACAACATTGTGACCTTTGTTCTCTGGGTAAAGTAAGCACAACTGATCTTCCGCATTATTGACTACCATATTCTCTAATAACCTCCAGAATCGAAAATTACAGCATCCTTCTCGCCTCCTGTGCCCCAGTAGCCCGTCTCTTCCTCCGCTCCTTTGTCGATCACAGACGTGAAGGTCGCACTCACGGCTACTGGTCTCGCACCCCATCAATGGGCCACAACGACCCTGACACGGAGCTGAAACTTCGCGCTAATTCGAAAGACCAGTGGCTGGATTCAACTACCGTGACTAGTGTGACTAATGCTCAAATTCACGATGAGGAGAATCCGGTGACTCGATGGAATGGGCATAATCATGAGCGCTCGGGTCATCGAGTCTCAAGGATGGAGATGCCGGAGCAGCTTGATGATGGAATTGTTACCGTCAAGACAGATATTATTGTTGAGATTGATAATAGGCGGTCGACTTCTTCGGGTGCGACTTTGTTGTTACCCGGTGGAGGTGAGGCTCATTCCGGGGGGGTTTCATTGATCTACGGTATATAGGTAGACCTATGGTATATAATAGGGGCCTCGATAACTACCCTAATCTCTCAAGGCTTGTACTTGTCATCGCCAAGAATAGAGTATACATTACATTATCTCATATGCACAAGCTCTGCCAGAGATATAAGCGCGTGACTGGACTTGCATTCCCATAGGCATGCAAGTATGACACATAAAGGGGCCTGGGTTTGAATCAAAATCCATGAATAAACCTCGTACACTATGGATCTCCCAACACAGGTCCTGGGAAGGGGAAGGGCGGGTGTTAGAAATTGGGTTGAGTATAGATAAAAATCTGAGCCTGGTTGGCTTGCATGGTTAGGTGTGGCTATCAGAGGTGGTATTCGGAATGAGAGTTTTGATATGGTGGAGTGTATTGACCAGGTGTTCGGTCGTAATTTCGAAGATCTCAAGACTAAGCTGTCGTTTGAATTTGTTCAGGAGACCATTGCCCAGGGGAATCTAGATGGCACGAGGACTACTTGATCGAGGCGGTTTCGATATCAATGGAAACCGAGCAGTTCCCTATGGTACATTCCTTGACAAGCCTACGAACCTATCGACTGTCGGTCTCCTTCTGTCCAATGGCGCTGATTCAAATAGGCTCCATGCCAGAATAAATAGACTGCCGTCGCATATTGCGATCAGGGGTGCAGATATTGAATTTGTGAAGCTACTAGTAGGGGGGTACGGCTCCAGTATTCATGGGACATCCCTCATTCAGGAAGGGCTTACTTGTACTTCCTCTGTCAGTTTCCACTCTCGGTGGTCTCGACAGGATCTGTTCTTTTTGCTGGAACTTTCCTCGAGGATGGGGTAGATGCTTCTTTGTGTGGCAAGGCAAACAGTGGAAGATGGGGGTTTCGGTGCCTAGTGCCGGTAGTGGATGACGAGAGGGTCTGTCATCTAATATCATGTGTGCAAACACATCCAATCTACTTTCTTACCATACAGTTAGCTGGTAGATCCGAGGAAGGTATGATATAGACATAACGTGAACAAGGTTGGGATATGTTGCTCTATGTGTCTTGTGGATATATATAGTTTGGACCTCCCATAAGTGATGCCATTCAGCTCCGGGTGGGTGATAGTCCATGATCAAAGTAGAATAGCTCATGGCTTGAATGTACAAAAAAGTGTAAATTAATTAAAAATGATGCCACCTATACACATATGGAGAACAATCTACACCAAATACGACACCTTGAGCTAGGAAAAGCTACATAAAGCCATTATGGCCCTGTCTATCCATCAATTGGCCCAAGTGGTCGAGCAGTTTCCTGGTCTAGCGGTTATGATTTTCCGTTAACAAATGCGACTAGCAGATGTTCCGGAAAGGTTCTGGGTTCGATTCCCAGGGAAACTATTTTTTAGCATTTTTTTGTATATTGACTGACATCTTCAGGTGTCAACGGAGCTGGATATAGTTCTGTCTCTCTCCCTTTCGTGTTGTATCCCCAACAAAAGTTTTTTTATTACTACATTATGCTAACATTGATTGGTGTAATCCGTACATTACGAAGTCAAAAGACATCGTACTACTAGTGCAGAAACAAATGTGATAAAACGAAACGAGATAAATATCTTTAGAAAGCTACAAATTGTATGTAGTATTATTATTGTACATTCTACCAAGTTTATTTTTTTGTGGTGTATTGAGTGATATATGTGGGCAAAATACAAACACAAAAAAGAAATGCTCACACTCGGAGTCGAACCGAGGATCTCATCATTACTAGTGATGCGCTTTACCACTAAGCCATGCGAGCTAGTTGATGTATGACTTACCACCTTTATGCAATATAGTCAATTTACCACCTTATAAACAACTGGTTGTTTCACCTGTTGATTAAACTGTCAAGAGGTGGGCCCGAGTATACACCATCAAGTCTCTAAGGTCTTTGCCTTTTAAATACAGAATCCCAATTCACCCAGCCTTACAATGACATAACCATTGCATGCGCATATCACAATCTCCACTGCGCCGTCAAAAGCTTCACCCCTCCACCAATGCCACCCAAACAATTCCCCTACCGACGGAGCTCCAATGCCTCGGAAGATGACTTCTTCGACATCCCCGACGAGCCATGTCTCTCCATAGTCAAGCGCCAACTACGACATATCCGAACATGGGTCACGGTCGCCCTCATCGTGCTCTTTATACTGTGGCAACGCCGTGAACGTCCTCCACCGCCGCCCCTACCACATATCCACTACGACGAGGTAGACTGGTCGCGCTTTGCCTACACCCAGTATGCAACCAACGAGGCATACATGTGTAATTGCCTGATGGTATTCGAGGCGTTGCATAGACTTGGCAGTAAGGCGGACCGCGTGCTGTTTTACCCCGAAGAGTGGGACCTTGTTGTCGAGGATGATTATGATCGCGTTAGCCAGTTATTACTTGAGGCTAAACACAAGTACAAGGTGCTGCTGATCCCCATCAAGATCGAGGGAATCCAGGATGAATCGCGTGAGTTGGCCTGGAACTGTTTCAGCTGATTGAACACACACTTACATGTCACTCGTTTCATAGGCTCTGATTCCCAGGCTTCGTGGGATACTAGCACCGCTAAGCTCATGGCCTTTGGCGAGCACGAATACGACCGCGTTATCCACCTCGACTCGGACGTAATCCTCTTCCAGACAATGGACGAGCTCTTCTTCCTCCCACCTACCACTGCTGCCATGCCACGGGCCTACTGGCTTCTCCCGGACAAAGTTCTTTCGTCACTGTTGGTGGTCATTGAACCCTCTCTCCACGAATACCTCGCCTTGACCGAGGCGACCACGCTCGCTCAAAACGGTCAAGTTAATGTGAACCTGACAGAACACCGCTACGACATGGAGTTATTGAACAGGCGGTACGGGGACTCGGCGATGGTCCTCCCGCATCGGCAATATGGTCTATTGACCGGCGAGTTCCGAAATAAGGACCATCGCAATTTCCTGGGGAATGATGATGAGGTTTGGGATCCTGATCATGTCCTGGCGCAGGCTAAATTCGTGCACTTTTCGGATTGGCCACTACCGAAGCCGTGGATTATGTGGCCGCAGGAAATGTTGGCGGCCGAGCAGCCTAAGTGTGATAATAATCCTGGCACGCCGCAGGAGAGTGGATGTCGGGACCGGGAGGTTTGGAAAATGATCTATGATAAATATCGGCGACAACGAAAGGTATGTCAATTTACAAGAGTGGGGAACAATTGGCTTGCTAACTTGGTGTAGGATGTCTGTAAGTTGCTCAGTTACCCAGCGCCGGTTTGAGTAGAAACACTTTGATCAACTGTATACATATGGAGTGTAGGTAGATGGCGTTTGGGACATTGGCCTGTAAAAGAAAGACATGAATGATATAATGACATATTTTAAGATCGCAGTACCGGAATCAAATGCAATTGGATATCTCCGAAGATAGGAACACAACACCAAAACACCACGAATGCAACTCCATGCAGCCATCAAGCATACCCCATCCCCCTCCTCCACCAGTTCCACACCCCCCTTCTCGCCATGATACCTCCAAATTCCTTGACACTTTCAACCTCATCCAACCCCACTGGGAGATCCAACTCTTTGCCGTTTTTCTTCTCCCCATTACCATTCCCAGTCCCTTGTTTCCCCCCTCACTCTCCTCTTCCACCAACCCGGGCCTTGTCACCAGCTGGAAATCCTTATATCGTAGGCGACGCACAACATCAACCCAGCTCTCTACCCGCTCCTTCCCACCCTCCACGTACATGATACCGGGACATCCGCCGGAGCGTAGGAGCACGGCACATTGATGTGTATCTGCGGCACGTTTAAGTGCAGCTACCTTTTTGCGGGAGGTTATGTGATGGGTACGAATTAGAGCGTTATAGAGGGTTTGCATTTTTTTGGGTCGGAAGGGAGGAGAGAGGAAGTTGAGGCTGAAATTGGAAGCTTGGTTGGAGCTTGGGGCGCTAGGCTAGATTGGGACATTGGAAAGAAGCTTGGAACTCTTCATTTTGATGAAAGAGCTTGGTTTTAATATTGTTACTTAGGCTAATAGTGAAATGTGTTGATTCATTTTAGAATTACTCTGATCCTTTACGTATAATATACATCAAACGTTCCAATACTGCGCATTTTAAAAAAGAAAAGACACCTTAGGCATTAGTGCCTTAGGCAGTAATGCATGAATAATCGCCACGTGAGAAAACCTCCGATCGAAAAGTGCGGGGAATAGTGCAACGCATGTCTTGGGTCTCGTATATGTGATAGATAAGGTCCGAGAGTACTCCGTAGTGACGGGTATAGTCGGTCTGATATAAGCGCAAATTCTTCGAATTCTCGAGTAGATATAACCTAGGATTGTATTAGGTATATTCCGACCTTGGAAGGTTTGGGTCAGTTATATTAATAAGATTTCATAAATAGAGAATTAGATAATCCCAACATACACAATATAGGGTTAACGAGTTAGCCGTGGTAAAATAACATGCTTTCCATGGTTCATAATCACTTGAGAATGGTTCGGTGGATCCTTTACTCGTCTTGGCTTCCTTTTTTCGCCAAACAATCGCGCGGTGGCCGCGGATACCGAAACTTATTCTTTTTTTATATTCGAAATTTCTCCAGTGAACTGCCAAAATTGGTGAAAAGACGGAAAAAAGAAACTTTTCTTGATCCACTTACCGCCTGTCATTGGTTTACATGACATAATTCGATGTTCCCTCCAGGGCTGGGCTCTCCTATGGCCTCTGGATCTCAGGAACATCTTGATGATTTTGCGTCTCCACGTTCATAGCCTTGGCTTTCTTCTCAAACGATATATATATATTTCTTCTTGAATAGAACTGAATTCTCTTTTTTCCACATATCGTACAATCTCTGATATACGATGATTCCTGGCTTTCTCTGCTAAGTATATCATCGAAAGGGTCAATTATGCCCGCGCCTCTTCACCCTCACTCGAAGCATAGTTCTTCCTTTGCCACAGAAAAACACAACAATGATCCTCCGAGGGTGCAGGTCTCGCACGAAGATGAGACTATCCTCGCCGATATTCATCACACATTAACCGCCCAAACTCACCCGGATCCCAAATATCCGGAACCACATTCCTCTTTCGACAAGTTCCTTGAGGAACAAGTCCAGGGCAAGAAACCGGCAAACCTCGGCGTCTGTTTCAAATCTCTCTCAACTTGGGGTGATGGGGACTCCCACGCAGATGTAAAGACCCTCGGCACAGCCTTGTGGCGTACCTTCACCCTACAGGACATTTACGAGTGGACGATCCAGCCATGGATCGCTAAAAAGAAGCCCGAACAGGGGCGTCCGCTGATCAGAGACTTTTCTGGCGTCGTGCAGAGCGGGGAGATTATGCTGTAAGCAGGAAACCAACACGAATCAATCTTTACCGAATTTAGCCTAATGAAGCAATAGCGTTCTAGGCCGTCCTGGTGCCGGCTGTTCGACCTTTCTCCGAACTATTGCTGGCCACCACTCTTCTTTTCTGGGTGTCACGGGCTCAATTGATTACTCCGGTCTAAGCCCGGATGAAGTCAGGAAGCATTACCGTGGCGCCGTGGCCTACGTCCCCGAGGACGATGTGCATTTCCCGACTCTGACCGTGCGGCAAACTCTCGAGTTTGCATTACAGAGTAAGACCCCCAAGCGCTACCGGGAGAGGATTCCCCGGTACCTGGAGATCTATGGGCGTGTTTTTGGTATGTCGCATACGATGAACACGTTGGTGGGAAATGAGTATATCCGCGGTGTCTCCGGAGGAGAACGCAAGCGCATCTCTATCATTGAATCTCTCGCTACCGATTCATCGGTAGCATGTTGGGATAATTCCACAAGAGGATTGGATGCGTCCTCTGCACTCGACTATGCACGCAGTCTGCGTATCATGACCGATACCTGTGGCAAAGCGACATTGCTCACTTTGTACCAAGCCTCGGACGCTATCTACGAGCTAGTGGATAAGGTGCTACTCATTGACGAGGGCCGCATGTTATATCAAGGACCTGCCAATGAGGCGAGGCCCTACTTTGAAGATTTGGGCTACGAGTGCGCTGATATGCAGACCACGTCAGATTTTCTGACTAGCATTACCTTGCCTGAAAGACGGCGGTTCCGTGCTGGATGGGAAAACCGCGCACCTAAGGGCCCCATCGAACTCGAAGCCGCTTTTCGCCAGAGTGCTGCGTTCACTAAACTCGAGACAGCTATCGAAAGTTATGAAGATCAGAAGCTCACTGGTAGGTCTTCCGATGCCTATCCGGCGGGCTCAGAGTGCGACAGCGTAGAGATATTCAAAAAGACGGTGCAGAGTGACAAGTCACGCTTCGTCTCGTCCAAGTCGCCATACACGATTTCGCTCTTCCGACAGGTCGTTCTTTGCGCAAAGCGTCAGATGTGGCAACTGAAAGGCCACATGGGCCCACTATACATCAAGTTGATTTCTTGTGTGGTCTATGGGTTGTTAATTGGGTCTATGTTCTACGATCAGCCCCAGACGACCGAAGGTATGTACTCCCGTGGAGGTGTGCTTTTCTACTCTTCCATTCTGCTTGCCTGGCTGCAGATGTCGGAGTTGGAAGACGCCATGCAGGGTCGCGATATCTTGAGCCGGCAGAAGAAATTCGCGTTTGTAAGGCCCAGCGCCGTGTGTTTGGCCCGGGTGGTCTCAGATATGGTCGTCACCGCGCTTTTTACATTCTTGTATTTGATCGTCATGTACTTCCTGTCTGGTCTACGGACTGATGTGAGTAATTTCGGAATATCGACACAAACAGATACTGATTCTTCTAGGCTGGCCCCTTCTTCATTGACTTCCTCTTCATTTACACGTGTACGGTCTGCCTCACGGCGCAATTTCGTGTCTTCGCCGCTCTATCGCAGAACTTTGAAGTTGCCCTCCGCTACTGCGGAGTTTCTGTTCTGTTTTGCATCGTGTTCGGTGGCTACGTTCTCTCGGTTGACAAAATGATCCAAGATGTTCCCTGGGTCGGATGGCTTGCATACACCACTCCTGCTCTGTATACATACGAAGCAGTCATGGCGGCCGAATTCCATAACATGAATTTCACATGCGCGGCTGCATCCGTTATTCCATCCGGTTCGGAATATACGGACATCGCATATCAGACCTGTGCTTATGCTGGTAGTCAAATTGGCAGCACCGTCGTAAATGGCGACGACTACCTGGCTGTGAAATATGGATTTTATTACAGCAACGTCTGGCGCAATTTCGGGATTCTGTGTCTCTTCACCATTGCTTTTATTGGCATGACCTGCTGGTTGAGTGAGGTGCTCGAGTGGGAGCTGGACAGTGCTGGTCCTATCCAGTACAAAGGCTCGCACAAGCTGTTCAAGCGGAAGAAGAATGCTCAGCCTGATGAGGAGAAATCGCCAGTGTCAGTTGATTCTGCCGCGCCGCCTGTTGGCCACGAAACAAAGCCCGATCAGACACTCACAGCTACCGAGTCTACCTTTTCCTGGTCTGATCTGGAGCTCAATGTACAGATTGGAAAGGAGTCCAGAAAGATCTTGGATGGGGTTTGTGGATACTGCAAGCCAGGATCTTTGACTGCTCTCGTTGGAGCCTCAGGGGCAGGCAAGTCTACATGTAAGGTCCTCAAAGGAATGAATCCATTGCTTGATTTCTGACAACTTTTAGTGTTGACTGCACTCACCCAAAGAGATAGCCCCGGCACTTTATCTGGTTCTCTCTTCGTGGACAACCGGTCAATTGATCAGTCCTTCAACCGACAGATCGGATATTGCCAACAAATGGACATCCACGACGAAAGTAGCACGATCAAAGAAGCATTTGAATTCTCTGCACTACTCCGACAAAGCCACGAAGTTCCAACGGCGGAAAAGCTGGCATATGTGGAAACAGTGATTCACACATTAGAGCTGGTTGAATTGCAAGATGCGGTAATCGGTTCTTTGGACATCGAGAAGAAAAAGCGTGTTACCATTGGAGTGGAGCTGTGCGCTCGACCAAATCTGCTTCTTTTCCTGGATGAACCGACAAGTGGACTCGATAGCCAGGGCGCAACTAGTATCGTCGCTCTGCTACGACGTCTGGCTAACCAGGGACTGGCGATACTCTGCACCATCCACCAAGCTAACCAGCAACAATTCGAAGAGGTAAGTTGACCAACCACTGTGATCACCAATCAATATTAACAAGACCTCAGTTCGACCGCGTTCTGGCCCTGAGTCCTGGCGGAAGCACATACTACTTCGGTCCAGTCGGCGAATCCGGCCACGCAATCTTCGATTATTTCGCGAGACATGGCAACATTCCAGAAAAGGTCACCAACGCAGCCGATTTCCTCATCGAAGTAGTCGTCGGCAGCATGAAAGCTTCGGGAAATCAAACAAATTGGTCAGCCATCTGGCGCAACTCAGAAGAATACGCTGAAGTCAAGAACGAAATCGCGTCAATCCGTTCCGACAAGCATACCTGCTCCCCTTCCCTGCCTCCAGCCTTACCCCCTCTCAGCCAGCAGATCAAACTACTCACCCAACGGACCTGTCGCCAGTTTTGGCGTACTGCTGAGTACCCATACTCGCGTCTTTACTCTTCCTTCCTTCACGCTCTCTTCAACGGTCTCACCTACCTCCAGATCGGAAACAGTACCACGGACCTCCAGTCGAAGGCTTTCTCCTGCTTCCTTGTCCTGATGCTCGTCCCCGAGTTTATCAATGCTATATCTATGCGCTTTATCTTGAACCGCGATATTTGGTTAGCAAGAGAAGGTCCGAGTGGTGTATATGGCTGGGTAGCATTTTGCACAGCCCAGATCATCTCCGAGATCCCTTATTCCGTCATTGGTAGCGTGGTCTTCTTTGTCCTATACTATTTCATGGTAGGACTACCACTCGGCTTTGCAGCGGGATATTGTTTCCTGATGTTTTTCCTCTTCTTCCTATTCGCGACCTCGTGGGGTCAATGGATTGCCGCTATGAGGTGAGTTTAGTATCACCAAGTACCCTTTCTTTCTCGAAATGGTCAACTAACACATCCTGTCAATACATAGCGCTGACTCGATGATCGCCGCTACGCTCATGCCCTTCTTCATTATTATGTGTGAGCTTTTCAACGGTATTCTCCGTCCGCAATCCCAGATGCCGGCCTTCTGGAAGTACACTATGTACTACATCACACCGTTTACGTATTGGATTGGTGGTGTACTCACCTCTGTCCTTCGTGGTACCGCTGTCGTTTGCTCTCAGACCGAATTGACTACCTTTGAGAGTCCGCCCAACACTACTTGCAGTGAGTATGCAGGCGCGTGGCTTGAGACGAAGGGTGTTGGGTATCTCTCCAACCCGGATGGGATGGGTAAATGTGGATATTGTGAATATAGCTTTGGTGACGATGTGAGTTTTTTTTCCCCCTTGGAACCTCTTCTGGAATTGATGCTAATGTGTGGCAGTACTTGTCTGGAATTGGACTGGACTCTTCGAAGATCTGGCCGTATTTCGGTATCTTCCTCGCTTTTACCGTTACTAATTATCTGATGGTGTACTTGCTGGTTTACATGCGGTCTGTTATGAAGCCCTTTTGGCGATCAAAGTAGCTTTTCGCTGTTCTTTGATTTTTGGACGTACATCTGGCATAGCGTTGCGTATATATCAAAGTGAAATTCTGTTCGACTACTATGCATTCTGAGCTCGAGTTCCAACTCAATCCGAGCACCTCTGATTTTACCCGTCTCTTATCCATGTTGTCATATATCCCGCATCATATATGATTCATTTGCTCTTTGTTCCAGTAATAGAGACCTTGCACTCAATGTCCTTGCTGTTGATTGCTACCCATGAACATCTGTCATGATTTACTATGATCCTATTTTCATCTCATGATCTATTCCTGAGCTGTCGTACTCTGTGCCATCAGAAATGGTTATCCAAAATGCAGGTGGCGAGGACACCATTCGGGGGTTTCTATACTCCGGACTGAGCACACTAAGCCGGAAAGGGAAGTGCCAAGAAGTGACCGTGAACCTTATAAATCATGCCTGATTTTCAAGGCTTCCACATCACGAGCCAGACCACGTGTTGAGTTCGACGCCTTGGACCCGTCCAGAGACCTGGACTCCGTACGGAGGATAGACGAGGATGTGTTTCAAACATTAATGGATACCTGTAGCCATACAAGCCTCAAGCCGAATCCGCGATGAGTCACATTGGCAAAGCTTGACTCGCGTTATCAATCAGCCCCTGTCGGGGATAAGATCCTTATTACTAGAACGGGTATCTCCGAGACCGGATATGCCGTTTCGAGCAAGGCAACTTCATCCGTCTCATCATACATATGCGTCAAATAAGCCCTTCTATTTTAAAAAGGCCAGCTGTCAATGAACCGTCAGATGATTGTCCGAGACGTGGAGAGTATTTTAGGTTGGGAAGACGCGCTCATCTCCGACCAGGCACCAACGTCTCACCCATGTCTAGCGCCCCCAAGGACTTCCTGCGACAGAGGAAAATCAACCTGAAATCAGAATCATTTCACAACACTGAAAATGGAAGACCATCAGCATCTCTCTACAGATCATGAAGAGATTGAAAATCAATCTCGCGCTCCACAGCGTCGCCGCCGCCCGCCCTTGTCTTGTACAGTCTGTCGCAAACGCAAATTGAAATGTGACCGATCTCTGCCCTGCGGGCAATGCGTGAGATCGAAAACAACTTCTCACTGCGTTTTTGTCGGCGCCCAGCCCGGTGGTGTATCGGACTCTTCTCACCAACGTATGTCACCCCCGCGATTACCAAATGGTGGCGTGGAAGAGCAGTCCGGCCGAAAAAGTGGGATGTTCGTCTTTGACTCGAAATTGGGGCCAAATTCGACCTCGAATCGCATTTCGAAGCGTGGCCGTTCCGATGAGTTGCATGAACTCCGAAGTCGGCTACGTATTCTGGAGAATTCGCTTGGCAAGACATCGCATCTTCAAACACCTGAGACCTCGATTTGTGATGTGGTTTCTGAAGTTGATACGGCTAATAGTTCCGAGAACGTCGGCGTGGATGACCGGGTGCGATTCTTGCCAGATTCGAGTTTCCGCGGGAAGAAGGCTAAGACTCGTTATTTCGGTCGCAGCCATTATACCACGACTGTTTCTTTTGTGAGTATCTCGAATTGTATTGTGTGCTTAATTTGCTAATTGGATGTAGTTCCAAGATGTTGGTGCCTTTATGCGCCGTGGTCGTTGCCGCGGAGAAGGAAAGGATAAAGAGTACTGTGATATGAAAAAGTTCAAGACGGAGCTTTGGTCGCGCGAGACAGAAGATCATCAGCGAAATTTCCGCGAGCAGCCTTTCAAGCTTAATGATATGGTTCCACGGAAAAATGTTGCAGACCATCTACTTCAACTCTATCTTGACACTTTCGAGACGACATATCGAATCTTGCACACGCCGACTTTTTTCAAGCAGTATGCCGATTACTGGGCCAACACCCAGCCAATTGACATGGCTTTCGTCGCTCAGTTACTCGCCGTGATGGCTGCTGGCAGTTGTTTTTATGTCCCACCTCCAGGCCAAGACGACCGAGACATCTTCCAGAAACCAGCCATGAAGTGGATCATGGCCGTCCAGTCATATATTTCGTGCACGTTTGTGAGCCCGGATATTGACTTCCGAATGCTCCAGACCCAATCTCTTCTTCTAGTAGCTCGGCTTGGAGTCGCCAGTGACGGGGATGTTGCCTGGGCCTCTGCCGGGTCGCTCATTCGGTCTGCGACGACAATGGGTTTGCATCGCGACCCGACTCGCTTCCGCAAGGCTCGACCATTTCACTCTGAACTACGCCGTCGCCTTTGGGCAACTATAGTCGAACTGGACCTCAAGATCTCACTCGACCGCGGTGTTCCGCCATCAGTTGACCTAGACGAATGCGACTGTGATCCACCGTCCAACTGGGACGACGCAGACTTGACACAGGACATGGAGAATGATCCTGCTCCACTCAGCACTGCCCTTTATACCCAAAACTTCTATCAAACTCTCCTCACCAAGACTCTCCCACTACGTTATCGAATTGCCAAAAAAATCAACAGTCTTCGATTTAATCTATCTTACGACGACGCCCTACGAATGGGCGAGGAACTATCCCGTAACATGCAACATGCATCCTCCTTATTTGAGGACAACGCCCTGAGCATCACTCCGGGAGAACCAGGACGCCACCGTTTCGCTCAATCCCTTTACCTCTTTATAATGCGTAAATTTCTCCTCGCCCTCCACCGCCCCTTCTCACTCAGTGTTGCGCGTCTACCCAAATGCTCCTACTCCCGCAAAATCTGCCTTGAAGAATCCCTCGGCATTCTCTCCCAGATGGAACTTCCCCCTCGACAGAGGACACTTTCTACCCGAACATCACCCAGCTGGGCAGCGGGATGTTCCGCGATGAAACCTTCCACGCCGCAATCACCGCCTGCGTGGAGCTATCCCTCCAAGCCAATGAAATGAGTACGTCTGCTTCCGCCGGGATGGTTGGCGTCAACTCTAGCGTGCTCATGAGCATGATCCAGTCCCAGCAAGGCGTGATGTTGCAGGCCGTCGAGCGTACCGCCGATAATTTTGGAAGACGCATTGGTCCCGGTGGGAAAGGATGCAAGCCTTTCTTCTTTTTGGATATCATCCTTGCTTCGGTCAAATCCCGCATCAAGGGCGAGGATCCTCTGTGTAATGTCGATACGTCTTCAAAGCGGTGCGTTCGCATTTGCAGGGCAATCTTGAATGGCCTTACATACGATGAGGCGAAGATGAGTGTTGATAGTCGCCCGGTTCAGGTTGGTACCTCCGCTTACACCTGTGTGTCTACCATACCTAACGTTCCCGTTCAGGCTTCCATTCCTTCTGGGACGACCCCGACTTCTGCTACACCGAGTGATATAGATCCTGCGTCGCTTCTGTCGAATGATTTTAGTGATTCTACTGTAAGTTATCGTTCCTTGGATGCTGCTTTGGGCTCTGCTAACCTTTCACAGCCAATGGATTTCGGTGGCTGGTTTGACGGATTGGATTACACTGGACCAGAGTTCTGGGATTGGGACACCGAATTGTCTGCCAATTTTCCGACATTCTCATGAATTATGAAGCTATTCCCCGACAATAATGCCAGCGCTTGATGGCTTGTGATATCACTACTCAATGTCATTCTCTCTACTCTCATGACCAAAAGAAGACATTTTTACATACTTAATTAGAAAATTGATTAAACATTTGCAACCTATATTCCTCTATAGATGTAGCCACCCTCGCCCCCCCAAGCCCTCAAGCCCTCAAACACTCTCTATCTCTTTCCCCATTTCCCGAGTGACAACTCGCGAACAAGCCCGATCAACAAAAGTCTTCCTCGAAATCTTGACATAACTCTGAACCAGCCTAACCAACAACAGATATTAGCAAAAATGCCTCTGTAGACCGGAATAAGTATACTCACGCTTGATACCGTTGAATGTTCCGAATCTCCATACCCGCCAAATCCCCCAGTGCATCCTGCACATCGCGCACCAAACTTATACACCGCCCCATACTGAAATCCGTCCTGACAACAGCCCGCATCATGCCCATCGTCTCACAGTCAGCAGCCATAGTATAAGCTGGGACAATCCATCCCCTCTCGCGCAGTTTCCGCGCAAGCGCCCATTCGTCGAAGAAGACGTTCTGTGTGGGACTCAACCTGAACGCGACAACCGGTAAGCCGTGCCCACCCCCTTCACTCATGATGATGAAGCCCATCTCTTGCAGTTGACTGGCGAGGTAGTCGGCTGTTTTCGTGAGATTCATCATGATGTTTGTGTAGCCGCTTCGGCCCAGTCGTATTAGTTGGTAGTACTGGGCTATGACATGCGATGCTGGTTTGGAGAAGTTCATTGTGAAGTTGATTTGCTCGGCGCCTAGGTAGTCAATGTTGAAGACAAGCTCTTCGGGGAGGAACTCTGGTGACCGCCAGAGGGCCCAGCCGATGCCGGGGTAGACCTGTGGGGATGAGAGATGAGCATATTGAGCAGTCGTGGAGTTGGGTGTGATGCCATGGATGTACCTACAAGTCCGTACTTATGCCCAGAGACATTGATCGAGACGACGTTGGGTAATTTGAAATCCCACACTAGATCCGGGTTCACGAATGGAGCCACGAATCCACCGCTGGCGGCGTCTACGTGGATTGGGGTGTCCAGTCCTTTCTTGATGAGAAGCTCACTGATAGCTTGTACATCTTCGTACTGGCCTGTGTATGTGGTGCCGAGAATCGCGCAGATTCCGATGGTGTTCTCATCGACCATATCAACGGCTTGGACTGGGTCAATCACGTATCGCGTCTCGGTACATGGGACTAGCTTCTCGGCGATACCGAAGTATCGGGCTGCTTTTTCCCAGCAGACTTGGACGCCGCTACTCATGACGATGTTTGGGGTTGAGGCATCTTTCCCCTGGGCCTTGCGGTTGATTTCCCAGCGCTTCTTCATTGCTAGGGTTGCGATCATGATAGCTTCGGAAGACCCGATACATGATGTGCCAAAGGCGGTTGGATGTCCATCCGAGACTGGCGAGTGGAATAGATCGGCGAGGATGTTCAGACAGCGGTGCTCGATTTCGACGGATTTGGGGTATTCTTCGTGGTCGATGATGTTCTTGTTTGATGATTCGGCGAGTAGTTTGAGAGCTTCATCTTCCTGTTGGATTGTTAGTGTCGGTCAATGATCGCACGGGAGATTGAAATACCATGTATGTGGTCACAAAACTAGCGAGGCTATATTGAACAGTATGTCAGTGTCGTTTCGGCATACTTGAGAGATATACTTACTTCAAGATCGGCTGGCCATCCAGGGCCAAGTCATCTTGGATTAGTTGGTAGGCCACCTCTTTTGGCATCCCACCGTCCGGCAGTTGATGCGATGGCATAGGCATGGTAGCGAATCTGGAGCCATAGACATAAGAGCAGTCGTTCTGGTCAGAAAGCTGCCCGTCTAATTCCTCTATAGAACCCATTATGCAATGAAATGTGTAGCTTCAAATTGATATTCGGATTGAGATTCAAATTGTAATAATCGTGATACTGATGCCCCAGCTCTACTCCCTTGAATTTATATTGTTTCTCACAGTTTAAAAAAATCTCTCATAGCTAAATCGTGTGATAGAGTTCTGAGGCATTTATTGACAGAGACATCATGATCAGCGCTATGGTAAAAGAAAAAGGGGGCTTCCATGCCGTTTCACGTTGGGCCAGTTGGGCATTTGGGTTCTTTTGTCTAGTTCGAGGTATATAGATGACAACGTGATGGACATCACCGCACCCATTTGATACTATACTCGATACACTATCTATGAGTTTCAAAGAAATCGGACTCCACTTGAGAACAGCCAAGACCTTCTCGAAAACGGTAGTATAGTCTATTCACAACCGTTTTGAACCCCCTTCTCAACTGGTCGAATGAGGAATGCCCCTTGTTATTCTTTTGAAATTGGAACATTCTAGCCCTGGATCGAGTTAATGTTCATTCGAAACGGAGGACTCCGTCCCCCGTAAAGATAATGCAAATACCGTGCAATTTACTCTTTGCCACATCAAGGCAAGCAGGTTTCCCTTGATCGGCCCCTGATTCGGGAGATGTTCAGCCCCTTCTCGGGCGCATCCGGCCCGAAAGGCCGAGAATAGGGGGCGCAGCACAGATCGAATGCTTTTCTCATCATTTAGGTCAGGCAGCAAGACAGGCAGCAAGATATTAAATTGTGGCGAGGCCACAGGGCTGGATCTATTTACAGCTTACTGTGGCTTTCATTGTACGGAGTATAGGATTCGAATACCCTGGCATCCCCCGGTATTCTCTTGTTGTTATCTTTTTTATAAGTACTACGTAGTATGAGGCTTGGAATATCTACTTCACGCGGTTTGACGTTCCTGAGCCTAGTAGCTGCCCTTGATATATATGACACGTAAACAGAGCACATCCCTTACTCCGGAATTTAGGCAAGTCGCGGAAAGGTCAACAACAGAGCAAATTATTGCATAGTGCAATTACACACAGAGAAGGGAGCATTCTTGAATGAAACTGTCATGCATTTGCGCGATTTAGATAGACCCGTACCATGCTGTGTCTTGTTCTTACCAAAATCAGTTCTTCGCTTGCGAGAATAGGATGCTGCACCCAATTCTGGATCTGAGTAGAGTCAATGTGGTCCTTTCCTTATTGGGTAAGACCTGGACTGCTATACCTAGTATTGCTTTTGATTAATGGTTCTAGGAATATATATCCTGATTTTTGGGTTCATCGCCGTGAAAATCAAGCAGAGATGGTATCTCGGTGAAGCTTGTATGATATCCTTCAAGTCCATTGAATATTGGTCGCTGATGCTATTCAGTACCCTCTTTTATAGTCGGGACTGTCATAGGACCATTTGGTGCGAAGTTGATCAATGTTAGTCAGTGGGGAGGAGGCGACAGCGACAGTGGTGACATCGTCTATGTAGGTCAGGCTTTTGGCCGCAAAGGAAAACACCAAACTAATTTTCCAGGGGCTGACTCGATTGGTGATCGGAATCGCGATGGTCAAAGTCGGTTATGAGCTACCCAAACGATATCTGCGGCTTCATCTGGTCGAACTCACCATTTGCCTACTGCCGTTGATGACGATCCAGTGGCTGACGACGTCGGCATGTATCAAACTAATGATCCCTGGTCTATCCTTTGTGTGTTCATCTTCTTAGATCTGAGGACCCCTCACTAATCCTCATGCAGTTGACTGCTCTCATCATCGGATCGTGTGTTATATGCATCGACCCGGTTCTCTCACAGGCTGTCGCCAAGGGCCCCTTCGCAGATCAATATGTCCGACGACATCTGCGCGAATTTATTTCTGCCGAGGCCGGCGGGAATGACGGGTTCGGCTTTCCATTTCTGCTTCTCTCCATTGCCCTTCTTCGTTATGCCGATGCCCCGGGTATGGAGACCGTAAAAGCTGGTACTGGAGAAGACAGTCGGGATTGGATTGGTGAGCCGGATACCGGTCGATTGGGGGGAGATGTAGGCCGGGCTTTGGCACATTGGGCCGTTGAGGGAGTGCTGTACATGCTGGTCATGGGTGCTGGATATGGTGTGCTGGTCGGGTTCTTAAGCCGGAAAGCCTTGAAACTGGCCTCAAAAAGGTACGTGTATACATTGTGTGGGCTGAAACATTTTTGAATTCCACAAAATGGCTAATGATGTATGCAGACATTGGGTTGACAAGGAGGGCTTCTTCTCATATCCTGTTGCGATAGGTGTAAGTCATCCTTGGAAAGTGGTAGAACAGACGCTAAAATGACTTGCAGTTGTTCATCGTCGGTACCTGCGGCTGCTTTGGCTCCGATGAAACTCTCGCCTGCTTTGTTGCCGGCTGTGCATTAAACTGGGATGGGTCTTATCACTTCGAAGTTGAAGAGAGACATGACTCCTTCAATTTCACAATCGAAAACCTCTTGAACATTGGAACTTTTATGTTCCTCGGAGCTATTATGCCATGGAATCAACTTCACATGCCGAGCCAGACTGGAATCACCGTCGCTCGACTAGTCGGGCTCGGATTTTTGATTCTAATCTTCCGTCGGATGCCAGCAATTATGATGGGATATCGATTCATGACCAAGATCTGCGACAACTGGAGAGAGGCCTTGTTCATGGGGTACTTTGCCCCGATTGGTATGTTATACAGATGAGTTATCCAAGTGCAGTGCTTACAGGGTTCAGGAGTTGGCGCCATTTCGTATGTCGAGTATGCGCGACGATTGTTGCCGGATCCTGGAGAGAGCGATACGGAGATTAACAACTTGACTGCCGCTATGATTCCAGGTACGATACTCTTATACCTTCCAACAGCGTATACTGATGATTTTAGTGGTATACTGGCTGGTCTTCTTTTCCATTGTCATCCACGGTTTATCTATACCAGTCCTGAACTGTCTCTATAAGTGGTTCAAGGTCCCTCCTGTCCGAGACCACCCGGTAGAAATCATTCTGCTATCTGAAAAAGAGCCTGTTCCTAACAACAGTGTGGTGGATCACTGTGGCTACTCTGTCATACTCAACAACCGATTTTCTCGTTCCTCAAAGCAGCATGCTCATTCTGGTCATGGTAATCCACACCGCAATGGAACAGACACTATGGTCCTACGTCGCAGCGGGGAAACTAGCCATAGGAGCTCGTTGGAAAGGGCATCGACGAAAGGTTCGTCGCGCGAACTAGAACAGACTATATCTGCCAGAAATGTAGTCTAAACGGTCGACGGGATTTCATATTATGTGAACAATTTGATACCTTTGTTTGGATTTCAAACTCCTATAAAACAAGGAGGGTAGGCAGATATTCAAAAAATTGTAGTGCAATTGATAGAATGTTGACTAGTACTTGTAGCCCTGTATATTCGGGAGTACCTTATATAGATAGCTTTCAGTGAGATATTTACTCATGACCAATCTTTCCATCTCGCTCGCTTCTTTGATTTTCTATCCTTCGCATGGAAAAAGACATTATTTTCTGGAGTTTCCGAGTCTACTCAAGCTGGGAAAACACTTAGGCCGGAGGTCTCCTCGCCAATTCACTTCATCCAAGACTGTTTAGGGAGACTGTATTCAACGTAAAATAAACACTCGAGAGAAAGAAGGTCTCGGACGTCTAAAAAGAAAAATACACAGGTCAATGTTGCATATATTCTGATTGGTGGAAGAACCCTCACTGCCTTAAGGCGCATATTCACCAGACGGGAGAATGAATCCCCGTCCTTACGATGAACTGCAGCAATTCCAAAATGTCCAACAACCTGACGCCTCTCGCGCAAGCTTCTCCGGAGTCCCCGCAAAGCCCTAAGCCCTTGGCGAAATGCGGAGAAAATGACTCCATTCACTGGGTCTATACAAATGAGCCAACTCGCTCTTCCACAACCGGCCACAGGCCCTGCCAATTACCCCAAATTGGTGAAATTGCTTTTAACAGGCGGAGAAATCTCTTTCCTCCCGTGCCGTTCCCCAGATATCGTTAATCTGGGGAAGGATATGAGCTCCATTTTCCTGAGCCGACATTCCGGGGTAGTCTTATAAATTGTCAGGGATGCCCTCTCCCATGGATCAAGTATCAACCGAGCCTATCTCGCTATAATGAAGTTTCTCGCTATTGGTGCACTCCTGCTCAGCACAGTCAGTGCTCTTGCCACAGAGCATATTATCAAAGGGGCCCAGATCATCCCAGCCAGCGATACGTCGGCGTTGAAGAAGATCGGTGCTCATGGACATCACAAACACCACGACCGTCGAACAGTGACTATTCGGTCATCCAGAAGCGACACCGATGATATCTCGGAAGATTTCCTCTGGGGTATTAAGGCTGCCAATCACGGTGGCAGACTTCTCTTGAAGAAGGGAAAGAAGTATGTCATTGGTAAGAAGCTTGATCTTAGCTTCTTGAATGATATTGAAGTGCAGCTGGAGGGTGAAATTAAGGTACATCACCCCAATACGGTAGAATTGAACCGCTCTGACATGAAATAGTTCACTGATGATATTGACTACTGGCAAGCAAACAACTTCTACTACTCATTCCAGAAATCTATCACTTTCTGGGTCTGGGGTGGTCAGGATATCAAGATCTTCGGAAAGGGTACTCTGAATGGTAATGGCCAGGAATGGTACAATGCCTTTGCTGGTCTGGAAGTTCTGGTGAGCATGAATTCCAAAAGAGTTGGAAAGAGGTGCTGATGGAGAATTTCAGGACCCCAACAACACTTTCTACCGTCCTATTCTCTTTGTGACCGACAATGCTACGCGTGTGTCCGTTGAGGGTATCACTCAACTCAACTCCCCCTGCTGGACCAACTTCTTCGTCCGTACCAAGGATGTCTCTTTCGATGATGTCTTTATCAACGCCTATTCCACCAACATATCTGTAAGTTGATGATCTGATACCATGACCAGCCAAATCTAATCATCCTCTGGTAGGCTTTGCCTAAGAACACCGACGGATTTGACTCCTTCAATGTGGACGGCCTCAGTGTGACCAACACTCGTGTCGATATTGGCGATGACTGTTTCTCGCCCAAGCCCAACACCACCAACATTTTTGTGCAGAACCTGTGGTGCAACAACACCCACGGTGTCAGCATGGGAAGTATCGGACAGTACTCGGGAGTCGAGGACATCATCGAAAATGCCTGGATTGAGAACGTGACTCTGTTGAACGGCCAGGTAAGATCCCCAACACACTCATCTTTGAGCAATTGATCCTAATCGTCACCTCAAGAACGGTGTCCGTCTCAAGGCCTGGGCTGGAGAGAACGTCGGCTTCGGTCGCATCAACAACATCACCTACAAGGATGTTCGTATCGAAAACACCGACGCCCCTATTGTGTTGGATCAGTGCTATTTCAACGTCGACGAGGCCACATGTGCCAAGTATCCGTCATCCGTCAATTTCACCAACGTTGTCTTCGAAAATATTCATGGCACTTCCTCGGGCAAGAATGGCAAGGTGATTGGCGACTTGACTTGCTCACCCAATGCCGTGTGCTCGGGTATTCAGCTCTCTGAGATCGATATTACCAGCCCGGCTGGCGGTCCTCCTGTCATTACCTGTGATGGTATCTCTGGAGATATTGGCGTGGAGTGCCAGTCAAGCTCGGCTTAGAGAGAATAATGATTTTGGAGATACTAGTAAATAGTCAAATAGTCAAATAGTGAATCAAAAGTACGAATGAAAGACAAATCCCATGTTCTGATTAGGAAGTGTGATCCGACATACATCCGACAGGTATGTCCGACGGAGTGGTGATCTCCGAACCTCAACATCCAACCGGATGGCATTCAACTATCAGGCCATTGAATTACCAGGCTCACTGCAGGTCTCAGCCAGTCACTTATTCTACTCATCCTGCTTCGTACTTTGACTGCACTTATTCTGCACAATATGGTGATAGGAGCTTTGACCCAACACTCTCGGCCCCGACATCACAACAAAGCTGCGGATGTGGAGAGTCAAGACTCTTAGCAGCTCCATCTGAGACTCCCAGCCAATTAAACCGAGACCAAGCATTGTCCAGTCTCTTCCCCGAGAGAAAATAGATGTTGATATCCGACCGGGCCGACGTTCCCAAAAAACAGCAATGGGGAAGATTCAAAAACCAAGCGGTCCTCCTCGATGACATCTCATGCTGCATACCGTCTCATCATGATGAACAGGATCAACCTCATACTGGCTTATTCTCTCTCTCCCCACACTCCCACAATCGGAGTGGTATACCGGCTGAGACTATATCCGCCCCCTGTCCTTGGTCAGATGTATGGTGATTTGTTAGGAATGGCCTAGGATTCAATATCCTAGTATCCCTCGTTCAATGCCTGGAACACTGGCAAATCTCTCCAATCTGGGGACGTATCCACACTCTCCCCCCTTTCCCCCACCCCCAGATCCCCGGAAAAGGCGGATTACGGGGAAAGGACGGGATCCCCGATCTTACCGGGTCTCTGCTATAAGAACGACGGATAGTTTCTCGACTTTTTCTTCTTTCTTCTTCTCTTCGTCTGTGCTATTATCTTCCCACAGATCCTAGCCTTTATATTCAACATGGAGAAGATAAATAGTCAGCATCAGCACGTTGAGGGTGCAAATGCTAGTCAAATGATGGAGTCTGCAAAGCAATGCGATTTTTACGTCGAAGATCGAGTCGCTCATTTGTCCGAGGAACATCGCCAGTATCTTCTTGCGAAGCATGGAACACTGGATCTGGACCCTATCCCTGACATGACCGATGCCGATCCATACAATTGGCCGAGATGGAGGGTGAGAGACCACTCAACGTCTATCACCAATTCATTTTGCGATCTTAAATCTAACATGATGATTGAATAGAAAAACTTGAACTTGACCCTAGTCGCCTTCCACGCCATGATGGGCACATTCACTGCCTCCTCAATCCAATCTGCATTCGAGAATATCTCCGAAGATCTCGACATCAGTATGCAGCGAACCAGCTACCTCGTCTCCTTATTTATCGCCGTGCTAGGTGGCGCGCCTCTCTTTTGGCGCCCGCTGTGTAATCGCTATGGTCGCCGGCCCATCTTTCTGATCTCACTGATTTGCAGCCTGATTGGGAATATTGGATGTGCAAAGAGTCCTTCCTATGCAACCATGGGTCTGTGCCGTGCTATCACTGCCTTTTTTATCAGCCCTGCAGCTGCTATTGGTAGCGCTGTTGTTGCGGAGTCTTTCTTCCGACAAGATCGTGCTCGCTGCATGGGTGCGTGGACACTGATGGTTACCCTGGGTGTCCCCGCTGCTCCATTTATCTTTGGATTCGTTGCTTTGCGTGTGGGTTATCGCTGGATTTATTATATTTTGGCAATTGTGAGCATTCCTCGACCCCAGCCTCTGGTAGATAGCCCAGTCTAACCATTCGCTTCAAATAGGTCAACGCAATTCAATTCGTCACCTACTTCCTATTCGGATCGGAATCCCTCTACGTCCGCAGCAATGTCCCCTCCGGCAATGTTACTGCCGCCAAGCAGAGTCTCTTCCGATTCAGCCGCGTTGATCCTACACCGTTGACACTTTGGGATTTTGTTCAGCCCCTGAGCTACGTGATGAAACCATGTGTGATCATCCCAGCCGCCGCCTATGCAATGATCTTCCTTTGGGGCAGTATTGCGCTCACAATCGAGATTTCCCAAATCTATCCTTCCAAGTTTGGCTTAAATACCCAGCAGGTCGGTCTACAATTTCTCGCTATTATCATCGGGTCTGTCATCGGGGAACAGATTGGCGGATTTATTTCCGACCGCTGGATGCTTCTGCGTCAGAAGCGGACTGGAGAGCCTTCCCCGCCAGAATACCGGTTGTGGTTGAGTTATATTGGCCATGCCTTGACGATCTGTGGTATTGTGGTTTTTGCCATCGAGATCCGGGACTCGGGCGGCGCATGGACTATCGCTCCCATTATTGGCGCCGCAATCGCTGCTGGTGGTAATCAGATTGTCACTACGATCGACATTACTTATGCGGTTGATTGTTACCGTGCGGATGCTGCCAGTGTGGGTGTCTTTATCACCTTTGTTCGGCAGATCTGGGGCTTCATTGGTCCTTTCTGGTTCCCTCAAATGTTCGAGATTGTTGGCTGGGCTGGTGGTGCCGGTATTGCCGTTGCCCTCATGGTTGGTGTTAGCATTGTTCCAACTATCTTGGTGCAGTGGCGAGGAGCTTCATGGCGTTAATTGCCGAGGACATATAAATGCTCTTTTTATCAACTAAAAAGGGAATGTAGATGTTCACATAGCATTCTAATCTACTTGATAGTATTGAGATATGGAGTACAATATACCCGTGGTACTACCGTGCAATGCTATATTGATACAATCTTACTTGAATCAGGTATACTACATGTCAGATCCTGGTTTCCCAACTATTATCAACACGGGAATCCTTCTATACCGGGGAACAGCTTGGCAATGACTGTCGACTTTGTACTATTTCCCACTCTTCTGCTTCGGGGCTAAGTCGGGAATAAGCAAATTACAAGCCGCTGAGAGGAAGCCGAAACATGCGCTATACATTACGCCGCCCAGTGTCCAATGTGCTGCATAGCCTGGGCTGGCCTGGATGAGTAGACCATAATGGAACAGAGGACATCGCCGTTGACCGCTATGCTCTATAATCCCCCTGAACTACTTGTGTCTCATATCCAACTTGTCATATGGATCAACTACCAGGGATCTTGCAACAAGTCCTTGTCGATATGCATTCTTCCTACCAATTTACATCTGTAAGCTGTTAACATAGATACAATATACATAAAATAACAAATCGTCAATCATCAACCCATATCACTACCACTCATCAACCCTCCGCATCCTCAAATGCATTCCCTCAACTGGCTTAATAGTAACAGCCCCTGCAACATGAATCACCTGCTTGGGGTCCTGCATCTCAAACACAAACCGTCCAACAACGCCAGCAACTGCACACCGCAACTCCGCACGCGCAAAGTCCTTCCCAATACACGATCTCTGTCCGTGCAGGAACGTAATCTGCGCAAAATTTGTCGATGCTCCACCATTATTGTTCGGGATACAGTGTTCGTTCTTGTCCGTATCGATCCAACGCTCAGGAAAGAATTCTTCCCCATTCTCGCCCCAGAAAAGTGGGCTCCGATTAATTGCCCACGGACATAACACGACCCGGGTACCCTTCGGGATGTACTTTCCTGCCACAACGGTGTTGCGGACCGATTCACGTATTGTTGTTGGGACTGTTGGGTAGAGGCGGAGGACTTCTTGACAGACGCCGTTTAGCAAAGGGAGGGATTCGAGGTCTTGGTAAGTGATCGGGCTGTTTCCTGATGGGATTTTGGAGCGGATTTCATCGCGGAGGCGGGTTTGGTATTCTGGATGGAGATGGAGGAGGTAGCAAGCCCAGGTTAAGGCGCTGGCGGTGGTTTCGTGCTGTGGGGATTAGTTATTCGCTCAAGTAGCAATGCAATTGCACTGAAAGACTCACTCCAGCAGCCAAAAATGTCAACATCTGATCCACCAACTCCGTATCCGAAAAATCCCCGCCAAGCATCATCGTCCCCAGGATATCAGCCTCCAGGTCCTGAGCTGAAATCTTGGAATCAGCAAGACTAGCTCGCTTCTCGCGCACAATCTCATCACATGTACTGCGCAGATACGCCGTCTCAGTATTCAGTACATCGTTCATCCGCCACGGCACACGCCTCGCCATCCACTGCGGCAATGCAAAATTCATTACTAGGAACGCCATCTTCTCCTTGGTTGGCTCGAGGATCTTTGCGAAGCTGTCGGCCACTTTGTTTCGTTTGTTATGCAAGGAGCCAAAGTCACGCCCCATTGCTATAGGCCCTATTATATCGAGTGTGAGACGGCTACATACATACCTGTTAGTCTACTATGTTTCGGGAATCTGATCCGATACTTGTCAAACGTACCTCGCCCATTCAGCCATCTCAATTTTACCCTCCTGGTCCTCTGGGCTCGTTCCATCCATTGGGCTCATCTTGATCTCCTTCTCCAGTTCATCCAATAACTGTCCGGTCTTGCTCCACATGAGTGAATACATCGAGCGGATATTCTTAATATTAAAGGCGGGCGTGAGTGCTTTACGCTGCTTCTTGTGCATTGCACCTTCCGAGGTAATCATCCCGAATCCGATGATCCGGGCGAGGAAGTTACGCATGCGCCATGGCTTCTCGAAATCGTATGTGTTTGTGCTCATCACATCTAACAAGGCCTGATGGTTGGTTGGGATCACATAACTTTGGTTGAATGTGTCACGCATATGAATCAGCCCTTCATTTGGGACGGTTTTCATCCACTGGAGGGGTTTTGTTCCTCGTGGCGAGTCGAAGATGAGTTCTATATGTGAGCCCTGTACTCCGTGTAAGGTTAGTATTTTGTGTATATGTATTTTTATTCTTGTTTTTGTTCCTACCTGGACTTTTGGTAGATGCCGCATCGGATTTAGTAAGAAGGGCCATATTATTACGCTGTAGAAGGCTTTTAGGAGGATGTTTACTACAAGTGCGATGAGACAGATTCTTTGGAAGGTATTGTTGGTCAAGATAGTTCGTTGGAGGAAATACGCCTCGGCAAGGGTGAATGCCCCTATTGCTGGGATACTGTCACCAAGGGCCATTTTTGGTTTCTCTGAATGGTGTTGAAAGAGACAAGAGCCTCGGATTCAGTCGAGGCTCATATACCCCGTACTAGTCATTTCCTCCATTGAACATACCCCACAGAGATCGACACTCCTGTAGGGGCGACCAATGCGAGACCTCGGCTCTATGAACCGCCATTATTTGGATCTGCGCGTTAGCGCTTTTCACATTGCAGCAGTGGGGAGTTCTGAGACATGTGCACTATGTCAGCTTGTCAAGCTAGACTCAGTATTTTAGTATATTGAGAAAACGTCGAGTCATACCATCATACCATTGAAACCAGTGTAGCCAATATATCACCGACTGGACTCCAAAAGATCCCCCGGGATTAGGGCTGGGATAATGCGGGGGATGCCAAGAGACATGTGAAAGGACATGTTACGGGATATACGGCGTCAAGAGAAGTCAAAGAGAAGAAAGAGAAAACAGGCGATACAGAGCATTCAACAAATTCAAGTCTAATTGGAAGATGTCATAACTGTCGATCTATTGTGGACCCGTCTCGCGACTCTCGCATCGATTTCCTGACTGGGAAAGCTTTATGTGAAGCCTCGGCTGGATATACTCGAGGTTGTATGGCAATGATCCTAAAGGTCCTTATGATCCTTGTTACCCTGACTATCAATATAATCCGATCATTTACCTTCCGATGACCTCAACCCCAACCTCACTTCATCTATAATCAAACAGCAAAAATGTCTACCCTCGATCTTATCACCAAATACGCTGAAACAGCTCTATCCCATCTCCCAGAGCCTACCCAACATCTGTTCCGCAACCCAACAACCCAAAAGGCTCTCGGTGTTCTCGCCGGCCTTGTCCTCCTCCGCGCCACAAACCGCTTCCTTTCAAAACGCTCCTTGCAAAACTGGACCTCCAACCAACCATGGATCCCAGCCCATGAGCTCATCTTGCTTACCGGCGGCTGCAGTGGGATCGGCAAGCAAGTTATGGAAGATCTAGCGCGCACAGGCGTGCGTGTAGTCATCCTCGACATCAATGAGCCGACTTTCACCCTTCCCGCCAACGTCTCTTTCTATAAGGCGAATATCACTTCCTCGGCTGATATCGCGGAAGTTGCGCGCACAATCCGGGACAATCATGGCGAGCCCACGGTCTTGATTAACAATGCCGGTGTGGGCCACGAGGGGACTATCTTAGATGAGCCTGAGGAGAAGATCCGGCAGACATTCGAGGTCAATACCCTCTCCCATTTCCTGATGGTGAAGGAGTTCGTGCCAGCTATGGTGAAGGCAAACCATGGTCATATCATTACAATTGCTAGTATGGCAAGCTTTGTGGCACTCGGCGAGATGGTGGATTATTGTTGCTCCAAAGTTAGTGCGCTTGCGTTCCACGAGGGACTGCGTCAGGAATTGAAGTATTGGTACAATGCGCCGAATGTGCGCACCAGGTGAGTTACTGAGTTATCCTATGGTCGTATCTCGGTGGGCATCTTGCTAACTTGTTGCTGTAGTGTTATTCACCCCATGTGGGTGCGTACACCCATGATCAAGGTACTCACTGATAACGAGGAGCATTTCAAGCAGCCTATCATGACCCCCCCAGGTCGTGTCGGATGCTATCTGCAAACAGATCTTGACTCAGAGTAGTGGCCAGATTATCTTGCCTGCTAGTCAGTCGGGCGCTAGTTTGGTGCGTGCTATGCCGACCTGGATGCAGGAGGGTGTGCGCACTTTTGCGTCGAGTGCGTTTGTTAAGATGCGCGCTGCGCAGCAAGTGCAGAAGGCGTAGTAGATTTTCTCTTCTTCTCTTTATGGAAATTCCACACGATATGTTTATGCTGTACCTATTTTGAATTTGTATACGGGCTTAATACACATAAATTTGAGAATCGAGGAAATATCACAGGCTGGTCCATGACATTATAGTGTTTTTGAGCAATAGTGATGCTTGTGGATGTAATATTGTCTACGACTGCATAGCTGATCCGTGCCATGCCTGTATTATGTCTTCAACATAGTATCTACAGCTACTGTCCATATACAATCACATCAACTGGGTCAAGAATTCCTCAACCTTCTTCCCCTGCTTCGTCTTGGTATTATCCCTCAACTCCAAATGAAAAACAGGCGCAACATGACACTCCCCTTGTCCAATAAAAAACTCCACATTCTCAAAGCCCTTCTTAAACTTCTCCGCAAGGTCCTGGATCAAAGGCAACATGATCTCATTCCCGCCTCCTGTAATCAGAACCGAGTTCACGGGGAAAGTCGTAAACCAATCCGTGGGCGCAGTCGACAAGTCCGTGTAATAGTCCCGCTTACCAGATCCAATATAGGCTGAAGCCCAGGGTCCCGCGACTACCTGACTAATGATATCGCCGCCGTCGTAGACCTGAACACCCGGGAATTCTTCCTCAAGAAGTGTCCAAGGGGCGATCATTACTGCGCCGGCCAGGTTTTTGTGCAACGGCAAGGCATCAATCTCTGCATGTGGGTGGGCCAGATGAGAGAGGACTCCACCAAGCAGGTTCCCGCCCGCAGAGTCGCCGCCCAGGAAAACTGTAGACGGGTCGCGGTTTGGCTGCGAGAGAATGTATCGTAGACAGTTTACGGCCTGTCGCAGTTGCGTCGGGTAGACTGCGATTGGGGCTAACGTGTAAGTTAGACTGAAGACCGCGACGCTTTTGTCTGATGCTTTGAGATCGCGCACGAGCTGCGCATAGAATTTGAAATAGCCCATATTGGCCGGGAGTCCGAAGCCACCACCTAAATGACCTGGTCAGTGAATTCATCTTTCTTTGTGATTGTATACATACCATGAAACCAGATTATCACATTGTCGGCATTTCGATCGCCCACCCAGTGGCCTAAGGCGCCATCACCCAATTGTACAGACTCGGGTACAGCGCCTGTCGATTTAGAGTATTTTTCATAGATGACGAGGTCTGGAGGTAGGATGTATTGCATCTGACGGGCCGTCATCCGCATGGTCGCCTTGCGGAATAGCGCATATCCCAAATGAAGCGACAAAGTTTTGGCTTGGCGCTCGGTGCGCCGGAGACCGGTTAGAAGGGCATAGATGTAGGCTACTATGATGGATCCCACGGCTGGAAGGAAGTCCAACTTCTCCTTGAGGGAGAGCTTCACTTTGGTTGCTGTGAGAGACATGGTTGGACCTGTCCATGAGTTGGGTCAGACATGGGTATATAGAGTGGGAACTGTCGATCCTTTCGCAAAGATGTCCCATTTGGGAAATTACCGAGGTTCGATCATGCATTTCATGGCGTTGATCTCTATATTCCGTACGATATGATGTATGGATGTATGGATGTATAGGTGTATAGGTGTATAGGTACATGGGTGTATAGCGATATTATATAGATGTACAAATGTTTTCTTAGATACAGATATCTTTAACTATCACCTTCAATGTTGTACCTATATATCTTTCTACGTATACAGAATCTGTTTACTACCAAAATATATGATCAAGATCTCTTTCCGATCTCTCCGTGAAGAGGTCAAAGTGCGACGTACTGTTTACCCCAAGTAGGTGTGATCCGCTGATCACAACGTGAAGCCGAGGCGTTGCAACTTCTGTTTATATCACCGCTTGATGCCGTTGAAGTTGTACTCAGATTGCATTCATCATGGACAGAACAAATGGAAATGAAAAACAATTCGATGTCATCATCATCGGTGCTGGTATCTCCGGCATCAACGCTGCCTATCGCATCCAAACACAACTTCCCGGTTACACCTACACCATCCTTGAGGGTCGCAACGATCTAGGAGGGACCTGGGATCTCTTCAAATATCCTGGGATTCGTTCTGACTCTGATCTTTTCACCTTTGGCTTCCAATTCAACCCCTGGTCCCGTGACCAACCTATTGCCGAGGGCGCTGCCATTAAGGACTACGTTCGTGACACGGCGACCAAGTATGGCATCGACGAGCACATCCGCTATAACCATCGTGTGTCATCAGCAGACTGGTCCTCCGATGAAAACACCTGGTCGCTCACTGTCGACCACAATGACTCTGAACAAACCTACACCGCCCGCTACGTGATCTTCGGCACGGGCTACTACAACTACAAGGACCCCCTGAATCCCGACATTCCTGGCCTGGATGCCTTCCAGGGCCAGATTGTCCATCCACAGTTCTGGCCCGAGGACTTACAATACAAGGACAAGAAGATCGTTATCATCGGATCTGGCGCGACCGCCGTCACTCTCCTCCCCAATCTCGCCGACCATGCCGCCCGTGTCACAATGCTCCAGCGCAGCCCAACCTATATTATCTCCCTCCCAAACCGCTCGAGCAGCCGCTGGCTCTCCTATATTCTCCCAAATGCCCTGTATACTCGGCTGCAGCGCATGATCTATATCTACACCAATCGCATCTTCTTCCTCTTCTGCCAGCGCTTCCCGAATTTCTCCCGCTGGCTGCTCAAGTTGAATGTGCGCAAGCAATTGCCCAGCCATATTCCATACGACCCGCATTTCAAGCCCACGTACAATCCCTGGGATCAACGGATGTGTCTCTGTCCCGATGGGGATCTGTTCCGCAGTCTCCGACAGGGTAAGGCGGATGTCAAGACTGATACGATTCGGGAGGTGACGAAGAATGGCATTATCCTGAATTCGGGCGAGCAGCTTGATGCGGATATTATTGTTACCGCGACGGGCTTACGCTTGCAGATTGCAGGTGGCTCGGCGCTGTCTGTGGATGGGAAGAAGATTGATGCCGGTGATAAGTATCTGTGGAATGGGGTCATGCTCCAGGATGTGCCCAATGCCGCTTTCGTAATTGGATATACCAATGCCTCGTGGACTCTCGGCTCGGATGCAACGGCGCAGTTTGTCTGTCGGTTGCTCAAGGAGCTGGAGTCGCGAAAGTTGATCGCTGCTGTTCCCCGTCTGAAGGAGAAGGATGCCGCGACACTTCAAAATCGTCCCCTCTTGAACCTCAAGTCGACTTATGTGTCTCTTGCCGAGAGCGTCTTACCCAAAGCTGCTGATCGTGGTCCGTGGCAGCCGCGGGATCACTACCTGAAAGACATGAAGTTTGCTCAAAGTGGTGATATTGACACTGGACTCGAGTTTATGCCAGGGCCAAGTCTGCGTCTACGCCCTAAGATGTCGTGATGATGCATGTTTACGATATGATACCGCCCTCGCTCTTGCTTGGGCTTTCTGATCCAGTATATGGCGTTTAAGTAGGCTTAGTATTCAGTACACAATATATTTATTCCTATTCTTTGTGCAATTTCCCTTGATCTCAGTCCAACACTGATACGCTATCTGCGAAAGGAAACAAAGACAAGGCTTTCCCCCACGGCATCGCCTAATCAGCTTACGATGATGCATCTATCGGAGTTGCGCAGACGCTCATGTTACCAAAATACCACCCATGTTCAGGATTCGGCCACCTCAAATCCCGATCCGACCCAGCATTCCCCGCCCTGCTATTGATCCCTTCAACATGCTGCACCCCATCAGCGGTGGCTTGTACACCAGTCTCCTGGGTAATCCAGTATTCAGGCGAGGGCTGGCTCCAATCCAAGAACGGCAAATTGATCGGCACTTTCGGCACGGGGTCTGTAGTATGCGTGGCTCGATAAATACTGTTTGGTGATTGCTGGTTTGTGATGAATTCGGCCAGCTTCATATTCCCTGGTTTGGGGGCGCCGAAGGTCCACTGATTGTTCAACATTAGCTGACATCTACATCCTCTCTTGTTCGACAACTTGACTTACAGCATCCAGACTGAACCCCTGTGTTCGAAGAACAGTCGCTGCCAACGTCGCAATCCCCCCACCCAGACTGTGCCCGACTACGGTCAACTTATACCCCGGATATGAGCTGGTTGCATCTCGAAGCTGGGTCGTTGCCTGGCTCGCTATAGCAGTCCAGTATACCCAGAAACCGTGATGGGCTGTGCATCCAGTGCAAACCTCATCAATTGGGGTGAGAACGATGTCAAGATCTGTGTTGCCGTCGCTTTCAGATACCGTTCCGCGGAATGTCAAAAGGATCAGTTCCCGCGTGTGGTCTAGGGCGATGTAACCTGTTGGCCCGTTGACACTGTGGAATGTGTTGATTACCGTCGTGTTATCGGCTTCTACGAGTCCACAAGTGCCATAGTCGCAGGTCAGCCTTTGGCCCGTTTGATTGATATTTTGATCACAGGCCGATAGGCTAGCAAATTGGGAGAATAGGGTGAATCGTTCCAGCAGCTCGGTTGTGATTGCTGGTACATTTCCATCGTTAGGTTGAAGATTGGGCTTTGTTATGTACGGAACTTACCCCGGCGCGCTAATTGGATAGGAGATGCAATGGTCATCACACTGAGTGATATCATTGCTAGTACATATCTCTTTGATCCAACCATGTTGGATAAGTTGGCAATACAGATGGACGATATGTACAGCTCGTGTTGAACTGAGAAATCCTGCAAATGCGGTACCTTGTCTATTCTCTTCTAAGAAATGAGCGCATACTTATAGACTTCCTTTTCCATTGGCAATGCCAGTCTGCCCATTAAATGATAATTTGAGGGGTGAAGGCTGCAGAGTTCACTAGCTCGAGACTATGCACCGTGATACAATTTATGTGGAGCTGACTGTAAAATCGCCAGCTGACTACATTGGCAGCGTTGATCCATCTTGTATCCGGAGGATAACTCGCTTTTAAGGAGGAACAACCTGAGAGGACTACTGGACCATCCCGACTCCTTGATGCACCGAGAATGCTGTGGAGTAGCACCGGGCAAGGTTACACTGCATTCTCATACATCTACACGCATCGTTCATAGCTATAGGAGATGTATTGTGATTAACGGTACCCCTTGCATTTTCAAGTCGTGCGACCTTTCATCCTTGAGCATGGCATAGCTGGACATACTTGCACGGGCGGCTACCAGGTATGTACTAGAACAGTTTGATGCAAATCATGTCAATATTTGAGGACACGCAGCCTCGTCTTGGGTTCGTGTGATGAAGTCTGCGTTCAATTAGCAAGTTTCCTCTAATCTTCGTGCAATCATTGGTTTCGATTGAATCTTGCATGCATATCATCACATCTCTATGCATGGATATGGAGTACAGTTACTTATAGCCTGGTAATCCTCCCTATGTTCGCTAGTTCTATTGGTAATGTGCGTGATCGTCGATGATTGCTTTTTCTGTATTTTCCAGCTGAGGGGAAGGTTCCTAAGCATCTAAATCGTTCTCAACTTGTGACACTGGAAGCTGCGGAATTGAGGCAAAATTTCTTAGTATGGCCATCCCTTGATTCTTTCGTCTTCTATAAAACCGCGAACTTTTATTCATCTGCCTGGTTTGTTGGACTGCAAACTTCTTACTAATCTGAAATTTGAGAAAGATGAAGAAACCACAGGAGAACTAGCTCTTCTTTCCATGCAGGTCTTTTTCTATATTGCGATCAAGGCTAGCTCTTCTCACAATATTCGATTATGTTAAAATCAGCAACAACAATGCCATTTGGACTTTCACCTCGACACTTCCTAGAAAGGCTCATTTTCCTGAGTGGCTGAACACCGTTTGTCTTGGATAATTTAAGTGATGGATATCTTCAAATACCTCATGAAAAATCTGAAGGAAGAATCTTGATATTCTGACAAGTAGACCTAGTGCTATGCACCCCAGAAGACTTGATGGTATCACATCCGAAACACTACAGAGTGGAAATCGGCCAACATGACCCTGGGCAAATATCACTTTAGCATGCCCGCTGTGACGGAGAGCCCCCGCAGACTCCGTCTTGTCGCTAGACTACATGGGAGTCCATCATTATTTGCCCTCCCACGGCTCTTAATTAGCCAATATCCACCGCCTCGACTACCGGGCCCATGGCCATATCGACAGATCTGAAGACCTTTTCGACTTCCGCTCACTCCAATGAGAGAATATCCACAACTATTTTGCCGCCGAAGCCTACGTGGCTGTTCTACTTGGGAGTGAGATCACTGTCGGGCTGATTTTGGCGGGGCAGAGGTGCTAATACAAGGTGGACACCAACTCGCTACCTGGGGATTTGCGGGAGTGTATTTCCGAAAGAATGGAGAGTATGAGAGAACTAGGGAGATGAGATGCCTACTTGATATCCTCGCCAACTGAGGCAAGTTCCACTGTGAGATAAATTGATCGATACGGGTCTTAGAAATAAAGATCGAAATTTAACTTTCGAGGCAACATTTAAGGTTAAACTTAAACTTGGGGAAATTCCAAGGTTTGAGGCTGCACGGGTGGCTTTTAATCCATCCCGGCATGATGTAATTCGACATTGATCCCTTCCAACTTCCAAGATTGTTCACCCACTTTCCTCCTTTCAATCTACACCCTAAATATCCTTTATATACTTTCTAATGTCTGACAAGTATACCGACCCCAAACTTCGCGATGAAGTCAAAAAGGAAGTCCACAACAGTGACAAGGGCGGGAAACCGGGCCAATGGTCTGCACGGAAGGTATCCATCACCATCGCTCCAATCCCAATTCCATGATATCCCTGGTTTCTGACAATGGTGCAGGCCCAAATGATGGCGTCTGAATACAAAAAGCGCGGCGGTGGCTACAACACCACAAAGGAAGAAGGCCAAACGGAGCCTCAGAAGCATCTCGAAAACTGGACAAAAGAGGAATGGCAGACCAAGGAGGGTTCTGGGACGGCAAGACAGGATGACGACTCGCGCAAACGGTACTTGCCTAAGAAAGCGTGGGATCAGCTGAGTGAGAAGGAAAAGGAGGAGACGGATGAGAAGAAGGTTGAGGAGTCACAAGGCGGGAAGCAGTTTGTTGGCAATACAACCAAGGCAAAGGAGGCGAGGCGGAAGGTCAGTTCTGATGTTAGGGATGATGGTGATGTTGGGGATGATGATGCTGGGGAGGATGATGCTGGGGAAGATGATGCTGGGGAGGATGATGCTGGGGAGGGTGATGCTGGGGAGGGTGATGCTGGGGAAGATGATGCTGGGGAGGGTGATGCTGGGGAAGATGATGCTGGGGAGGGTGATGCTGGGGAAGATGATGCTGGGGAGGGTGATGCTAGGAAGGGTGATGCTGGGGAGGGTGATGAGGTGGAGGACGATGAGGCTGGTGCTGAGGCTGGGGAGGAGGGCCAGAAAGGCCAGAAAGGCCAGAAAGATTCGAAGAAGGCTCGAGAGACTGGCGAGGCTGGTCATAAGGGCACGACGAAGACCGAGGAGAAAACCGACGACAAGGAAAGCGGCACGGGAACCAAGCGCAGTGCGAAACAGGATGCATCACCAAATAAGAAACAGAAGGACAGTGCCAGGATGCAAAGTCTGCGAAAGAGAGCGTGATTTTGATTTGGGGCTCATCGAGGGCAAATGTCTGCACACATGCAAAAGTAATACTCAGATGATTTTCACATCAACACAATTGCACGATGGTAACATGATACTGTGATGTGTTCGAGCTTGGTGTACTCTTCCAAATGGGCCTACTAAGGACGTTGTTGACAAGAGCGGAACTATAAAAGGAACCTAGCCAAGTATAGTCGATGACTAGGGAGGGACAGGTATCCACAAGTATCCACAATGGAATGTGAAGGGTAATGCGTAGAGAAAATGATGATCAAACAAACTTCAACGAAGATGCTACGTAGCTCCTGGATTACCTTGGGTAAAATATTTAAGGAGGTAACAGAACACAAACGAGTAGGCAGTGGATACCAAATCTACGACAGAAAGCAATTTATTAAAATGAAATATCATTTCAATGGGTATCCATGGTCTTAAAAGCCCAGCTTTAGCCAATCATGCCAAGATATTAACCCATAACCATCCATATGTACCATTACTTCATCCGGACATATCTCGTTCGATACTCACTTCCGCTCCTCATCTACAGCCGCATGGGGAGTGAATTCACTGTCGGGCAACATGTTCATAGCGTCCTCCTGTGCGTCCAACTTGTAATTGGTGGCCCAGAAGCCAATAGCACCGACGAATGCTAGAATAGCAACCACAGTGTAATTCCAAACCAAGAGAGGATCATCAGCCAGACCAATGAAAGCCTGACCGATGGCAGACGAGAAGGCGTTCATCAGAAGGGACACAGCCTGGACGAGAGATCGCATGTTCTTGGGGGCCTTGGTGTAGGCATACTCGAGGGAAGTCACGGAGGCGAGGATCTCGGAAATACCACCCATGATGTAGGTCAGGGCCTGAATCCAGACCGAGATGTTGGTGTGCTCGTGCTTTACCTCAAGACAGTAGTTGGCCTCCTTACCGCAGGGTCCCAACTTGTAGATGTAGTGTTGGGTGACGGCGGCGACGACCATACTGAGAGCGGCCATGACGAAACCGGCTGTGATACGCTTCAAGGGGGTGAAGTTGAAGCCCATCTTGCGAATCATGGGGTAGACAATGTGATCAAAGATGGGAATGAAGATGATCAATGCAATAGGGTTGAGATTGTTGATGATGTCGTTGGGAACACCGCCAAGTTTCATGGTAGCCGCTTGAGATGTCAGGTTGTTCAACATCTGATTGTAGGCGAGCCCTAGAGGTGGTCAGCATGTGCGAAATTTGAGAGAGAATGATTCCTTGGTCACGTACAGTAAAGAGGGTACCACAAAAACACTCTGCAGGCCATCAGTCCACGTCGAACTTCATCAACCCAGGCATCGTCAAAGTCCATCCATGCGGGCTTGCTGGCTCCGAGGTAGCTGGGCTTGGCGACGGCCCAATGATCGGTACCAGAGGACTTGAACCTACAAATGAAGGTTAGTAAGGGTGTACCTATTCAGGGTGGACAGGATGTAGCGTACCATCGCACGGGGTTCAGGGACCAGTGGCCCTTCATCGCCAACATCCACAGCTTGAAAGCCTTGCCGTAAATCGAGCCACTGGGGGGAGTGAGAATGTACTGCTTCCTGCAAATGAGCAATACTAGAGGACACAGACAGAACATGGCTGTGGGGAGCAGGTAAGAGAGCCAGAAACCAACATATCGCTCGGCGTAGACCATGGCGATCTGGCCGACAAAAGAACCGATGTTGACCATCATGTAGAAGTACAGATAGATACGCGCAACGGTGGCAGAAGGGTCCACGATGACACGCTCACCGGACTCCAGTGTCATGACATAGGGCTTGTCCTCACGATATTGTTCAGCGATCAGGGGGCGATGTTGGCCTTGAAACCACCAGTTCCGACACCCATGATAATAAGACCGATAGAGAAGCATCCAATAGCACCGTTAGGGTGTGAAATAACCTGGGGAATAGCGGAAATGATGAGGATGATGTGTCCAACAAGGGCGCAGGCAATGGCGGACATGATGGTACGGTAACGACCCCAATATTGATCAGCAATCATGGCACCGAAGAGGGGCATGATGTAGGACCAGAAAGAATTGACTGTGCCAGTCAAGATCAGTTAACCAAAATGAACGGAACCTTCTAGATATCACCTATCACTTACACAATGTCAATCCGGTGGAGGCCTGTTGACCCATACCCAGAGCTCCGGGGGACTCGTTGCTCCAATCAGAGACACCTGGAACAAGGGCACCGGTAGAGGATCCATCGGGCAAAGGTCGCTGAATGAAGTTGACAACTAATCGAGAGTCAGCCGATCTATCCTCCCTCGACGATTTGATAGTTCCATACAAACAGCAGTGGTACCGTAGTACGAGAAACGCTCGCACAGTTCCACAAAGGCAACACTGTATGCTGCAACAGGTAGCTTGCCGGCAACACGACGCAAAGTGGCTAGCTCTTCCGTGGTGGGAGTGGTCTTGTCCATAGAATCACCCTGGATTGACACCTCTCGTAGGGGAGGCGCAGTGTCGATGGTCATCTCATCAACTACTATGGCTTTCTCATCCACACCGACATCGTGTGCAGCTGCCCTTGATTTGGCAATCTCGGCCACATCGACAGGGTCGCTGGCATTCATGGTGGCTGTTCTGGAGGGGGGGATCCAAAAGATATGGGAGATGAGACACACAGAAAGAAGAAAAAAAGAAGAAAAGAAAGTTGATGGGAGGGTGCGATGAAGCAATTATATGGACATGGCGTGACTTAGCGTAGCCACTCAGCTGGATATATCTCCCAGGATTCTCACTTAATTGCATTTCCCATTGGAGAAGTCCCGGGGGATTATCTACATTGGGACGTGGCGGAAGGTACAAAAACCGTCAATAGCCGGAAAATAGACCCTGCATCTACTCCGGTAGTAAATTTCCTTCTAGATTAAGCCTGCCTTGGCTCCAATCGTCCAGCTTCGGTATCATCCGGGTCTCAGTTTCTGATAAGAAAGGAAAAGGTCAACCAAATTGATCCAAAGAAGATAATTGGGATCCCGAAATGTTAATAATCGCCAAGCCTTGGTTCGACCAATCAATCAGCTCTTGTGGGCTTAGACCCTCTCCCCTTTGGTTACATGACCCACTTAGGGCCGACCTTAGCGTATATTGGCGTGCATTAGCGCCGCTTGGCGCAGCTTGGCACGGCCAAGCCGAGTATCTTTCCCCCGCGCCATGCCGCTTGGCTGGTAAGTTGCACTGTAACCCTGTCTGCTTGGCTACCTCCTTTTGCTCCTATCACAGTCAAGAGAATAACCGAGGTGAGATAAACTGATATCTGTGTATAATCGCATGGCCTTGGTCCAATGAGAGTCGTTCACACCCCTCGCTTGATCAGAATTGCACGACTAATTAGGCTCAAGGTAAAATTGCCACTATCCGCCCCCTGGGGTAGTGAGACATAATCTGGTTGGACCATGAGGCCATGTGATCTTGCCATCTTATTACCCGACTTGACAAAGCGCTCCTTCGTATTGGCACTGGCTTGGTCCGTCGGTCTCCCGGAATCGGCCTCGTATCAACTCATGACTGTTAAAGTTGACTGTTTCTTGGAAGTTATCGGATTTCGCCCCCTTTCTCACGCGATTAGGCCGCCTGATGTCGCTTCGCACTGTCAGTCCAGAAAATACACATTCGAGCGTCTCTTGCGACTCCCCACTGTACTACTCGGCGCAACCATTTTGAATTTTACCAGTATCTAGTTTGCCATTCCGCTCGTCTTCGATACGATCGGCCGGGTGATCGTCACTCACCACACCCACCGTATGTCCATCGGTGGATTGCCAGGAGACCGTATTGTGGAGTGATACTCTGGAATATCATGCTTAATTCTGGAACTACTACGGAGTACGGAGTGCGGAGTGTAGAGTAGCACGTTCGTCGTTGCTAGCGCCGTGCTCATGTTCGCGCCATCAAGCTCACCCCTGTCCGGCAGATATATCCACTGCTTGGGGCTAGACCCTCTCTTGTTTCGCATTGACCGTTGTAATCCTTGCGCATTCCCTTGACCTGTTCATTGGGCGATAACATTGAATAGTATGGTTTGAATATCTAAAGTACCAAGTTGACTTGGCTTAGCCTGCCTTGTTTTGAGTGCATGTCCGATCGCGTGATCAAATGCCTGCATGTATTACACTATCAAATTATATTTGGCCCCATGAGATACCAGACGTGACATTTTGGACAGGGTGGTGTGTGAGACATATTTGGTACCTTCCATGTTCTTTTTGATTTTCAACCGGAATGTACACGCACTGCACGACGTGAAAGGCAATGGAACAGATATTTTCCCTCTAATATACCTCGGTCTACCCTGGATTTACACATTCCTCACATATTTGTAATCCGTCTGAATATCTCCATGGCCTATTCAACTGAGAAGTTCTCAAAGTCAACGGTTGAGTAAGTCCCAACCGTTGACATGTGTTCGCCTGCGAAGGAAATAAGAGAGCTTCCAAGGCCCTCTACAATCCCATCAGCTCTCGGCATATCCTCCATACCTTCGGTTCACCTGCCTCTCCAAATCACCCGAGGCGTATCATGATTACTGGTCGACTGGCACATCATCCCACATTGTCCCTACAGAATTCATCGTCAGATTCTCGACAGAATTATCTCAGCTAGCCCGATACCACGTCAAATGACACACCCGTATCAGGAAGCAGGCTTACGCAAATCCGATCAAGACCTCGGCATTTATCCAACATGACCTTGGTGACCCCTAGCAAAGAGGACTTAAGCGGAGTTTATATTGGCATTGGGGGTTCCTACAAGGAACCTTGAGCCTTATATCTAATTGGGATTTCTACTCTAAGCGCACCTTAGTTGATATTGGCGGTCTCTTCCTGCTTTTCTTGCCGGTCAGCCTAAATTTTGTTGCAACAGGGTGTACAATACCAGGCCTTTGGTCAAATCAACCCGGGTTCCTCCCAAGTGTAAGTCACTACGATCTGGGGTGGGATCGTGGTAAAGGATGTCAGTCAGATCGATCTGACTTGCCTTGGGGGGGGTTCCTCTGTTAGAGCCGTGGTTGAAGCGTGACAGAATCTAGCCTTTGGCGATTTCGAGAGCAACTTGATCCAGATCATACCGATCACTCTGACATAAATGACCCCATTTCGAAGAAAGCCAAATCAAACTGGCTCACCCGAGCTCAGATTCTACCCCAATCGCATTGAGAGATGCTTTCAAAGTCCTGTTCTGCACGAGAAGCGCCTTAATCTGACCAAGACCTGGGCTCTACTTCTCTTCAACATCCGGTTTGGAGGTCTTCCTCCAATCCGGGTCAATCTGACCGAACTTCCAACCCAACCCAGTTTAATCCTAGATGACGTCGGCAATTCTAAAATGGAGTCGTCTTGGAAAGAAATCAAGTTGACCAGATCAAGATCCCTACACTGATTCCACTCGATCGCGTTGACGGTATCACTCGAAAAAGGATCCCAGTTGACCTAACTCAATGCCTTTTTTAGATCGCTTGATCTTTCTACAACGGATCTCAAATGAGTAGCCTTGATCCTAGTCTAGATCACTCACCTTGGCCGCTTTGCTGGATCTATACAAGGCGATTTCTTGGACAAGAACTCCCCAGATCTAACAAAATCTGACCGAGGGCTATCTCGATGAGTTGACTTTTATCCCAAGAATGATAGGGGATTATCACCACTTACTTCAAAACTCGACTCCTTTTCGCGAGTGACGCCTTTGACTTCGACTGACGTTTATTTCCGCTTTCAAGGCCCATTTTGTTGCTTGATTGATACATGATAAATCAAGTAGATTTTACGTCAGTCAGGGACCCATGCCTCCATGATGCCCATGTCAAGTTCACCAACTTTGAAAACGGTAAGGCAACAAAATTCAAGCAGCTCGCGGGTGCCTTTCGCCACACACTTTTCGATTACATTAGTCCGTCAATCGAATTACTAGTGGCCTTCATAGTGATACCTAAGGTGAAGGCATGATCAATCCTCCTGCGCCGCGAGCATCTTTTCAGACATTGTGGCAAGAGATCGAGAGGTTGAACATCAAGCTGAGATTTCGTGATGGACGAATCGAGCGTTTTCAATTTTTATCGAGTCGAGAGATAATATCAAGCACGCGCTATATGGGCGTAACGACCTCAGAATAGAGCTCTCAAGATAAAATCAATCTTACGAACGAACGAGATCAGAGGACACATCGTCGTCTTCATGACGCAGAAACGAAACCTGGATGTTTTTTGCCCTGGTGCTATCTTTCACCTCATGGCCGTGGAATTTTATTTCTAGGGATATTTATCGTATTCGATGCTATTCAGGTGCTCTTTGGGATCGTGTCAAACTATGAATCCAAGTTTACACACATCCATACTCCTGGTCATTTGTATATGAGCAAGACTCTTGCTAGTGAATCTGTTCCTGGATCATGCTGCCCTTTGGTCAGATGGCCTTCGTCAGGATACCTACGACTTTATGATGAGCGAATTTCGCTGTGTCTTATATGTAGTGGGAATGCGAGTGTGGACGATTGGAAACTTCACATATGCGTTTAGATGAATGACATGCCATGAAATATAATTTAGCTGGCACAAAGTTCTCAGATTTGCTCTGCAGGGCTGTGCTCGTAGAAAGTAGGTAGCTGTCAATGATATTTGCACATTCCAGAGACGGACCCATCTTCGAATCCGTCGTCACCACCGACCCCCAGTTCATTTCCAGCTCGCCGTCACAGTGGCTGTACTTCCAGAACACCCAGTTGGCACCGTATATGATCGATTAGGATCGCTTTCCCAAGTGATAGCTCCGTTTGCCTTCTTGATGAATTTATACTGGAACGTGGTGCCGACGGGGAGTGTGATTGTTGCCTGCCATAAGGGATTGGAAGAAGTGTAGCTATCTGCAGACAGTGCAACGGCTTTACTGGTGTCCCAGGTACCGAGTTGGCTGATGGAGCCTGAAATGTAGATATCCTGGCCATAAGAAGTAGTCACAAGCTCCTTGAATAAGACCGGCAGGGCAGTGGCTTGGGTGCAACCTCCCGCTGTAGTGGTTGCTGTAGTGGTTTGAGTCGCCGTGGTGGCTGTGGTGGCTGTGGTAGTTGGGGTAGATGAGCCGCAAAGCCCGCTGTTGCTCACGGATGATGCGAGAACAAACACTCGTGGTAATCCAGATGCCATTGGCACTGCGATTTTGTTGCTAGAATCCACCGTTACAGATGTACAGGTGTACAATTCCATAAGCTGGGTGCCGGATGAATACCCGCTTCCACTCAGATACAAAGTGTAGGAAGATCCAGATGACCCGGCGTTGGAAAGGACTGTGATGACTGGCGAACTGCCCGATCCCTTCTTCATGGCTAATGTATGGCTGTCTTGATAGAAGGCGACATTCTGATAGCTCGTTAGTGGGCTGTCAGCAGCACCGTCCTGAAAAAACGTACCTTGCTCGTGATATAGCTGGAATCTGCCGCGACGGCCGCTTTGCGGATTTTGTTTGTAGTCGCAATATATTTGTATAACTCTGCTGTGGTGGAGTACTTCGACAGCCAGAGAGCCTCGCGGTTGGCTGGGTCACTTCCTCCACTATAGTGCTGTTCCTGGCCAGAATACACAATCGGAATACCATCCGATAAGAAGAGGAACGAAAGAACATTCTTTGCTTGTGAGTAGTCACTTGTGTAGCTATGATGATGGTGGTTAGTATCGGATAACCCGAAGGACTTCAACCGTCTCACCTTGGGAAACGTGGATTGTCGTGATTCTCGATGAAATTGCCCAATAGGGTTGAATCGGCACAAGTTGACGACAAGGTACCGATCATGTTATACAGATCGCTAATACTGCCGCTGGTGCTTTGGAACGCACGTAGCAATGGGTAATACCTGGATGAATGGTCAGCTTTTCCCCAGGAAACTGGCTTGCAGTCATCTCACATTGGATAATTCAAGACACCATCCATATATTTCTGATAATCGCAAGTGTACGATGGACTTCCATCAAAGACCTCTCCAACGCTATAGACACCTGCCGCACGGTTAAAGGCAGGCCAGAAGGACTTCTGAACATGCTTCACGGTATCGACACGCAGTCCATCAACTAATAACGTTAGGCCAGTTTTTAGTATAAAGCATTCAACTTACTGGAGTATTTGGACACTAGGTCGGAGATCCAGTTGTTCCAAAGGGTCTGGACTGAACTCTGCGTTGTATCAAGATCTGGCAACGAGACAGTAGTGTCGCCAAGCCAACAGTTCTCGACATTAGACTGGTCATTGTAATTACTGATCAAACAGTAAGAGTGGAAGTAAGAAGCAGAGTTGAAGGGCGTGAAAACACTGTAATCCACATTGTTTCCGGCCCCGGCATAGCCCTATGATGCTATTAGAAAGGCTGCCATCCCAATATCGACCATGACGCACCATATGATTTGCCACGACATCAACCATGAGGTACATGCCTCGGGCGTGCAATGCCTTCGAGAGTGCTAACAGATCATCGGATGTACCGTGGTTTGGATTGACATTGTAGCTATTGAATTTTGTGAGCATAACCCCAGCGTCAGCAGTCGAATAACCTTACATATCTTGCTGCCAGTACCCATGATAGGATGTGCCATCGCCAGTGTTTTGGGAGAGCTGTTTTGTCACTGGTGTAATCCAGATGGCAGTGAAGCCCATTCCCTGGATATAGTCCAACTGGTAGTCAAGTCAGTATGTGAATTGACAACACAAGCATTTGACGCATACCTGGTTGATAATTCCCTGCCAAGTGCCACCACAATACACCTAATATGCCTATGATTAGCTTATACATTGAGATCTGAGGACAAAACCATATGCATACTCTGTCATTAACGTTACAGTTAGCAGTGACCGAATTGTCAGTGCGTCCAAAACGATCCGTCAACAGGAAATAGATCGATTGACTCCGCCACTCGGCGGGAGTCAATCCCATTACCATCTGCCATAGCAATATGGTTGCTGTGAATATGAGCTTTTTCATGTTTGCCCCCTGAGGAAGATCGGACTCGATGGTTTAGCGATGGTTGTGTGTTCACAGAAACCGACGAGAACAGCAGTCAGCCCCAATTTATATATTTGACTTGCATCCTTCGAGTTGAAGTCACTTCATTCAATTTCGCACAAGATGGACTTTCGGTCACGGGAATATACACTCATAGGATAAGCTTTGCATTCTAATCCAATCGGTTAAAAACACACGACGGAGAACTTTTAAGTTGCTTCAAATGTGCGCCTTCGGGCCGAGATAGAGAGTCATTACAATGAGGGGAAAGCTGAGATTACCCTCCAAAGTCGAGTAGTTTCACTATTTGCTGGATGCTAATGGCACTTAGGCCCCTGCGCCAGTCTTGAAGAAGTCCATTTGTCCGGGGCTTAGCCCATCTCCGGGATTCTTCAAGGTTCCACATCCTCATAATACTGTTCAAGTCAAGGAATGTCGCATCAAACTCCCATGCATGGCATTTCTCACCAAAGCGCTAGTTCCTAGGTAGGTCTAGCGTACTGGTGAGGGCGACAATCCAACCGACTGATTGGTGGCCACCACCCCGGATTATCCGCTGAAGATGACAGGGGACGGAGATTCAGCGGGATCAAATACTGGCTCAAATGACGCGGCATCTGTCTAACGGGAAATTAATGCTTGATTCAAAAGTGGTTGATCTAAGCGATTGGAATGGAGATCTCGGACACTAAGATATCGCCTATGTCTCGGGAGATATTCGATCCGCCTACTGAAGAGAGTAATGATAGACCCGAAACTTGCAGAATCAAAAATGAAGCTCTTGACTAGTGCTGGAAGTAGATTCCTAGCGAGCGATCATGCAGAAAGGAGTGGCGATCTTTGCCTGATGGCATTTCTCCGTCGCCCCGGAGCCCATTGCCCTTAAGAAAGTGTGCGATGATGCAAATTTCCTGCAATCATCATGCAATGCGATGCGCATGTAAATGTATCAGCAGAATGGCGACCGAATGGAATTGAATCCCACCTCCTATAAAAAGCACGTTTGGCCCCCACGATGATTCCCTAACAAGCCCTCCTTCTGACTATATATGATGGCTCCTCGCTTTTGGACTGCGCTCTGGGCGCTTACTCTTGGCCATGCTGCCATCGCCGCCCCAAACATATTGTTGGCTCCTCGTGCGACAGGTAGTTTGGATACCTGGCTGGCATCTGAGACTACAGTGGCAAGACAGGGTATCCTGGATAACATCGGATCGGATGGTGCCCATGCTGCGAATGCAAAGCCCGGCATTGTAGTAGCCAGCCCGAGCACCTCCAACCCCAACTGTAAGTCACTCCTACCAAGAAATTCCTTCAAGTGATGACTGACTTAACTTATAGACTATTATACGTGGACTCGCGACTCAGCCTTGGTGTTCAAAACTTTGGTCGATATGTTCAAGAAGGGCGACAGCGCGTTGTTGACCGTGATCGAAGAATATATCAGTGCGCAGGCCTATATCCAGACAGTTTCAAACCCATCTGGGAATCTTTACAGCGGTGGATTGGCAGAGCCCAAGTTTAACGCCGATGAGACGGCTTTCACTGGCTCTTGGGGTCGCCCTCAGCGTGATGGACCAGCCTTGAGAGCCACGGCGTTGATTTCGTTCGGCCAATGGCTTATTGTATGAATGTTGATCCTGCTTATGATTGCATTGCTAACCAATTCAGGATAATGGGTACACCAACTATGCGACCAACATTGTCTGGCCCGTTGTGCGCAACGATCTCTCCTATGTTGCCCAGTACTGGAATCAGACCGGATTTGGTAAGTGTACCTCAAAGTATGGTTGTAGAAATTGCTGACATCTTGCAGATCTCTGGGAGGAAGTTTCTGGCTCATCATTCTTTACCATCGCGGCGCAGCACCGCGCCTTGGTGGAGGGAAGCACGTTCGCGAAACAAGTCGGTTCGTCATGCTCGTACTGTGACTCTCAGGCTCCGCAGGTCTTATGCTTCCTACAGTCTTTCTGGACTGGATCGTACATCTTGGCCAATTTCGGTGGTGGACGTTCTGGCAAAGACGCCAACACCCTGCTCGGTAGCATTCAAACCTTCGATCCGGAGGCAGGATGTGATGACACCACATTCCAGCCTTGCTCGGCTAGAGCCCTCGCAAATCATAAAGCTGTGACTGATTCGTTCCGCTCAATCTACTCTATCAACTCGGGTATCGCTGCGGGTAAGGCTGTGGCCGTTGGTCGATACGCAGAGGACTCATATTACAATGGTAACCCTTGGTACCTCTGTACCTTGGCCGCTGCCGAGCAGCTGTATGATGCTATCTACACATGGAACCGTATTGGATCTTTGACAATCACCTCTGTATCTTTAAACTTCTTCAAGGATCTCTACGGTTCTGCTGCAACCGGTACCTACTCCTCGTCCAGCGCTACATACTCCGCGATCGTGAGCGCTGTCAAGGCGTATGCAGATGGATATGTCAGCGTTGTGGTAAGTTTCAAGCCATCACAGAGAGCTGACTGACTTGATTAACAATCTATCGCAGCAAAAATATGCCCCGTCCAGCGGCTCCTTAGCCGAGCAATTCTCCAGGTCAAATGGCTCGCCACTTTCAGCCAGCGACCTGACTTGGTCTTACGCAGCCTTACTTACCGCCAACGAGCGTCGAAACGCCATAGTTCCTGCACCTTGGGGTGAGACCTCTGCCAGTAGTGTCCCTGGCCAGTGTCAATATACTTCGGCTATTGGTACTTTCAGCAGTGCAACAAACACCGCCTGGCCTAACACCTTGACTAGTAAATCAGGCGGTATAACTACCACTGGATCGGGTGGTGGTACTGCTACTACAACTAAGGCTACGACTACGACTACAACCTCATGCACCACTCCGACCGCTGTTGCCGTGACATTCAATGTGATCGCTACTACCGTATACGGTCAGAATATCAAGCTTGCTGGATCTATCTCTCAGCTTGGCTCCTGGTCCCCAAGCAGTGCCATTGCGCTAAGCGCTTCCTCATACACTTCGAGCAACCACCTGTGGTTTGTAACTGTGACACTTCCAGCAGGTACTAGTTTTTCCTACAAGTATATCAATGTGGGGAGTGATGGTACTGTGAAGTGGGAGAGTGACCCCAACCTGTCGTACACTGTTCCTGCCCAGTGTGACACCAATGCTGTCACAATTAATGATAACTGGAGGTGATGATTTTTATGGAAAGGAACCTGGAATCAGAAGCTTGAGTCTCGATTTTCAAGTTATGCCTTTTTGTAACCAAATTTGGGATACGCAGATCGTGCTTTGGTCGTTCTATTTCCAGAGAATAGCAAATGGCAACATAGCATTCAATGGTTCAAATATTATCTTTACGAATAGAATGAGTTGATTGAATTCACCCTATTATTGAGACATGGATGTCTACGATGAACGATCAACTGGTACCTTCGCTTTTCTGGCCGATTCGTAGTGTTCCCAACCCAAGCTTAGGAGGCACATATTGAGTGAACATACTTGGTCCAGAGGATCATCAACTCAGTGTCACCAAAGTGGCCTGTGTATTTTACACAACATTTGTACAACTAGATCGCAGTTAGGGGTACCAGCTCTCGGCGCGGTTTATAATCCGTATCGCCTTAAGCGCCGACATGGTTTTAGTTGGAGATTAGTTGGAATGATTCGGGTTGTAATAAGTGTTGAACGAGAGTTGTTCACTCATGATAATAAGAGGTAAAGAGTAGTTCCCTCGACTTCAATGAAGAGAGGCCGGCCTCCCGACGGAACCTCGGGAGCTGCCGAAGGACGATGACACACGTGATATTTATATCACGTGGCGATCAACGGTCCACTTTCTAGGCAGAACGACACAGTTCTCAATTGCTTACAAAAGAGAGGGAATTGTGCGGGATCCCATAGAGATCGAAGGGCTCTGCTCAACTGTGGACTTCTCTTTTCCCAATCTCGAACCTTTCCTCGTTACTCAAAACCCTGGACCAGTTTGGGCGGTTTCACGGAGTTAGATATTGTATTTGATGTATCCTCCCATCATCTGCGAGAAACATGTATAGCGAATACCCAAGGCGAAGATCAGAGCATACGAATTCGCGCTCAGGGTGTAGAACATGCAAGTGAGTCATCCAGACACACTTAAAAATACATCAACTGAGCGTTGGAAAGGAGACGACATAAGAAATGTGACGAAACCCATCCAGCTTGTCTCAAATGTACAGCCGTAGGCAGGGTATGCGACGGCTATGAACAAGACATCGATAAGAGGACGCGCCAGTGGCGTGACGTCGAAGCCAGGGACTCCACCAATGGTCAGAACAGTGTAGCTCTGGAGATCCGGTATGACTCCAAAGTCAGGCCACCTGTTGCTACTATTCCTCTGTCTTTGGGCAGTGCCGGCCGGACCGAGCTTACCTGGGATGAGCGATGGTATCTGGATTTCTATCGAAATGTCACGGCGAAACGATATTCGCGATACTTTCAAAACACATTCTGGGATGGATTGGTTCTCCAAATATGCGAACAGCACCCTGCGGTCCGGCATGCCGCGATTGCGATAGGTGCACATTATTTTCAGCTCGAACAGGTCCAAGGAGACTGCAAACAGAATCAAGAATCCTTTCTGACTCTCTACCATTCTACAAAAGCGATTACGTACCTCCGAGAAAGTCTCGCCCGGGAAATTATACTTCAGGATAGCCCAAGCAGCATTCACAAACAAGTGGTCTTGGTAACGTGCGTTATCCTGACTATCCTCAGCCTGTTCCAAGGGGATCTCTCCACCTCTCGCCACCACCTCGTGTCTGGATATCGACTTTTCAAAGAATGGGATGTCCGGAAAGATGAAGGGTCTACTGGACTGGCACTGAGGCAGTTATTTGCCCAAATTCACGTCCACTGGTCTATTTCTACCTATCCCGAACTATTTGCGGATATTACCGAACCTTTTGATGACAAGTATCTAGCCGTTCGATCAAGACTTGGTACTCCTACCTTTACAGGCATTGATCAAATGCATCTCGTCGAAAGATTTGTGGTGGTCGTTGGAGATGTGATATTAGATATCACTCCTTATGGATTTGACATTGGTCCAGCAAGCTCCATCCGGCGTGATGCAGCACTAGCACTAACGAAGCTTCGACTTTGGGGAAGACGCCTGATGGCATTTCTCGTCGAAGCAAACAGTCTTGCCCCCGATGATTGCGATGCGCTTAGACTCGTCGAACTATGGAGTGGGATCATCGACATCAAGCTAGCTGTTGCCACTAGTAAACAGCCAGATGAGATGTCATATGACGATTACTTGGGGCGTTTTCAGCATACTACGAAAATGGCGCAAGTGCTAGCGGGGTCAGGCTCGAATGACGTCCCATTGTCACCATTTGTCTACAGGTTCTCTGTTCTGCCTTCGCTCTTATGGTCTGGGGCCAAATGTCGTGATTGGCGAGTCCGTCGTGATATATGTTCTATATTACAAAAGTGGACAGGAGATGACTATTGGGTATCTGCGACCACTCTGGCTTTGAAAAGACTGATATCTATAGAATCCCGAGGAGTGAAGGAAAGTGACACCATTCCTGAAGCTGCTCGGGCTGAGTTTGTCAATATGAATGTGCAATCTGGGGACTCAAAAGTTGAGCTACGCTATCGCCGACCTTGGAACACATCACATTCGAAGTATAATAGTGATGAATGGGAAAGCGATACAATGTACTACTAGCATCAAATCTTTCAAAGTATATCCACATCCTAGTATGCGCGACTTCGGTCATTTTCCATGAATTGAAAGTCATAGCGAAGCTCAGTGTTCATAGAGAAAGGTAAAGAGATGATCCTTGCTCAATTTGCTCCTTGGAACAGATGTAACACGCTGAAGGCTGTAGCTTGAATCAGTCTTGTAAAGTTTCTGGCTCAAATCTCAATGAAGATCGAGCTGTTCGGGCTCTAGAAGCCAGCGCACTTCCTGGTTTTACCATGAGAATTGTCATTTTCATATCCTCTTCCAGCATTATCTATCTTTAATCCTATATAGCAAGTCAATGTCGATAGACGAAGTCTATATTTGATGGCGTGCAATAAACAACCCGCTGAAGGACGCCAAAAGCGAACAACCAAGGGAAAGAACTATACCGGGTTAGTGCAAGATACTCAATATAAAAGAGTTCATCAACTCACGATATGTATGCTTAAGTCCGGAGACGTAACATGCCACCACAACCTCCCGCAGGTGTCCAGTCAAATGCGCGATATAATTCGTATCAGCCATCGCACGTTGAATAACCTAGCTGAATTAGTATCATGACAAAATATCCTCACCAAAAAAGTACGTACCTTCTCCGAACCAGTCCCGTGAAGGTTGAGCCTCAGCTGCCGCTGGAACTCCATCCCCAGAACGGAGTTTGATGTAGTTACACCAGCCGTGATGGAGAATCCCACAACCAGCATATATCCCGCTGTTGCCATGGCGATTTCTTCGCCCGGGAGCATAGAAGACATGGCAATGAATGATGATGCCGATGCAATTCCGGTGCCAAGTCCGCCGGGGAAGATAAACAGCGATTCCCAGAAGCCGCTGTGTCCGTCCCAGCGGAGGTAGAGAAGGAGGTAGGAAATGCCAGCAACCAGGCCGGCCAGAACGAGGAGAATCTTGAATTGTCCTGTGCGTTTGATGAAGATTCCTGCCAGCAGTCCGCCAAGAGTATTTCCAATCACTGCAGGAATGAGATGCATCCCCGCTGCTGTCGTTGATGCGCGCTGTGTTACTTGGAAATACAGTGGGACCGAGAACATCATGCCCAGCTGCGCGGCGATCTGCAGTGCACCGATAATGTATGCCGTGGAGACATTTGTGCGTCGGAGAATGCGGAGGTTGAAGATTGGGTCGCGAGCTACGTAGGCTTCGACGAGCACGAAGACGACTAGAAGTGATAATCCACCGCTTGCTAGGAAGAGTGTCCACAGCGACCTCCATGGGAAGGACTTCCCACCTTGGTCGAGCAGGGTGATCATCGCGACAATAGATGAGCCTAGTAGTGCCGTTCCGAGGAAATCGACCTTGGCGAGTCTGTTACCTTTGGAGGTGGAGTCTATCTTCTCTTCGACGTTCAGTTTCACAATCACGAGAGCTGCAGCCAGAGCGAGGCACGGGGCTTGTAAGAGGAACAACCTGCAATGTTGTTAGAAGATATTTACAGCTATGAGAATGTGCGGAAGCCCACCATCTCCATCCGATAGTATCGCTCAGCCAACCGCCCAGCGGACCTCCGAGACTGCGTCCAAGTGTCATGGCGATGTTCACATATGCTCTCCAAGTGGCGACCTCGCGCTTAGGAACAATATCTGTGATGATAATAGAGCTGATAGTCATGATTCCTGCACCGCCCATTCCGCTGGTTGCGCGACCAAAGATTACCACCCACATCTGGGATCCAATGCCACTATAGACGGTTAAAACTGTACCTCAACTGCTGGATGAATATCTACCTACCTAGTTATACATCCCACTGCGAATAGCAGATATGAAAGTAGTAACATTGGCTTGCGACCGTAAATATCACTCAATTTTCCATACTGGACGACAATTAGACCCTGGGATATCTCCAGTGTGGGCTATGCTCACCATTGGTTGTGCAGCACAGACACCTAATGTATACCCCGTTGAGAGCCAACTAGCATCGCGTAGACGGTTAAACTCCGACGAGATGCGGCCTGCCGCCGCCATCACTAGTGTCGCATCGGCGTTGGAAATGAATTCGCCTATCTTTGATTAGATCTTGTGTCTTCGTGTCGAGCCAATTATCCTACCGAGCAGAAGCACCGCGATAATGGTTCCAACACCAGTTAAGGTCTTGAGCTTAGGTTCTGTGTCAGAGCGCGGGATTAATGGACTTTCTTCATCTGCGTGGCCATTTGCATCGGTGCCCTCGGTCCCGATGATACCCGGAGGTATCGATTCAACCGCGTCACTTTCTATTTGGGCCATGTTGCGAAATGAAGAGATTCAGAGTAAAAAAAAGTAATCAAGACCATTGAAAGAGAGCTTATATAGCGGCAAATATCCCGACGATAAATCATCTAAGCACAGAGCTCAATGCTCATCGGAGTTATAAAGCACGCAATCTATCCACTTTGATACTTCAACTTTTCTTTATGTACATAAATTAGAGAACTAGGAGTATCGTCTATATTTCGGGATTCTGTTCTACCTTCTCTGCTGTTGAACTCTCCTGCATATTTATAGAATACAGGTTGGCTTTGCTACTCAATGTATTGTACAGTACTACCCTAGATCCGGGGGAATTCATAGCATCCAGGTACACATTCCAAGCACGGCACTGACAATGCTAAGGATAATCGGTATATGAACACGAATAGCACCGTTGGTCAGGTAAGGATCGTAGCAACTGAACTTGTTACCACCTCTCGGCAAGCGACCCGCGCCCCTGAGCTCGCGGAAGGTCGTGCAATTGAAACTTGTAGAGTTCTCGGATGGAGAGACTTTGAAGAAACTCAAGTCCGAAGGAGGGAAATCTTTGTCCAGGCCCATTTGCTGGGTGACAAAGGGATCGCTGTTCTCACAGGTCAGCTTTTGTGGCCATTGCGAGGGAGAGATACAAACAAGAAGTCATTTCCCACCGTGGCGCCGGAAATCTCAATCCACGAGATATTCTTCGGCCAGTACCAAGTCTGAATTTGTTTGCCTTGGTCGTCTGCGCCGTACATCGAGGTTAAATTCAGATCGCCGCCAGCGCTGAGGACGAGTTCAAAGCCGCCTGTCCAATTCACGGCCTTGGGAGGAAGAGTGATAGACTTCAGAGGGCTGTTCTCTCGTTGTAAGACTTGAAGTTGGCGCAGATTATCGAACGGGATCTCTAGATGCGTAATATGAAAGGGACCTGAAAGCTTCATAGAATCAACCTCGATTGTCTTGAGCTCTGCGCTACGCTTCAAACCCGTGATATCGTCAAGGTTGAGTTTTTTGATGATCATTTTCTTTGTCGAAGACCCTCCTAGGGTGATGGACGAGTTATCTGAGATTTGGATGTAGTTGGCAGACGTGAATCCAAGAGGAATGTTTTTGATGTTCGGGAATGGACCTTCAATGTAAAGATCATCCAGATTGAGTTCATTGTCAGACAAACTATCCAGCGAGTTGATCTGCATAGAGCTAATACTTAGGCTCGTCACATTGCGTAATTTTGTGTGGTGAAGCGTATGGAGATTGGGGGAGTCCAGGGTAATTTTACCCGCAGAATGCAAACTTGTGATATCCAAGTAGCCAATATCAAAAGCATCTCTCCCTATATAAACGTAGTCATTGACGGATGTGAGACTAGGAAGTGTGAGGTTCACTATGCGAGTGTCATATCTTCCGAATTCCAATGCGTCAGCTTTCTTCAAAGAAGCGCTGGAGAGAGTATACGACGGCTGGGTGAGATAGTCGCGCCGGGTATATGGATATTCCCCGAGAGTGCCTGCGATCACTTCGACGCCGTCGAGATTGATGTGGACCGTGTCATTGCCGGCAAATGGGCCAATCCCAACGTGGCCCATGACCACGCGACAGTTCTGACGAAGGGTATCTGCCTCAGCCACGGAGGTGATCCAGGTGGAGCTGCAATTGGCAGCGAAGACATCTAGCAACGTAAGCCCAGGTGCAGAGTAGCGGGGAAGGGGCTTGTAGCAACATTTGACTCACCAGAGCAGCATAGCACGACTAGTGCTGCGATCACTGCATGGGACCAACTGAGTTTATTGGACATATTAGATCCTGAAATCGTAGATCGGAGTTCTAAGCTGTGGGGCGCATCGCCATGAAAATCCTCAACCCCCTGAAAGAGAAAACCAAATGAAAGCACAGGCGCCACCCCCGGACTGCCTTGGCTCATAGGTCCAATCCAATACACGTGCAGACTAGTAGAAAATGTGACCTCGGGATCCTGTCGGGGAGATTTGATTGGGGGAGGGCTAAGGATCCCAGCGCCCGAGTGCTTGGCAGTTTTGTTTTCCCCCAGACATGCTGTATGGCATCAAAATCATATCGAGGTGGAATGAAGTGACAAGAGTCGAAGAGCCTCGGTGATGGAAGAACCTCGGGAAAACCTCGGGAGAGGGCCGTGCTTTTGGAATCGACGAGGTTCTCCAGGGCGGGCTCCAGGGCTGTAATGAAGGATCTGGATCACAATATGCGATCACTTGGGAAGAGAGGAAAGTTGAGTTGGATAATCTGTACGAAAAACTCAACAATATCAGTCCGCATTTCGAGATCTTCGGTAGCAACTGAGGTTGACATAATCCAGGGCTAGCTCACGGGCTCTAGAATCGATTTTCTCCATGTCCAGGGTCAAGCATCTCTTCAGCCGACTCGGTGGGTTGTACCTCAATATATATCTTGCTCCCGCTGTCTACTCAAATAATCAACGTAGGAAAACCTACATATCTTGACTTCTCTCCCTCAGATATAAGAAACTATTTAATCTCTCCCATGTCGATTCAAGGACTGTGAAGGCCCATAGCCCTATACTTGTGAAGGTGGATGAATTAATAGGGAACACAAAGAGGAAAAGGAAATACCGATGTAGACTGCCGGTTCGGATATACGTCTCGGAGCAATATTTTAGGTGCTTATTGCGTAAAGCACGCCATATATGTCCTATGTTGATATTGTCTACGGAGTACTCCTTATAAGACGTACAAAGGGAGTGAAAACTCTCCGACGTGCAACACTACCCTATATATTGAACTATAGTATGTATGATAGTAGATATAATGGTCAATCTATAGCACTATATATGGATATATATGTATATATATATATCTACCTATATACGATACCGTTCTATCTCCGTTGGATAACTTCCGATCGCCATTGGACCCATCTATGGCATCATCACCTGTGCCAAGACTTCAATATATACTCTCGATGAACTTGAACGAATTCCGACCTCACCATGAAATTAACCACTCTGATCGGCCTCATCGCCAATGGGGTGATTGCCCTTGATTTCCAGTCCAATCTTCAGTCAGCTCTCCAATCGGTACTCAAACATGAAGTATCGCGCAAACCAAATATCCTCTTCGTCATCACCGACGATCAAGATCTGCAACTGGATTCCATCTCTTACACCCCCCTGATCTCAAAACACATTCGCGACCAGGGTACCTTTTTCCGGAATCATTTTGTCACCACGGCCCTATGTTGTCCATCGCGCGTCAGCCTATGGACCGGTCGCCAAGCACATAACACGAATGTAACAGATGTCAGTCCGCCCTACGGTGGATATCCCAAATTTGTCGAGCGCGGGTTCAATGATGATTTCCTCCCGCTGTGGCTCCAAGATGCAGGCTACGATACATATTACACTGGCAAAATGTTCAATGCCCATACCGTGAACAACTATCACAGCCCCCACATCAATGGATTTAACGGATCGGATTTCCTTCTCGATCCGTATACTTATTCCTACCTCAATTCGACTTACCAGCGGAACCATGAACCGCCGGTCAGCCATGAAGGTGAACACACCATCGATGTGATCACGGGAAAAGCTCTGGGGTTCCTGGACGATGCATTGGCGGGGGAAAGACCGTTCTTTTTGGCTGTGTCGCCCGTCGCACCGCACTCGAATATCGATCTGGGGGATGTGGCTGCAGGCAAGATTTACATGTCTGCTCCCATTCCCCTCGAACGACACGAACATTTGTTCCAGGATGTCACGGTGCCTCGCACGGCCAACTTCAATCCGGACCAGGTAAGCGCGGCCCTGATTGGAATGAACGTGTTTGTGACCCATTTTGACTGATCGGATTGGATGATGCAGCCCAGTGGAGTCAGCTGGATTCACGATCTACCCCTGCAGAATCAGTCAGTGGTCGATTATAACGATCACTTTTATCGGTCGCGTCTGCGCGCTTTGCAGGGTGTGGATGAATTGGTAGACGGGCTTGTCACTCGGCTGGAGGAGAGTGGGCAGCTGGACAATACGTATATCATCTATACCTCAGATAATGGATTCCATATTGGCCAGCACCGACTCCCGCCCGGGAAGACTTGCGGGTTTGAGGAAGATATTCGCGTTCCCTTGTTTATTCGGGGACCTGGTGTTGCCAAGGGATATGTGCAGGATGCTGTGACCACTCATGTGGACTTGGCGCCGACCTTTTTCCATCTTGCGGGGATCCCGGCCAGGGACGATTTTGATGGCACTGCGATTCCGGTGACGCCTGAGTTTGACGGTCAGCGGCATGAACATGTTACAGTGGAATACTGGGGTTCTGCCGTTGTGGAAGGTGTTTATAGCGGGATTGGTAAGTGCAGATCCGATTTGCCGTGGATACATCCTAATTTCCAGGCAGGCCCTGGAGGATCAACCTTCATCCCGAACAACACCTACAAATCCGTCCGCTTACTGGGAGAGGGCTACAGTTTGTACTACTCGGTTTGGTGCAACAACGAACATGAGCTGTACGATCTGTCGGTGAGTAAACAGTAGCTTGGTTCTTGATCGCAACGACTGACCTTTTTCTAGACCGATCCGTACCAGCTGAATAACCTATACCCGACAAGCTCTCAAGCTGATGCTGATCAGCCTCAAATTCTCGGTCGCAGCTTGACACAGGCTATCAATCGACTCGACGCTATTTTGCTGGTCCTGAAGTCTTGCCAGGGTGTAACTTGCATCCGGCCCTGGGATGTGCTCCAACCGGTGGACCCAGTTAGTACTCTCCAGGATGCTCTCAATGAGGAGTATGATGGGTTCTATGGTGCACAGCCTCGGGTTTCCTTTGATTGGTGTGATGCGGGATATATCGTTGAAGCTGAAGGTCCCCAGGTGCCGCTGACTAGTCGACACGGCGTGTCTTGGGACGTATGGGTGTAGATGTATCGAGATTTAAGTAAATAATGGAAACTATACATAGCCACATCTCTTCAATACTCAGCTCAATCTCCGTCCCGCACAAGACACAGAGACGGTCAATCGTATCGGATAAAAGTTCAATATCAAATTGGAAAGTCTCATCTCCATATACTCCATCTAGACCAATCAGATCATCTTTCGGCAGATCTCGTTGGCCGTGATTGCGCCATATCTCCTGGTGTCGCGACATCAGCATCGCATTGGCGCGCAGTCTGGAGCTGGACAGTGCTGGTCTTTTAGGTTAATTGTCGGCTGTGTGTTTTCCGTTTTTCTATAAGAATGGTCAATCAGCCCTCGGTCCGTAGACACGAATCTCCACATACTTGCCTTTTCGTTGATTCTTTGTTCAAACTGCGAAATACAAGATGTCGGGCATCTTCAATGAAAAATATAAACTAGACGAGCAGGTCGTTGACTCACCATCAAGTGAACTGGACCATGGTATCGTTAAAGACTGGGATAAGGAAGAATCAGCTGTTCGACGGAAGTGAGTATATACATCTTTCTGATCACGCATCAACTGTAAGCATTTTCCTAACATGTTCTTTTTAGAGTCGACTTCATTCTACTTCCCATTCTTGCAGTCGCCTTCTTCGCCTTGCAAATGGATCGCGGCAATATCAGCGCCGTCTTAACATCGACAATCACCAAAGACCTCAAGATCACAACCAATCAAATTAATGTCGGATCACAACTCCTCTCCGCCGGTATTGTTCTCTCGGAGATCCCGTCCAATATCATTATGCAGCGAATTGGACCCCGTGTCTGGTTATCGGGTCAGCTGTTCGCATGGGGGCTAGTTGCAACCTTCCAGGCCTTTGTGAAGTCCTATCCTGCGTACCTGGTGACGAGGATTTTGTTAGGACTCTGCGAGGGTGGTTTTATTCCTGGTAAGTCAATCAATACAAGGTGCTGGGAGAATCGACTGACTCCCTAAAGGCGCATTGTACTACCTATCCACTTGGTATAAGAAAGACGAGACTAGTCTCCGCACCAGTTTGTTCTTCTATGGGCAGATGTTTGCATCGGCAACATCAAGCTTGATATCCGCCGGTCTGCTTCAGCTGCATGACACCCATGGCATGGAAGGATGGAGGTGGATTTTCCTGGGTGAGTACAGATCTGCATCATATACATCCCACCGGCCCGAGCCCCGCTAATCCACACTTTAGTCGAGGGACTGATAACCCTGTTTATCGCAATCGTATTCACTCTCCTCGTGCCCGCATCGGCTGGAGATGGCCGTCCATTGCTTGCCTTTGGTCGCTGGAGCTACTTCACCGAGCGCGAGTCGCACATCATCCGCAATCGCGTTCTGTTAGATGACCCCCGGAAAGCTAAAGGCCATATCCAGATTTCAGGCTCTGATATCTGGCAGACCGTCAAGCAGCCGCGCATCCTGCAACACGTTTTCGTGACTCTGGTGTCCATGTCTGGTTTCTCGGGGTTGACTCAATACACACCTAGTATGATCAAAGGACTAGGCTTTGGTGCCGTGAAGGCAAACGCATTGGCTTCGGTTCCCGTCTACTGTAGTATGATTTGGCTGATAGTACTATCTTTTGCTGCGTGAGTGCCTATGATTATTATGATAAAACCGATTCTAACTCTTGGCAGGGACAAAACGAGACATCGTGGACCTTTTGTACTCTTGGCTATCACTTGGAATGTGATTTCCTACGCTTGCCTCCGCACAAGTAACCCCCACGCTTCGCAATGGCACCGGTATGGAGTTATTGCCGTTGCTAATATCTCCTATTGCAGCATGCAGTAAGTTCTTTATCCTGGTGGTTGTAGCGCGGTCTAACGAAGTAACAGTATTTTAAATGTCGGTTGGTTATCATTCTCCTGCCGCACACCCCAAGAACGAAGCGTTGCCATGGCTTTGGTGGTCATGGCTGCCAACTGTGCTGGTATCGCTGGCTCACAAATCTTCCGCACTTCCGATGCCCCAAAGTACCTGCATGGTCTTACCGCAATCACATCCCTTGCTGGTGTCTCATGGGCTCTCACTGCTGTGCTTTGTATTCAATATTATTTCCGGCGGCAAAAAGCGGTTCCTTCGGATGATGGGCCAGAGGCGAAAGCTTGACAAAATTAGCGACAAATGACGGACATTAATAACTATGACGATGCTCCACTATATATGGTCAAATCAAAAGCATTTCCACTCTCTTCAATGTTCTGAGACCTTCCAAGATTCTATCTACCCATTCTGACCAATATAAAACAAGCTTGTTGAGCATAAAACCAGCATAAAGCAGGGGGCTTGGCATTCTTAACTCCGACGTCATGGAGGCACCTTGCCGAGTTGAATGCCGGAGAGATGAACATGAAGTCTATTTTATCAAATACTGTGTCTTTGATATTATAATCATTGTTCCGCGCTTACCAGTGGCGACTAGTTGATTTGTCTCTGAAATCTCTTCGCCGGACATAACATAAATTAAGACCGTGATGACAATCCACCCGATGACAACCCACTCGATGAAGAATCCACTCAATATGGGTCAAGTGGACCTTTTTCTTCACGATGACCACGGCACCGGAAACCAAGATTCACAAGAACCCTCCGAGACGGAGCTCGAATCTCGCCGCGTGGATAGTTTAAAGGGAGGACCCTGCAGGAATATCTTGTAGATCGTACTAATTGAATCCCACTTTTATACAATCTTATACATCATGTCTACCACCAATTACAAGTTCGAAGGCTGGGTAGCCCTCGGCCCAGACGCTGCCGAGGGAAAGATGGTCTGGCAGGAGTTCGAGCCTAAACCATGGGAGGAGACCGATGTCGATATCAAGGTCACTCACTGTGGTATCTGTGGCTCGGATATTCACACCCTGCGCAGTGGCTGGGTATGGCACATACCTCTTAGACATCGGAATTGAACAGTTGCTAATACCAGTCTAGGGCCCCACCAACTACCCCTGCTGCGTCGGCCACGAAATTGTCGGAACAGCTGTCCGCGTCGGATCACAAGTTGAGGGAGATATCAAGGTCGGTGACCGGGTCGGTGTTGGAGCGCAGAGCGGCTCGTGCCAGAACAAGGATGGCGACTGTGACGCCTGTGCGTCTGGCATCGAACAGCACTGCACCAAGATGGTCGGCACCTACAACGGTGTTTATGCCAACGGAGGCAAGTCGTATGGTGGTTACTCCACCTACAACCGTTCTCCTTCGCACTTTGTTATCAAGATCCCCGACGCCATTCCTTCTGCCGATGCGGCGCCTATGCTCTGCGGTGGTATCACAACCTACTCACCTCTCAAGCGGAATGGCTGCGGCCCCGGCAAGACCGTTGGTGTTGTTGGCGTTGGTGGTCTTGGTCACTTCGCTATCTTGTTCGCCAAGGCACTCGGTGCTGACCGCGTCGTCGCTATTTCCCGCAAGTCCGATAAGAAGGCCGATGCGCTCAAGCTTGGTGCGGATGATTTCATCGCCACCGGTGAAGATGAGGACTGGGCTACCCGCCACGCTAGCTCTCTCGACTTGATCATCTCCACTGCCTCCTCCTCCAAGATGCCGATTGCCCAATACTGTGGACTTCTGCGTGTTCGCGGTACCTTCATTCAGCTCGGTGCCCCCGAGGATGGCGGTCTCGAGATCCCAGCCTTCGTGCTTCTCCTCAAGGGTATCAAGCTTGGTGGCTCATTGATCGGTAGCCCCAGTGAGATTCGGGAGATGTTGGAGTTGGCTGCTGCCAAGGGTGTCAAGCCTTGGATTCAGGAGCGCCCAATGGCTGATGCCAACCAGGCCATTGTGGACATGGAGAACGGGGATGCTCGTTACCGCTATGTTCTCACGAACGAGCAGTAAATCAACAATCACTCCCGAGTGATGTATAGTGCAAGATTATGTCAAGCGATGAGCTTTTTGAGGCGGTATATAGAAGTCACTTTTAGAACTAGAACGAGATTAGAATACCAAAACACATTTGTTCAATGAATTTTGGGCCTTGATTAAGTCGTAGAGCAGTTGAAAGGTCTTGAGCATTCTCAAACTAGGACTTTATCGATGTCTGGCGGCAATCTCGACGCATTGACACGATGTCATCAACTTGTTTGAACTCTACCTCTCTAGGTTGAGCTCCCTTCTTGACAAAATCGCATCTCTCTCACACCCACATTCTGCTGGATACCCTCGGACTAATTTCTTTACATCCTTCTCAAGGTATTTTACCAAGCCCAAGTCAACGTCTCATCCACCAGCGGTATTTGCTCATTGTGTATACATACTGATGGCAGGTTGGCTGGGCACTCGTGTAAAATGGACTCCGTGTGGCTTTTCAATTGACCGCATATCCAGTCAACTAACTAGGACGCTACTCAAAACTTCACAACTAGACAACTTGAAAAACGAGACCAAAGAAATCAAACAGACAATCTGTATGGGCGACAATGTATACACTGTTCGGACAAGGTGGTTCGAACTTCGATCTTTCCCAAATTGGAAAAAGACATGGACAGATTGATCTGTCCAAGAGGTGACAAGAGGTGAAGGTGTTTTCGGAAAAGCAATGGCCTTTTCGACTCTTCCAAGAAAAGTTCTAATCGTCCTTTGACCGTTCTTTCATCGCGCTTTCTTTATGACCTCCCCCGGACCCCATCAAGACACTCAACCTCTGGAGTCTCTCAGATTTCCTATACATTTCCCAGCGACCCTTCAACGATCCTCTAACCATCTTCAACAGTCTCGAATCCCAGCTTTTCAACCGCACACTCCGTCACCTCCGAATCCCTACTCCACAACTCTACCGGACACAAGGTCAGTGGCCGCTTTCTCGATGCTTAAATTCAGATGAACACGTTCTCTGCAGGTAGAGTATCCTCCTTTCCCACCCGAATTACACAAACTAACTGAGTCATCCTTGGAAACTTGCCGAAAAGACAATCGCCCATAATATTGCCCCCTGTCAAAGAAGATAATCGGTAGCAGGTACCCATAATCTCCTCTCTTTCCAGAAATGAGCGGCGTTCATTGTCTCATCGACGATGAGGGTCACTATATCAAGGCTCATACAGTCATCGCAAGTGGTGACGCAGCAGTTGTTGTTCAACGAGACGATATGGCAATCAAAATGGCCATCGTGTACAAATATTACACGATGGAGAAGGTGGAAGGAAATCGTCAAAAGATCCGACGAGAGCAAGAGGTCTGGCGACGCATCCAACCCAGCTTCGAAAGCCCGGTGGAAGGCATCGTTCAGTGCCTCGACCTTCCTGGAGACACCATCGAGATGAGATACATGTCCGGGGGTACGTTGTCAAAGTGGCTGAAGCATAGAGTACGACCCAGCATAGAGCTCCAGAAGCGCTGGTTCCGCCAGCTTGCCATCGGCCTCCACAACTTGCACCGACGTCGCGTCATCCACAGTGATATCCTCAGCCGCAATATTCTGTTAGATGGTTCGTTGAATGTTGTGATTACTGACCTCGGTGCCTCGACTATTATGCCTATTAATACTGTCATGGTCAATGCGGTGGATGATTACAATTGCTCCATCTGGACGGATATCTGCCAGCTGGGCCTCGTGTTCTATGAGATCGTCACGGGGAGACAGACTTGTATCAGTCTCTATAGCAGTGGTAGGAATGACTCGGTCGCAATATTTCCACCTCGGAATAATCTCCCTATGCTGGACCAACGAATCTGGGCCCAGGATATCATCGAGACCTGTTGGAGGGAGGGTGGATATGGGGCTGCAGGCGCGGCGGGAATTCTGGCTAAGCTGGATAAAGTGCAAGGCCTGCGCCGACGTTGACGTATATCGTCGATTTTGTTTTGTGTGAGAGTATGGGCCATGGACCCTCCACTTGAGGTGAGAAGAGTATCGACTTGACAGATTCGACTCTGTACAACTTGGCTCTTTTATGTAACTCGTTAGAATAATTGTTCACCTAGGAACTAGGACATCCTTTCTCAATAGTTCGCTGATAATGCGCATTTACATACATAGATATATCAAGTTTTGGTCTGTCATACCTGTAGGTCGTATCTACCTAAGTATAAAGTAGAAAGATATTCGAAGCCTAGTAGAACAGCAAAAGATATGCATACCAAAACATTCCTTTCCTCTCCATCTAGAGGCAGCGGTCAACCTTTCAATTGCCTACCAGGTCCTACCTGGGCTTGGGCACCTGGGCAAGATATACCAAGGCCCCTGTAATGGTAATTCACGTAATTTAACTGTCTGGTTCCGCGCCAATTAACCGGCCAATTAACCGGCCCTTACTCCGTACATTCTGTTACAAAAGTTACAGAACCAGCTCACGTAGTAAGTATGAGACCTCGTATTGTCACTTGGGTATTGAAAATCTTCATTTGTCGGACAATCACCCTGTTCTTCCTTCTACCTCCCTTGTTTACTCTCACCAACATCAAGTCACGCGTTTCATCTTCGATATACAATACTCTGAGTTGTGTACTGTCCAATTTCCAGTACGAAAAATGGCGGGAAAAAGGGGTTTCGACTTGGAGGACTCTCCACCGCTTAGCACCTCTAAAGCTGCGGGATTCAATGCCCATGTATTGAAAAAGCTACAAGCCGCTGTTACTGAGGATCCCGAGATCAACTTGACCGAGCAATTCCCAACCGAATATGCGAAACGTCTCCTGGAGATGCAAAAAACAAGCCATCGTCTCCCTAGTAAGGAATACCAATGTGTATTTCCTCGTTTCCATCACTAATAAAAAATGTTACAGAGAAAACTAAACCGAACCCTCAGGATCTTCCCAAGGCCGACGAAGACATTCGTCAATCCCTCTGCCCATTGGATCCGGTTGAAGTTATTTTCCCTCTTTCAGATGTGGTCGCAAAATTACTTGAGACTGTGCCCCGAACCGCGGAGTGTTCGCCAGTGGTCGGACTCTCTCAGCAGCTGTCTGAACTCCTACAGAGAAGTGAGATCATTTGGAAAGCTCCCTTCGCCCGACAGAAAGGGGTGTTTAAATGCTCCCTCGGAGTAGTTGTGAAAGCAGTCCGTAACTTGAAGCACTACACTGAATACACCACATTACAATATCTTGACCGTCATAAGCCAAGTATCCCAGCACCGAAACCCCTTGGGTTAGTGCGTATGAGTGGAATTTCTCTGATATTCATGAGCCACATGCAATCTGTACCGCTGGGGGAAGTCTGGCGAACACTTATCCCTTCTCAAAAGACCTCGCTTAGCAACCAACTCAACACAATACTTGCCGATCTCAGAACCCTTCCTTATCTAGAAGGGACTCCTCTTGGAGGAATTGGAGGCGAAGGATGTACAGACCTCAGGAGGCATGTTCGCACGAGCGAGACACCTATCACTAGCCTTGACGATTTTGAAACATTTTTGTTTTCTAGCTCGCATCCGGGTGGGGACGTGTTCGTCAAGTTTCTTCGCCGATTATCATCATCATTCCTAACCCGACCGGGGCCTCGCATCGTTTTCACACATGGAGATATAAGACCGGACAATGTTATGGTCCAAATGACCGAAAATAACAAGTATACGATTTCTGGAATCCTTGACTGGGAATACAGTGGATTTTATCCTGACTATTATGAATGTGTCCGGTGCACAAACTGCCTAAGTCCATATGAGGAAGACGACTGGTTTTTATATTTGCCAAAATATGTTTCGCCAAACAGTTATCCCGAGTGGTGGCTTCTCGATCGAGTCCGAGAAACGAGAGTTGTATGAGAAGGAGCTCCGCTTTCAAGAATAATGTATATCTAAATGAAGGGTATAACTATGTGAGCGATTGAAACGAATACGGTAATCATCCATACTCACAGGATCTGAGAATCGGCAACTCCGGCTGAAAACTGGATATTCTGGACCTAGTGATGGTGTTTGAGACTTTGACTTGAACACCATCCACCTTTAAATACTCCTCCAGCAAAAGCTCGACATGGCGTTCACCTTTCCGGTTTGATCCATAGCTTCTCTAAGTGGTTGAAACAGATGAGACGCCACATATTGGCTAGTCAAGGTGTTTGATAACGGCGCCTAAGTTCGACAACTTAAATGCACGGTTCTCAGGTCATTGCGCTGCCATTGCAATCAAATCAACACAAGCTCGAGTTTCCGGGGGAGGTCTGAGCATCCCGTTTTCATCCAGCCCTCCTCTCATCAGCCGCACGGTATAGTATCGACAAATCACACACCGTGTCTACGCGCCTCTCTCTATAAATATCATCGTTCTCATTTGCTCTCACATTTTCTCCTCTGTCTTCCGACTTATCTCATCCACGTGCCCACTTGACTATTATCGCCGGAGTCGTATAGAGTCTGAAAAAATCGAGGAGTTGATTAACTCTCTTGATACTTTGGGTCTCAAATCCAAAGAGTCGGAGGCGAAGAATCTTAGAACAATCCTTTTCTTCAAGATTGAAGTAGTACAGGAATAAACCTGACACGTAAGGCCTGATAAGCTACCACACGCATAAGCGCCTGAAATCAATGTGCACAGATTCACACCCGCGCTATCGCATTCAGTCCCTCCTGCGCCTTCGCCCATTACGCCACCGCGGTTGGAAATCCAAGTTTTTTTTGACCAATTGATGGTTACCCCATTGCTACTAATTAGCATGTGATTGATCCATTCTAACTGCAATGTAGGGGTGGTTTATGTTTGGCCTAAATAGCCAAGTAGACGTGAATAATATCTACGTAGGGGCATAGTGGTCAGGGTCCCTTTCGGCTTTAATGCACTGCAGTAAGGTCTTCGGGCCTTCATTTGCCCTGATATATCCTTAAGTCTGAATAGCTTTCGAATCCTACGATACAGAGTGGATTGTAAACCTTTCAGCGCCAGATAACTCGTGCACCGGAATACCCGGTCCCATAACTACCCCTTCCTACACCGTTCTAGTTACACATTAGCCCTGAATATCCCTTCGGGGCCACAGCAGGCTCGCATCAAGTCGTGTGCTATTTCCACCAAAACAATCAAGGCCACCATTTCTTCTGCCAACTCACTGCTTTTCCCAGCACAGGCGAATAGACCTGATATCTCTCATATGGAAGTTATCCAGAAGAATGAGGCATTCAGAAGAATTGATGGCAAAATGAAATTTTCCTATGTCCAGGTTTTTGTTCGGCAAGATGGCAAATTATATTTCGGAAAACGGACAAATCGATTCAATCCGCCAAAGGTGCTGGACGATCTCCAGGAACTCAAGCAAATTCCCACCCAGGATAGGGGCCCAAAAGTGAAAACCGCTTGGTCAGCGATCTATGTGAAAACACCAAGTCTGCTTGCGTATACCGATGGGAATCTTGAGGAGCGAATCGCTCGCGAAATCGAAACATATGAGTTTCTTCGGAGGAACTCCCATCCGAACCTCGCGACCTACTATGGTTGTATAGATACTCACGGTCGAGTGTCGGGACTTTGCTTGAGACGATATACGTCTACACTACTTGAAGCAGTCAATCCTCAACGCCTAGGCAAGGTCGCTTTCCTTTCAAGTACGCGCGAATTGGTGACAGCGAAGATGAAAAGTGGCCTCGATGGAATTTTGGCTGCTATCAAACATCTTCATTCTTTCGGACTTGTCCATAACGATATCAATCCTGCAAACATTATGCTTGATGATGATGGGACATTCATTCTGATCGATTTCGATAGCTGTCGATATATCGGGGAGTCGTTACGCAACACCGAAACGAAAAGAACCCACCACTGGCACGACCCTGCTGTTGAGATTTCGGTCGAGAAAAATGACCTCGACGCTTTCAGAGATCTGCAAATCTGGCTGACTGGATCTGCGGATGAGAATTTTGTTTTTGAATGAATCGCTAGTGAAGTGTCAACCCCAAGTGGATCAGCTGGGGCGATCATTGTTAAACGTGGAGCAGGGATGAGCAGCAAAATCAATCAGAACCCCTGTGCTTGGTAGCAGAACAAAATAAGTCAGGAATCGTCAGTACAACATATATTCTAAATGGCATTTAGGGGGCAGGGGTTCACGAATTGCTGGGGGATCATGGGTCTGAGCACTATACATGGCAGTGGGTGTCCTGGTGGGATTGAGATAATAAGGAGCCTCTGGTGTCATTCAACTTTGAGAACATGCAGACAGGACAAATCCTTCCGATGATATACGTCGTATTGCTTTTGTAAAGAGGAGAATCTTTATATGCCGGCCATTGCCAGTTGCCGAAAAGCGGTCATGTTGAAGGTCTCCACTTAGTTTGAGCCGGTGGGAGCTATGGCCATAGAAGCAGACAGCGATGGTGAATGTGCATGAGTGATCGCTACACTTATGACTCATTGACTACAGACATATGGTATGTTGGCTATCGCTGTGAGTTGTTATACTACCCATAGACAATGAGAAGAAACGGTAAAAAGCGTGTATGGGAGAGAGAGGAAGGGACAGGTTGTCAAATCAGGCACCTATAGGTCATCTGACTATGCCTAGACAGCTCAGACAAAGTCCAAACGTGCAAAGGCAGTTGAAATAGCCATTGGCAAATGGCCAAGGTCTCCAAGATTCTTTTCGACATGCGCTTTTATCGGACGATCAGAGGATGGGAACGTCTGCTACAGCAACCGAGCATCTCCGAGTCTCAGCTCAGCCAAGCATTCAAGACTCTACTCCGTAGACAGTTCTAGATCTACGAATTCGACAGGCCAGTGGCCAATGCAGGCTGTATAGGAGCGACGAAGCGCAATCAGGTACAGTGTGCTGTCAGATTGGTTACTTGGGCCAGTCATTGTGTACCTAGCTATCTTACTTTGATAATTGCTTTTGATGGACCTTTGTAGCCAGTAGACAAAGCTCCTGTCTTCATTCTTTGCGACGATCTTCATGTGTCTGCAACCGATTCGAATTGTTCAAGTTCAATCATCATGTATCATGCATCTCATCTCGTAACTGGATTTTACATGTAACCGACACGGGCCTGGATATATTCCCTATGATTTTCTTTCTATTTTTTTAACTACAACGCGGTTCCTGAATCTCCGTGTCTATTTGGATTTCAGCACTGAAGTCACCTATTTAGGCTGTATTGAGGATATGCAGTATCAGTGTCAACTCGTGTCGTGCAGAGGGAGCCTACTTGTATTTATAGCATCGTGCGTGTTAGTGATTTAGTCTAGCAGGCATTTGTTCCAGGACGAGGGTTGGATAGGTGTTTGCGCCGAAGTTCTAGTAGTGCTCTATACGATCTACTCCCGTTAAGAGGTAGTAGTAAAGGAATCAACTAGCTTTACGCAATATATATAGACATGCATACAAGATGATGAAGCCTTTTGAAATATACCCAAGGTACCATGACATGGTCATGGATTTTTCTCCATTTGAATATTTTCTTTTCTTAACACTAATGCTCCCAATATCAGGTGGAATGGAGATTATTGGCTGAACTGGCTATCTCAGTTGGGGCTAAATTGCGACCAGCCCGGGGAGCTTCCCTTCTGTTTTTTCCTTATAACAAAGGCACATTTCTCTCGCATAAGTCGAACGATTGAGTCCTTACTTCGTATGTTGTGAAACAATGCCCTTATCAGAACCACGTCACATTAAAAAACCCCGATTATCGCTCAGTTGCATTGTCTGTCGACGGCGCAAGGTTCGTTGCGGTCGCGAACAGCCAGAATGTGCCAACTGCGTACGCATGAAAGAGAATTGTGTCTACAGGGCAATGGTCCGTGACGAGTCCACCGGCCGTGTACGACCAGTATCCCCCAGAGATGGCAGGGACTCCGATGCTCGCCCAGATCTTCCTTGGCCCTGTTGGGGCCAAGACGCCAATGCGCCGTATCTGGAGAAACCGTCGAGACCTCCTTCTCCTCAATTATCCAATGCCAGTCCTTCCCCACATCGACAGGAGCTCTATCCAACAGTCCCTTCATGGGAAGAGGCCATTCAGCTTCCCCGTGATCGGGATGCGAGCGGTCCTCAACTTAGAGGGAGCTCGACTACCCGGGATGCCTCCCCTGTGCCATCAACAAACTCCTTTCCCACCCTGAGCGACCCACTCTGTCGCGACTATTTGAGTATACGACGGGGTGGCCGCGTGCGATATATCGGTCGGAATTTCTGGGGTCTCGTTGCTGGAAAAGTGAGTCTGTCTGGCTCAGGCACAAAAACAAAACAAGACAAAAAGCAAACAAGGGAACTGCAATTTGCGACGAGATGTGTCGCCTAGCAGGACCATGACTGACCTAAATTGATCTTGCTATAGGAAAACCTGAGCGATGATTTCTTTGACGAAAACCAGCATACTCACCCCGATCTGCCCCTCCCACATATTTCATCTGTGGGCATGTTTAATCTCCTGCGGTCGCTACCCACCAAGCCCGTGAGTGATGCCCTGCTCGAGATCTTCTTCGTCGCCGTGTGGCCACTTGTTCCTCTCCTACACCCGCCTTCTCTCCAGACAGAATACAATGAGTTCTGGGATTGGTGTCGGAACAGTGAGAGTGCTTTGCCCTCGGAAAAACTACGCGATGACCCTACCTTTATATGCCTTCTCTTCGCGGTCCTATATTGTGGCGCATCTGCCGCACCAGCAGCCAGCTGGATGTATACGAAGCTCCAGGGTCTACAGAAGGAAACGACAGTGAGCCATCTCAAGTCGGCATTTACAACTAGTCTCTCTTTATGTCAGCATCTGGAGCATCCGACATTACATACATTAGTTTCAACTTTGCTGACAGAGCCGTTCCTGGACCGACCATTTGAGCCTATGCGTAGTCTGGTCCATGTGAGCACCACGGTGCGCATTGCTCAGACTATGGGTTTACATCGAGAACGAACGTGGTCTGCGATGAGTTGGCTTGATAAAGAAATCCGCCGTCGCATCTGGTGGCACATTGTTTGGCTCGATGTGCAGTCGAGCCTCTCCACGGGGCTGACCCCCTGCTGCGGGAAGGAGGCCTTAGAGACCGTGAGCATGGTTGACCACCATGAAGAGCCTGGCGAGGTCCCTGCTGGACTTTCTCAATGCAACGACTCTGTGACAGGTGGAAAGTCGGTGGCCATGCTATACGCTATCGGACGCTTCCAGACGGCTAATCTACAAGCGAGGATCGTGGCGCACCTACAAAGCGCGCGGGGTCCAACTCAAGGGCAATTTGGGGGGCTTATCACCGAGGCAAAGGAGCTTCTGCAGAATATCGACACTATCATTGCGCGCGTTCCTACACAGGGGATCCCTGAAAGGGGGTACATCCCATCCCGCCTGGCCAATGCATCTCCATCCACACATCCCTCGTTGTACAAAGATGATGCACGACAGCCAACCGTCTTTGCAGCATGGACGCGAATCATGTTAACCTTGCTGAAATCAGAAGTAGCCATCTTATTGCAGAAACCATTTCTGCCATCCCCAGATAGGACGAATGCGCAATCACGCAAGTCATGGACCAGGTATGGGTTCCTTTCTTCCTGCATGTCAATTTGTCCTGCGTAATCTAGTGCATATCCCGTTGCATACCCTCTTCGCACAGCGCGAATCCTGTCCTGAGAATTCATCCATTAACATTGATCCTTCATCACTCTATTGGTTTGAAAGACTTATTAACACACAATTTGATTGTCCAGCATGGCGCAGCTTTGCGTGAATTACTTGCGTATCTATTTGCAGCTGTATCAAGCTCCTGCGTTCTCCCCATACGCGTGGTTCTTCTGCAGCTACTATGGGCCTCTTCAATGCGTATTCATCACCCTTATATATCTCCATTCCTTTGAAGACTCTGAGGATACCTTGCTGGCGCGATATTGTGTTGATGAAGTTATACATCACTGTGTGGCTCAGTACCAAGCTCCAGATAGCTCCTCGACAAATACCAGCCCTGACGATACTGATTCCAACAACAGCAAGACACGGATGCCATTGGTCATTCAGGTTCTCGCTGACCTCCATAAACGCCTCGACTCGTCCCTCGGAGCTGAAGAGCGGCTCCCACTACCCTTGGAGCTACTCGAGTGTCAAGCCCACTTTCATATGTCGGGTCTTGCTACCAAGGCGTCCGAGCTATGCACGACATCCATTCGACCCTCTTCCGATGCATCCTCCTCTACCACTCGTACGAACCGCAATTGTGAAACCCCATCTATGACTACAGGACATCCTCCCGTGGTTGCTGGTACCAAACCAGGCCCTCCAAACAGCGTCCTGGTGGCAGGAAGTGACTCGGGCTTAGATATGGATTTCCTTGCTACAATTTCGGATCTAGAGGCCTGGTCCTCGTCATTGATTATGGAACCCGACAACCTTTTGGCCCATCCTGATAATATAACACCCGATAATGCTGTAATCTCAGGGTTAAGCGCGCACAGTACAGCATCCGGTCGCCGTGACCTGCATGAATCACTCGATTTCCCGGCGTAACAGCGCTATCATACGTCTTCTTTTTACTTTCTCTCTTTTCAGTACCGTAAGCCAAAAATCAATACAATATATATAGATCCTTCGAGCTATCTTGAGAGACCCTGTTCCCTCCAATGACATGATTTGACCTGATTTTACAAGGTTTTCAAATCTCACCTAAGCCTCCAATGCACGATACATTATTTTCCATTTACGGACTGCACTACTGCACCGCGACGAACAAACATTCTTCGTGATCTCACTTGCATGAAGGGGTATCAAAGCGTCTCGGTACGGAGTACAGCCATTTTCTTCAACGTGCCGCCTGTCAGATTGACCGAATCACATCCCTCAGTAACCCTGTATGGCTTACACGCAATCACCTCCCCGGTCCACATTTCCCTTGTCAGCGCCAGCTAAAGTATATTATATCCAATATATATATATATAAATAAATCTGTCCCGCCCTCGGCCGAATAATCTGCAGTCAGCCTTGTGCCAGCAGCCCTGTGCTCTTCACCGGCTTCGGGTCTTAGGGCGTCGCATACTGGCAAAATATCTCGGACTCAGCTCGCGCAAACTCACGGAGAATCGTCTCGGCCCTCACAGCAGAGCGAGGAGAAACTCGGCACTTGAACGCCTTTGGACACACAAGAAATCCCTCGGTGTATCCCGTTATCGGGTCGGTGTCGATCGCGACCGGCTTTCCTGATTCATCGAGTTCGGGCTCGAATTGGAATGCCCAGAGGAGCTTCGCAGCCCCGAGGAACATGCTGCGTTCTGACAGATGGATCCCCGGGCAGAGCCTACGTCCAGCTCCATAGATAAAGTGGTCCCGCTGCATACAATCCGGCGAGACGGCGTAGTCCGAGGCAAGCTTATTTCGCCCCTCGTAACGACTGGGATCGAACTGGTCGGGATTGGGGAATACGCGATCGTCATGGTGGAGGCCCCACACGTTTAGAAACACCGTCGTCCCCTTTGGTAGCAGATATCCATTGACCCAATCATCTTGAGTGAGTGCATGCGGGAATGACAATGGCGCCACTGGCCGCCAGCGCATCGTCTCTTTGACAATCATGTTGATATACGGCAGACGGCTGAAATCCGCCCATGTAGGGGATCGGTCTTCACCACAGACAGCGTCGATCTCGACGCGCGCCCGTTCTTGGACTTCCGGATGCTGCACCAGCGCCTGGATCATCACGAGGAGCATCGTGGACCCGGTGTCAGATCCACCCTCCATCATCACGCCACCAAGGAAGTCGACTTGATTGTCAGTGAGATTTTTCTTCTCCTGTAGGTCTAGTACGTGGTCAATGAAAGTGCGAGCTCGGACTTGTGAGCCCTGCTCGGCCTTTCGTCGCGCTTTTATCGCCCGTCGGCGGAAGGATCCGTACAAAGCTTTCATACCGCTGCCCACGTCGACCGAGCGATCGATCCAATTTCCCAGCCACTTCTGTGGGATCCATTTCAGCCACGGGAAGATATCGATGGGGGGCGTGGCGCCCGTCTCCATGATCTTGGACCATTTCTCCATGATATCATAGAGGTCCTGCATATGTGGTGTATCCCATGACGGGGTACGAATCCCATACAGTAGACTCATGATTATACTGTTGGTCGTTCGTTTCGTATGTAGCATGTGCTTCTCTGGATACAGCAGGAAGTCACGCATCATCTGTGTGTGCTCGGCTTCGAGTAGCTTGACATGCTCTTTCTCGCACATGTTCGCCTTGAAGTGCTGGTGCACTGTTTTGCGGAATAGCCGCCAAGTTTCGTTGTTTTCCATGACGAGGAGGTGATCGCCGCCTGTTATAAGACTCTGCCCGACATAGGAGATTGGCCGTGAGCTGTACAGAGCGCTGCGCCTATCGAGCAGTTCCTTGACTAGACTTCGGTCCGTGATCACAGCAGCGGTGGCTGGGCCAATGCGGAACATGTAGAGACCACCATAGACTTTGGCCCATTCTGTAAATCTAGTGATGTTAGAGTGCGCATTTGATTAGACAGACAAAGAACGAACCGTTGATGCGCGCGCACTGATGGGATTTGATGAATGTTGCCAATGAGAGGGAGACCAAGGGGGCCTGGATATCATTAGTTTGATATTCTCTTGTGTAATAAAGGTAGAAAGATCAATGGGGTAAATACCAGGAGGCAGTTTCCGCTGGATTCTCCAGCTATACAAAACAGATCGGAGGACAAGCAACACCAGGCCCGCCGTAGCCAGACTCGCTATATAAAGAAGCGCCATGAGGTTAGTTAGCACTTTCAATTCCGCTCGCACAAGATAGACTGAAGGTGAGAGAGACGTAAAGAAACACTATCGGGATACGAGAATATATTAAATACTTTGAGAATACGATTTGATCATCGTACACTAGTCAGCCGTGTCAGTCAGACGGGGTGTTCCGGACGAAAGACTCTATTAAGCGAGATGATGTATTTTCTATAAGCTATAACTCCTAGTGGATATTGATGGAGTCTACTAGTCTTGTCAGATTTGACTGCTTTCGGCCTGGAGCTCCAGTAAGCCCTAACACAAAACTTAGATACACCATATTTCGAATATCCTCGAATAATGATGCCTTTCCTGCTCATATCAATAGAATTACATAAATTTTATATCTTAGCTTGCCGAAACATCTGCTTGTTATCTTCCTCAATCCGAAAACGCGGAAATAGCTCTACTGCCGCACCCCGGGCAATCTCTTCCTTCTCCTCTTCTGGCAAAAGACAACCCTCTATCATCTCAACATACTTGTTGATAGTCTCGACAGGAGCATAGGGGAAGTCACTGCCATATAACACATGTCCTGCCTTTGCAAACCCAGTCTTGCCCACCAGTAACTCCAAATTCCTCGGGTTCCCAGATAGCGCGAGATCGAAATAGAAGCCCCTAGCCTGTTCTAAAAATATCTCTGGAGTAATATCAGTCAGACCTGCGTCATAGAGCAAATTTGCTGCCCGAGTAGCGAGAATAGGCAGTGTCCCGCCTCCGTGCGAAAGAATAATCTTCACATCGGGGCTCTTGGAGATCGTCCCCGAGGTGATCAGATCGACTGCCGCTCGACATGTCTCGTGCGGGTAACCAATGATCGGCTGTGGCAGTTTTGAATTAACCATATCAGACTTAATCTGTCTGTCCGAGGCAGTGTTCGTCGGATGGATGAAGACTACTGCCTTGCGGCGATTCAGTTCCTCCCAGAGCGGTGCAAAGGCAGCATGGCCGAGGTACCCAGTTCCACTGTAACGAGTGTAAAGAGTGATGCCGTCAGCCTGGAGGACATCTAAAGCATAGGATATTTCTTCCATGGCCGAGGGGATAGTTTCGGGCGTTAGATGCGGGAGACTGGCAAAGAAACCGAAGCGACTGGGGTTTTCCTGTTGAAGTTGGAAGCCATAGATGTTTACCTCCCGAGCAAGGTTGGCTGATGCTACTGGGGAGTTGTAGAATATAGAGGTGCCTGGTGCAGTCAAGGAGAGAATGGCCGTGCGGGTGGCGTGAGAGGCCATGAGGGAGAGAGTCAATTCTGGGGTCCATTTGGGGAGGTGCCAGCCAGAAGGATCACCAGGCGTTGAGTTGAAGGCTATTTTCTTGGTCATTTGAGTCTCCGGGAAGGGTTTGAGGATTGGATCAATATACCATTGACATAGGCAGGGGGAATGAAGTGATGGTGCACGTCGATGCGGTTCATGGTGATTAGCAGCTGTTTTACTGAACTCCGTAAATTTGTATGGACAATGAAAGTGGGAATAACTTGCAAAATATAGACTCATCATAACTTCATACTGGCATAAGCTAGAAACCGTGCAGCCGAGCAAGAACAAGACCGATCATACTCGGCCGGAGGGCATACAAGCAGATAAAGACCTAGCAGCCTAGGGCTGAACGCTGGCCAGCATGGCAATGGCTGCAGACTCCCAGACTAAGCGACATGCTTTCCTATTTAATACTACACCTTTCAGCGCAGCTCCATCTTCATGGTTCCCAGGGAAATATCAAATACCCGCACCACAAACAGCTCGAGCAAAGACACTCCGGTCAAATATAAGCCCAACTTGATATTTGACTTGAAAATTCGCCCTCCCGAGTGTCGATCCTTGAGATCCAACGACACAATATGCCACGGCATGCTCACCATCCACACACCGAGTCCCAGCACCCAGAAGATGAGCGACATGTCCGCGCGCAGCGCGGTGACAGCGAACAGCAGTACCTGCAAAGCGCCAAGCACCGCCAGAAGAGTCTGGACGTTCCTTCCCATCAGTACAGCGAGTGACTTCACGCCAATCTTCTCGTCGTCTGGGCGGTCTTGTGTCGCATAGAAGATATCAAAGTAGACAACCCACGCGGCTGTGGCGAAAAATAGAGGAAGTGCTTGATCTAGATTCTTCAGATCTCCAGTAATTCCCACCCATCCCGGGAACACGGCACCACCAATTATTGCCCCCAGCACAACTTGTGGGAATGGAATGATGCGCTTCATGAACGGGTAGATAGTGCTGAGCATCCATACGGGGATGAAGCCCACGGTGACGGTCGAACCTAGTGTGCCCCAAGTAACGGCGAGTGTGGCAGGCAGCCAACATGAAAAAGCCACGACAGCCTCAGTAGTACTGAGCATTCCAGCTGGCAGAGGGCGAACCTTGCATCGCTCGACATGTTCGTCAAGCTTTTGGTCACAGATATCGCTAGTACTCTCGTCAGTAGGAGATGGGCACATGGTTTCTTTCGGAACGTACTTAAATGTACAAAATGTACAATGTGTAGCTGTCACGCTGGCCCAGATGCCAAATAGTAAACGGAGAAATGGAGCGAGTTCCAGCGACACATCTCGCATGCCCGCGGCCACACATGCCCCCCAGATGGCAGGATACCAGCACAGCCAGGCTTCACGAGTGTGTAACCGGGCCAGTTCCCATACACCGCGAGGCAAATTGCGCGGGTACTTTATGGTGGTAGACGCAGCCATACTGATAATGCTACTCGGACGACTGCCTCAAGCAGTTACGTATAATAAAGACCCTTATAAAAGACGAAGATTAGAAAAAGCAAAAGCTCATATCCCGGCTTGTCAAAAAACACATTTCAAAGCATCGACTTTCTGTATAACACAGTGCCCTTGGGGTCGGTCTCGTTGCTGAGCCGAGTCGCGCCAGGAATCGCATTAGGCCAAAGAGAACTTTCACCTCGGCCGACAAGCCGATTACTCGAATCTATGCCAAGTCACCAGAGAGGCACACCGGCCGATAGGGATCTAGTGAATCATATTGAATCCTGAAATGGACTCCTATTGGTGCTAGACGAAGTATATGCATATCGACATCGCAGAAACTTCATATTAATACATAAAGAGTGTGATTTATTAGTTTGAACTGACTGCAAGGAAGATTGAAAATCTTCAAACAACCTTATTAATTATCTGTTTGATCATAGAGTCAACATTACACAGCATAATGATTGCTTCAACCAGCAGCACAGAGGCCCTCATGCCCGCGGGGGGTTCCAACGATAGCAAAGGCACGACGACTCCCGCAACCAGCACCGAAGACGCTGAGATGCAGGATGATATTCTCAACAATGACACCAATGATGAAATTGCCATAATAGGCATGGCATGTCGTGTCCCAGGAGATGTCAAGTCCCCCTCCGCGCTGTGGCAGTTCCTTCTTCAGAAAGGTGATGCTTCAGGGGACATACCCTCCTGGCGCTGGGACCCCTATCGACAGCGCCATCCTCGCAATGCGGCCGTACTGGCCAAAACCACCGCCAGGGGCTACTTCCTTAACGATATTGATCAATTCGATGCTGCCTTTTTTGCCATCTCCCCGCGCGAGGCGGAGCAGATGGATCCCCAGCAGCGCATTGCGCTCGAGGTTGCCTGGGAGGCATTGGAGGATGCAGGCATCTCTCCTTTCGGCCTTGCAGGCTCGAACACTTCAGTATATATGGGTGTCAATTCCGATGACTACGCCAAGCTGGTCCTGGAAGACCTCCCCGACGTGGGTGCACATATGGGTGTTGGCACAGCCTATTGCGGAATCCCCAGCCGTATATCATATTTGCTGGATCTGATGGGTCCCAGCGTTGCACTGGACGCGGCTTGTGCATCATCCCTGGTCGCGGTACACCATGCCCGACAGGCTATCCGTGCCGGCGAGACTGATCTAGCCATTGCAGGTGGTGTCAACGCGCTCCTAGGACCCGGACTGACCCGGGTACTGGACGAGGCGGGAGCGATCTCCGCAGACGGAAAGTGCCGTTCCTTCGACGACTCTGCGAGCGGGTATGGCCGAGGCGAAGGAGCAGGTGTTGTCATTCTAAAGCGTTTGGATAAAGCCCTGGCAGACGGCGACCAGGTTTTAGCTGTACTCAAGGGCAGTGCAGTAGCCTCGGATGGAAAGACGTTGGGAATCATGGCCCCCAACGCGCAGGCGCAACTGCTTGTTGCCCGAAAGGCGCTCAAAGAGGCGAAGGTGAGGTCTGACTCAATCAACTATATTGAGGCACATGCCACTTCCACATCACTGGGCGACCCCACAGAAACAAGCGCCTTGGCTGAGATATATGGTGTGGGATCTGGACGGCATCCATCCAACCCGTGCTACATCGGTTCCATCAAACCGAATATCGGACATTTGGAGGCTGGTGCTGGTGTGATGGGCCTCATCAAGGCGGTTCTTGTGCTTCAAAATGGCCAAGTGCCTCCGCAGGCAAACCTGCAGAAGTTGAACAGTAAGATCGCATGGAAGGAGAGCTTACTATGTCCGGCCCGCGAGCTGGTAATACTGCCCCATGGCAACTCATCGCGACCATTACGGGCAGCTGTAGCATCGTACGGGTACAGTGGTACAGTGTCGCATGCGGTTATCGAGGCTTTCGCAGGACAATCCTTGTTCGCCGATCGACTGACCCAGACTCCAGATGATGATGCTGCGCCAGTCCTCCTTCTGTTGTCCGTGCCTCAAGCGAACCGCATCTCAACAACGGCTAGCGGTCTGAGCCAGTGGTTGCGCGACACTGGCCCAGCGGTATCCCTGGCAACACTTGCGTCGACGCTATCGCAGCGCCGTGCGCATCATCGCTTCCGCCACGCTATTGTCGTTGATTCAATCGCAAATGCCATCGCTGCCCTTGATGATGTGGCCAAAAATGTTCCAAATCGCTGGGTTATCAGTGACCGAATTGGAACCGAGGTAGCAAAGGGTCCAGTCTGGGTGTTCTCAGGCCATGGTGCGCAGTGGCCCGACATGGGTCGCGAGTTATTTCACTCCAGTCCAGCGTTCGGAGAAGTGGTGCGCAATCTGGAACCAATTATTCAAACCGAACTGGGGTTCTCTGCAATTGAATCTTTGCAAGCTGGCTGTCCGGATCGCACCGATGTTATCCAGGCGATGACATTCCTCATGCATCTGGGCATCGCCGCGGTGCTCGAGGCGGAGTCTGGTCCTCCTGCCGCTGTTGTGGGCCATTCACTGGGTGAGGCCGCCGCGGCAGTCATATCTGGGGCTCTGACCTGGCATGAAGCAGCCCTGGTAGTATGTCGACGAGCGCGTCTTTACCGTGAGTTCATCGGCCAAGGTGCGATGGCCTTGGTCCGGCTGCCGGCGTCCGAAGTCCGTGCGCGTATCGCCACGCACCCCGGCGCGTCGGTCGCAATTGAGGCATCGCCGACCGCGTGTGTAGTATCTGGCACTGCTCTTGCGGTTCAGCAATTATCCCAACAATGGCGTGAAAAAGGTATAGAGGTGCATGCCGTCGCTACAGATGTGCCTTTTCACACACCGCTGCTCGCGGAATTAGCTGGTCCCCTTCGCGACGCGCTGAAAGGCGAGCTACACCCTCAAGTGCCGCATCGGGCGCTCTATTCGACTTCGCTGTTGGATCCACGGTCAGAAGCACCACGCGATGCCGAGTACTGGGTAATGAACATGGTCCAGCCAGTCCGACTGCAGTCGACCGTCGCCGCACTGGTAGACGACGGATTCCGCGCATTTGTGGAGCTGGCCAGTCATCCCATCATAACGCACTCGATCGTCGAGACTATCACCGAGCGGACGTTCGACCGGTTTATGGTGACACCCACGATGGTGCGTAAGCAGCCGGTGCTCAAGAGCATCCTAGCTGCCGTGGGACGTTTGCATTGCTTCGGCTGCACTGTGAAATGCACAGATCTTGACCCTACTGCGCCATGGAGCTCATCAGTGCCTGGGACAATCTGGCATCATCAGTCATTCTATCGCGCTGTCACTGGAATGACAGCTGCTCAGCTGGCGCCGACACACAATCCTGCAGCCAATGACCTGCTGGGTACTCGCACCGCTCTTTGGGGAACGGACGAGGTGCTTTATCAAACTCGCCTTGAGGAACACAATCGGCCTTTTCCTGGACGTCACCCACTCCATGGGTCCGAGATCGTGCCCGCCGCTGTGCTATTGCATACATTTCTTCGCGCACTCTCTCCCAGGAGCGTGGAGAATGTGTCGCTTCAAGTGCCTGTAGTGGTGTCACCTGCCCGCGAGATCCAGATCCGACATAATACGCGTAGCATCACCATCACATCTCGTATGGAGGAGTCCATGAGCAATGAAGATGGGTCGTGGCTTGTCAATACTACCGCAACTGTGGGCGCGGTTGACTCAAACCCATCCGTCAGCTGTGTCAACATAGCGGAGATCGGGAAAAGACTGCCACAGCAGCTGCCGGCAAACTTCTCGATGGATTACCTTGCCTCTGTGGGTGTGTCTGCTATGGGGTTTCCATGGCGGGTATCCCAGCATCTGGCCAGCGACAACGAGATGCTAGCCAGGGTAAACGCCAATCCGGACAACCTGCCCGGCATGGACGATCTTTTAACGTCCGTCATGGATGCAGCAACCTCCATTGCGTCAACACTCTGGCACTGCGCACCTCGACTTCGCATGCCCACGGCCGTTAGACGCGTGCTTGCCGTTGACGTGGCCACACCGCAAGTCGTATACATCCACTGCAGGAAGACGCAATCCTCCGTCGACACAGCCGACGTGGTCATCAGCGCAGAGGACGGGACCGTTCTTGTGGAGATCCAGGGTATGGCTTTCGCTGGTGTTGAGGGCGAGTCGCTGTCGCGAAAGACTATCTCCGGTCTGGTGCATCAAATCAGCTGGCCACCCGCGGTGCTGGTTGAGGAACCTCTGGAATTTGGCCACATCGCCTTTCTGGCACCAGAAGCCACCAAGACTCACGTAGAAACGTACCAAAGACAGCTCGAGAGGAAAGGTATCTCCACCTCTGTCCATGAGCATGCCTCAGACTTGCCCTTGACAAATCATTCATCTCTGGCGGTCGTCTATCTCCCTCAAGACACCGATCAAATCTTCGAGACCGCCACCAGCACCTGCAATAGCCTCGTGTCAGCAGTGCAGGTGATTCTCTCCGTCTCGGAAAAACCCAACATGCGCCTCTTCGCTCTCACCTCCGAAACCAATATAGGCCACAGTGCGCTCACAGGCCTCGGTCGGATTCTGCACACCGAACACCCCGAGATATGGGGTGGTCTGATTGACCTCGAAGACCCCTCGGCCTTTCCTCTTATGGCAATGCGCTATGTGCGTAACGCTGACATTATCAAGGTCCAAGATGGGGTCCCACGGATTGCTCGCCTTCGCCCGCTCCGCTCCGCCCCGCTCCACCCCACCGCCGGACCCGCTGTTCTCACATTCTCCCCAGCATCCACATATCTGATCACCGGTGGACTTGGCTGTCTCGGTCTCTCTGTCGCTCAGTGGATGGCCACCCAAGGCGCGAGACGCATTTTGCTGCTCTCTCGTCGCTCTCTACCCCCAAGATCTACTTGGACCGCCTCGCATAAACCCGAGACCCTGTCGATCATCCAAAACGTTCTTTCTCTTGAACGCCTCGGTGCCACTATCCACTTTCTGGCCATCGATATTTCCCATCCCTCCGGGGCGACCAATCTTCGCTCGGCCCTCACCACACTTAGCCTCCCACCCGTGGCCGGCGTAGTTCACGCCGCTGGTATCACCCGCGACCAGCTGATTCGGCAAATTACCCCGGATGTCTTTGATGCTGTTCTTGCGCCGAAGATCGCAGGTGCCCTGGCGCTCCACACCGTTTTTCCTCCCAATTCCCCAGGCCTGGACTTCTTCGTCCTCTTCTCTTCTTGCGGCCAACTCCTGGGATTCCCCGGCCAGGCGTCGTACGCGAGTGGGAATTCTTTTTTGGATGCTCTGGCGCGGTCACGCAGGAGAGACGGCGATAATTCCATCTCGCTCCTTTGGACCTCCTGGCGAGGTATGGGTATGGGAGCTAGTTCCAATGGAGCCCTGGAGGCGGAACTGTACGCTCGTGGGATTACAGATGTGACTGCTGACGAGGCGTTTCGGGCTTGGAGTTATATCTCGGCGGTTGAGGGTGCCGATCATGGAGTCGTTCTTCGTGCCCGGCCGCTTGAATCGAGGGAGCCGTTGCCACATCCGATTCTGAGGGATATTGCGACGGGGAAAGAGCGAGTTAGAGATGAGAGCGATGGGGAGAAGGGAGGAGAAATGAAGAAGCTGACTGGCAAAGAATTAGTAGAATATCTGCGCGTTGCTGTGAGAAAGTGTGTGTCGACGACATTATCGATCCCGGAAGACGAGGTAGATGAGACAGTGGCGCTGCCGGAGATGGGAATGGACTCTGTCATGACGGTGAAATTCCGCATGAGTCTGCAGCAGACGCTTACTGTGAGTGTTGGGCCAACGTTGGTGTGGAAGTACCCTACGGTCCATCATCTCGTTGAATATTTCTGTCAGGTGTTGGAAGAATAGCTCGGATATTGTGTTGTCGGAGATATGTATATAGACATATCAACTTCTTCAAATCTTGCATGAACCATATCATCAACTATAAAGACACATGACCTCATCAACACCTATCGATCTATACCTGTGAAGAATGGTATCTCCAACTATATGAACAAATAGAGACACCTTCATCTGTGCCTAATCCCCCCGCCGTTTTGTCAACGCCAGGAACTCTCCATGGAACTGCGGCACGACCATATCATCCCAGTTCATGTCCTCCACGGTTGTCCCAACTAGGTCCAAATCGAATCGTCGCACAATATATGCGATAGCCATATACATTTCCATATATGCCAGACTACATCAAACACCGGTTAGCCAGATTTCTTTCTCGAATCAGCACAAGCGCATACTTGATTCCTAGACAAGATCGACTACCTCGCGAAAACGGCACCAGGAACTTAGCTCGCTCAGCCGTCACCTCCGATCCTTGCAGCCAACGCTCTGGATCAAACACGCGAGGATTCTCAAATAGCGTTTCGTTGTAGTGGATATGGTAAATGGCCATTCCGACCCTAGTTCCTGCAGGGATGAATCGGCCGTCTGGAAGACGAACACCACCTGGCGGAACGAGCCTGGGGGTGCGGGAGGCTGCGGGAGAGGAGTATCTGAGACCTTCTTTGATCACTGCTGTCTGTTCGTGTCGTGTCGATGTAAGTTGGAGTGATTTGCATAACATGCCCTCTTTGGGGTGACAAAGGGAAGAGAATACGAACCAGATATGGCAGCGCTTCGAGCTGAAGATATGAGACATGGGAATCTGGTGTAGGCATCACAGTTTTCAGCTCTGCCAGGAGATGGTCATGGATTTCACGGTCATTGTAGATATTGAAAAGTGTCACTGTATTGGCAATTCCAGTGGTGTCATCTCCGGCGGAGATCACTGTGAGAAGCTCATCACGGAGACCCTGTTTGTCCGGGACTGCATAGCCTTTCTCAGGAATCGGGATGAGTAAACGCTCCATGAGGGTAGGGAATTTAGGGGTTTTTCCTGCTGCTGCCGCGTTGATATACTCATCGATGCGACGGGCGGCGAACTGGATAGAATAAATTAGTAAAAACGGGTTGGCTAGGGAGATGTGTAGGCCAAAATCACCTGTTCCAACTCGTGGCCCATCTCAACGGAATGTGAAATGCGTTTGGCAATCCACAGTGGTAATGAATTGAGCAATCGCACAAAAGGAAAAGCTTTGATGACATGTAGACTGGGTAGGTATTGTTGGAAGACGCGCACAGGGAGTGACTTGAACTCCGGATCGGAGAGGGCATTGAGGGATTGACCAAAGGCAAACTGAGACACCATATCTGACTCATTCAGTTAGAATCTCAAATATGTTATGGGTAGTATACAAGGTTGATACATACCCATTGCCAAAGACTTCAAAGCCCATTCCATCGATACAGGTTTTCCCTGAGCAAAAAGCTCATCAAATCGCTTTGAGCAGTAGTCAACATGCTCCATCAGCATTGGCTCCAGACTGAGAATGTTCTTCTTAGAGAAAAGTGGCTCTAGTGGTGCTTTTCGCTGCTTATGTCTCACCGGGTCGCTCTCGGCCAGCGTGCTCGACGGGGCTCCTAGGACCTTGTGCATGGATGGATCTTTGTAGTACCGACTACCTGGTCGATACAGCTCGTGGTAGAAAGCTGGATCGTAGATATGCACTTCATTGGGGCCCATGCGCAATGCAGGTCCTAAACGCTTGTGCATTTCTTCAAGTTTGAACAGCGTCTGGCCTTTATGGCCAGGTCTGAGGCCGATGTTCCAATAGGCCTCCCAACTGCAGTACATGGTTAGTACGACTAGATTTAATCCCAAGGTTGATACGCACTATTCCCCCAAAGCTGCCCATGGTGAGCCTGGAAAAACGGCCAATGGACTGAAGAAGATCAGGTAGACAGCACGAATGGCATGGTAAACAGCAAACGTAGCCGCCGCAATGAGCCAGAGGCTCACAGGAACTATAGAAACCAACCCCATTTGACTGTAGTGACCAAGAAATAATACTCAAGTCGTATCATTCCAACTTCTGTATGTGTATAGTTATATTTGACTGCGCTGCTGATCTCCCGATCGGCCGAATGCTGCCCAGCCCCGATGACCGAAAGCGCCGAGACAGCCCTAAAAGCCATAGAGACCCGGCCAGTTCCACGCAGAAGATCTCCAATCTCTAAATTCTTTCTCAAAATGGTCGAAATGGATACTTCCTGGATACCCGCTGGTTTGGAAACCAGGCAATTCTCACTCGACAGTGGACAGTATACAGTCCTGGCCTTCTTGCTCGCCATCTGTATCCCACAGACATCGCATGGAACTGCACTTCGCTATGGACTATTTCTTCTCCAGATCACCTGCGCAGTACAGGCCTTCATTGCTCCGCCGCCTCCAATACCAGACCGGGCTATTCTTTACTCCTCAGGGGTACTCATGGGGAATATGTTAGCACGCTACTTTGATCGACTATATACAACCGTCCCGGAGAAGACATTCCATCGCGTCGTCAACCAAACTCCTGAGGACGCAGCCACGCTTCCCGGGTCCGAGCGCCTTTTCTGGGCCCTGGAGCTTTTTAGCGTCACTCGCGGGATCGGCTGGAACTGGCGCGTCGGCGGCATTCCCAAGTCCCCAGCGCCAATAACCAAATTCCAATTCGTGAGAGCCCAACTAATTACATGGATTGCCATGTACGCGGGTCTCCATCTCGTCAATGTGACTGGCCATCTTGTTTTATCAAATCAAAATGCCGTGCCCTCGCTCGTCGACAAATTGCAGATCTATGCCTTGATAGTGGGCGGCTGTGCAATGACAATATATAGCCATTTCGGTCTTCTCATGCTTCCGCTCTCGGCTCTCTGTGTTGGCCTTCAAATCGGTCCTCGCTCGTGGCGGGATCCCGCGTCCTGGCCACCGAATTTCGCTAGTGTGAGCGAAGCATACAGCATTCGCCGCTTCTGGGGATACACCTGGCACCAGCAGCTGCGGCGACAGGCAGGTGCGCCCGGTGAATATCTTATCAGCTTGCTACCGAACAGTGTGAGGACATCTAAACGGACGATTGTTCGGCTCGGGAGGCGGTACTTCCTTCTCTTGATGAGTTTCTTCGTTTCGGGCTTGATTCATGCGTGTGGGTCATACCAAGTGACACGAGCACTTGGTCTCCCCTTATCAGATGGTGGAGAAATAAAATATTTTGTGCTTCAGGGAGTGGCAATTATAGCTGAGGATTTCGGTTGTTGGGTGCTTGGTGTTGATGATCGGGTAACAAAGCCTGGGGGATGCGGCTGTGGGTAGGATATGCGACCACACTGTCTTGGTATATTTGGACTCGTGTCCAGCTGAAGGGGATACCAGTCGCGCTGGGAATGGGGATTCGTCATGAGAGAGGGGATCTATTGGCTGCGTTGGAACACGTTCGACAGTCTGCTGAAGCAGTACCAGGTAACTTCGTGGCGAGAGGATGGGAGTGGATTTGGTGATTAGTGGTACGAAGTTGTTGCAAAAAGGGAAGACAGTAGGTGATGTACTGCACATATATATATAACGAGATAATTAGGATGGATTGGTGCTAAATACTAAAGCCTTAAGGGCTTCGACTTGAATGAGGTAGACATTGACCGACAACCTGTCAGGAACAAAAAGAAACACTCTCCGAAACGTCTATTTGAACTCAGCAGGAAGTGTCGTCAATTGACCTATTTCGGCAATTGTCTCCTCCCACAGTTTCTTCTGGATCTCCTGGCCTGCCGGTGATAGGATGAACGCTCCTTTCCTATACGGGAAGACGGATTAGCTATTGATGAAATCGCTCTTCAGAAAAGAAACGTATAGAGATCACTTACTCAACAATTTCCTTGTCACCCAAAAACTTGCCATGAGACTCAGGGCCTGCCACCAGCGCACTATGCAAGATGATCCAACCACCCACCTCAACAGACCTGGCACGGAATGACTTAACAACATTCACGATCAACCGCAAATGAATTGGAAGAACATCGCTCATGCTAGTATTCACCATGCCGGGACACATCATATTGAGGATAACTTTCTTGGGATCCAGCCGCGGCGCCAGACTATACATGAACAACGCACAAAGTAGCTTCGTGTCCCCATAGCGCTGGAACGGAACAAAAGCCTCTTCCTTGTCCATGTGGGCAAGCACACCCTCACCGGGCTTGATAGGAGCTTTCTTCTCTAGACTTGTGCTCTCCTGTGCACGACTGCCAACCCAGCTAATACGTGCAGGAGAACCGGTCTTCTCTGCACCCGCCTCGAGATACGGCAGGAGCTCGGCGATCAACAAAACGTTGGAATAGTAATTAACCTGGGTGGTGCGGTCATGGCCGCTCGGGCTGCGTTCCAGCTTCAGCAGACCGATACCCGCATTGAGAATGAGGAGATGCACCACCGGAATCTCTTTGCGGAGCTGCTTGGTAAACCGCTGTACGCTAGCATAGTCATCCACATCGAGCGCCATGACCTTGATGATCGCATCGGGATTGTGCGTTTGGATACGGCGGTCCTGTCGAAGGGACGTTGCACAAGCCTCGCCCTTGGCGACATTGCGCACAGCGAGAATCACCGTCGAAGCGCGCAGTCGTAGTAGCTGTTTGGTGGTTTCCAGACCCATTCCAGCACTGGCACCGGTAATGACCACAGTTTTACCCGTCAGGTCAATGCCGGTAGGCAGGGGATCGATTTTGGGTTGGATGATGTTGACCATAATGGATGTTGATTGAGAGTGAAGATGCGAGACTTTGGGTCACCAATGTGAAGAGCACAATAGATGATAGAGAAGAAGTAAGGCAGTCATATTCTGTACTCGACTTACTCTTCTCACAACGTACCCCGTTTGTACTTCTTTGTTGGATTGTTCAGCTGGGCTGACAAACGGCGGCTTAGGTGATGGGGTGACTCAGCATTCGGCCGACGCCAAATCCCAAAAGGGAAGTTCAAAGGGAAGACCGAGACAACCTCGCCCGAATGAACACCAGTCTTCTTTGAAATTGATGCCCAGTCAAGTTTGCATTTTGATGGATTCTCCTGTGTAGTCCGACTAGGAGATGCAAAAGGAACACCGAGTATGTAAAGTACGCAAGTTATCCTTTTCGAGGTTCTTCCCTCACGTCTACTTCCACTTTTACATACATGACTAGAGATGGCACCCTGCAAACCTCGTACCTTTACAGCCGGTCAGGATCCACTAACAAAATTTGATGGAGCCATCTCGGTGCGTAATCTGCCTCGGCCTCCGGACCGCTTGTTCGAATTCCAAGGTATCATGAGGCCAAGCCGCGGCATCTATGCCAAGCTGATTGCCAACGGCCAAAAGCCTCCCACACACTTTCATCCCTCCCAGTGGGAATTCTTCCGTGTACTTCGCGGGAACCTCACTATCGAATTTAATGGGCGTGCCATTCACCGGACCCCCAGTGATGGCGAACTCGCAGTACCTCCCTATACCCATCATGTCATTTATGGAACCCCGGGAACGGAGATAAACGAGGTAGAGTTCGTCGTGAGTGCCAGTGATCCAGATGCAGAGGAAGATGGTGCGCCTTTGATGGACCAGCCATTCTTTGAGAATTGGTATGGGTATCAGGAGGATGTTTTTCAACGGGGGGAGAAATTGGATTTCGTGCAGGTTCTCTCGGTAAGCCAAGGATCTGTGTCCCTAGGGGGGAATTCAAAATTTAATGAGACATAGATGTTTGATGCCGGAGGCACGTATCTTTCTCCGCTGTGGTGGGTACCTTTCCGCTCGTGGATCGGGCTGTTTCTGGGGATTGTGGTGGGTAGGTGGATCGGTGGGCTGCTGGGATATGCGCCCTTTTATCCAGAGTGGACAACAGATTGGGAAGGGGCCTGCAAGACAATGCAAAAAAGCTGGTTCCATCGTCGATTTGCGGATCCACAGGCACAGAAACTAGCACGAGAAAGGTTTCGTGAGCAATTAGAGCAGGAGGCATCAGCCAAGGGGGAGAAGTCACACTAGATAGAAGTATTGGGAGCAGCAACTGCAGGTATTTCAATATCTAGATATATAGACGTTTTTCTACAAATTGACTGGAATGTATACAGAGGAATACGTGGTTATGCCGACTGATGGACATACGACTTCCTTTTACCCAACCTCAATTCCTGTTACTACCACTCCCTTGTGACAGCGCTACTTTCTACTCCTTTTCAGTTATCCCTTTTTCTCTTGCTCTTAGCCGGCGAAGTCAGGAGCGTCTCCAAACTTTGTACATGGATGTAGATCACAGCATACACCATGTCAGACCCGACACTACCCAGTAGCAAAAACTGTCCGTAAGGGCTCCATGCATATCCAAATCTTTCTGGCCAGTAGTATACACGCCAGAAGAAGCAACAGGCAGCTGCCAGAGTGCCCAGCATTCTTGTCCACCTGCTTATGCTGTAAGCGCCAAATCCAGGTGACTACACCGAAGATCTATCCACTTACCAAATTGCCCAAGAATGACCGAGAGTATTTCCACGAGATAGTAGCTGCGCAATTGAGCTGAAATTGATAAGAACCTGCATGGGCCATGCAGTCATGAACACAACCTGTCGGCCAATACTCGGGATAAACGTGGCCGCGATCGCCAGATGCAGCCACAGGCAAACCACGCATCCGACCACGATTATACCTGCAAGATGCTGTGCAACCAGCGGGGACTGCTTCCAGGCATATGGGGCTGATTGAAGAATTGCGTAGAAGAGGACCACGTCGACAATCATCCATTGGGCGAACACGACCTGATTTAGCAAACCCGGGCCGTAAACAAATCCATAAACTGCTTCCCATGTAATGTTCAAGCAAAGACAATGAAGAGGCATGGCGTAGGAACGATCCTTGAAAGCCTTTTTAGCCATCAAGATGTATGAGATGGACCATAGGATTCCTGAGATGGCGGTGAAGCCATCGGGTACGGACTTCGCATGCCAGTAGGGCGCCGGGGTGTCGTTGTAGTCGCGATTGGCGGCTGCCCACTCCTCGAGGGCAAAAAGGCCCATATTTGTTCAGATTGCTGAATGAAAAATGGGTTCGTGGGCAAGACGACTTGGTTTTGTTTGCTCTTGATTACCCATATAACTAGTTATCATTCGAGCGTTTGACATAATACAGAGCGAGGGTCATCCCAGTCCGTCGGCCGAGCCAGATCGGTAGTCCGAGAGGCATGTCCCTAGTCAGGCTTTGTCGATCAATTCATCTTCGAACTCGGGCATGAGAAAAAGTAAAGAAATGAATGGCTTTCGGCATTGCAATGGGTTCAGAACAGTACAATACATGCAGGGTCCCTCCAAGATGGTAGACCGTAGGTCCATAAAGGGCCGCCAACGCGCACAACCTGCAACTCGGACAATTGACATCAGTCAACATGGCCAGGAGTCTCTCGATGATAGTGAGCTTCATAGGTATACTGGCCACAGTCACAGCTACCGCAGCCTCCAACCCAACTAGACCCTCGGCTGCTGCTGCTCTCTCGTCGCTGGGAGTCTCTCTCCCAGGTGGCGATGCTCTTGTTGGAAATGCTGGATATACCTGTAGCATCTTGACTCGCGTCTTCTCCAAAAATGAGACATTTACAGAGACCTCGCCCTACTATGACGTTTTGGTCGATGAAGCCTGGTCACAAAATTGCCGATTGAATGCGTCCTGCGTTGTGACGCCTGATTCCGCCCATGAGGTCTCGCGCTTGTTGCAGATTCTCGGTATTCTCAAGACCAAGTTTGCCATTCGCTCGGGTGGACACAACATCAACCCGGGATTCAGTTCAATCGGTCACGACGGAGTGCTAATCGCTCTCGAGAAGTTGAACACCATATCCATAAGCGAGGATCGTGGGACTGTCACCGTTGGGCCTGGCAATAGATGGGAGTCTGTATACAGGTACCTTCAGCCATATAATGTCACGGTCTTGGGTGGTCGTGAAGCGGTTGTGGGTGTCGGCGGGTATATTCTCGGTGGTGAGTGAATCAGCCCTCGCCGAAATCATAAAATCAGACATTCATCGAAGTCAGGTGGTCTCAGTACTTTCTACAACACGCACGGATTGGCTATTGACAGCGTCACCCGATTCCAGGTGGTACTTCCCAATGGAGATATTGTCAATGCCACCCCAACCGACCATGCAGATTTATACAAAGGCCTAAAGGGGGGTTTGAATAACTTCGGTAAGACTAATTATATCCAAAGATTCTTCCCGCTACTGACAGGATTAGGCATCGTTACTGAATATGACCTTGCTACAAACACTGGAATTGATGTCTACTACGAGATAAACACGTACACCGTTGCCAACACACCCGCCGTACTTGCGGCGTACGCGACGTATCTTTTGGATGCGGACACAAACAGCAATGTGGAGATCCAGACAAACCCCAACTATACCTTGGTCTTCTACGGGTATCTTGGCCATGTATCCACGCCTGCAGCCTTTGATCCATTCTCTGACATCCCTGTGGCCTCTACCTTGTATCCACCGACAAACGGCTCGCTCAGTGAGCTTCTCCTCACGATTGGCTCTGCCGGACTGAGTTCCGAGGGTGTATCCTACGGCGGTACATTCACATTCAGAGTGACAGGACCGACGTTTCTGCAGGACACGTACTCGACCTATCTCCAGGCCGCTGCCTCTCTGCCCTCGGGGGCAGTACTATCTTACGTACCTCAGGGTATCATTCCAAATTTAGTGAACCAAGGAAATTCACAAAACGAAGGGAATTTACTGGGCTTGGAGGCCACACCTCAACTTTGTACGTATAATGTTGTGCTTATATCTATCTGGTGATAATCTCTCACCATACTTCATACAGGGGTGAATATCTTCGCTCAATTCCCAGTGAACATTAGCCAATCGGTGGTGACGGGTAGGGTGGATTCGTTGCTTGCCAGTCTCACCTCGAGCGCAAAGTCACAGGGTCTTTTGCTCCCGTACATCTTCGTCAACGACGCAGGTCCCAATCAAAAGCCGCTGCAGTCCTTTGGGGAGAAGAATCTCAAATATATCAGCACTGTGGCAAAAAGATATGACCCCAAGGGAATCATGCAAAAGCTGCAGAATCAGGCCTACTTTGTTTCGAAGGAGTTATAAAATCCTATAGAGCGTCTTATATATACTGAAGAGGGGAGCATTCAAGGCAGTATGCTGTTTGGCATACGGGTCGATTCAGCAGTCGTAATGCAATCTCATACCTTCCATGACATACGAAGCAAACCAGGACAACAAATCAAGGAGTCAATCAAAAGAGGTGTAAGCGTATGTATTCTCAATGTGTAAACTATCTGCTACTTGGAATCTCCGAAGCACTAATCTTGCACGGGTGTTGATCCCTGCACCCCAAAAATCAGCAATTGCACCCCATTAGTAATCATGCGATTATATAATACCCACCCCATCGGAATAAATAGGATAAAGGTCACATGACTAGCAATCTCACATATCAGATCTCCTATAGCAACCACTGTATATGATATAAATACCACCCCCCCCCACTCTCTCTCTCTCCCTCTCTTCACTCCAGTTTCTATATAAATCATTTGATATCTATTGATCTGATCCAATCAACCGCTGCAAAAATGGCTGCAATCAACCCCACCTCCATGGACCCCACTATGGGTAAGCGTATCACCTCCACGTTACCTATCTTTTATACTAATTCAATGACTTTACTAGCGCTTCTCCCCCCTGAAGCGGTATATGATACTCGCGATGAGTTACTCGAAATGGTCCAGAAGCATGCCCTATCCCAGGGCTATTGCACTGCTATTAAGCGGAGTAATCCAGGTAGATCTGTGACTATACAATGTGTCGAATCAGGTAAGCCAAGATGGGATCAAAAGCCTACAATCGGTCAAAAACCTCGGATGACCAGCTCAAAAAGGAAAGGCTGTCCTTTTTGGCTATATGCAAGTATTAAAGATAGCAAATGGCACCTCCAAATCCGGAATTCAGATCATAATCATCCTGCTAATAATCCGATAGTTTACCCTCAAGCCCGAAAGCTTCAATCTGATCAGACTGATAAGATTAAAGAGCTATCTGATCTAGCTATCCCCCCCCGGAAAATCATGCAAATTATCCAAAACCAGTCCTCGCAGCCAATCAAACCCCGGGATATATACAATCAGATACAGCGATATCAACGTCAAAAGCAAGGCTTTCAGTCAAAAACTGAGTTCTTAATATCTCAATTAGAGATGAAGCAATATAAGTATAAAATCAAGGTTTCATCTGATAATGAAATTGAATTTTTAGCTATATCTCACCCCGCTGCAATATCACTGGCTAATCAATATAATAGGGTATTTATACTAGACTGTATATATAAGACAAATCGATATCAACTACCCTTTTTAGAAGTGGTTGGTATTACTCCTACTAATCAGACCTTTTTATTTGCTATTTGCTTTATGCAAAATGAGCAAATAAATAGCTATATTTGGGCACTACAAACCCTATTTCACGAATGGCTAAGTTTACCCTATAATACTATATTTATTACTAACTGTGATTTAGCATTAGTCGGGGCAATTGAGACTGTTCTATCTGATTTTAGCCATTTACTCTGTATTTGGCATATCAATAAAGCAGTATTAGCAAAAGCTAAGAGTATTATGCTAGGTAATGGTCAAAAACCAGATGAAAGCATAGATTTCGATGCTTTTATGACACAATGGAGGGATTTATGCCAGTCAAATACAGAAGATGAGTATAACTCAAGGTTATCTAACCTTATATCTATGATTCAAGCCTACCCTGAGCTAATTGACTATTTATTTACTACGTGGCTAACCTATAAACAGAAATTCATCCGATTTCTAGTCAAAGATATTACCCATTTTGGTAATTTAGCAAGTTCTCGCTCCGAAGGTTTTCATGTGCAGCTTAAAGCGGAGCTAAATGGTGCAAATGGAGACCTTTTAACTGTTTTCAATGCAGTTGATAAGGTATTCACACAGCAGCAAGCAGGGATTAAGATCAAGATTGAATCTGATAAGATCCTTATACCAAAGATAGCTATGTTTCAGCTATATGACTTGGTTAGGGGTTATATATCTAATCATGCTATCAGATTGATCCATACCCAACGTGAATTAGCACTCCAACCTAGCGAACTTGGGCTATGTTCTGGGTATTTCACTCGCTCTATGGGGCTTCCATGCAAGCACTACTTATCTGATCTTATCAGATCAAATGAGCCAATCGGATTCAGCGATATCGACGCATTTTGGTATATCAACACGATCCCAGGCACTCAAGTGGTCCCAATCCTCCCCCCAAGGATACCGCAGCCAAAACGGGATGCAAATTGCCTATTTAGGCAGGAGGAGCGCCCAACCAAGAGGCAGAAGGCCCCAAGCAGGTGCTCGGCCTGTGGGGAGAGGAATCATACGTTTAAAAACTGCCCAATGCGGATAAATTGAGGCTTTTGTATATAAATCTGATATATTACAATGGGAGATCTGATATGTGAGGTTGCTAGTCATGTGACTTTCATCCTATTGATTCTGATAGAGTGTGCCCTGTAATCACGTGACTACTAATGGGGTGCAGGGATCAACACCCGGATTTTCCTTATTTACGAGTGAACTCTGGACGAGGAGATAGGCCATAACAAGACTTCCTCAAAATACCTGCCCTATACCGCGATTTCTTTGCCTACTTATACAACTCGAATCTAATACCTATATTGTGCACTAGTTCCTGGATCATATCCATGCTAGGAGAGCCATGCCTACCGCAGCACATGTCTGGAGAGGTGCATAACATAAGGCTTTCTAACTGTCACAAAGTGATTCCATATACTATGTACTCCCATCCATGTCATATTTGGACTAGCTTAGCTCCATCTCTTGTTCGATACCAAATCCAATTTGTACTGGTGCCAGAATTGTTCCGCATGAAAGAATCTCAATGTTCCCTTGTCCCAGCGCAAACAGCACCAAAGATCACCGGTTTCTATATAACTGTCTTTGGTTCGAACCAATTGATGGAATGCTCAGAATGCTCATACTAGCGGAAATATGAAACAAACAAAGCATCCTTAGGCTTACCACTGTGGTATAGGAGCCTGTGACACATAGAAGCTAGTCGATTTTCGGTCACTCTGGCAGCAAAGTGTGAACGTCGCCCTCAGTCTCGTCGCAATATCAGTCGAAAGGAGAGATATAGGAGTCGTTTAGCTCGATAGATCAACAGAAAGCCGGGCTTGCAACACGTTTAGTCTACGGAGTACCTGTTTAGGGAAAAGGCGAACGTGGGGCAGGCTTGATTAAAAAAGATAAAACATAGACTTGATATGAACACCTCAGATGACTGTTTGGATACATTTAGTCGAGTGAACAAGTTTGAGGGGAAAGATGAAACATGAAAAAAATGGTAGACAGAAAACATCTCTCACAAGATGGAAAATGGAGAGGAATCTCCTGGAAGGTGGGACACATTGGCATTGCCAACTTATAAGGTTTCCTCGGTGTAATGCGGTTCAATACATGGGTCCAATTTAACATGAGTCGAGTCCAGATACCGATACCCGAAGTCATCACTGATTTATTCCTCTTTGTAAAGGTAGAAGTAGTAGGTACCAGCGTCACCAAAGCTGCTAGTATCCATGGCGCCAGCAATGAGCTTGTCATTGACATAGCGGAAGTGGTCAATGATAGGGTACTTGTCATAGATCATAGCAGTTGACACAACACCACGGAAACGGATCTCACGGAGCTGCACTATGTGAGAACTTGCTTCATTCCCAACACAAATTGGGTCTACTTACGACAGCATGGCCCCAGTCCTCATTGCATACACGCTTCCCATCCTTCAATGTAATAACAGGATCGACGTTTTCGGTGGAGTGGAAGGTCTTTCCAACCCAGTTCATTGACAAGAGTTGGGCGTGACCAGGGTGACCGGTGTCAAAGCTTCCACCCTTCCATTCTCCACGAAGAAAATCGATAGGAAGAGCAGAAAGCTTGTTGTAAACAGCCTCAATATCCGCTTCATTCAACTTGCCGCCTTGGGCAACTAGGGCAGCAAACTGTTCTTCGGGGGCACTAGAATAGAATGACGGTCAAGTGACCACGAGCTATTATGAAGGATGATGGTGGTATATACCTTTTGGACATGGTGTGAATATATTCGATAACTGGTATAGAGGATAGAGTGAAATTATTTTCAGATAGCTTCTAGGAAGAGGAATTGCTCCCGTAATTTGTAGTCAGAGAGCTTCCAAGGCTACCTTTGATGTCAATACTGCCACTTCCACGGGCCACGGAGCCCTGTGTCCCCGCGGCCCGGTGACTAAGCCTTCAGTGTGGCCCAGGGGCCAGGGAGCCATAGATAGTGCGTAGTCACATGACGGATGTACACATGTAGATACACTTGGGCAGCAGTGAAGTTGGTTGAAGTGTATATATGTTCATTGTATGCTGATCACAGTGATTTCTTCAGACAGTTACTGGAAAAGTTGCACTTGCAATACTACACGCTACGATTGAGACAATGTCGGATACCATGATTTCCAAACAACACTAGGCTTGGAGAAATTGATTCTTACTCCGTAGTCACTTCATATAAAACATATGAGTTCGATATAAATTCAATTTGAAAAAGGAATCCACAAATATTCTAGTTGTACCTTGAGTGATTATATACAACAACCGGGGCGCCCCGTTTTATAGACACGTTCAAAACTAATATGTATGAGGTGCAGGACGATTCAGGTGCTCCACCACGTGAATATATATAAGTAGGCCTAGATAGAAAGGTCTTTGCGGTTTTATGTTATTTTATACCTAGAATTGGGTTATACATTTTGGGATGACTGGGTTTTGGGTCGAGACATTCGACCCAAAATGGGGTTTGCGGAAGCCTACTGTATGGATAGAAGCAGTACTACTCGATAACCCTACGGGCTGTCCCGCGGACATACAGTTCTACCGCAAAAGTTTCCATACGACCCGCCCCCCCATCAAATATATATCTCAATCATGCAACTTCAGTAAATCCAACCCACCAATTTCAATTAATTATTACGCACCCATTTTATATAGTAAAAATATATAAAAATATAGGATATATAGGCAATTGACAGTAGTATTTAATTGATTCATTTAATATTTAGTATACCACCCATTTGCCTCAATTACCGCCTCAACTCTGCGACCCATGCTTGAAATCAACCCATCAAAGTAATCCTGACCTAGCATCGCCCATGCCGCGTGGATTAACTCTTCGAAATGATTAATTAGATCTTCTTTGGTACCTTCGAATTTATTAAGGTGCGGATCGAGGCGGTCAATCATTTCTTATCTCTTACCCTTGTTGAGAGTGCCACTAGACCGAAATTGACAACACCCTACTTCGTGTGTTTCGAGCAACTTGATTACTTCTCGATCTGGATGCCAACGTCAATTTTATCCCGCGGGCAAATCACCATAGGGAAACGAGTTGATATCGAATAGTACATTAAATTATTCGACAATGCACGCACAGATACTACATAATATCACTTTAACCAACGATCATTCAAGCAGCAAAGTTGTTGCGAGGTGGACGAGATGTCACTTTCTTCAGTTCCTCATACAAGGTCACACAGCCTTAGGCTTATTGATTGACCACTTATAATAGTGAGATTTGCTGGTCAATATAGATATACTTTACTCTACTCCCAGGTGTATCTTCCGTTTCGGACCCACGACTCCCCACATTTGCTAGATGTTCTTGGGTGATCTGATAGGAGAAGCCGCCAAGGTCCCACGCCCGACAGTCACCTGATCGTGGGGCTGAGCTTCTCTTCCCCCACGTTGGCACCTTCTTTGCCTGTGACAACACCATCGCACACGAGCTATTGAGCATGAATTTCACATCGTTTGGTAGCGAAAACTCAGGAACTCAGGTGGGGATCAACCATGGTCGGATAACTCAGAACTATTTCTCATCTGGTGAGAGACAACGGGAAGCCTTTATCAAGCTAGGCAAAGTTGACTAAAACCCACTTTCGCGGCCTAGACCAACAGGGGACCTCAAAGCAGGATAGAGATAATGGTTCGCATCGTTCCTTACGAGTCAAACATAACTTCTACTCACAATTGTAACAGAGATACTTGAGTCACTGGCGTTCCCGCAGATGCTTGACAGGAGGGATAATATCGAGCCATGCCACACGAATACTTGCAAATGGATTTTAGACCTGGAAGAGTACCAGTGCTGGAAGAACCAGTCCCACGGTCTGCTCTGGATTAAGGGGAAGCCAGGTGCTGGAAAGTCGACCTTGATGGTATTCCTGCACGACAAACTTCAAATATCACAGGACGATCGTCCCGGTATTCGCCTCGACTTTTTTTTCACCGCTCGGGGTACAGAAATGCAACGTACACCACTAGGCATGCTGAGGTCTTTACTGAACCAGATTTTCAACCGCGACCCGACTGTACGCCCTCAGATTCGTGAGATATACGACCGGCGATGTCAACAGTTTGGGTATGGCAAACGTCAGTGGCAATGGTCACAGATGATGCTAGAGGACTTACTAGCAAGTGCCATTTTGACATCAGCCAGCCGACAGCACGTGGTCGTTTTTGTGGATGCTCTAGACGAGGCTGGGGCTACGTCTGCTCAGCAGCTGGCAGGATATTTTCATCGACTTGTTGGTCGCGCCGAGAAAAGGAAGCTATGCATCCAAGTCTGTATCTCATGTCGACACTATCCTATCATGGAAAGTGGCCAGGCTATAGAGATAAAGGTCGAAGCTCATAATCAGCAAGACATTTCCAGCTATATTCAGGATAAATTGACCAAGACAGAGGCCGAAGAGAGCGCCGACCAGAAGATGATGGAAATGCTAATCGAGCAATTAACCCAGCAAGCGAATGGAGTCTTTCAATGGGTTCATATTATGATCCCCCTCATCGAGCGGAAGGTTTCTGAAGGCGAATCGTTTGACGACATCTATTGCTGGTTACGTGAGGTCCCAGCTGGCCTGGAAGATGTTTACGCGTATATTCTGAATGACGTGATAGAAAAGAGAAACCGCGAGCAGTCATTTGTCTTCTTTCAATGGGTATGTCTGGCTGAGCGACCCCTCACTGTGACCGAGATGCGGTATGCTCTAGTGGCTAAGAATGTGCGGGAACCACTATCTCCAAAGAAATGGGAAAGGATCTCCGGTTTCATTGAAAGCAACGAACGAATGCTACGAAGGATCAATGCTCTTTCTGGTGGACTAGCCGAAGTAATCACAAGCGGGGATAACAGTGAGACCGTACAAGTGGTACACCAGTCGGTCAATGATTTCTTGCGTACGAAAGGGCTCAGGATTCTTTGCCAAAATATCGGTATGAGCATCTCGTCCATGAACGAGGATAAGATCCTTTCTCAATGCCATGCAGCCCTCTACCGGTCATGTTTAGTGTATCTTGCAACAGCCCATATTCCGGCAGAAAGTCAAGAGTTAAAAAGAAATAAAGACGACCTTATCCAAGATCATCCGTTGCTTGAATACACCACAGTGAATCTCTTTATTCATGCGGAAAAGGCTGCTGACTCTCGATCCGACATATTTCAGAACGAGAAGGATGTCCTCCAAGGAGTGCTTTGTCGTTGGGTCCAGATTTACAGGAATCTATATGAGTTTAGTAGACTATGCCCCCCCAGAACGCACAACACTGTTACATATGGCTGCTGCTGCCAATCTCATGGATCTCATAGAGCCTGCTGTGTCGGATATCAAGGATGTCGAGATAAGGAATAGAGATGGAGATACAGCGTTACATTTGGCAGCCCGATGGGGTCATGTCACAGCCGGCAAAATACTCCGGAGGAAGGGAGCAGACCAAGTGACAAAGAACTACAGCAGCAAGACACCATTGGTCGAGGCAGCCAGTGGAGGACACATACAATTTGTTGAATGGCTCTTAGATGAGGGCATGAATCTGGACATGAAAGGAGATAGAGGCGCGCTACAAGCAGCTTCTTTGGGAAGCTATGAGAGTGTTGTGGAGATTTTGCTCGAAGCTGGCGCTGATGTCAACGCCCAGGGTGGTGGATACGGCAATGCCCTACAGGCTGCTGTATACAATGGAAGCCCTGAGACTGTACAGATACTGCTCAGAGCTGGCGCTGATGTCAACGCCCAGGGTGGCTACTACAGCAATGCTCTACAGGCTGCTGCATACAATGGGAGCCCCGACACTGTGCAGATATTGCTCAGAGCTGGCGCCGATATCAACGCCCACGGTGGTGAATTCGGCAATGCCCTACAGGCTGCTGCATACAATAGAAGCCCTGAGACTATACAGATATTGCTCAGAGCTGGCGCCGATGTCAACGCCCAGGGTGGTGAATACGGCAATGCCCTACAGGCCGCTGCATCTAGAGGAAAACTTGAGACTATACAGATACTGCTCAAAGCTGGCGCCGATATCAGCGCCCAGGGTGGTAGATTCGGCAATGCCCTACAGGCCGCTGCAATTAAAGGAAATCTTGAGACTATGCAAATACTGCTCAGAGCTGGCGCTGATGTCAACGCCCAGGGTGGTCACTACAGCAATGCCCTACAGGCCGCTGCCGCTACATTCAATGCAAGGCCTGAGACTATACAGATACTGCTCAAAGCTGGCGCCGATATCAGCGCCCAGGGTGGTGCATTCGGCAATGCCCTACAGGCCGCTGCAATTAGAGGAAATCTTGAGACTATACAGATACTGCTCAGAGCTGGCGCCGATGTCAACGCCCAGGGTGGTGAATACGGCAATGCCCTACAGGCCGCTGCATCTAGAGGAAAACTTGAGACTATACAGATACTGCTCAAAGCTGGCGCCGATATCAGCGCCCAGGGTGGTAGATTCGGCAATGCCCTACAGGCCGCTGCAATTCAAGGAAATCTTGAGACTATGCAAATACTGCTCAGAGCTGGCGCAGATATCAACGCCCAGGGTGGTTACTACGGCAATGCCCTACAGGCCGCTATCGCTACATTCAATGCAAGGCCTGAGACTATACAGATACTGCTTAGGGCTGGCGCTGATGTCAACGCCCAGGGTGGCGAATACAGCAATGCCCTACAGGCTGCTGCATACAATGGAAACCTTGAGGCTGTGCAGATATTGCTCAGAGCTGGCGCCGATGTCAACGCCCAGGGTGGTGAATACGGCAATGCCCTACAGGCTGCTGCATACAATGGAAGCCTTGAGACTATACAGATATTGCTTAGAGCTGGCGCCGATGTCAACGCCCAGGGTGGTGAATACGGCAATGCCCTACAGGCTGCTGTATACAATGGGAGCCCTGAGACTGTACAGATACTGCTCAGAGCTGGCGAAGATGTCAACGCCCAGGGTGGTGAATACGGCAATGCCCTACAGGCCGCTGCGTTTAGAGGAAATCTTGAGACAATGCAGATACTGCTCAGAGCTGGCGCCGATGTTAATGTCCAGGGTGGTAAATATGGATCACCTCTTTTGGCGGCTATCCATGAGGGCTATGTTGATGAAGTTCAAATTCTTCTACACGCTGGAGCTGATCTACTGCTTGCAGATGAGCTCGGCTGCACTCCTCTTCATATTGCAGCTTCAAGAAACATGCTCCAGATATTCCGTCGGTTCCCACAACTAGCGTCAGCACTCAACAACCGTACTGACTTATTACAAACTCCTCTACACCTGGCGGTCTATCATGGTCACATTAGTTTTGCGATTGCCCTTCTCGATTCTGGTGCTGATCCTTCCCTCCCAGATGGTTATGGCCGACATATAATGGACTGGGTATCCAATCACGAAACCTTACTGCAGGAAATACATAATCACTGCTCAGATTTAGTATTGACACCTCCTGAGAGCCAGCAGCTAACTGTTCATCGATCAATTTTCGAACTCACGGAGTCGCTTCCATATTCCCAACCCGAGTCTTTATGGCCTCGTTTGCAACAATTAGGCCGCTATTTCTTGTTTCTTGGCCAATTGGACAACGCGCGCTATCTGTTCCAACTCCATCTGCCCCGGGATGCTTTCTCCAAAAAAGATATCTGGCAGATCTCCTGCAATATGTGCCACCGGGTTATCACCGGGACTCGCTTTGTATGCAGACTGTGCGCCTGTATCGATCTTTGTTCCTCCTGTGTACAAAGATACCCCTGCCATAGCCAATTGCATCCAAATCAAGAGCACGAGGTCTTTGAGGTGTCTCATGTGCCCGACCAAAACACCCAATTCACCGGGCTAGTGTCAGAGCGATTCAGAGATTTCTTGAACAATCCTCTTGATAAAGATCTCGAGAAAACCACTGATCAATCTGAGCAAGAGCTATTCAATGATTCCATATTTGCTCTGGCGCTGAGGAAGATAGCTATAGCTCCAAAGGCTGCTTTCAGCTTGGTCACAATCATGTCTGGAATTATCTTCGGGATTTCAGCTCTTTTATTAGGAGCTTGGTATTTCATAACATGTTAAATTTATTTCATATTCCCCTTGTATCTTAAATGTTGTGGTACATATCATCCAATGACAATTGTGTTCTTAAAGTGTGGTGGTATATTAAAACATCTTGTTTTATACTCATGGCTAAGTACGTTTTAGAATGACTTATGTCAAGGAGATGCGATGATCTGTTCAGCAATGTAACCACACACACATAATTTATTAACGCCGGGCGGCTGAGCTGAAAGGTCAACTATCACTAATCCACGGTATATATATGTTTTGGTATACTCCGTGCCTCAACACAGCCTACACAGTAGTTCCTTCGGCATTGACTTCTCAGCTTTCAATCCTATGGTTAGACCCAGACTTGGCAGTCGCCCGCGGGTCACTACCAGGTCTAACGGTACTATTTTACGTACCTTAGGGTATCATTCTAAACTTAGTGAACTAGGAAAAGTCATTAACTAGGCCTAGAAGCTATACCTTAACTCCATGCGTAGCCTCTTATACCTGTATATCTATCTACTGAGGATCCCTAACTACATTGTTTATTTTATACAGGGATGAATATACTCGCTCAATTCCTAGCGACACTCAGCTAATCGGTGGTGACGGGTATGGTAGATTCATTACTTGCCAGTCTCACCTCTCGAGCGCAAAGTCCCAGGGTCTTTTTTTCCCATACATCTTTGTCAACGACGCGGATCCCAACCAAAATCCGCTGCAGTCGTTTGGGGAGAAGGATCTCAAGTATATCAGCATAGTGGCAAAAATGTTTGACCCCAAGGAAAACATGCAAGAGCTGCAGAATCAAGCCTAATTTCTTTCGAAACAGGCGTGAAAACTGAGTAAAGCATTGTGGATTTATACCGTGCTTCAGCTGGAATTACATCTATTTTGATAATTCTAACCATATATCAGTCCACGTCATACTTTTGCCATACTTTTGACGGCGCCACACCATCGAAGTCGATTAGTTCGAGCCCTTTGATAAGTCCCAGCGAGCCCGCAGAAGGAGCAATTGTGAACTGCTCGAATGGGTTTAAATCGATGTCTTTGAATGTTTCTTTGAAACGAGGTATAAATGCTGCTCGTTCAGACATACACGGGGCGAGTCAAGACTTGCCAGTTGATGTCTCCTGCATTCCTGGGCCGAGCTTGAACTGGCTAGTGCACTCATCAATGATTGACACGATGAGAGTGGGGTCAAATCCGGCTTCCATCTGATCTTCCCTGTTTCGGCGTTCGGCTCTGCTCACGATAGCAGACGTTTTCCTTTGATATTGCCCCGGCTATTTTTGATTTACATGTACAACAAAGACCGATGATATATATTAATGAGGAGCAGGCACTCTGGTTTCCTCTTAGGCTCGGCTCTTTCATCCGCCATCTCAGGCTAATATCTTGGCTCTGGGACACTTTTCAGGTGCAATTTCCCGTCATACAAAATATATGGTCCTACTTGTGGGCATTGTTATGAAAAGGCCCAATGAAGTTCGAATTGTACAAGTGCAGCTAGACTTGCCCAGAATGCCATAATGTTTTTGATTTTAAATTCACCATCTCAACAGAGATAAGATTCAGAGTGAAGGCTAGCCTATAAGCTTTTCTCTTCCTGGGAGATAGTGTGCTCCCAGGAAGGCAGGACAAGAATACTCAAGACGTGAACATTCACACCGTTTCCCCCTCTGTGTCACTGTTGAACGGTGGTGATCGGAATTCTTGACGGACCGTATCCATTTGAAAGGCTCACAGAACTCCTTCATGGTAGCAGAGTGGAGGGCTAGTCAACCAATCATAACAATTGTCTCCGAGATGGCATCGCTACTGGTGACTGTTGAAGATGCAGCAAGTCAACCTCATAGAAAATTCCAGTACGTTTCAAACTCTACGTTTCTCTTGTTCCTATCTCGCCTATATAATTCTACAAACCCATTGACTAAAACCTGGGCGGCACTGACAACATAGATCTACTATCGAATTTAGATCTACGGGGCATCAATACGCCTCATGAATTGTTTGATTGAATAATATAACGCTGAACATCAGGACTTTGCGCAATTTGAGAAGAGAAGCTAAACCACGACGCGAGATGTCTCAATTTGGTGATTATCTCAAGCGGCGCTCAAGCGGTAGCCACTTAACCCGAAGTGAAACACCTCCGCGCCATATTATGTGAAAGATATCATGTTAAGCCTTCGAATCGCCTTTGGAATTCTGTCGTTTAGGCTTCTCAGGGTCCACATTAGATGATTGGTGTTCCCTTGATTTTGATCCAAAGATTCCTAGAGGCCAGATGCTTTGCTGCCCTTTTAGAACTTGCGTCAGCAAAAGAATTGGTACTCCTATACCGAGCTTCAGCACGCCACCTCGGAGGCTCAAGGCTTAGTCGAACCAATTTGTAAGTAGGCAAGCAGCACTCAGCATCCCCCATCTCTTTCAATGCAGATGTATAAGCATGATTATCTGGACCTTGTTGCAAAATCCTCGGAGCATCGATTGGCTGTTGATGTTCAACCTTGATGCATGGCCTCTCATTGATTTGCTTTGATTGGTTATTCTGCCCGCCTGACGAACTCATCGGAGACCTGACATCCTCCTCAATTTTCCGTCGATTGCAATTCAGATAGTCACAGAGAAATGCCCGAATAGGCTCGATAGACACGGAGGTCTTCGGAAAGCCTTGACTAATCTGCGTTCCGATATTGCAGAAGAATAAAGTCGCCGCTGATGCTGATGATGCGTCACCAGATAGTTCAATATTGAGCCTTTTGCAGAATGTCTCGTACGGAAGCTTTTTCAAAATCTCTGCTTCACGAGTTTCCTGTCTTGAAGTTAATTACTGATTACAGGATTGATTATAAAGCTCACCTCTGTGGTGGAACCATCCAGTTGTGGTAAGTGAGTGTATACCCATAAGCCAATCTGCAACTGAGACCATCTAAAGCCAAGCAACTCCAGCTTAACCCACTGGACTGAATCATTGGGTCAAATGTCAGTGAGGACAAGTATGAAGAATGAAGAAATTGCTCACCACTTTGATCGGAAACATCAGACATCTTGAATTGACCCGCTTCGCTGTAGACTCTGCCCTTGAACCGCCATTGTACGCCTACTCTCCTGCTTTTATATGAAGGCTCTCATCTAATTTTATCTTTAAGCCGCAAAAGACACGTCATGAGTCGCCGTATCATCTCACCGTAGTATGCATGCAACCAGCTGCGCAGTGTCAAGGCCTCCCTCGTCTTTGCTTGCAACCGAAAAATTATGATAACAGTCTACATGTGCCTCTGTATCATTTCGCTATAGTATGCATGCAACACGCTGCGCAATATTCAGGCCTCCCACATCTTTGCTTCCAAGGCAGAATTTCTTATAACAGTCTACATGAGCCGCTGCATCGTTTCACCGTATCCTGCATGCAACAAGCTGCGCAGTGTCAAAGCCCCTCTCATCTTTGCTTCCAAGGCAAAATTTCTATTGCCAGTCTACATGAGCTGTCTAGGAATGAATATCCTCATTATCAAGTAACTGCGAAGGTCAGGTAGAATTGCATATGCGGCACTCGAGGCATTTATGCTCATGCAAATAAAGTCTCGTGTTGATTCAGCCTCAAACCTCAAGCTCGGTGCAAAGAAATATCTTTTTGGCCCTTTTTATTTATTATTTTTTCAATGCTTGTCTCTATAAGTATCAAGCAGGCACGTAAAAGTTTCTTCGCGCCAGCCTTCTTCGCACCAGTTTGAAAACATGATTCAATTAATGACTCAGCTTCGGGATCAATTTCTGAAATGCAAAGATTTCATACGACCTCGCCGTAGCCGAAACTACCAAGCTTCATATGGACCGGCATTCATTGCTTCTCAGATGGAGGAATCTGCAAGCATAATTGCCGAAAATAGGCCCATGTTTGAACTTGAAGCACGCAAAGTGCTAGAATCCTTGGAGATGGAGGGCTCGCATTACTCATATGATCTAGGTGAAGTTCAAAGCCAAGTCCTGATGATGATATTGCTGACACTATACGTCAGACCAATTGCTTACTTTGAGGGTTTGGAATGAATTTCTTCAAAAGAAAGTCAAGGAAATGAAATCCATTACCGGAACCTCACCTGAGCTACCTGTAAGTCGACATGACTCATTGGGTTTTGGCAAAAGACTGAACCTCTTCTAGGAGATGAATCGATTGATTTTGAAGGATTTTGACGTCATTGGCGCTATCAATCAAATGACCATCAATGATCCACACCTGAAAAGGCCACTTGATCAAGTGAGAAGAGAGTCGCTCTTCAAAGCCCTGAGCCTACTGCTCAAAAGCGAAGCCTCGGATGACTCAACTGTTGCTACTTTGTCACAATTTTGTCGATACCGTCATGTCGTTGATCCCAGAGACGAACGTCTTGAAACTGTAGTGAGCCCTGAACAGCATTTTTCTCAATCTACCTCAGTCACAACGGTTCGCCAACCCCCAAGCGACACCCAGAGAAATACACAGCAGATTGATGAGGGGCACGTCGAGTCGGGAGTGAGCTTTGAATCATCTTCGTCCCAGTCTCCTTCATCCCTGCCGGGCTACCAATCGGCAAGCGGTACCCAGGGAAATACAGAACAGACCGATGAGAGGCACATCGATTCTGGAGTGAGCTTTGAATCATCTTCATCTCAATCCACTGCAGCCCTGCCAGGCTATCAATCAGCAAGCGGTATCGAGGAGGATACAGAGCAGACTGATGAGAGGCACATCGATTCTGGAGCGAGCTTTGAGTCATCTTCCTCCCAACCTACTTCATCCCTGCCAGACTACCAACCGCAAAACATTCTTCGGTGGACTGAGCAGCCTGGTGGAGAACACGCTTATACAAGTTACTTGAAAGAGTTCGGTGATTCCGAGGGCTTCTTGCCAACCTACACGTCGACTAAATTATCCCACTATCCTTCGCGGTGGAGAGTTGTTGCCCAATATAGAGGGTTCAGTTCTTTTGGGGAAGCAATTTCCATAAGAGCTGCAAAGCATTTAGCCTCAAAGGATCTATGGATGCAATTGCATGGAGGATAGGCTGTCCTGAGTTCGTCCCACTTATGTTGTTTTGCTTTTTTGCCCGTCTTTTTAGTTCATCATAGCATCATATTTGATACGTCGTCTTTCAGGTTATTTTATAGCTTGGGTACAGTGAGCTCGATAGAAACTACTGCGGGGGCCGTATGCTTTACCGCAGATCAGAATGCAGGGTGAAACGCATGTATAAATGAAGGCGTTATATAGCAAGATGTTTATGACTTGTAATGACTACCGTTGATTTGAAAAGAAATTTGCGATTGGTGTGACTGCATCCGGAAATCGAAGAAGCGTCGCTGTGAGCGGGTGCGATGAATGATAAAAAGGAAGATAACGAGACGGCCGTTGTATCTAATGGCAATTTTGAATATAAAAAGACCCCCTTCTGTGCTGTACAACTACGTTCGCCAAAATAACCATCGATAACCCCTTACAGTCTGTCGATTGAACATAGGATCGTGAGCTCGTGGAGATTCTCGAGAAATCGGAGACAAAATCTTTACAACTTGGCTTGAAGGCCATACCATTGCAGGTAGGAAAGCTAGTAGGATTGAAGCCCCTTTGCGGCCTCAGTTGCCCCATCCCCCTTTTTCCGGGGGGACCACATATGAATGATTCAATTCCGAATATGATCCTTTACATTCCATTGTTCCAGCTTTGATAGCAAATTCTCTTCCAAATCCATATCTGTTTCTCTCTTCATCAAAATCAACGCTGGATCCGGCAGAAGGCCTTTTGGCATCCATCCATCGTTCAGCGCTTTCTTAATTGCCCAGCACCATACCTCGGCAAATGAATCGTTCCAATCTCTAAGGAACTCTCGAGCCTCAGATTCGGTATGAAAAAGTTGGTGACATGCTGATTTGAAGTCCTTAACTGACGTTTCTGCTGTCCTAAAATGGTCAGCCATATCTACGACTAGATACAAAAGGGCCTCTTACTTCCAGTCCCTGAACACGCCAACTTTCGTGCCATACGCAACAGCATAATATTTTTGACGAGATTTTTGACTGGGTGAGCTTTTTGCGGGTTTGAGAAACGTCTTGTAATCCTCTATTCCCTTTTCCTTCAAGGAGTTCTGTGCATCTTCCAGTCGTTCAAATGATCGAAAGTCTGCACCATCGAAACCTGTCACCTTAGGGTGTGCATGACCCCTAATATAGTGAACATTATTAGCCTGTATGCCGAAAATTTGGCTCACCAACTCACCAAGAAGAATAGATAGTTGGCTGGTCTACACGGCCTCTATAGATAACATAGACCTTGTTCTGATAAATCTGCAATCCCATCTTTAATGGAAATTGTTACAAGGAGAGCAAAAGTAGAGATTGTGTGTAAGAAGCGCTAGTGGGATTGACTGACGAAAGACAGCGACTATACAGGCAGGCTATGTGAGTCATGTTAGAACTGCACCCCCAATCATGATTGACCTTTCATTGCGCAATCCTCAATCGAAATTCCGGAGCCATAGCCGGACGCTGCGCCCAATGCTGACACGCAGACAGATGTAAGCCTTCGAAAATAGCCTTCTGAGTAGTGTGTCGTATTCATGTCCGACTTGTGGAAGGACTGCCAATTTCGACGGGGACACCGATCTCACAGATTCAGGCCGCACCTACACCGTCTCTTACCAGGAGCTTTGGCCATCTTCCGACGAATAATTCAACGAATAGAGAAGCTATGTCTTATCAGGAGAACCATTGTGCACGGCCAAAGCAAGACCAAGGTGGCGCAGGAATGTGTCAATTTTGCGCAGGTGAGGGACCACGCGGATTCTCCCCTCATAACGTTCAGAGCGATCAGCGGGCAAAGTCAATGGTTTTACTGCAGCACGGGTATGTCGGTCGATCATGCGGTCTAGGCGCTAGGCATGGCCAACTCGAAGCGCGGACGGTTGGAAACAGGGTCGCCGTGGGCTTCTACATGCGTGACGCCAAGACCAACGAGCGGCTTAAAACTGGCGCCCTAATTGGCCCTGTTCACTTTCCAGGGACGTACTCAATCCAATGAGGTGCGCGCATGTATGTACAGCTCGTATTTGTTTTGAGAAACAAGTTCATCATCTTTCCTGATTGCAACATCATGATCAGTACGGAGTACATATGAAATCATAGGGTGAGGCCGATTTTTCCTGGCCAAAGACAATGACCGGTTGCTGATGTTCAAAACTATCACAGTCTCGCCTCGATTTCACCATACATTGCCGCATTGGCGGTACACGGCGGCAGACTCAGACCGCTATATCCAGATCAAGCGTCAAGCCAACGGTGGCCAACGCAATGCATCCCGTATCTGTGTGCCAATAATGAATATATTAATTCAATGTAACAGTGGCCCTGGAAAAAGGGCTCGGAAACTTGAATAGCAGTCCTGGTGATGCTCTAGCTTTGACTTCTAAGAGATCATCATTCTATTCATGGCAAACTTCCGCAAATTTGTAATTGGGGAAGAAATATCTCTCACTCCAAGTCACACCGAAACGTGAAAAATGGACTTGTCTCTTGAAAGAAAAATGCAACAATACCAGGGTATCCGCGAAAAGCCCTCTATTTGAACAAACCATATAAAAGTGTGATGCCGAACAATGGACTTTGGTTTTCCGACGAAATTACAAAAATCATTCTAAAGTGCTCTTTTACATTATTACCGAAAGTTCTACAGAACTACGCGGATTCAAAGTATTGGCTAATTTTGAGCTTCAGTGCCCAAAGACTTATTATTCGAGGCTCGGAATACTAAAAACAGCAGGAGTTCTTGTTTCTTGAAATTGCCGATCATTGAGACTAGATCACAATTGAGACCACCCTCGTGAGGACTGCCTCAATGAGAAGATTTGGGGAAAGAAACCCACGTAATTTGTGGCCACGTTTCAGGCGGGTATCTCATCCAAGAAAAAAGAATGCAACCCCATCTATGCACACCTATTACGAACATTCAATAGAAGATTTTGAGGGTTCCAGAAGAAGCGCTCGGCGTGACGAGCGTCAGCAAAAACGTAAGCCGTTTCAGGGTTCTAAACAGAGTCTTGTTGCTTGCAGAGTATTCATCTTATACCCATTCTCAACATGTGCTCGGAAGCGACTGAAAATCACCAGTGGCGCCACTTGAAGCATCTACGAACAGTCGCCCAATTCACCAGAAGATAATTCGCTAGGTGTATCGATTCCGTTTCCTCCCGGCATGACCTTCCAGAAATCAATTCATTGCACCATCAGATTACATTGATGCATAGTGCCTATAATATCCGATAATGATCCAATTCTTGCTGTGGTGGACTATTAAGTCTAGTTTACGACAATTCCACTCTGCTGTCGACCCTCTTTCAATGCAATCTCTAACCCATCAATCACCTTATCTGGCATACTCAGGAAGGCCGAGTGAGAAGCATCGACATGGTAGGTCACTGGGTTGCCTAGGGTTTCAGCAAAGCTCTCTTGTACAGACAAGGGGATAGCTGCATCCTGGTCGCAGAACAGATACATGCTAGGCATCTCATGCCAAGGCTCATGCATCGCCGGCTCCTTGAATGCCTTGAGCGTGTGCGGCTTCAATTTGGAAATAGCCGACTGCTGCTCTTCTGGAGACATGTCATTATAGAATACGGTTTCTTGCTCAGAGGACCAACAATAACCATCCTCGGAGCTCTATATTTCGTTTGTCAATGAACAAATCCGGGGACATACGAAGATATACCACCCACCTTGACGATCATCCAGGGAAGTAGATTTCCGCCCAGCATGTCCATTAATGATTTGCCCTTTGGTGTCACAAATGCAGCCAGCCACACCACCATGAGTACACCGCCAGAAAGACCGGCTTTGCAACGCTGCGCGTACCCCAGGCCCTCGACAGCCGCGGAGCCAACCATCCCACCATAGGAATGGTTCACCAGCACAACTTGATGGCCAGCTTCCACCATATGCTTGAGGACAGCATGGGTGTATTCAATATCCGCGTGCAGCCCCTGGTCTGGAGAGCAAGCGCCCACGGAAGGAGTGGAGATGGCTTTGGTTGCAAGTCCACGCTTGTGCATCAAATCCCGCACAACGTCGAATGTGTCTGCCGTATGCCATGCCCCTGGCACGAAGACAAAAACCGGGTTCTCGGTCATGGTCATCTTGGGGTTGAACTTGCAATTGTTGTTTTGTTGAAGAGGATTGCAAGCAGGTTTAACCGGGAATTGGGGAATCAACAAATCCCGCTGCAATGATCATCCTCTCTTTATACTGAACTGGGCATATTAACCATTGACCCGCATTTGCTCTACACGTGGAAAGGTTGGCTCTTTTGATCTATTGTTGTAATTATTTTCCCCGAAGGATTTCGGTTGTTTGACGCCAACGGTGGAGCTCGGCGGAGACTCGCCCTACTATAGGCTCCCCCGTGTCTCTAGCCAAAACCGTTGGAGTGGCCGGAGATTGCGCCAAAGGGCTCCGATTGGTCCTTGTATGGGTCTCCACGCGGTAGTCGGCTATAGCCAGCCATCGCCAGCAACTTTCGACAGTTGTGGTGAAGCCCTGATCCACTTTGGGCTAGACGGACATTCCACCGCAGGGATTGAAGAAGGCCATTGTTCTTCTATTTCATTTTTTTCTGGTTTTAAGTTTTTCGTGCTGATTTAATGGGAAATTGACATGCAGATCATATGTCATATGAAGAATTTGTATCCCGGAGTCCCCAGTTTCCTGCCATCTACCTACTCCAAAGTGGTAAAAGAAAAAGAAAAGAAAAAGGGGATTCCTTCTCCTTCCAAGTAATTATGTCCCGCCAAGTCTGCTATTGATTTACAGATTCAAAGATTGATTAGAACGAAATTGACCCCCTTTGATTTGATATGAATTGCATTGTGATGTTAAGCTTACACGACCTTTTTATAGCCTCGAGTCTAAAGAAGCATAAGCGTCATGATCCCTGCAACTAACCCCTGCACATAGATTGATGGGACCTTAAAACAAAGAATAGATCATTGGATATTCGGGTAACTGAGGAAATAAAGAGAATTCCCCAATGCTAAGAAGCTAACAGACCCCAGCCCTATTTTGTGATCCACCAAAACACCTCGAATTTCGCTGCAGACTACTTCGTACTCTCCATATGCTGTAGATGCCAATGACATAAAAAGAATTTAATTCCTCACACTGAACCGTTTACCCATTTTGGGTATACGGTCTGTCGCTCAATTGTGGATAACCATGAATCCTTCTGACAGGTGAAAGGTGGATCTTCTCTCTGGTTTTGGGGGCATGAAAGAAATCCATTCTCTTTAAATACACCCGTCGTTCCATTTGCAAAAGATGTTATTCTTTTTGCAGGTGCAAATAAAATGACCACAATCAATGCCCAGGATAGCTACCAAGGGTCCTATCGGGCCGGGACAATCGCCATGACTGTCCTGGGCATCGTGTTTGTCATTCTACGGTTTTTGGCACGGTGGAAGAAGTCATTAAAGCCAGGCTTGGATGATTATATGATCATGGCCGCTTTGATTCCTTTCTTAACTCTCGTTGGTTTAATGCTAGCATGTGCGTTAGGTTTTCCCTTGATTTTGGATTCTAATACTAATTGTCAATAGTAACTAACTATGGCATGGGACTGCGTTCTGAGATTTTGCCCATGGAAAATATCATGATGATTGCAAAGGTTCAATTCGAAGATCAGAGCATGAAACTGGCACCTCCGCTAATCTCTATCTAGCTCCTGGTGGTGTTCGAGTGCATTTATGTCACAACGATAGGAGTCACCAAAGTTTCTATCTTGCTCATGTACTGTCGCATCTTCCCTACCAAAGAGATCCGGACTGCCTCCATGATCCTGGGTGGGATATCGCTCGCGTGGGTCATTGCTATCATTTTCGTGAGCATCTTCCAATGTACTCCGATTGCACGAGCCTGGGACACACGAATTCCCGGTACATGTATCGACCTCAAAGGCTCGTTCATTGGAAACGCAGTACCCAACGTTGTCACCGATATCATCATTTTATCTCTACCGGTGCGAGTGGTGTGGGGACTGCACGCAAGCCTCACGCACCGGCTGTCTGTAATCGGAATATTTCTGTTGGGTAGTTTGTTAGTATACCTTTTCCCTTATCCTTTGCTGTTGTCTTCCAACAATAGGCTAACTAGAATCTTCCGGACAGTGTCATCTTCACCAGTATATACCGCTTCACTACCCTATTTGATTTCAACCCGGCGGATATCGCTTGGACTCTCGGAAAGTCCTGCACCTGGTGTGTCGTTGAGTGTTCAACGGGCATTATCTCTGCCTGCATGCCGACCCTGCGCCCGTTGTTCATGATGATTTCCTCCAAATTCTCCAGCCAGTCTGGTACACAAAGAACACGAACCACAGATGTCGAGAACTCCAAAGGTTATGAATTGGACAATTCCGCCCTACGACCAGCTGACGAGCCACGTAATAAAACTAAAACACACCTGGATGTCTCCCACGCTGATGATTCGTCGGGGGATGAGGTACCTTTGAATTCTATTCGAGTTCAGCGAGATATGACATGGCAAGATTCGAGTGGTAATTCATTTCATTTCAAATAGATACTTTACCCAATGATATATAACAAGATTGAAATCACTTTCTTAATCAAACCGTTGAACAATACGTTCCAGGAATAATTAAAAATTCAACAAAGATCGAAAGCTTCGGCAAATATAGGTTGGAAGGGTCGATTCAGAGGATTCCACTTGCTGGGCCTTACTCAAATAAAGCGGGTGAAGCATTCCAGGCTTCTGCAAGTTGATAGAAAATCCATTTCAATGATAACCTTCTAATTGCGCAACCGATCGGTAGAGGGCGGAGTTACCCGGATGAAAGACAAAAGGTTCAATTGGTGCTCAGCTTTGAGTCGATTGACTCCCACTATGACTCTGCAGACGTCAAGTTTGGCTTTATACCTACACCACATTACAATTGATAACAATTTATATATCGACGTATGTGTGCAGTTTGAGCATCGGAATAAATTATGAACTCGAAAATTGCAAGTTGCTGAGAAGGTCAAAAGCCGCGAACAAGTGGTATACAAATCAAATTCAATAAGATGTCAACTTCGTTGAAGCAAGAATAATCAAAGATGTGAGCAAAGCTATGTCCTCGCGATGTCAAAGATGCCTTGCTCTGAGCTTTATGTTCAAAAATGTCGCAGGAAATAAGAGAAAACAGACACATGGTCCAAATGCGAAGAATATACACGAATGAAGGTGATCTCAATTACAGAGCGATCATTCCAACACCCGCCAGGAGTGCGGTGGCAATGTAGGCAGCCACCTGGAAAGACCCGAACGACGAGCTGGAGTGCATGCTGATAGCACCGCTGCTAGATTTGGTCGCCGAGGCTGACGAAGAAGCAGAACTAGAGCCGGAACCGGAGCCAGAGCTGGAACTACCAGTGCCAGTGTTCTCAGTAGAGACAGTGCCAACCCCAGCAGTTCCAGCCTCCTTCATCTGGGCAGCGCAAACACCCGTGGCCTTGATGACTGACTTGACCGTTGCAGATCCGGCGAACTTGCAAGCATCAGCGGAGCGATCCTGCTCAACATAGTACTTGTTCAGAGCAAAGGCCAGCTGCTGCTTGGTCGAGCACATGCTGTAAGCACCGTACTCGCCGGTAGTGGCATTAGCGGTCAGTCCGCTGCAGTCGGTGTAGCCGCAGACGGTGCTGAAGAGCTTGGAGTACCTCTTTGAGTCGAGGCTTTCGGCGACCACGCAGGCGGAGGCATCGTACATGCAGTCGCAGAGCTGGGCATCGGCGGCAGGGGGTAGAGGGGGAGGCCTCGGCGGCCCACTTGGATCCGACGGTAGGGCAGCTTCGCAGGGCGGTGTTGGTAGGAGTGTAGGAAGCCTTGTTGACACCAGTGGGATTGGCCTTGGCGATCTGGCTGGAGTAGTATTTGAAGTCGGACATGGTGCTGACACTGGTGCTATCGACAGCGGAAACCAGACCTACGAGCCTGAATCAGTAACGTGCGCATGTATGCGAGAAAGAAATGGGTTTCTTACCGTAGTTGTTGGCCTCCTGGAAGTACATGTACACAATACCACCGGACCAGACCTCCGCCATAGTATCGCCATACAGGGCCTTCACCTCGGTGAACTCGCGGGGCTGGACCTCGTTGCAACCGTACTCGGCGAAGAAGACAGGGACGCCGTAGTTGGCAAACTCTTCGGTACGATCCTGGTATTTAGATTTCGCGTAGGTCGATTCACCACACCACGAGTAGATGTTGTATCCCCAGAAGTCAATAATCTCATCGGTCTCTCCGCAATCGAAGTAGTCGGCCATGTTTGCGCGGATATCGGACACATCGGCGGTAGCGTATCCAACACCCATAGGACGGTAGCCCTTCTTCTTGATGTACTTCTTGGTGTCACGAACGGCAGCCTTGACGAAAGCGCTGGCATCCGAGGTAGAGACGGTGTTGGAAACTTCATTTCCAGCGAAGAAACCAATGGTGTTCTTGTACTTGGCCAGTTCGTCGACAACGCTGGTGTATCGGGCGAAGAGTTCGGTGTCCCATGTAGGATTACTTCTATCGATGGATACTGTGGGGTCGGATAGATCGGAGATGACATAAATACCAGCATCCGACAGGAGCTTCATACACTCCGAGTGATCAGCCGAGGCGTTGATGGCGTAGGTACGAATCACATTGGTGCGCAGCTTGGCCATGATAGGGACATCACGCGCACAAGCGACGGGGTCGGCTAGAGGATCAGTGTAGCTATTGCTACCGGTGCTTTCCTCTGTGGAAGGTTAGTCGAGGTGTTGAGTGATGGCATCAATAACCTACGTTGATAGGCAACTCCACGCATGAAGCTGTTGTTGTCAGTCACCGGATTCATGAGCACGCCGGAAAATTCGGACTTACAACTGAGTGTCATTGCTGGAATAGAAGAACTTGGAGCCCTATTGATAGACTTAGTACTCACGATACATAGGGTTTCCATACATGTATAGAGATCATACCTTGATAACGATGGGGTCCAAATCGGCAACAGCAACCCCGGCTAAGGTTGCCAGTGCCACCAAGGAGAACTTCATGATTGTGTTTGCAGGCTGCAAAGATAGCGAATGTATATAGTTGGAATAATTGGATGCAAAAGAAACAGAGAGAAAATCAAGTAGTCAAACGAGTGAAGAGTGAAATGAGAAAATCCAAGATGAAGCCTAGGGGGGGAACCATCTTCAAATCCAGATTAATAGTTGAGACTAGTCTCAAAATAATTTCATTCTATCTAATAAAACACAAAAAGGACGCGTATAGCCGAGCAAATAAGCCCAATATGGTCAAGTGCTTTGAAGCCATCATTCAATAGGTTTAGCCCCGACGCCATGTCCATTTGGCGCGGAGCTGGGTTCTCAGAAAAGCATTGTTAGGGCTCGAAAGGGGATACTTTTGTGTATTCCGAGCGAATCATAATAAAGCGATGAACGGAGATGAACCGACTCCACGCACTTAATGGAACTTGGCTTTTTACTGTTTACGATCTGCAAAATTGTCTATTCTTCAGTTCCCTGTGAATAGGCAGCCATTTAAAGAGATCTATGCTCCATACTATCTCTATTAATAGTTCCATTCACTACACTCCCTATGCAGTACTGTTCAACCCCCTAAAAAAAGTGAGAACATCCGGCTGACATGGTGGGGCTCAGGATAGCGCCGGCACTTGGCCCTTTTTTTTCGCGAAGACTTTTCTGTCAAAGATCTAATTTTATTTCACGCTAGTTATTTTGTGAGTGATAGTCTTCTCTGACGGCATTGCTTGGTAGGAGTGTAAAACTATCTCTCAGGCAACTGCGAGACCTCGATGTTTTTCTTTTTGATACTCCGTACACAAATCTATTTATGGATTTATGTACGAAGCACAATCTCGATATGTACATTATTCCTGTTGTGATTTGCATAAATTCCGAAGGTATTTGTTGTTCAATTTGAATATGAAAGAATAATAGACTGATCGAAATGTGTTTCAACGGAGAGAGAATATTTTAAGCATCTATATAGTTCGGACCAGTTCGGTCTAAAAAGGGATCTGCATGTCGATCGAATCTGCTTTCCGATACCCGACTCCGTTCTGTACAAGGTCGCAATATCAGAGTCCAGTCAATGCTTGGGCTACTATTGGCTGATAGAACTGGTATGCGATCACCTATGCATCTCGTGAAACCCATGGCACAATTCTTTGTAGCCTTTCTTCGCGATTCGCCAAGTAATAAGCACGCTTTGGGATCGGGGACAGTTTATCAGGCCTATACCTGCATTTGTCATGGATCTTTTGAGTAATTCAACATATTTGTAAGTTCAATCCCGCCACTTCTACAACGTACTAGCTCTATGGGAATGGCCATCTGGGTTGATAAACTGCTACACCACCAGAATAGAAGATGTTCCAAATAAAATAGCTTCAAATTGTGATATGCCCTGACTCCATTAAACAATAATTATACACCCCCCGTGTTCGAATTGAGATTGGCATTAAAAAGCGTTCCTTCGTTTCGTCCTGGTGTAACCATCTGGTCTCAGTCCATCCTTCAAATCCGTTGCTGTTTGCGATGGGCGTCGATGGCTGCATCAAACGATCGGATAGTGTCGAGCGGGCGCTCAAAGCGGCTCCGTGTGGGGTTGGAGATATCGGGATCCGCTGTCGCTAGGTTAACATGCAGTTCCCAAGAAAGTTCATTGTGTAAAAACTTACTGATGAGCTTTCCATCCCGGTCCTTGTGCTGGATGCTTCGTAGTGAGAATATATCCCGAGATCCAGGTTGGAGGTTCACAGCGGCTGCTTGTCGTCAGTGGATGTCCTTTGGTTCAGACGGCTCATTGGATACTTACTAGGTTCTTGTTCATGTAGGGCCATGTTAGGGTCAGCCTTGGTATGAAGAGACGTCTTAGGACTGTGGTGCGACTTGACCGAGCCAGAGCGCTCGCTAGAGGCCAAGGAGGACGGCATTATGGGATATTCTGGACTGTGGGAAATGATTTGAAAATATGTATCATATATGAAAAGTAGTGAAAACCTAAGTAGATAGTATGCCTAGCAGTGTGGTAATCTGCTGTGAGGCGAATCCAATCCTATATATTTCTTGTCGCGTTTGACATGTGCGGACGTTGGAGCGCTAAGAATAGACGGCCTTTCTCGAAACATCAAGATCACGCAAGCCGTGGCGACACCTGTGGATCAGTTGAGATCATGATTGGGCCGATCGTGATCGGCAACCAGACGCGACTCGTCGCTACAAGGCAATCTTTTTATGACGTGAAGGGGTCCATCCGGAACATTCTCAATGGCCAGACGAGCTTCTGTGAGATGCTCAGCAGAATGCTTAGCATTCGTGTTGACCAATCCTAATAAACGACCAGCTCGGGGGCCACGCAAGCCCGGTGGCTGGCATCTTGGCCCACTCCAGCCGTTTCAGGCACCCGCATGGATTCCCAGGTACGTACCCGTCTACGGAGCACGGAGTAGTTTTATTGCATTTGAGTAAACTTACTTGATCCAGAAACGTGTCTTAATGTAGAAATGTGCAAAGGAAGTAAGGAATTGGTCAATTCGATGCACGGAGTTTGACTCCGTGCACACTATTTACGATGATCGCCGGTTTTGAAAATGTGACAGGAGCGCCCCAGCATTCTTCTTCCAGGAACAATCGATCACACCCTGGCAAGGATCGGTGCTATCCAGATTTCACATGGTTTTACATGGCAGCATTAGCTAACATGCTATCTGTCAAGTCATTTTCAACCCTGCACACAGCATGGTCCCTTATACAATGTGAAGGTAGACGACGAGAACCAGCTCAGGTGCCTTATACAACATCGCAAGGTGCTTAGTTTACACTAGATATCAAAGCTTTTAGGCTTGGATCTCAATTCAAAGTCTAAGACAGAGAGCCAGGCAACGGAATTGATATAATTGGAGAATAAATCCGATCTGGTGGGGTTGAATAGAATAATAAATATGATGCACTCCGTGTTTTGTACATAAAAAAAACAATGCATTACTTCACGGTAATGTCACAGCCCTCCTTTTCCGGTGATCGCCGGATTCGAAGTACTATGGACCCCCCCATCATTCCAGAGATCGAACGTTCTTTTTCCCCTTTCCCCCCTTTTCCTCCAGATTCATTTGTAAAAGTGGACCATATCCCCCACCCCATGTGGACTGCGATGTCATTTCCCGTCAGAGGTGACGCATAAGGTTGATCACTGGCACATGACCACATTCCGCTACTTGGTTTCTTGTAGTGCACATGTGCAATATGATAGATTTTGGTTCTTTGCAGGATTTGATCTCATACCAAGTATTGACAGATGCAGCTCTATGAGTCTGGAAACGTCACTTGAAACAATGCGTGGACAGGAAGTTCAGTTGTAAACTACTGCTTACAAACCTTTGAATTACTATCTCCAGTTAGCCTGACCGCTTTGGGTGTGTTTTCGACAGACAGCCTACCCTAGAAGGCGCAAATTCGCCCCATCTGTTAACCACGCGTCTATATAAATTCTTTACACTTGAATCCAGGCACATACGACCATAGGGTGTGGAAAACAGGGCTTCCCGTCCGCTCAGCCGTACTTAAGCCACACGCCGGTGAGTTAGTAGTTGGGTGGGTGACCACCAGCGAATCCTCACTGTTGTATGTTTTTATATTTTATCCAGTATTTATTGAAGTCCTCTCTTCCACAAGGACTTTGCTGAAGTTTTTGACACCCAGTTGTAGCGCCTTGTGGTAGATGTACAGTTTACTCTGGATTGATGGATCAATTTGCTGGCGGAATATCTATTTGCTCAACACCAAGATTATATATCTAGTAGACTTCCCTAGAAAATTCTGTATGGCCATCTGTTCTGACAGTGACAACTTCTGAGGTTCAGTTTAGTAACTCTAATTAGGAATGGTGCCCTTGATATCATATATTTTTTGTCCTTAGCTATAATGTTCTTTTTATTCTATCCCCTCCATTATCTGAAATCACTACATATTGACAATTATTGTACTAAAAGCTATACTTTAAAACTTTCTAATGCCGTTTAAGTGGATAATTGAAACCCGTAATTCTGCACATCCTTCCTAAGAAACCCTGGTTCATTTTTTGGTAATAAGTCTTAGGGTTCTCGCACTAAATATGTGAATATTTTCAATTGATTCTAGGTAAGTTGGGTGGAGTGGTTGGTGGTTGAAGAGAGGAAGTAGAATCGATGAAAAATCTTTCATATAGGCGATCGATCCCTTTCATATCGATAGCGGACCCTCTGTGAGGAGTTGTCTTTCTTGGTGCATGATTGGCGTAAAGAATATGGGTTTCTTACAGATGAATACTAGGCTATTCATCCAAAACAAAGTCCTCAACACTCTCGATTGATACTCCGTACACCATTTAGAATTGAGTAGCACCTCTGTATCGGCAATCTATTTTTTCGCCATTGTTCTGGCAATATAGGCCGCTTGAACAACCAAACTCTGAGTTGTATCCATAATCGGGCTTTTTGAAGCATAGCGTTCTGCCTGTGGGCAGCCTTAGTCTCTCCAAACCAAGGGGCTGGAGTTTTCTGTTGGTGAAGTATATACCTAGGTACTGTATACTGTATGGTGCAAAAAGTTTTCGGGACTTTGCATTTTCCCGCACCGCCTAGCAGCAAGGAACATCAACAAGACGCGGAGCTGCCGTCTCTGTGTTTCTCCGTTTCATTCACTTTATCACCTTGATCATAGGATTCGCCCATTGCCATTGCAGAGTCCTCAGCTGCCTTGATAAAATACCTTATCCACAATGTCTCACTGGTCATGCGCATGGGACAATTGTAAGAAACCAGCTTCGCAGAGATTAGGAGACTGCTTGCTGTGCGATAGACACTTGTGTCGCACGCACCGCCAAAAGCCATGGCACCTATGCCCAACCCCGGAGGTCTGTGATTAACGCCCGCGGTTAAATATCAGTGATGATAGAAATGCTTACGCCGTATTTCATAGGAGGATTGGGAATCCTACTCTGCTCAATATGCAACAGCAGAGGCTCGTCACCTAGACGAGCTATGCCTTCGAATAGATTCCTCCAAGTTATGTGCCCGTGCATCAATACTTAGACAAGGCATTCCGTGTGCTGTTGACTTGTCCCGCAAGAGCTTGTCTGCCATGATGGGTGGCCAGAATTGCCATGCCGAGATCACCTTCGAGGATAACGTCAAGTGGCTCGCACGTTTTCGTCTTTTCAGAACGTCATCACCGCCGCAGGAGGTCCGGAATTATATACTTCAAAGCGAAGCTATGACCATGGTTTACCTCCAGCAGAACACATGTATACCTACGCCTAAGCTATTTGATTGGGCATCCGAGTCTGATCCAGAAAATCCACTTGGCGTTAGCTATATTTTGATGGAAAAGCTAGAAGGAAGGTCTCTAGATTGGCAAGCGGCCACTTTGCTGCAGAAAGAGAAGGTTATGCAACAGTTGGTTAACATCTACCTCGAAATTGAGAGATATCCTTTTGAATTAATAGGATCACTTGTCTCGGCAGGAGATATTATAAGCCTTGGAGGTCTCGCAGACCAATCGATGTTCCGGGTAGGAAAGGGGCCCCTCGGTCCATTCTCTTCCTCTTTCGGCGGCTATAAAGCCCGCCTCGACTCCCACCTCACAATGATAGCTACTGGCGAGATTGACTCCTTCTCTCCGGCCGACACCTATATCATGCATCGACTCCGCCAGGATCTTCTTGGTGCGCTCTTTCAAGAAGTATCACCAGGCGAGCAATTCTTCCTTAAACACCCGGATGACAAGGGTGACCATATTCTAGTCGATGACCGTTTTGATATTGTGGGTATCATAGACTGGGAATGGACCCAAACCGTCTCCAAGGCGGAGGCATTTTGTTCCCCGTGTATGATGTGGCCGGTAGCCGAGTTCTACGACGGCTCTAATGAGCTAACCTCAGATGAATTACGACTGGCTGAAATCTTTTGCGAAAGAGGCCGTGAAGATCTTGCTATCTATGTTACTGAGGGCAGAAAGGTTCAGAGATTTTTATTCGCCCTTGGGACTGAGAGCTCTTCTTTAGACATGCAGTCATTTCCACTGATTTTCGTAGGTCTCCAGCGGGCCTTCAACCACGAAGACGAGAAGTGGGAGGTATGGAAGAGTAGGGCTCTTCAGAAATGGAAAGATGATCGAAAACTCCTCGGCTTGTCGGCACTGGAATAAAATGAAGGTGCACGGCGAGTCGAGAGGGGCGAATGACAGAAACGCCAGGTCTTCTACTTCAGTCGCGTGGCCATCTTCTTACAATATCCTCCCGGCTGCGTCATCGTACTGGGACTCTTGTCTATCAGAAATTATACGAAGAAAAGTTTCTTATAGCAATGTGCTTTTACTGCCTTTTCCCGCCGTCGGCCTATATACTAGAAAGGGGGAAAGCTATCTTGAAGATATGTAAGAAGATTGCCAAGAAAGCCCACTGAGAAGACCGCTGGACAGGCCTGTAAGATATCATAAGGCTGCATAAGCGGGCATCTACTCCTGCTATGGTAATTCAGACATAACCCTTTCAAAATTAGGCATATGACCTTTGGATAACTATCCTACTGCCAGGCAATATTATCCAATGAGAGGGTTATGAACGTGTGGGACCCTTAGACGCTCCTAGTCAGGTAATGGGTGGCCCTGGTGAAACATGTCAGCCTACAAATACAGTCCCTCGGCCCCATTAGGCTCCCAACAGATGTCATGGGTTTTGCTACGGTCTAGTGCTAAATTATGCTGGCTTTTGTCTAAAAAGACACCTTTTCGGAGGTCTCAAGTCAAAGGATCTTGTCGATTTTGGCATCAATCCCACAGGTCCTTATATTCTTTTGGTACATTCAAATAGATGGTTGCAACGTAATCAACTCATTTCCAACGTGCATGAACCCAATCAGGATCATGGCCAGATGAATAGACTGCCCGGAGAGATCTGGTCAACTGTTGTCTGGCATGCCCATTGTCAAGGCGATCCGGTCATGCCAAATTTTTGGATTTCCCTGTTGCCGTGGACCTGTTGGATGTAGTTGTGAACCCTCTTGAGAAAGCTGGGCAAGTTCGCAGGTGTCTTTTATGATCTTCTGATTATTCTTACATGGACCGAGTATTAGCCACGGTGTTATAGTTTTTTGTCGGCTTCGATCAGACACCAGCAAGACTGACAACTGTCGAAGGAGTGCGATGGCCGATTGAACACCCTCAAGGGTGTAATTCACCGATGCAGCTTTGGCAGAAGAAGGAATTAATCCAAAGAAAGCCTCGGACTCTTTCATATTCCCTTCGTGATCAGCCTTTACCCCGGCCATTATTTTGATCTCCACTTCGCCCAGTACTTCTTGGCTGGTGCTGATGGCATCCATTAAATTGTTTCTCTCCACGTCGGTAGTTTGTGAAGAGGCGACCAGGGCTTTGGTCCTAGCAAGAAACCCCGGGCACTGAGCTATTTCGTTGAATGCATAGTCCATGAGCTGGCCCAGAGCACAATGTGTGCCGCGTCGTTCCTCGTCCTCTAGTATCAATGGCAGAGCTGACCTCCATTCCTCGTTTTCTAGGAAACATGCCTCGCCCCGAGCGAAGGCCTCATAAACTAGGAGTCCCCGAAAGGATAAGATCAAGGTACGTCCATACCCACTTACGTGTCTCTTTGGCCCTCTGAGACGCAATAGGTGAGATATCCCACTTGAATGCAGCAGCCATGAGTTCTTCTCCGTTGCGTTGATCGACTCATAAACTCCTAGGAGGACGGCAGCTCCAAGGGTGTCATTGTTGCCAACCGTGGCAGGATTTTTGATAGCTTTAACAAGCTGGCACAACGCGTGGCCGTACATTTCCTGACTAAGAACAATCTGTGCTTGGTTGCCATTTACCCTGGCTAGCTGCAAGGTTCCAAGGCTGCGAATGGCCCACTGCAGTGCATGTCCCGCGCTTTCGTCCTTGTGGGCGATTTCGAACCAATTCAGCTCCACACGAGTGCTGTAGCTGTAATAGATGTTCGGAAATACAGCAACCACGAAATCGCAAAATGCTCTCCTGCATTGTCGGTCTAGCGCCTTGGAAACCAATCCTGGCATTAGAGCATTGTCCATAGGTGTGGGGGGGGATAGTGTGTTGCGCTACTGCTTGTGCAGTAACTAGTGCCGTATTTGACGATCGTGTCTGGGAGGATGTAGTTGAGGGCTCGATTTGACTGCTTGCCGAGAAATAGTAGAACTTCCGATTCCTTGTATAGCCAGGACATGAGATCCCTCTTCTCTCGCAGGATTGACATCCTGGCTGAGCTTCATCGCACTGGACCCTGGATTAGAGTGTTACCTTTCAAAAAGAAAAGCGCATGACTGGAGCGTTTCGTACTTTGACCCGCCGCTGGACACATACCAAGCAGCCTTTGCTGCGTGGAACACCAACCATCAATACTCTCTGCTCGGAATCGGATTTTGACGTTTATATTGTATGCGGTAGGTGCAAAAGGGGACACATTGCGAGAATACGAGGCGTTACAGGGGCCCCCCGCAACTCGAATCGCACCGACCAGCAATTTCCCCATCGCGCATTGGGCACCTCGAGTGGGTTTTGGTGCCTGGCGTAAGCAGCAAGCCTTGGCGAAAAAGGGGTAGTTATTTGAGTTGGATTTTGGTGACATTGAGATGTGTCTGCCACCTTCCGAAAATCATCTTGTCATTGATCTGCATGTTTTAAAAGAATCAGATCCACAACAAGTGCTCGCTATAGAGAAACACACTGTGTACTTCCTAAAGATGTGGATGGACGGGGAGAAGAGCAAGAGAGAAAAGGGGAGTCTCCGCATGTATGCCTCAGGCACCCAGGCACCCAGGCATCCAGGCAACTAGGACATCCGGGCAACTAGACATCCAACATCTGATATTCAACATTGAGTTGCCGGTAAGCTCGACAGGCACAGCAAAGGCTTGCTTTCGAGAGGCTGAGCCCAGGAGTGGGTACATACTGGTCTGAGCTGATCTGTTTCTCCAGTTTCTTGTCATCATGTCCCACTTGAGTATATAGCCGACTGATCGGGCTTGGCATGTCCTCGTAGATCGGCATTTCGACCGAGGTCCTCTCCCCGCGATTCTTGAGATTTGAATGCTTAAAGCCTCACATTAATCTTCTTTATATACATGCAGCAAGGTGGTGCAAAAATCCAACTTGAATTCAATATCTACTGGTTGATGCCCAGCTCAGAATGAGACCATTCCTTTCACTTGCTTCTCGGCTTCGACCCTTGGCGGGCGCAATCCAAACTGCAAGAGGATCGTATCTGACGTCGCGACTTTATTCCAGCGCAACCTCCGGTGGAGATAGGCCTTTGCCTCTCGCTGGAATTACCGTGGTAAGTCTCGAGCAAGCTATTGCTGCGCCATTTTGCACGCGACAACTTGCCGATCTTGGAGCTCGGGTCATCAAGATTGAACGGCCAGGCGTTGGAGACTTTGCACGACATTATGACACGCGAGTAGGGGGTCTAGCATCACATTTTGTATGGACAAACCGGTCCAAAGAGAGTTTAGCTCTGGACCTCAAACACAAGAAGGACCATGCCGTCCTCGTGAAGCTCCTTGAGAAGGCAGATGTTCTCGTTCAGAATCTGGCTCCCGGTGCCAGTGCGCGACTGGGGCTCTCTCATGAGGCATTGAAAGAGAAACACCCTGGCCTTATTGTGTGCGATATCTCTGGGTATGGGCAAGATGGTCCATATCGCGACAAGAAAGCCTACGACCTTCTCATTCAGAGTGAGGCGGGAATGCTGTCCGTCACGGGCACTGGGAAAGAGCCGGTAAAGGTTGGTATCTCCATCGCTGATATTGCGGCGGGGATGTACGCCTACAGTAACATTCTTTCGGCACTACTGCAGCGTGGGAAAGATGGCCAGGGCTGCCAGATTGACATCTCCATGCTAGAAAGTATGGTGGAATGGATGGGGTTCCCCATGTACTATGCATTCGATAATGCTCCTGGTCCGGCACCAGCAGGTGCATCGCATGCGGCTATCTACCCTTATGGACCGTTCGAAGCTGGTGATCGCCAATCGGTTATGTTAGGCATTCAGAATGAACGGGAATGGGTCAATTTCTGCAACGTCGTCCTCTCACAACCAGATCTAGCCACGGATCCTAGGTTTTCGAGTAACTCGCAGCGAACACAAAATCGAGATGAGCTCAAATCTATCATTCACGGTGTGTTCTCAAAGTTTACGACAGATGAAACAATAACTCGTTTAGACGAAGCGTCAATTGCCAATGCTAGTGTGAATGATATGAAAAATGTCTGGGACCATGCCCAGCTCCAAGCGCGAGATCGATGGACCAAGGTTCAAACTCCTGTTGGAGCCATTCCAGCTCTTTTGCCTCCTGGATCAACCCAGTTACCTGGAAAAGGCGGATACAACGCCCAGATGGGTTCAATTCCACATGTTGGAGAGCACAATGAAGCCATTCTTGCGGAGCTGGGACTATCAAATTGATCCTATGTATAATCAATATTCATCACAGCCCGATGATTTAGACGAAAAAAGGTTCATGTATCTGAATACTGAAATGAGGTCCTATGGATATCAATTACCTACCGCAACTTGTAGGCAATGTCTTGATAACCCTTGTATTGTTCGGATTCCAATTACTATAGGAACCGATAGAGAAACTCGAGATTCTGTGGGTTCAAATAGTCCGGGTTTGATAATGACCCAGCAAGGCCCATAACATCGTCACCCTCCACGTTGAACAGCTCATACCAGTCCATATTAATTGCTACCTCTTCCCCGGGGTTATGATGAGGCATCGTGTTAGGGGTGTGTAAGGGATCGTCCGCGGTGTGGGGAGAGAGGGGTCTATGTAGACCACTGGCAGGAGACACAGGTGAGATCTCCTCGACATTTCGACCGCCACCTGTCTGTGATATCAAAGACGGCATAGAATTATCAGCTAATCGAAGATCACGAGCAGTACGATCATCCAAGCATCGGAAGAAAAGATCCAGGACCCAATTCTCCAAGTCCCACGATTTCTGTAATTCCTTCAAACCTAACAAGCATAGTTTTGCCCTGTGTTCTGCTAACTTTCGGGCAGTGCCTGTAGCCCGTCCGAAGTGAATGGTATGTATACATAAAGCCGAGAATGTGTGGGTGATTCTGCTTCGAGATTAGTCCTACTCTAGTATACAATTGTTGGAACTCACAGGTGAACAGATCCATGTTGTACCAGGTTTTCTGAGAGCATATCCTCTAAAATCCGGGTGCTTCGTGTTGCTGCATCCAGGGCAATATTTCCTTCTGGGTCAACTGATTGGCCTGGAGGCTGTAAGAAAAGGGGTCGATAGAGTAGAATGTACAAGTTGCTGTGCGGATGTTAGCTGATAAGACTCTTAATTACTACCAGCGCAGAACTGCATACTTGAATGCCATATGCAGCATGCCAACAAGGAACATTGCGTCTCTGTTCATGGGCATTTGAAATCTCATTTCTTCCGGCAGGCGCGACTCCCAGTCAACCAAACGTTGACGGAGCATTGGCCGAGCTTCATTATCCAACTTCGACCGACCAGGTAGATATTGGCTGCAAACTATCTCCCGCACTAAAAGCGAGACTTTCAGCAACGATGATTGTAACAATGTCCCAGGGTGTCATACATAGTCTAGCCAATTGAGCCATTGCAATCACATAGGGAATGTGGACTTCTGGAGGTGTGCGGAATATCCCAGAAGGCTGCATAGGCTCATTGTCCTCAAAGTCTGCGGGTTCAAGATCGGCGATTTGGCAGTCTTCATCCCGAATTCTAGGTGGCAACCCCAAAGCGGCCGATGTTTGTTGATCGCGAACCTGATGGAGTGTCAATCTCGCGGTGTTGGAAGCAAGGATTGAGGAACGAAATGTGTACATATGAAGCCCACCAAATTCGTTTCCAGAGTTTTTGATCTTTGGCATTGAGGAAGGACAATTTAGACCTATACATATCAGCGTACAATCCTCTTCCATAGAGTAAGATATACCGTACATGACATGCATTCCCTTTTTCTGAGCAAGGCCGATGGCAGCTCCCAGCCAAAATCGAACATCGCGCTCTTCAGTTGGGCTTCCACGCCAGAAGCTCAGCAGAAACAACGACTGTAACTTGACGACTGTGTCGGTCTCCCATCCTGAATCATAGATATCCTTTGCTCGCTGATAAAATATTTCTTTGGCTTGATAGCGATTATTGAAGCCGGTGGTGTCCAAAGTTGTATCCGAGCATAGGCTCACTCCAATGAAGAGCATTGACTGTAAAAGCAATGGCGACAGTGTGCCATCTTGGTAATGACTTTGCAAATTTCTCCGGTCAAGAATTGGAAAACATGGGTGGAGCCAATCAAAATACGCTTGAAGTAACGCATCGCAGACAGCAGGCGACGGGAATACGAGGGCCCCTTCGCGGGTTAGGCGATCATGTATCAGCTTGCGAGGGCCCAGTAAGTCCTGGCTACTTTCCTTTGCTCCACTAATCTCGGAAATGGAGTAGTGCAGACGGCCTTTCTGGACACTGCAGGCATACCCCTTGTCTGGAGATCGTTGCCCTTCATCCACAACGCAGGTGAGAGGGCTTGACTCGCCAAGGAACACGGTTTTATGGATCGCATCCTCTGCTGTTGGAGAAAGAGCCGAATACTGAGAGCTCTGTCCGGGTAATGGAAATTGACGCTGTATGGCTCGGGAATCCGACCCATTTGCCGTGTGATTCGGCGTTGTGGATGTTCGAGCCGATCCCTTTTTCTTTCGGGGATATCTGCCTAGAATGAGTATAACTCGACCATTTCTTCGTGGTTTTCTTACTTTCCACGGCGTGAAACCCCTACTTCGCAAGTGAGATTCCACGACACGCAGTTTTGGCAGGGCTGCATCTCTAAAACGTTGCATCGCACGCGACGCGAGTTACATGTCAGGCAGGCTTTCTTTGCCCGCGTGCGCGGTCGATCTGGACTCTCAGTATCCATAGTGAACAGAGAAATCGGCTGTTTCTATTCAACTGATATTTGAATATCTAAAAGGTCGAGGACTCCTTCGTTCTGACAAAAGGTGGGGCTCGGCTTCTTCGGTTATATGACCTCGGCGTTGTGCCGGCATCCTGATATTCATGACCACAGTTCTTTTTTTCCTTCCGTTTGATATTTGGCATGATTGAGACCGCTCAATCGTTCTGTTGGAATTAGTCCCTCTCAAAGAACATCATAACTGCGGGTTCGTCGTGAAATATGGAATGACAATATAGACACCACACATTCAAGCCCATCTTCACACGCGGGCGAGATACTGCGGTCGGAAATCATTGATAACATCAGTTTTATGAATCATGGCAGAGATGAAAGCAGCTTGGATTGATCGATCTTCATTCAACGACGCTTAGGCCTCGGATTCGGCAAGTACCCGGAATGGCCCTTGGGGCTGCCAAGCAGGGAGCCATCTGAGTAGAAATCGATGGGGAGTGGAGATACCGTTCTCCTGAATTGTTTGAATTCTGGGAGGTTTTTCGGATGGGATATTTTTGTAGCATTTTGGTTTTTGCTTTGCCACGGTCAGAATGAATCAGATGGACATGATATTCCATAGACCATAAGTAACCGACTGAATAGATCGTGATTTGATGGGACTATCTCTCCAATGTATCGATCACTTCTAGACAGCCCATAATTAGCGACGGGAGAAGAGAAATCCGGGGAAGATCCAAGTTTGGAGTGGACAGTCCAATAGACTCATGCGAGATCACACCAACCTCGCGATATATATCAAATTGCATCAGGGAACTCCACACATCTTGATTGTTTATTCTCAAGGCCATCCCTGGATATAGCTTTCGGAGCTCACAGGGATTCTTGATATTCCGGTATACCATCCCCAGATATGTAAAGATACATGTAAACTGGAACTCTAGGTAGGTATATCTCACAATCAACAAACAAGTACAGCAATATTCGAAAGTGGCCTCCATGTTTTGCACAAAGGAACTATGTCAAGCCCCACCACCAAGCCGTGAAGCCATCTATGTAGGCCTAACTAGGCGAGGCTACAGTCCCTGCTCGTCAGAATGGAATTCTAAATTACCTGACAAGATAGATACACCAAAGTCATGAATAAACCGTCTCTCTGAAGGCTTTTCGTCCTCAGTCTCCGATCGAACACATGTAATTAAAACCCACTATATCACCTTCAACACTACCAGGCCACACATAAAATGGCTCCAAATCTGCCTTCTTCTACTAAAGAATTTATTCGCGATATGATCTTGAGCAAATCACTTACCACATCCCAGATCGCCAATACTGCTGGATGCAGTGCGCGTTCTGTCACCACTATGCACACCAATCTGCGGCAATTCGGTGAAACCAGGGCCCTTCCAGTTCGAGCAGGTCGACCCCGTAGCATCACACTGCCGATGTGAGAGGCTCTCTGTGATCATGGAGACCGGGTATATCGATTGGGTCAGAGTGTAAGGGCAATGCAGGCAGTTCAAGGGAAATAGTTTAGGCCTTTTCCACGACTAGTTAAGATATCTGATTAAGGAGTACAGTAATGTTAATTGGAGGACACATTGACGTGGGCGGAGCATCAGCATGGCTTTTTACCTGATCGTTCGCTCGCTGTCCTTCGCAAAGAGCTACTCATTGAGGTTGTCCGGAATATCACCGTGGGGTGCAAGTGTCCCACCTTGCATAAATTTGACAAGACTTCTTAATTGATGTATTCGCAGTCTATAGTATCTTTTCTTCGCTAGATCTTTCCGGCAATACTGACCGTCGTAACAGTAAGGCGGGCCAGAACATCGCATTATCTGATATACCCCTCGCCAAACTGAGGGCTACCCAAAGGCGTCTTCAGCATCACGTTACGCATCTCGATCAGCAAGCATTCGTTTAGTGACCGAATTTCTTCTCCTTTTGTCGGTTTCTGACAAAGGAATGCTGTCTTCGATATAGTCCATGCATATTTTAAGCCTGAGCTCCTACAGACTAGCCCAAGTAAGTAGGTACTATTCTACGGTAGTCCAATCTGTAGCCGTACTATTAAAGCGTTTAGTTAGCTCACGCTGAGATCGGTTGTTTACAGATATCTCAATGGTTGTACCATCCGGTCTTATCCAGCGGTCGTGGGAGATCTTATCTCGCAGGATTATATATGCTCTCGCCTGTATCTGTGACTCATGAAAGCTTGGCGTTTAAACAAGATCTTGCTTAGTGTCTTCGACTATAGGAAATCTGGGTGGGTGTCACGTCGCAAGACCAGTCAGTCCTCCTGAAGCCAGCTCGTTTGCCACAACCTGATCCATCTATGTAGACTCAATGGTACGAACGGAAATTTGATAGCTGATACAGATAGTAGTCTCTCGGGTCCGCATTTCTTTCCTGTGCTATCCGTCGAGCCACCTTGCTCCAACCATGCGATCGAAGGGCCCGACTGATGGTGTACGATAATACGACCAACTCAAATTCATAAGAAGTCCGCCATCTCATCCAGGTATGAATCCGGTTTCTCTAAGTGATCGCATAGTGCTTCGAGCATGATTGGTGTGATCACACGTGGACGGCCACCTGGGATCGAGGGCGCTCGGACATTGCCAAACATCCGGAGATCTGCATCGAGTGATTGAACGTTTGCTACAGCCAGCTACCTCAGCCATTTGAGAAGTAGTCCGTGATTGACTGATAATCATGTCGCGCGTCATTTCAAGTTGGGAAAGTGCGAGTCTGGGCGCCATATTCGGGTCGCGTCAATTGCCACAAGTTGATGAGATTGGCCAAGGTGGTCGGGGCCGCACGCGAAGATAGGTCTGGGTCGGCTCGGGCCCACCGTTAATCCAGCCAAAGCCCCAAAAGGCCGTCGATTACAAGGGTATCGTGAAATATATAGGTCCAATCAATGGTGTTACAATCTCTGTATTGCAGTATCCGCTTTCCTGGCAATGAATAGGTATGGGCTGTGGATTACTAATTCAAAATTACTGAACAGGCTGGATTTATTAGTCCCCGGTATGCCGGTCTGTATGCTCCGATCAATGCACCCATGTGTTCTTGAGTAAAAAGCACAAGTTGTAATCTTGAAATCAGTGTTGGGTATCATAGACATCCATGCCTGATATCGATCAACCGTGTCAAACATGCATGATATAGGACCATGTTTGGCAGTATCAATAGGGTCTTTGTATCCTATTCATACTTGCTTTCTCTTTCTCTCGCTCAGTTTTGCTTTTAGATAGAGGAATATCATCATTATAGCTGTCATCAATCAGATATATATGAAAGTTTAACGCCTGTTGCACCATTTCAAATGAATGTACTCTTCAAACACTTCGTAGAGCAGAGTGTCAACGTGTATTCGATTGCTAAAAACAAGCAAAAATCCCTACTCCGTAGTCTAGGCGACATTCATGCTCTTTAGGCGCTGAGCCCGGCTCTTTACCCCGCTTTCTACGTACGATTCCGCCCTGGCCTATTCGATTCTCAACGAATGCTTCACGGAATCAGTCTGACGATTCATCTCGTCAGTCATGGCTCATGGAAAATGGAAACTGTTCTCTAGAAAGCGACACTCGATTAAGGACGATAAAGATAGTCCGCCGTCTGGACGAAGGGATCAATCTTTGGATGGATCTTCAATCAGCCATGCACCCGCCTCAGCTACCAAACCAGATCTGTGGCAACGCGCTTTTGATGATCTCGAACCAGAAAAACAACAACTTCTCCAGTCAATATTGATACCAAAATCCAACAAAGATATCGACTCCAGTGATGTCAACACCGATCCCGGCGTTGTGGACCGTTTAAAGGCGCTGAATGGTGTGGTTGAATCCGTGAAGACCCAATATGAGATCGATCAAGGAAAGTCGAAGATTAAAGAACCAACCCAGAAAATCATCAAGGCTGTTCTTGGCTTTCAGGACCTTATTCAGGCAGCTGTGGCATTCGATCCGACAGGACATGCAACCAGCGTCTGGGCAATTATGTCTTTGGGGTTGACGGTATGCTTGTATTTTTCCATTCCAAACATATAAGGCCAAGTAACTAACAGATATGGCTTTCAGATGACCCAGAACTATCACAGCCAGAAAGTAGCCTGGCTGGAATCTTGCGCATTTCTCGCAGATATCCTGATCCGATATGGATATGTGGAGGGGGAATATCAGAAGGACCCGAATACTGATCAGCATGTTGAGACGGCTCTCGTTCGGGTATACGTCGCAGTGTTAACTTTCGCTGCCCAAGTCCAGTCACTTTATGACCGTAGCCGTGCCGTCTTGATCTGGAAGAGCATTTCCGGAGATAGTCTTTCCGATCTTCAAAATTCCATCGATAAGGCAGAGTCACATCTGGGCCAATGGCTTGAGATAGTTGACCGGCGTGAACAGAGAGACAGGGGAGCACAGCTTCTGGAAAAGGCGGATAGAATGCTGACTAATATTGACCAAGTGATGGACTCACTTCATGAACTCAATGGCAAGATGGTCCTTGCGGAGCTCAAGATTGCAGAGGAGGCTCACTACAACGCAAATACCGGGGAGGAGTATCAAGAATGTCTGCAAGAGACTCGGAAAGAACTCCTTCGGGACATCAGGAGCTGGGCTAACCATCCACATAGAAAACCTGTGTTTTGGCTGCAGGGTATGGCAGGAACGGGAAAATCCACTGTGTCACGGACGGTGGCTCGGTGGTTAGACAATGAAGGCTTGCTAGGTGGCAGTTTCTTCTTCAAGAAGGGTGGAACAGACCGAGAAGATGCCAAACGTCTCTTCACCACCCTCACCAAACAAATCCTGGAAAGACTACCTCAGCTTCAGGAACCAGTAAAGAGGGCAATCAAGGAAACGCGTGGTATTGGAAGCAACAATCCCCAAGAACAGTTCAACGAATTAATTTTCAAGCCACTCAAGAACCTCGACCTTGGATTGCAGTCGCCGCTGATCCTGGTCGTTGTCATAGATGCTCTAGATGAGTGTCAAGTGCCAGCTGATGTCGCGGCTTTTTTTTCAACGTTACCGAAACTGAGCGACTTGACAAATGTCCGACTGCGATTCTTTATCACCAGTCGGCCCGAACCAACAGTCATTAAAGGGTTTCGACCGATTGGCAATGATGAGATTGTCCTTCATCAGATAAAGAGGACGATTATCGAGCATGATATAGCAATTTTTCTCCGGGAAAGACTAGGGAGGATCAGAGATGATCACGATCTACTGAAAGACTGGCCTGGAGAAGCGAATTTTACGGCTTTAGTCAACATGGCTGTTCCGTTATTTATTTATGCCGCGACTATATATCGATTCCTCAACTGTGAAGATGAACTGCCGAACGACCGATTGCAAGCAATATTGTCCTCGCACTCGACTGACGGGATAAACGTCATCGACAACGAGTACTCAAAGTTGACCGGTGTCTATCTCCCAGTTCTGAAGCACATCATATCGCAGAAACGGTCAATAGAACTAAGATCCTGGATGGATGACTTTCGCCGAATCGTGGGTGCCATCGCTCTTCTCTTCAGCCCACTCTCATCCGCCTCTCTGGCCGGACTCATTTGTTTAGACCAAATAAAAGTTCAAGGAAGACTTAATACTCTCCAGTCTGTGGTGTCAGTACCAAAAGACAATGATGCCTATGTTCAGATTCTTCATCTCTCATTTCGGGAATTTCTGGTCGACCATTCAGCATCCGCTGAGTTCTGGATTGACGAACGGGCAGGTCATGCACAGCTTGCAGAAGACTGTCTTGACTGTATGAGTCGAGGACTGAGGAGAGATATATGCTGTCTGTCAAACCCGGGGGTAAGGAGACATGAGATCGAAAAGACCGTCTTTGAGATTTATGTTCCACCCGATCTTCGATACGCATGTCGATACTGGATACGTCATCTAGAGAACGGCGACGAGTCTGTCATAAACTGGAGAAAAGTAGAAGACTTCTTGAGATTGCATTTTTTGCATTGGTTAGAAGTGATGAGCCTTCTTGGATGGGTTTCGGAAACGATTGGAAATATAAAAGCTATACAGTCATTGACAAAGGTTAGTGGCATTACATTGGATCCAGAATATTGATGCTGACTTGCAGACAAAGTCACCTCAGCTAGCTGGCTTTCTTGAAGATGCAAGGCGATTTATTCTCAAAAATCGCCAAATAGCCGATGAGGCGCCCCTTCAGGTCTATTGCGCAGGACTTATATTTGCCCCCCAAAAGTCAATAATTCGGAGAGAGTTTAATGAAGATTTTCCCATTTGGTTTTCTCAGTTACCAAGAATTGAGGAAAGTTGGAGTGCAGAATTACAGGCTCTTGAGGGCCACTCGATCTCAATTCAATCGGTCGCCTTCTCACCCGATGGCCGGCTGCTGGCGTCGGGCTCTATGGATAACACTGTGCGGCTCTGGGACCCAGTGACAGGTGACCTACAGCAGACTCTTGAGGGCCCCTTAGGCTGGATTCAATCAGTCGCCTTCTCGCCCGATGGCCAACTGCTAGCATCTGGCTCTGGGGATAAGACTATACAGCTCTGGGACCCAGTGACAGACGACCTACAGCAGACTCTTAAGGGCCACCTAGGCTTAGTTCAATCAGTCGCCTTCTCACCTAATAACCGACTACTAGCGTCTGGCTCTAATGATAGGACTGTGCGGCTCTGGGACCCAGTGACAGGTAACCTACAGCAGGCCCTTAAGGGCCACTCCAAGTTAGTTCAATCGGTAACCTTCTCACCCGATGGCCAGCTACTAGCGTCTGGATCTAATGATAAGACTATACGGCTCTGGGACCCAGTGACAGGTGACCTACAGCAGACTCTTAGGGGCCACTCAGACTCAGTTCAATCGGTCGCCTTCTCACCCGATGGCCGGCTGCTGGCGTCGGGCTCTAATGATAAGACTATACGGCTCTGGAACCCAGTGACAGGTGACCTACAGCAGACCCTTGAGGGCCACTTAGGCTGGATTCAATCAGTCGCCTTCTCACCCGATTCCCAACTGCTAGCATCTGGCTCTGGTGATAAGACTATACAGCTCTGGAACCCAGTGACAGGTGACCTACAGCAGACTCCTAAGGACCGCTTAGGCTCAGTTCAATCAGTCACCTTCTCGCCCAATGGCCGGCTACTGGCGTCTGGCGCTTGGGATAAGACCATACGGCTCTGGGACCCAGTGACAGGCAACCTACAGCAGACTCTTATAGGCCACTCAAACTGGGTTCAATCAGTTGCCTTCTCGCCCGATGGCCGGCTGCTAGCATCTTGCTCTGGGGATAAGACTGTGCGGCTCTGGGACCCAGTGACAGGTGACCTACAGCAGACTCTTCACACGCATGACGCTGTTCACGATCTCAAGTTCTCGCAAGATAGTTCATGTGTAATCACCAATTTAGGCATCCTGAACCTTCAGCCTGGGCACGAAAATGACGTTTCTCATTCACCCAATACGCGTCCGCCAATCTTCATTGACAAACAACAATGGATCAATCTGCACTGCAACAATGTACTATGGCTTCCCCCTGACTTCCGGCCTACCTGCTCCGCGATCAATAGGGACTTAGTTGCTTTGGGACACGCATCAGGGCGAGTTACCTTTCTACGATTTTGTCTATAGTGGAATTCAATGCTTTATTCTTAGTCTCTACTCTAACCTTTCTTTTTCTTTGTAAAAGGAGCGTCTGGGAGAGAAACGAAATTTATATCAACCTTCCTGCTGAAATAGAATGTTTCACCAAGTTCCACGAGGCTCCAAAGTTATAACGTATTTCGCAAGCGAGTTGCCACTCCAAGCGAGTCGCCATTTCCAAAACACATCGTGAATGCGATATATTACAGCTTTATATTTCAACATCGTTAGTCTCTAAGACCCTTTCTTTATGGCCTCATGTCATTCAGGTAATATATAGCCTCTTTAGGGAATTAGGGATATTTATGTTTGTTACTCATTCAGCTATATAAATTTCTAGATAGCGACGTAATTTTCGGTAATTTTTGAAACGATCATAATATAGCCTTTTGTTTAGTTTGAAAGTGATATAGAGTGTTGTAATGTTCCAGCCTCAGCAATATTTCTCACCACCCCTTGAGTGCTTTTCGCCATCGAGATGGGTCTAATTAGGACTGCCGTAGTCAACTAAAATTAATCGAGAACAGGAAATGATGAAAAATAATTAAAAGGCATCGGGACAACTAACTCCCCGTGAATCCACAGGGATCGCCACTCGAGTTATGCAGACGCATAATTCCATTGTGTCCTGTTCCCACCATCGTGGAAACTTGATACGCTTATAGATCAAACATGAATTGCTTACCTATCGTGAAGTGGATCTCGGAGTTCATTCCCTCCACAGAAAATTGGTCCGAAAAGACTGGAGCCGATCTAGAATTTTCTGAAGAACTCGGTGAAACTGGGTGGATGTGGGTCAGGGGCATATGTTGTAAGTTAAGAGATAAAAGAAGCTATGTGCCTGTATATTGAATATATTGTACCTCCAAATTGAGACCTATAATCCTATATTACTATCTTTCACCATGTCTACAAGATTTCCCAGCGAAAATGTCGATGTTTCGCCTCTTGGAGCTCCATTGCAGTTCGAATTCAGTCAGCGGAAAGCTTCGAATCGCTTCTTGAAGGCTGCTCTGACGGAGAGAATGGCCTCGTGGTCTCCGACCGATCTTTCAGCCCGAGGCATTCCAAGCCAGAATCTCATCAACCTTTATCGTCGGTGGGGAGAGGGCCAATTTGGACTGATCCTCACCGGCAACATTATGATGGCATACGACCAGCTCGAGTCACCGGGGAACATGATCATTGATCTTGAGAACCCATTCGCTGGCGAGCGATTTGAAGCATTCAAGCAATTGGCCACTGCCGCCAAGAAGCACGGAAGTCTGATTGTTGGTCAGGTCAGCCATCCTGGTCGTCAGACATTTGAGCACCTGCAACCCAACCCAGTTTCTGCTAGCGATGTTCAGCTCGTCATGCCGGCATTTGGTGCGTTCGGAAAACCCCATGCCGCTAGCGAGGAGGAGATTCAGGATATCATCCGCCGCTTTGTTCATGTAGCTGTCTACCTGCAAAAAGCCGGTTACGATGGAATTCAACTGCATTCCGCCCATGGATATCTCCTCGCGCAATTCCTGTCCCAAACAACAAATAAGAGGACCGATAAGTACGGTGGGAGCTTGGCCAATCGGGCGCGGATAATCGTGGAAATCGCCCAGGCCATCCGTCACGCCCTCCAAGATCCCAGTTTTATCATTGGAATCAAGATTAATTCGGTGGAATTCCAAGAACATGGCTTTACCCCTGAGGAGTCAAAAGAGCTGTGTGAGATTCTCGATCACAATGGTTTCGACTTTGTTGAGTTGTCTGGTGGAACTTATGAAGCTGGTGCCTTCCAGCACAAGCGGGAGTCTTCGCAGAAACGCGAGTCGTTCTTTTTGGAATTTGCCGATCTCATTACTCCTGCTCTAAAGCGGACCCGCAGCTATGTAACCGGAGGATTTTGTACAGCCTCCGGAATGGTCCAGGCTTTGGAAACCGTTGATGGTGTTGGTCTTGGCCGCTCTATTACCCAGGACCCTCGATTGCCACGGGAACTACTCGCCGGAACTGCTCAGGGTGCGATTCAGCAAAAGATCGACCCCCAAGACTTTTTCAAGACTAGCCCTGCTGCTGGAGCACAAATGCTGCAGATCGCACAAGATGAAGAGCCGATTGATCTGAGCATTGATGCCAACATGGAAATTTTCATGAAAGGCCTTGGGGAATGGGCACAGCAGATGCAAAAGGATGGCACTGCGATGACTATGTACGGTTATGCCCAGCTTCCCAAGGGTCAACCATTCCAAAGTCATCTATGAGAACGATGCTAAGGAAAATACGGAGTCGAGTATCTCGAGCATTATGAATGTATGTTTAATTATTTTCACCACATTGATATCAAAACTTGCTTTGTAGCATATGCCACAGTTATAATCCCAATCTTGATCGGCGTACGGAACTTGAATAATATTTGGCCATTTGTCATGCCTGTCCCCTTGATGATCGGTTCAGTGCAAGGCACGGGTTGCTGGCGAATGAAGGGGTAAGCTCTGTCTGCAACAAAACATTCCCAGGAATGTCGAGCACGGTCTTCCCGCATAATTTCAGGAACAACAATAACAACGAGTGTATTTGCCGAGCATTCGCAAGTTCTTGGCCTATTGGCAGTGGTATTATAGTACCATATAGCTCACCAGGATATCACCCAACTCTTATTTTTCTTCAACCTCCGATCATTCTCCTCAACATGCATTTCCAGACCTTCCTCAGCGGCCTAGCTGTTCTTCCAGTGGCCTTCGCTTCCTGGCCGTTCCGCGACAACTTCGAAGCGATTTCGGCGACTGCCTACCCCAATGAGAAGCCCAATGTGAAAGTAGAGACCCTCTTTCAATTTCCCAACAATGGCTCCTGGATCGGCAACATGGCCCTACGATCAAACGGCAACCTTCTCCTATCGCGTCTGGACACCCCTGAGGTTTGGAATGTCGACACTAAGAGCGGAGAGGCGGCCCTCGCCTACTCGTTCCCCGGCGTCACCAGCACCTTCGGAATTAGTGAAATAGCAGACGATGTCTTCGCAGTGGTAGTGGGAAATTTCTCTAGCAAGACCTACCAGCCAGGTGCAGGCTCGTTCTCGGTCCAGAGATTGGACTTCACCAAGGCCAATGCCAGAGTGAATAAGCGCGCACAGGAACAGCCGACGGCCTCGGAGATCGTCGCAATTCCAGAGGCTGAGGCCTTGAACGGCATGACTACTTTGTCCAGAGAGTCAAATTTGGTTCTCATCGCCGATAGCCCAAAGGGTGTGATATGGAAGGTCGATACCAAGACAGGAGACTATGCTGTCGCACTGAATGATACGACCATGGCTCCGGCAAAGGGGCAGGCCCTCCCCCTGGGAGTCAACAGCGTGACAATACTCGATGATTATGTCTACTACACCAGTACAACACAGATGCTATTTTGCAGAGTCAAGGTAGACGACAAGGCCAAAGCAGTCGGAGATTTCGAAATCATCGCCAGTGGATTCCTGCCAGACAACGTTGAGATGACCGAAGATGGCACTGCATACATTCCGACAGATCCCCAGAACTCTGTTGTGCGCATCACGCCTCTGGGGCAGATCTCCCTGGTTGCAGGTGGCCAGGTGTCCACGGAAATGCCAGGCCCAAGTTCGGTCCGATTGACTGAAGATCGACAGACCCTTTACGTTGGCACTACGGGTGGTCAAATTGCGCCTGTGATGGGCCAATTCATCGAGCCTGCAAAGGTTGTCAAGATTACATTGGAGGGATAGAGGAACATTTTGTGGCCTTGGGGATATGTCCTAGCCACAGTGGGCATATGAGAGTGATCTAAAAGGAGGATTTACTGGTGAAAGGATTGGATTTAATGTGTAGTTTACGAGATAGTCCGACGTCGCGATAATTACTTCTCCTTTGATGACTCGATACCTCAGCTGCCATCTTTCACTTTGAGTTGCTCCAGCGAAGCCATATATCATGCGGAAGGTAACGGACTTTCCCGTGCTATGTAGCCAAAGGTAAGAGTTGTGTTCTAGCGCAAGTGATAGCGTATAGCTCCTCCACGGACCAGATGCTGTCCATTTTGTCACCATTGTTCGCGATCGCGATTAAGCCAAGTAAAGCCGGGTTTGAAAAACCCGCGTGAAGATCGCGGTCTTGTAAAACCGGGTTCAGATTTCCCGTCTCGACACCTATAGTCATGCTGATGCTCGCACTGGGCATCTACCTCCTCCCAGCGTAAGCGGCCTGGATCGTCCCAGTTCAGCCCAAACTAGCTGGCTATGACTGCACAGTTCACTGGGAAAATCACACTCCCTACTACTAGTGCATAAGCAGCAGCTATCAGAACTCACAGACCCTATTACTATCGACTGCTGAACCCGTGAGGGCCAGCAGGTCTAACTTTCCAACTCTCATAGGACTGTCTTACATCTTCTGTTGGCAACACTTCGACCAGCATCTTAGTTGCAATTTTTGATTATTTATAAGCTAGATGATACCAGGTATCATTGAAAAAGTCTTGCTCTTGTAAGTGTCACCAAATTCCTCGCGGTAGCGACTCTCTTTCTTCCTTGCCCAGATCGCCATTTGCACGCTCCCAATGATCGTCGGGAGTAAAATGCTCCAACTCATCCCACTAATAAGATAAATTCCAGTCCAAGCGACAATTTCGAAGAAGTAGTTGGGACAAGTCACAACGCTGAATCCAAATCCAGATGGAATACCACGCTCGGTCGTTCCAACACGACGGAGGTCCCGCAGTATCAAGTGGGTGTTAAGGTTGGCCAGCTCTCCAAGTGTAAAAAGAATAATACCAGTGCAGAGAAGGATGGAATCTGGCTGTCTTCCTGTAGCTGCATCGGGCCTGAGGACCCAGTAGGGAATATTAAGGCCGGCCATGACCCAGTAATAGCCGGTGTTCCTGAAGAGGTTACGCAGCGGCATCGTTGCATTCCCGAATCGGTGGACAAAGATGGACTCAAGCTCACGCTTCAAGAAGTGAATCGTCAACAGTGCGCAGACAAGGCATTGAAGGTTGGTCGGCTCGGGGATAGTGTCGAAGTTGTAGTACAGATATGGTCGCAGTGAGAAGAGAAAGAGAGCTGGCATCAGCGCTGGGCCGAGGTATTCGGCAATAAACACGGTTCGCCATGAAATCTGAGGGCCTTATTGACCAATGATAAGAGTATGAGTCAAGAGAAAGGATTGGTCATGGTAGCTGCATACCCAGGTCCTTCACTTGAACCGGACTCTCGTCCTCAAGTCCACTCCCCTCAATAGTGATTTCCTTGGAGTTTGAAATTAATCTTTCATCTCGTTCTCTAGTCACCCTCAGACGGTGGACGGAGAGAGCCGATGAATCAGCGAGAGACTGGTAGAGTTCGGCTGTTGAAGCATTCGACGCCACTTGAACTTCCACAGGGAGATTCTTGATTGGTCTTCCTATATCGTCAAGTTCAACTCACCATCAGTTGACGATCAACTCGCGTAAGGAGTACTTACCTCTCGGTCTGATCTGAACTCTGATGGTTTTGGGAGCCATCTGGTGGACAATGGCTTGAGGGAGGACGAGAATAGAGACATGACAAGGGGATCAGGTACACAGTAGTAGCGGTCAGCTCACCACGTGACAAAGCATAAGGGAGATGCACAATCAATGCGACAATGAGCAATGATGATATACTACTGTAGATATTGATCGTGGAGGACTTGGAACATGCTGGAGATCAAGATGCTCGCTCGCCATTTAGAGTCCCGTTGGACCCAATTAGGCTAATTGGTATCAATTCATGGCATCCTTTATACTATACATATGTACTGAGTCGTGTTTGATTTTAAATTACATGACGCTTTCTGGGATCGTTGCTGCGACGGCCTACATTGCAAGGCCGTGTTCATCCAACTGTTGCAACTTGACCATCTGGCAATACTTCCCACCAAGCTTCAACAGCCCATGATGGTTTCCTCTCTCGATGATTCGACCATGATCAAAAACAAAGATCATATCTGCATTGACGATGGTCTTCAGTCGATGGGCAACAGCGATGATCGTGCGGCCTTTCATTGCCTGTTGGAGTGCTTTTTGAACTACTGCCTCTGAAGAACTGTCCAGCGCAGATGTTGCTTCGTCAAGTAGACTAAAAAGGATTAGAAAGAACTCCTCTAGATATGGAAAAGCCTTACAGAATCTCCGGCCCCCATAAAAGAGCCTTGGCGATGGCAATCCGCTGGCGTTGCCCTCCAGAAAGGTTCGATCCGTTACTCAAGATGGGGGTGCTCAATCCTTGAGGAAGGGATAGCTGTTCACTGTTAGCTCCTGCATACATCGAGGCTTGGTGAGCTGAACCACATACCACAAAATCAACTAGATCGACGTTCTCCAAAGCAGCCATTATCTCTTCATCTGACTTGACACGCTCGTCACTCTGCAGACACTCGCGCAGATCTTGACCAACCAGGCAAGGATTCTGGTCGACCAGTGCTAGGTATCTTCGATAGCCATTCAAATTATATGCTTGGATGGAAGTGTTTGCCAGAGTGATCTCGCCAGACTCGGCGGGGTAGAAGCGCTCCACGAGATTGATAACCGAACTCTTACCGCTGCCAGTCGTCCCAACGAGGGCGACGAATGTCCCAGCTGAGGCATCGAGATCAACATCATCTAGCGTCAACTGAGATGGACGGGACGGGTATCTGAAGTTTATATGCTGCAACTTAAGGTCTTCAGTGGTACTTGGTACGGAGACAAGATCTTGGTTCGACTTGCTGTCTGTGGGTTGTGGTGATGAATCATCAGTTTGCATCAAATCACTCAGTCGGGCAGCAGCAGTACGAGCTCCGGCAATGTCTGGCGCGCGTGCAAAGAGAGCAGCTGCAGACTGGGAACCCCAGACCGTCGCAGCGAAGCAAATGAAAAATTGTTGGATGCTATACTCCCCAGTTGCAATTAAATGGGTGCCACCATACCAGAATACAAAAGCAATGCTCAGTATATGGAGCGAAGTGGCACTTGCATACATGGCTGCCGACATGATCCAATAGCTAGCCCGGCGGTCTGCTCTGCTTTGCTGCCGAAAGGACGCAAGGATGGCGCTCTGCAAGCCGAGAACTGTCACTGTTTCTATAGCGGAGAAAGTCTCATGCGCAATGTCCACGGCTTTAGTATTGCGTTGGACATACGTCTGCACCCGCGCCTCGATGTAGTATTGGAGGAAGCTGGACATGGCGATCAATGGAACGGTAGCTGTTGACGTGACACCGAGTTTCCATCCAAAGATACATCCAACTGCAATCCCCGTCACGAGCATCACGGCACTTTCAACCACCAGTCCAACTGAAGTTCCAGAGACACCGATGGTTTTATGAACTCCCGACGAGAGAAAGCTCACCAACGCTCCAATCGAGTGGTCTTTGTGCTCCAAAAATGGGAGGTCTTTTAGAAGCAATGCTTTGAATAAACGTGAGCGAGCTCGGAGATACAATTGCGATGCAGATACGGCAAAGCAATAGCCTCGTACCGAGTAAATAAAAACCACAATGATACCATGAATGAGATACATCTTGGCCCAGAACTGTGCGCGGTTCCCACCGGTACTCAGCTCAGGACTGATGATCGACATGATCCCGTTGCCGAAGAAAATTGCTTGGATGGGATATGTCATCCCAGCCAAGACGCTGCAAAGAATCCCTGCGATAACATAAGGCAACTCGGGCTTATTCAAGCTCCAGATATTCTGTATACTATTCCCCGGCGCAGATTTTGACAGGGGAGACTCGTCTATTATAGGTGTCACACCAGCATTGATGAGCTTGTCACTGGAGCGTCATCAGTCATTTGTCTCGGGCGAGACGCTTCCTGATACTGATTATCTGGTCGAAGGGCTTGCAGTCTTACTAGCCCTTGATACATCGGAGACCCAGTCATTAACTCTGCGTGGGAGCCTTGATCAATGATCTCGCCATCCTTCATGACGAGGATTGTATCGGCATCTCGAATTGTCGATAACCGATGGGCTATTATCAAGGTAGTTCGTCCTACAGCAGCGTTGCTGAGAGCGGCCTGGACCTCTTTTTCACTTTGACTATCCAATGCAGCAGTCGCCTCATCTAGTAACAAGATTGAGGGCTGAGATACAATGGCTCGCGCAATTGCGAGACGCTGTCTTTGCCCTCCGGAGAGATTCGACCCATTGGCCCCTATCATCGTGTCGTATTGTTCAGGAAGACTAACGATGAAGGAATGGATTTGGGCTGTCTTGGCAGCCTGAATTACCACTTCTCGAATACCATTCGTGTCTAGTTTCTATTCTTCATTAAATGACTCAAAGCTCATAGAAGTATAATATTCAGTACTAGACATACCTTGGTAGCAGATTGGGGAAGCCCAAATGCAATGTTCTCGTGGATCGATGCACGGAATAAGACCACGTCTTGACTGACATATCCAATCTGAGACCTTAGCCACGAGACATTCATCTCGTCTATTGGCTTGTCGTCAATTGTGATAACACCGTCGAGAGGAAGATATAAACGTTCGAGAAGGGCAAATATTGTCGATTTTCCAGACCCTGATGGCCCAACCAAGGCTACAGTATGTCCAGCCGGGACATGGAGTGTGATATCCTTCAAGACAGTCCTATCGGGCCGCGAAGGATAAGCAAAGCTGAGGTTTTCAAACCGAAGCTCACCTCGGACTTGGCTGTACGTCTTCCCTGTATCTGCTAAGGAATTTATTGGCGAGTTGCGTTCCATGACTGCAAAAATCCGGCCAACTGCTGCATTGGCCAGGGCAACATCGACGACAAACGGTAGCGCTTGGCATATCACTCCACCTGCCACAGTCGTTGCGTACATTATTGTCAGTGCCTCTGGGATGGAACAAAGCCCTTGTCGGAAAAATTTATCAGCTTGCCAGACCTGAAAATCATTGTTAGCCGGAAATCGGAATGAAGAAAGTATACATACCCCCAACCCACTGCCCAAATGCAAGATCGCGAAGGATCCCGCAACAATCACACCGAATACGAACCTTTCCTTATATTCCAAGGCAATAGGACGTAGTAAGAAATCGTGGTACTTTCTAGCATATCTCTCTTGGCTCTGAAACGCAATGACAGTTCTCATGGCACCAAGCACCTCTTGGGCTAAATTATCAGCCTTGACCCACCAGGCCAAAGCCATTTTCTGTGTCATGCTCAGCCAATACCCCATTATTCCGACTAGCGAAATCAATGCAATGGGCTGTGATATCATGATAGATGCGAAACGCGAGTTCTTCATAAATGCGCAGGTAATGGCAACCACACACCCGGACACTCCAGAGATGATGTTACCCAATCTCTGTGAAATCCCAGCTTGAACCAACTTCATATCTTGATCCATTTGGGACATGAGCTCGCCTGTCTTGACTACATCGAAGTAGGCCATATTCTGCTGCAGCACCGAAGACAGATATCTTTGTTGGAGGTCGCATCGAATCTGTTCCCCGACAACATTGAGGCCCCATGTGCCTATCATGGTGGCGATAAAAGACCCCATTGCTGAATTGTGTGAGTACGCAGGATACAAAAGTTTGTTGCTCAATAAACTCACCGATATAAACCAATAGGAGCGTGAGATGTCGAACCTGATCGCGAACATCATGCGCTGCTTTCTTGTCTTCATTGATAAACTCCTCAGCCAAAGCCCCGAAAACAATCGTCACTAGGGGCATGGCTGCTCCAGCGATCGAAGTGCAGAATAGCGACACAAACAACGCGCAGAGCTGCGGCGCGCTTGCATATCGGTAGCTAGAGAAAAGGTTCGCGGTGCTTGGTTCAGTCCGGATCTGGGATTCGATGACCTCTATCGCGCAAGAAGTACTATCGTTAGCAATGGGTTGGATATTTCTCAGGAGAATATCCTCGGTAGACATCTTTGGGCTAGTTCAAGGATATCTATCACCTTGTTTTCAGAAGTCAATAACTCCCAGGAATGTATATCCTGCAATCACGTGCATTGAGGAATCCTGATATGGAATGCCTCCTATTTAGTTCCCACTCACCAGATGAACGGAATGCCAGCACTATTGTCGGCCAGACGTTTCTACTTCAAAACTTGATTCCTGCGATATCTCAAAACCTGTCCAGGGAATCCAGCCAACCATTGGTCCTGTGAAATAAAATATCACTGTACTCTGTACGGAGGGGAAGAAATGTAGATTTGACATGTCTAAATTTTATGTCTCATATTTCAAATTGGAGGTGATCAATCGCAAATCTCAGGTTCAGGGGTCTACAGTCAAGTGATTTGACAATGCACTGAAAGTTCTGAAACAGTTATGAATTAGATGCCCGAAATATCGCAGTTAAGAAGGATCTATCTATCGTGACTGTGACATTAGAACCACTCAAACGAGGAGCTTCAAAAATGTATAGAAGTCCATCAATGCCCCCATCATCCCAGAATTGGCCTTGGAATACGATCTCTCTTGGTATGAGATTACAGGCGGGTAATCTGCGCCATCTGCCAGCAGATCATCAATCTCAAGCAAGGCCTTCAATTGCTGGTGGATCGCAGGCCACGCGTCAGCTCGAGTTTTGAACAAAAGCCACCAATCGCCCGCAGCGTCTTTACCAATTACCCGGCAGACATTACGAGTCGGGTACAAACGGCAATGTTCAATGTCGTTAATGTAAGACGGCCGACCCAAGGCATGGGGTCTTCCACTCAGGGGCACACCTGTAGCAACAACTGCAGCAGAAAAGTCTGTCTCAAAGTATCTAGCTTTGTGCTGATTTGTATGCGTCATAAAGAGCAGATTGGATTTTCCAACCAGTGGTGGTATACTCATGATTGAGTTTCGTTGGATGGAGGTCATGGCATGGACCTGCTCCTGGGTCCGGTGTTCCACGAGCGCCTGACGATTCTTAGACGCCAGATATGCCAGATTATCATCCTCAAGAACCTCGTCTACATCGAGTACGTTGTAGGAATTGAAAAAGGCATTGCCGATGAACCCCTTGCCGCCACTGGGGAATTGCTCGCTAAACACACTCCACACATTGAACGGACTCATCACCATAATGGCTCGGTCCCGTGAGGGATTGAGTGCGGTAACAAGTGTCTTCACCCACCAGGCAGACACAATATCCGGCTCACTCAAGAATGGTGGTTCTACACCTTCCGCAGTCGTGGCGGTAAGTTGGCGACGTGCGGTTTCTCTCATTTGGTTTACGCAGTGTCCCGGTAAGCGAATAGAGTGCTCCTCCTCGGCACGGAACCAGAAAAGCTCCCAGAGATACCGAAGTCCAAAGAGTACAAGACTGAGTCCGCTAAGGAGCCGGTGGAAGTTGGTATAATTCTGTCGCGAGACACCTTTACCCAGGGTGCATAGGGGATCTTGGTCAAAGGGGAGAAAGGGTGGCACCTCTGTTTCCCGACCGTTCAGGACAGCAATCCAAGCTTTGAAAAAGTTTGTCCGCGACACAGCGTCAAATAAAGTGTGGATATAGCTGACGGTCAAGAGGGTTGTATCCTGGAAAAGGGTAACATGGACATGGAGCTGCGGACGGTCTGTATATATCCAATCGGCTAGTTCCCTAGGACTGTCTTGATGACAGACTAACGGCCTGAACACAGAAGAAGTTGGTGAGAGGAAAGACTGATCCTGTCCACTTTTTGGGAGCTGAGAACCCAATGGGTGCTCGTTGATGCTCATTCCATACTCGGCAGTGGTGAAGATGAAGGCCGGCCGGGTTTTCGGATCATACTCTGCTGGAATATGATATTCGAGCTTGCCATTCTCCTGAAGAATTGTTTGTTAGTCATGTCCTTGATGTACCTTTCCGTATTCGAGAAGCGTGATACATACATTCTGTCGTAGGCGAGCCCCTAATTGACCCCAGTCCCCAATTTCCATCAGTCGCTCCAAGGCTGCCTCCAGTTTTGCCGCATCCAACACATCGTCGAATCGGAAGGTGAAGTCATGGCAAAGGCTGCGTAGGTAGTGCAAGTCATCCCACTGTCGCAATGGAACGATCTGGTCTGTCGGCACTGTTTGTGGCCGCGTGGGCCCGAACATTGAGAGAATACCCATTCCGTATGGCATGCAAACGGGAGATTCAGATCTTCAATACTTATGGGGAAGGCATGAGCTAAAGATGTTTGTACGATTCTGAATTTCCTCAATTTACATCGGACTTTAAATGTAATGAGGAATTGAGGTATCATTCAGAGCGGTGAACCCTGTGAGCCCTTGCGTTCCATGATGATCTGCGAGGGGCTATCTAAACTCGCCATGTAACTATGTAGGATGTCTCATATCCAACCGAGTGATGGACTATCGCTGCAAGATATATCACTCATATCACGGGCTGCAGGTAGCGCCCGAGAGACATGGGAAAGTAATGACGATTGTGGTCATAGCCCAGATGGAGTTGATTCAGGAATCCATTTTCTGCGCACACTGCTTGAAGCCATGAAGAGACAAGAGACCAGCGAGCGAAGACTATGTTCAATGATGATGTCTGTGGGGTGAAGATAGGCCAGTAATCCCATCAATGCCCATGCAGACTGCGATTCGGTGGATTCTCCGTGCGCTTCCTTGAAAGATCGAGATGATAGCAAGGTCTCACCTCAGCCGCCATCCACATTCTGCTTACACTTTAGCCACTGTATAGCCGGTTCACTAGCCCGTGGACTCGCTGGTCCTTATCGACAAATTGCCATACTCCACATAACGCATGCCTCGTTCCATATGTGTAGTCGCAGCCCCAGCGTCTGAACCAAGCTCCGTTATAACCTTAAGTGGAGGCGAGGTAGTCTATGCCGCGGGTGCATGATACGTGTAGGGCAGGAATTAGATCGGTGGCGCGACCTTTCTTCGCGATATACTGTATTATCAATCCGAAGGCTTCCAGGATCCGTTCTGTGATGTCAGGGCAGGATGTGTGACATAGGCTATCCATATCACTGAGTCGCATCGTCTTTAGAAGCAGGTAACCACTATCCACGTCAGAAGCCGCCCACCCACCGCCAGGGCTCTGTATTCTCAGAAGCCAAGTCGCTGCTGCAAGGAGAGGCTCCGAGTCAATCGACCTTACATCGTGTTTGACCTGTGCAAGGATTACCACAGCTGTGTCCACATCGGGGTAGAAAGAAAGTATTGTTGTATTCAAAGCTGAAGGCCCCAGGAGCCAGATGAGGCCAGTACACGCGCCAGTTTCCGGGGTAAGCAATGATCTGGCGCTGTTGAACCCAAGCAAGGGTCTGGTGGAGGACATGCCTATCTAATGTCTGGCTGGGCATCACTCTGTTCGCTGAGATAGTGTCGCAGAGCCCGATTAACATCAGAGCTGGGTCCCACACATGGGATATGGAAACTTACAGTATTTTGTCTTAATTCCCCTCCCAGGCAAGCTTCGTGAGTGCTTGAAAACCTAGACGGAGGAGACCGTCTTCAACCTTAAATCCCTTCAATGCGAATGCATACACCGAGTACACTCCCGTGCATAGGATGGAAGAGTCCTGCTCAGTCGCCGGTGGCCACCTAGCGTTCTAGATTGCATTGGGTGCGCTGCCGTCTAGCGTATGGCCGCAATAGAGGGATGGAGCAAAGCCAGCTAGCCCATTTGGCAAAGTAGTTGATCCAAGATACTGAATGCTAGCCAGATGGCGCCTTCCTGGGTAAAATCGCCCACAGGGATAAGCCATACGGCCTATGTTTATCCGTAAAATCAAGCCATACATCATCAAGATACTCATTGTTGGCGGACCCTCCCTTGGGAAGTGTGTACACAAGCCGATCTTAGCATATGATCAGCAAGAACTGACCCAAACGTTGAGATAAAGATGCGAGTAAACACGCAAATCTGCCCAGCACTACCTACGCTGAGAACAATATTTCGGGCTTGTTGCATACCTGATGCTTCTACACCTCTTCTCTAATTTCGTCAAGCTGAAATTAGCTTCAGTCGTGGTTGATATGTCGCCTTGGTGTTCGGGTGTTAGACCCCAAAAGCCATCACGGCTTTGCTGTGAGAGTATATTGCAGATGGAGTGTTTCCTGTCTGCTTTCGAATCCAACTTCAATGCATATCGGAGGAAATATATTCGGCTGTTACGATGGCGTTGGACTGGAGCTCCCTGAACCAATGACTATCAGAGCGTACTGAGCCCAGAATATGACATGTGGAGAGGCTCAAAGCATACTTTACCTGAGAAGCGAGCGGGCCCTTTTCTGGAAAAGTATCCATTTGGGTAATGTATTGAAAAAGATTCAAAGATGGTATCTACGAGAAAGCGTCAGATATCATAGGCATCCATATGCGCTGTGCATGATACAGATCAATTATGGCAAACAATGGGACATGGGACCACGTTCTGGGCAGGATAAGTAGGATATCTGAGTCAATAAATCATATCGATTCACCATATTTATCATCAAAAAGACATCCAAGCTATCGGCATGTCAGATCCCTTGATACCGACGCATTATCCGGATAATTTTGTTAGTCTTATATAAAGTCGCAGCACATAGCATTGAAACAATACTATATCCTACATATGACCGGATTTAGTAACTGAGCTGCGCAGCCTTGACGTAGGGTAATTCCTCACATGGACTTCAATGGCAACTTGTTATTGTCTTTTATTTCTGGACGATGACTATTGGTAAGGCTATCAAACTCTAGATTTCAGTCTCAGGAGAATTGGAAACATATTACTTGTGATTACGATAAATTACCATGCTCAATCGTAGAAATATATATTGTAGAGGGACACGTGAGAAATAGCGGTGTAAGCTGACTAAGCGGAATATGTGTATTTAAGTGCTAGAAGCAAGAGAATAGAAGACTATCCCACCTTTCTTCTACAAACTACCCCTGGGTTTCCTTCCCCTATCCTCCGCTACTCAACAACCTACACTGGTTTTGCTCTGGTTCGCAGACAGGCATTACTACGCGCCGACGACAGCGCTCCCCACTACAATATTTACTCAAATCCTGACCCTTCAAACTCCCCCTCAAAATATTCCCGTGGAAACTACTTGAAAAATAGTATGGCATAAGAATAAGCCCTGGCCAACCACTACTGTTGGAATGTTTTGTCGCAATCATGATTTTTACTAGGTTTTTTGGGATGCGTAGCTGGCTTGCATGCGTAGGTCACTTACCAGATACGTAGGTTGGTGGCGGTGGAGCGGCGATCAATCTCTTGTATACATCCTATGGATTTCCTGCGTGCTTAGATGAAAAAGAATGCAGTCTGTTTAGCCATATACGGTGAAATTGTTAATTGAAGAGATGAATAGGTTGGCGATTATCGTTTTTGCCTTTGTGGTAGGCCCCCTGGCGCGAAGACTACAGCAGGTTCTGACCTTACGCTTGCTACTATTCTATAGTTTCAAGTACCCAAGGATATAGAAATATTGGCATTTGCTTGGAGGTCAAAGGGAATGCATTCCAACATCAATCCATCGCTACAGTGGGGCTTGAGCATTGGCCCTGATACAGCTTCGCAGCCCAGTAGCTTAGCCTGGCATCCTAGCAGATAGGCATCTCTTTGGCAAGCTCATAAGTTTGAAGGCACACTGTTCAATTTTCAGGGAACATACGCCTTACGAGAATTGTCGCTGGTAGTACGTACATTAAGAGAAATAGAGCAGCCTCAAACGATGCTCCTGGAAACTGTGCTACGGGAAGACATGTCTGTTTCCTCTGATGACGAAGCAATACCTTAGTCCAATAAAGCTTAGCCACGATTCCGACAGTCTCTCCGAGATCCTTCTTGAAGTTCCCTGTGCGTCGTCCAAAGTCCCGGCGAGAGGTTATCCTGGATCATACTAATCTCTATGTTTAACCCTAACGCCTCGCACGCTGATCTAGCCCCCATGGAATTGTCCGGGTCAATATTTTCTGCTCCGGTATCAAAGCTTCGAATTATGATTGTGTTCAACAGAGGAGTGGCGGACTGTGCAAAGGGGAGAAACTTTTGAATTGCTTCTGCAACTTTGTCTGTCTCCCATTCAAAATTATCTGCCAGATATAAGTTGTCTCGAATAGTGAGTTTCTGAAGTGTTGGTGGTATGAGCTCAGACAAAGCTGCTGTGTCGTCACATTTCCATCCGAAAAGCATAACTGAAGGTAGTTCTGCGGTTTGAAGAAGTGGGAACTGCTTCAAGATTCCTTTGAATGGTTGAAAGCTTTCTTCCGGGGTTCCATTGCCGCGTTCTACTGCTCCCCAAACACTGGGCCAATAAAGTGGACAGAGCTCCATGCCAATGGAAAGATTTTCAACTGTGTCCTTTACACTCATCAGCCCTTCAAGAAGCACACCTTTCCCCTTTAGAGGAGGTCGAGAAGAACAACAGTTATAACCGAGTTCTTTATCCTGCGATGGGTAGACGAGGCCTAGGTGAAGGCTCTTCAGCGAAGACAGGTGCGACAAAAGATTTCTGACCTCATCTTCTTGAATAGAAGATTCTGTCAAGACAAGCCTTTTAAGCTGGGCCAGATGTGCCAGCTTGCTAGATCCAGTAGGCTGAGATAACTCATTACCGATACCTTCCGAATTTTGAAGCCAGATCTCCAAGGATTCCAAAGATGGCAGATAGAACCAGCCTGCAAATTGATCCGGGTTACAAAAGGGGAATGGATCGATGAAATTCCATCTTGTTTCGTTGAACAGTCTAGGACCTGGAACATTCAGACCGTATTCGACAATGGCGAGTTTGGAAAATCGAGACAATGTGTTCTTAGGCGCAGAGAGCAGAGCATGTCTTATCATTAACCCCGGGAAGCCATTTTGCCACACAAAAGTGTAGTCAAGTTGTAGCGACCGTAAATTATGAAGCTGGGAAAGAAGAACGGCCACAAATGCGTACGGGTCGCCTTTTTCCAGGGCATGGATCCACATCTCTGGCGAGGAAAACTCTGCCTCGGTGATAATGTCTTTTGCAGCTTTCACCTCCTCCTGAAACAGAGATGAGAGCTGACTCCAGTCCCCATCAATTTGAGGCAACTCCCACTCGTCTTCCTGGTCCGCTGCTGGGTACACCAGTTTCGAGGAGATCATGCTGACATGGTAAATGTGCGCGGCCAGATCTGGACGTTCGTGAATGACACGGAATAGCGTCACAACCCGTTTAAGTGGAGGTCTGGTCCAGTCAAGATTGACTTGGCGATATAATGAGCTCTCCGAAGAGACTTTCAAGCCTCGAGATGTGGCCACTAAGGATGCTGTGTCGGATGGTGAGATTTGATCCAGAATCTGCACCCAGCAGTCTTGAGGGAGGGTTTCCAAGGCGCTGTAATGGGTAAGCTTGGGCGTTTCTCTGGTCTCAGGAAGTACTTACTTTGTTGTTCCCATGGTTAAATGCGTATGGTAATGTCCACTGGTGAACGCACGTACGAGGCGGATATTTGCGCGAGAGAAAAGTGCACAAGTGAAAGAGATGTGGGAATCCTAATTCTAGGATGTGTATGGGAATTTAAATCATTACAGCCGTAGAGAGAATGGGGGCGGTTTTCTATCATTGCAAGCCACGCGAAGTTGGGGGCCACTACGGCCACGTTGCCCAGTGATTTGAAGATTTTATTTTTGTGAGAAACAATAGAAATATCATTTGTACATATGTATGTATATATATATGTTGATGTTAAGATACTTGAATCATCCGTCAAAGAACTCTTCACGAGAAATTACATACATTGCGATCAGTTTCAATTGTCACACCATTGATAGACGGCCCAAACGTTTCCTGTGCATACTCACTTGGGTAGTCCGTTGCCTTTTTAGGTCTGTCCCTCATTAGACTCTATTAATAGGCACGCATTCAGGCTGAGTGGCCCTCTGCACGTCCCTTGAACAGTAATTGCATCTGGAAGGGACATGTTATTCACAACAGTGTAGCCCATCTCCTGGGTCCACTTATCACACCCCCAACTCACACCCTCCGGGTCCTTCTCCGTCGGTGAACAAGGAGCCAGGTAGCGCTCTTTACTGAACGCAGCAACCCTGACCTTTTGCTTGCTTGGGTCTAATGTTGGGTTGTCCGCCATCCACAAAAGGGTTGACATGATTTCACCACAAGCTGCTTGGTTTCTGTGTTGCTTGGCTGTTTCAGTGCTACAACGATCCAAAGCAGCCTTGACGCCGTTGAATCTTTCTGGGAGGTCCTTGTTGAACTCGCCATTGCCACCATCCCAAGAAGAATTTTGGTAAATGATCTGCTTGCTGCCTTTCAGGGAAGAACTTAAGTAGACTTGGTTGCCAATAGAGAGGCCGATCATGGCGTTTGGTCGCTTCTGGAGTTGCTTGTTGCTGATGCCTTGTCTTTTGGCTTCGTCAGGGGGCGGCTTCATCTGGTTGTAGGCAACTTGGATCATCTTCAGGAATTGTGCATCGCTTGGTGGCTCTATGAAGTCGCACTTCGAGCTGAAGGACAACTGGCCGTCGCGGAGTGACGTGTCTGGGGCGATATTGAGCTCGAGTGTCAGCGCACTGCGTAGCAACGCTAGGAAGAAGACAACTGATAGGAGGAATTTTGAGAACATGCTGGCGGGACTCTGCCAGAGGAGTCGAGGAGGGGCGAAGATGCAAAAGAAGATGGTGAGTTATGCTGAGCGACAGGAAAACTGGAGTGAAGACTGAGCCAGTGTGCTTGGGTAATTGTTGGCAAGTACTCTGTACTAAGTTGGGAGGCCAACGGTCGTTTTAAATATCCAGAGTGACTTGCTATGTCAGGGGCTATTCGCAAGCGCTTGAATCAAATATCCATGCCAGCCTTTCAGCCCATACTCCCCGCGTATCCATTACCTCCAACTGCAAAAGGTCAGGGTTTTGCCAACTTTCTCAGGTCAAATCATAGGCAATTTCCCATTGCAGTCATACGGCCCTTGACGTGGCATAAAATATCACCAGGTATGTGGAACTTGCGTTGTCAGACTAAGACATTTTCTACTAGTATGCACACAGCCGCCGAGGCCTTGATTCCTCTATACTTCCATAAAGCTATTTATAAAGCTTCCGGGTAGTCGATAGATCATGATCATGCGCAGATAGGTCTCTTGTGTTTCTACTAGCCTTCCATTATTTGCCTATATGATTACTACCTTGCCACCCCTGATAATTTGCGATCTCAATAGTTCTATAGAGTGCCATTCAAGTTGGACTCGAATTGGAAGGGATCGCCCCTGGTAAACAAAAGATTCCCCGGAAGCATTTTGTGTGGCGCCAAATCACCAAGCATGGATCTGATGATAGCTTTGATCCAGGTCCTGCAAGTAGATGCAAATGGCAAATGGTAAAATTTTCAAGTCCATACATGATGCTCCGTCCATCAGGCTATGTGCCCTATATTGGAATGTGGATACGCGGGACGGGGGGGGCGGGAATAGCCGAACACCTCTACGCTCCACTTTATAGTGCAAAGGTGGAAATTGATTGCCTTGGTTGAATTATATTTTATCATGTGAAATCTGGATGTGACAGTAAGTCAATAGCCTGGTCGAGCAGTCGAAAGTTGCCTATAAGAGCTCCACCAAACTCCCCCGTCAACAGAAGGCTCACACCATGAAGTTTTCTCTTGGAACTATTTTGGCGGCAACGCTTGCCTTGGCGTCTTCTATCCAAGCGAGAAATGTTCCATTGAGCGGACGCTATATAGGTTAGTCTCTTATACCAAATTCTCCAGAATGAATCGTAACAGTTCTTCGCAGTCCGCGCCGTCGATGAGCCCAGCAAATCTCAGGACGGTGTGACATTTCATAAAACCGCAGCTACTACACGTGCTTGGTCGAGTGAGATGATCTCCCGCACAAGGACTTCTGCCAAAATCAGTCCCATCCATCCGACGGCCACGCAACGTTCTCGGTCCTCAGAGGGACCTAATGAGGGAAATTCATCAAAACAGCCCTCCGCTACTACCAGAAACGGCCATCAAGCCACGGGGTTGACAGGAACGGCAAAACATAGTTTGGACAAGTCGAACTCATCCAAATCTTTACGTCAACCGTCAAATAGCGGAGTCTCATTGGGGACACCCCGTTCAAATTCCCTGGTTCATTCTACAGCTCATACCACCAGCCCACCCGAGCCGCGTTCCTCAAGCACCGGAGCCTCATTGGGGTCATCCAATTCAAACCAATTGGGTCAGTCAACGACTTATCCCAACAGTTCATCCAAGCCGCGCGCCTCAAACACCGGTACCTCATGGCAGACGAGCACGTCCCCTATACCTCGCCAAGGGGGTGCTAGCTCGGACTCTAGTATTTCCTCAAATATGCCAGAGCAGACACGCCCCCCAAGTACTTCCATAGTTCCCGCAACATACAATTCTCATTCGACAATGAATTCGTCTATGGTAGCCATCATTGCTGGCGGACATACGACAACTCAAGCTGTGGCTGCCCATATGATAACAGTGAGTACCTGATTAACCGATTGACTTCCATCTATCGTGATAGAAATTAACAGACTTCTTAGACCATCCCAATCACAAAGGGTCAGGAGACTAGTACTGCCATTTTTACTGCTACCTCTGTTACTACCTCAGAGGGTTCAGAGCCAACGGCTGCATGGGGTTGTGCTTCGAGTGACATTTGTGGAAGCTGTCTTGTTCCACTGCTTTGTCCATTGAGCCTTGCCTGGGGCCTCATCGGTGGATGGAGCCCAGTTAGCATTCTACCTGGGGGTGCAATTCCACTTCCAGCGGGTGGTCCAATGCCTCCTCCTTCACCACTTGAGCCCCTAGTCGCTGACACTACCACGTCAATAACCACAACCTCAACGTCGACATCCACAAGTTCCACTACAAGCACCACTCCCGCCCCTACGCTTCGCCTTTGCTTGACAGTTATTGAAGAGGGCTCGGTACTGAATACAAGCGAAGAGGCGAGTGTCACATCAACTCGCGCTTCAAGCTCTGTCCCTACACCATCAACAACCCCCGCCCCTACACTTCGCCTCTGCTTGACAGTTGTTGAAGAGGGCTCGGTACTAGATACCAGCGAAGAGTTGAGTGTCACGTCAATGCGCGCTTCCAGCTCTCTGCCTACAACCTTGGCAACCACTACAAGCTCAATAATCGCCTCAAGCTCAGCAATCGCCTCAAGGTCAGCAATTGTCTCAAGCTCGGTAATTGCCTCAAGCTCGACAATGGCTTCAAACTCGGCAATTGCCTCAAGCTCAGCGATCGTCTCAAGGTCAGCAATTGCCTCAAGGTCGGTGATCGCCTCAAGGTCGGTGATCGCCTCAAGCTCGGTAATTTCCTCAAGCTCGGTAATTGCCTCAAGCTCAGCGATCGTCTCAAGGTCAGCAATTGCCTCAAGGTCGGTGATCGCCTCAAGCTCGGTAATTTCCTCAAGCTCGGTAATTGCCTCAAGCTCAACAATGGCTTCAAACTCGGTAATTGCCTCAAGGTCAGCGATCGTCTCAAGGTCGGTAATCGCCTCAAGGTCGGCATTCACAACAAGCCTGGGTATCACCTCGAGCTTTTCAACCACTGCAGGCTTGGCAACCACCACAAGTTGGGCAATGCCTATGCCTCCGCCTGAGCTACCCATTAACACAGTGGCCCCTGGCGGAGATGGAACTAATATCGTACGTGTCTTTCAAGAGTTTGATCTTACACCAATAAAAAAGCTGACTCTACCTTTAGCATAATGATGTTGGTTGTATCTCTGTCAATGGTCAAATCTTATGCCACGGCTGGACCCAGAGTTAGTATCTCCTAGTCTTCCAGAATTCACTCGTGTGGGAAGAACCAGCTAACCTTCCGCAAAAGCTGCGGTACGCTCCGATTCAGAGACAACTAGTGTGAAGATATACGCGAAGTTTGATGGCGGTAATTCGAACCGTGTGAATATACAGCCTGGCTGCGAGATGACTGCCAGCTGGCCCTCCTACTATGGTGATGTTTACTTCAAAGGGGATGACTGCCTCTATGACTCTCAAGGTATCCACTCTGTGCCAATACGTTCTATCCCTAATCAACAGAATATGTCCTAATATCTTCCAGACAATCTCATCCAATGCTGCACTCAGCCCACAAGAGATACTGTTCCGAACCCATACGCGCCTATCTGTAAGGTGTCGCACGAAATGTTTTGGGATAGGTTCACAATCTGGAGCGAGGACTGGACCAAAGATGAATCTGCTCTTCGCGGGGCTTTTAATAAGTGTGGTGCTATCACTGGGTGGCGGGTCTCCCGGACTCGTGATGATACTGGAAGCTACACGGAAAAGGGATATCGGGTGGGATTCAATCTGCCATGGCAGCTGGGTAATTGTGTTGGAAACGTTATTCATGATTTGGGAGGGCCGGCTGTTAGCTGTTGGTGATTTGTGCCATGGCAGAATTTGTCTGCCGCTCGCCCGTGGCTAGAACTAGGCTATTTAAACGGATAATTAGGAATGCTAGTCAGGAAACTTACAGAACCAATGGGCGATGCAGTGTAAGGTCTCTAGTATCTAGAAGTATAGTATACAGTGGGGATTGTACATTACAATCTGAACGCAAATACAGGAAAACTAGGAAGGAATTTTATCGTGGTGGTCAATAGTGACTCGCAGGTGACTATCCGGTGTCCGTCTTACCATTATTGAAAAGTATAGTAGCACAATCAACTGTTTTCAACTCTTCAATCCTCTGATGTACCGGTCACCGCGCCGACATACGCAGGTACGATGGATAGTTGAATTCCCTAGACATATATTGCTACCCATGTATCTTCCCTATCATTAAATTGGTATCTTGTAGTCTCAGTGGTCCCTGGATGATGATTTCGAACTTGATGATGGACCTTATGATTTAATGGCAATTTGTTGACCGAGCCCAAACGCGCGCGTGATACATGTTATGCATACGGATTCGACCTTTCCAGAAGTGAGCAAATTGGACGGCCTTTGCAAGTTCATGCGATGCATTTGAAGAGGGGAAGTAGGACTGCGGGAGTATTGGCAGATGCATTCAAGCAGAGTGTATACACCGTAGTTAATGAAAAGCACGAAACCAAAGTTGACTATGATCAAATTGTCTCCAGCAATGCATTTCTGTCAGCAATGGCCATGTGTATATTGTACAGATTTCTTTCATAAAGCAGGCGAGGTTTCTCGGTGGTACCCCTCGACACCTCCAGGCCGAGACGGAAAGTAATTAGGTAAGCATTGTCAATGACGTCACATGTCCAGGTGTCTCCCCGAGCATTTGAATAACAGAATGTTGCAGCCTTGTAGGACAAGTTTCTGCCACATACTCTATCAAATTTCTAGCAAAATGCCTGGACACTTGGGTCAAAAGGTCCTCAAGAGCCTGGGACTAAAGGATCATCATGCCCATCAGCAAGATCCCCCGAGCGTTCAGCTTCCAGGCAGACCAGCCGTGAGCAACGACGAACGTGGATTGTCTTCACCTCCGAACAAGGGCACATACCCTCGCCTCTGCAAGCTCTCAGATGGCACCATTCTCTCATCCTTCACCCAGTTCCCCGATGGACAGCACGCACTCCGCGTGGCGAAAAGTACCGATAACGGCCGCACATTCGAAGACTTCTCCGAGGTAACCCGTGCTTCTGGCGACGTTGATAACATGTTCTTGTGCGAGGTGACACCGGGGACGATATTAGCGGCTTTCCGCAATCATGACAAGGGTCCAAATGGCCCCACCCACTTCCGTATCACTGTCTGCCGGTCTACGGATGGAGGTCGGGTCTGGCAATTCGCCTCGCAAGCAGCCGAGAAGCGCCCCCCTTTAGGAATCTGGGAACCCTTCATGCGCGTCGGGCGCCAAGGTGAAGTGCAACTTTATTTTTCGCAGGAATTCGCCCATAACAACCAATGTACCATGCTGGTCGTCTCGCGGGACCAAGGAAGTACCTGGACTTCACCGGTCTGTCTGCATGGTGATCAAGATCCGCTTCGCGATGGCATGTGTGGTATCGCACGAACTGTGGATAACGGTCGCGAGGCTCTTCTCATGGTATTTGAGACCACACGGTACGGACCGTTCAGTGTCGAATCGCTTCTATCATATGATGACGGTGCCACCTGGGGTTGGCGCCAGGAAGTTTTCCGCCCACGGAAGGGTCACAATGCGGGCTCCCCCCAGATTGCCTCGTTTGCGGATGGATCTTTGGCCACGGTTTTCATGACAGACGATGACTCGGAGCACGTGAGTTGGGTAAAGAATGCCTCTATCAAGGTCGTCTTTGCTGGCCCGCCCGTTGATGGGCGTGTTCAATGGAGTTCGCCAACCCTGATCTCCCCAGCTTCTAGTTTCTGGCCTGGAATTATGACGTTAGATGGCCACAACGTACTAGCCACTTATGACCGAGGTGGGCCCCTTGTGAAGACCATCACTTGGCACCCTTTGTAGACATTTGATCTTGAGGTACTTTCTATCTGGCGATTTTAGTTTGATAATGGTTCCTATAATTGCCCAAATAGGAAGTCTTGTAAATGATTCCTTTTCTGGTCGAATTTACAACTGGTCCCAGGACATGGGTACTTGAATGGATACCAATTATGTCTTCTCTTGGAAGTCCTCGTAGTCCACTCCGCAGTCTTGTGCCTTAGATATCTTTTTTCTGTCTCTTGGTCAATGGCTGTCTCAAGAACCGGGCAGTCATCCGAGATCGGCCTCAACTTGCGGCATTTCCCAGTGTAATTGACGTGTCTTAGGTCGGATGCCGGGACATACAGGTGTTATGTTTGTGGCGGATATGACTTACTCCGCTTGGGTCGGACGTAGCCTAATGGGGAAATTGATATCGGAGTTAATCTGATAATCAGATCAGATTAAAAGGGCCATTTATAAAGCTCCGGGGGAAATTCAATCTTGGAAATCCCCAACTTCATTCAGAATGGCAACCTCACTGCGGAATATTATTGTTGTTGGCGGATCGTTCGTGGGGCGTGTGAGTTCACAATGGCCCCCCTAGAGAGTGTAACCACTAATATCAACCCAGACGACAGCTCAGGAGCTTGCACGCATCGTGCCTTCAACGCACCGGGTAAGCTACCAATGAGGCATACCATGGAGAAGAAACTAATCATTTACCCAGGTCCTTTTGACAGAACCCCATAGCCACTTCCACCATCTTTTCACCTTTGTAAGTTGACTTTACCTGTGAAGGTTCATTACAGTAAGTCACCAGAACTGACGGATGACACATAGCCTCGGTTTGCAATTGTTCCCGGACAGGAACACAAAGCGTTCATTCCTTACAGTGGGATTTTCAATGCGTCGCCCAATCCTTCCTCCCACGGCATAGTCCAGGCTCGCGTACTGTCAGTCAAACCTACCCATATTGAGTTGGACCGTGAATGGCAAGGCTCGAACGTGGTTCCCTTCGATTATGTCGTTGTTGCGACCGGTACCCGCCTCTGCAAGCCTGCAGCCATGGACGATGATGACAAGCCATCATCGGTCGATTATCTACAAAAGCATCAAGCGGGCGTAAAGAGAGCCCAATCGATTTTGATTGTCGGTGGCGGTGCTGTCGGTGTTCAAATGGCCACTGATTTGAAAGAATATTACCCCGAGAAAGAGGTCACTGTGGTGCAATCCAGGCCGCGAGTGATGCCGAGTTTCCACTCTGGACTTCATGACCTTATTAAGGGACGGTTTGATGAGCTGGGAGTCCGCCTCATCACCGGGTCTCGGGTCACAATCCCACCGAATGGATTCCCCACCGATGGCAGCACCTTTGATGTCCAGCTCACAAACGGTACCACCAAATCCACGCAATTCGTCATCTTGGCCACTGGACAAACCCCAAATAACCAACTAGTGGCTGACTTGAACTCTTCTCGTCCGGGCGGCGAGTCAGTCATCAATCCAGATAATGGATTTATTCGCGTTAGACCAACAATGCAGTTCTTGGATGAGGGATATTCGAACATGTTTGCCGTGGGTGATATTGCAGATACCGGTGCCCAAAAGGCTGCTCGGCCAGGCTCAGTCCAGGCAGCGGTTGTTGCAAAGAACATTCAGGCTTTGATCGAAGGCCGCACTGCCGAGGATACATTTGTCAAGGGGCCTGGAGCCATTCATTTGACACTTGGCATGGTAAGTTCGCCAAGCTTTTATGGAGACTCAGTAGGCTAATTGTTGTTTGTAGAAACACAACGTAATTTTCCGCAACCCCAATACCGCAGAAGGCCAAACAGAGCCTTGGATCAACCCGAAGGATGAGTGAGTTCCCTGTATTTAGACATCGCCCGAGCAGAAGCTGACATCTTCATTAGTGGCCGAGAGGATATGAACGTGGAGGCTATGTGGGAACGGTTGGGTATCTCGGTTGAGAATCCTCGTCAATATCACCTCTAGGCCTTTGCAGGAGAATAATAAATTCAAGAATGAATGTCGCCATCTCTCTCGTCCTTGACCTCCATTTTCTAATGATCTCAAGACGGAAAAAACCAGATCTCACCTAGTCTGTAGCACAAGATAGTGACTAGAAATGAAGAATACCATTAAAACAAGATCATTTGTACTATTATTTCCACGTGATGGCTCTTGAAATTCGAAGTCACTGACTGTTTACTTTTGTTGGCCTTAGCTATATGTAGCCATATGCACCGGATTTTCCCAGATGGGTGGGGATTTCTTATTTGACTGCCGCCGCTTTAATGAGGGTGCTCAGGCTCAGGCTCTTGGAGTAGATATCAGCACGAGTTCAGAGTCCGTGATCAGCTCAGGCCAGTCACGTGTATGATGACGGATACCATGTAAATGCTCATTGGATGCTCCCTAATATTACTCAGTGCCACTCTGTGTGTAGGTAGACGCCGGCAAAATGGGTTGTGCCGAAGTCTACGTACTACACCCCTTTTCCAAATCCTTTTACATATTAAAGCCCCATTCTAGCTACGTTTCCCCTTGCTCTCATGGCGCTACAGTCCGTCATTGATCAGTCTGTTTAATCTAATTTTCCTGTTCAACCTGATGTTTTGAAGGATTTAGCGTGTGGCATGTGGGAAAATTTTCTGCCTTCTTTTTTTTTCCATTTCGCTTTGATCGTGGAGATTGGATCCAATATTACGTGGTGACCAGTTTATACAGTACTCTGTGCTATCCTTCACCCCCCCTTTGTTTTCTTGATATATGGGTGAGTTTATGATCTGTTTTGATTGAGTCCTGTGTCATGTATTGAATGTGCTCAGGTAAACGATGGGTAACAGGTTACTCAATTGAACTACGAAGGATTGGCCTAATGAGATTCATCATCGATTCTCTGGTATAACTTTACCCAATAGACTTGGTCTGTTTTTTTTTTTTTTTTTTTTTTTTTTTTCAGAAGGTTCTTGCTTCCGAAGTTGAGACTTCAGGAACTGGAATGTTCACAGCTTCAATCCATCACGGCTGGATGAATATCCTTTGTCAATTTGAAACAATTTACACAAATGCCTGAGTGGTGCTTGCGAACCGTGGAATATGTATAGATCCACAAAATATCCTGAAGTCCTTCACTGGCTCCGGGTCGATAGGCGTTGATATTCAACAAGTACTGCACCTATCATACGGATGAATGGAAATGGCGAGTTCCCCTGTATAATGTGCGACCACAATGTGAGGATTTGATCCGGTAAATCGGCAACCCGGACAGGATTGTTGAAAGAACAGTCATTGGCAGATAAAAGTCCCTCGCGGACAACGTCTTGAACCCAAGTAATCAATCGTGATTCACGATCTTTTATAAATCGTTAGACTCTCTGTGCCTCTGGGTGGGACTTGTGCAAAGTTATGATCAAGTCACTATGAATAGAACATACCCGTTAAAGGCTTATTTTGAATCGTATTTTGCGTTTTGCGAAGCCATTTCTCCAGAAATATAGAGCAATCAAGACCACATAGTGTTCCCTCAATGCTCCAGAGAATGGCTTGATTGTTTTTGAAGTATTGTACACCAAGATTCACTAGTGTGCTGAGCAAATTAGTGGCGTGGTATGCTGCTAAGAGGGTGTCCTGCGTGCGGTCCACTGGAAGTGACTCCTGGAGAACTTGGGCGATCTCGACAGGTGCCCAGGTGTAAATCCTTCTTGTTGGAAATACGTCGAAACACTTGCGGATATATGCAAGACTAAGTAGTGCACTTGAAGTAAATGGCAATGGCCCATTAGGATCTAATGGTTCCAAGTTGGACTCTGGAGTTTGCTGCCAGGAAAGAGTCCACTTTTGCAGCGCTGATCTGTGACCGGGAGGGATTAACAATGGGCCTCAAAGTAGCTGTTTGAAGCCATAGCACGAGAATGGGGATGTCCTCACCCGAGGACTGACTGGAAGTCAGTCGAGAAAGTCCTTGATAAGTTACCGGACATGGATCTCCGACTCCACAAGATCTTGTGTAAGAGACCGTGCATCACGACGTAGTTTCCGACTGGCGAAGGAGGGGCAGATTGGTGATCAACCGGATGAGAGGATAGTAGAGTTTCCAAAGTGTCGTTCAAACGTCCCTGTTGACTTGGCACATTTGCTCTCACCAAGTTCCATGTCGTTTCATCTGGCGCCGTCCATTCTGGACACGAGCATGGTAGTCTTAAGTTAATCTCGTCGCACCAGATGCTCGGTGGTACATCATATGCGATATTCTGAACCCCAAGAAAGCAAAAAGCAAATAATTTGGTGCGTCTTTCGGACTCTCGTTGCGCCCACTGTTCCCAATGGAGGGGTAATGATTCGGTTGTCTCTGCGAGCCCGCTCGATCTCAAACCCTGTGCCAGTAGGCTTTGTAAGATATAAGCTTCTTCTCGGACACTCGGGTCACTTTGCCAGGATGCAAATTGCGCAAGACAAAGTAAGCAGCGAACTTCGTCCATTGGTTGTTTTCGGGATGTGTGGTCCTGGTCGGAGATATCAATTACCCTGCGCATCTGTAATCGAGCTCTGCATTGTTGGCTGTCAAATAAGAGGGCCTTGGAAAGACAGAAGAGCTCCGTAGCCGAAGTGTACTCAAACCTGTCGATAGCACCGAGCGCCATCATAGCCAAACAAAGTTCAGGCGAACATGACTCTAGCTTGAACGTTGGACCGTGAGTGAAGGGTGCATGGGGGTAGAAACCAGTAAAGTATCCAGCCATATATCGGGTCAAGGCGCTGATGGAGGGTAAGTCATGGCCAGGAAACAATTTACGCACCCTGTGTAACGAACGGAGGAGTCTGAGTCTATCAGAGTATGTCACCGTCGGATTGGCACAGTGAGGAACGATTTGAGTAGCTTGTGAGGCAGTTGTTAGAGAGCCGCTGAATGAGATACCCACGTCGGTGCTGCTCACCTAGAGACAAGTATGGCGATGGAAATATGGTTGGGAAACCGTGAGCATAATTTTCGCCAACATCATTTTCCCATGGAGCAGTTTCGCTATCACATAACTCTGGATCTTATACAATCAGCCATCAAACTGTGATGGAGTTGAAATATGCCCCCCCCCTTGAATAAAAAAGAAACACTCACCGGCTTCTGGAAATGCTTGATCCGATGTAGTTGATACAGCCCTATGTTACCCAAGTTAGCATGATGCGAATTGCGACCATTTCCTGGTCATAAATTTCAAAGCAAAAAGAAGGGCTATATGACACACCTAGAGAACAGCTCCTCAGCTACGCCGGTGCAAAGACCTGGGGAATTGGGCATTCGAGGGAAATTGTTTTGTCCTTCTGGAATAGACGTGTCTGCCAAAATGATGTTATGGGGGACTGCGAGAAGTGGGTTATCTGCAGATTGCTTCGAGAGCCCACTATCATTTGAAGTATGCGGATGCACATCGTCAGAATTTGAGTGACCAACCATGCGCTCATGACGGCGTAGAAGATCACGGCGAGAGAACAGTGCCCCACAGCGACAGGCGAAGGGCTTCTCATTTGTGTCTGGACCACATTTAGAAACATTATCATTTTAGAGCTAGAGGGGATGGTACGCACGTCGCCGTGTGTGGCGTTGCAGATGTTCTAGTCTGCGAAATGTTTTCTGGCAGTAACTACACTGAAAATGTCTTTCATCGTAGCCTTGGGTAGACATTGAAGCCATTTGGGATTGAGGCCGTGTGTTATGGAACGATCAGATTTCAAGCAAAAAAAAAACAAAAGACAAAAGATAGAAAAGATATCCCCCAGGACATTGATGGAAGGAGGGCATGACTCAGCACGCATTCCGCCCGCGCGCCTGCGCCGCTAATTGACTAGAGCCGGAGCCGGAGCGAAATAGTACAAAGTTCTGCTCTGCTGAAAGCCATAGTCTTGCTGTTGCATCACTGAAAAGATGAGAGGATTCCAGGAGAGCGAAAAAGGATTCGGTAGATCTCAGCTTGACTTTGGCCCCGGCAAGACAATGAAAGGGATAATCTGACTGCGTTCTCCTAAAATGAGGGGCAGATGCCTGGGAATCTCATGGTTGAAGCAGATGAGGGACAGCAGCAAAGAACAAAGTCTATCAACATCATAAAGCAGCTGAAGGGCTGCAATGCTATGTTGAACTGTTGAATTGTTCAAAAGTTTACAGCGAGATTCTGTACTCCGTAAGGATCGCATGGTTTCTTATTGGATAGTACCACCTGGGCAGATACAGGATAGTTATCCATGGATATGCTAAGTAATTACATGAGTTGCCTTCGCCTCCAAGGCTGCTCCTCCACTATAAACCTATTCTATCAGGCCACCAGGCCCTGTCTTCGGTGGCCCAAGTACCGAGCTTCGGCTTGTCGGCAGGCCTCGTTGTCAAATACAATGGTATCCTGAAATGTATGGGTCCAACCAATGGCGTTAAAATCTCTGTAGTGTATGTAGTATCCGCTTTCCTAGCAATTTATATGGGCCACGGATTCCTAATTCAAAAGTACTGAACAACCTGGATTAATGAAATCCCCGGTATGCCGGTCTGTATGTTCCGACACTCGTCGACAAAGCAGTATGAGCCCACTAGGCTATAAATGGGAACCTTAGTTTTTGTTATGGTCTAGTGGTAAAATAGCTGTATTTTACTCCGACACTCGCGGTCGGAGCATACGGACCGGCATACCGGAGAATTTGTTTATCCAGTTTGTTCAGTACTTTTGAACTAGGAATCCGTGGCCCATATAAATTGCTAGGAAAGCGGATACTACACTGCAGAGATTTTAACACCATTGATTGGACCCATACATTTCAGGATACCATTGTATTTGACACTCGCTGACTGCCTCAGGCTCCTCGCCAAGCTTGAAGCCTCAGGCACCAAGGGATGTGCAAACCCTGCAAACCACTTGGGAGCACGAAAGGGTACATAAAGTGTCATGTGACGTAACAGGTGACTTTGGAGATCAAGGTTTCAGTCTAGCCATCTTGGAGCTAGCTCTCATAGAACAGATCACCTGATCAGCTATCTTGATGAGAAAACTTCAGTTCTTAGCTTTTTTTTACGAAGTAAGTCTGCAAAAGATTAGTGAATGTTAGCTTGTCGTCTCCAAATACAGCTTCTAAGTGTGGAGCGCCGGTGTCAAATCTGCAGTTCGAACTTTCTGTCCCAAGGCTCTCTGTAACCTTGGGGTTCTGTTTCTCCAAAATTGGAGAAATGCTTTGTATGCTGATCCATGATTCCCGTTGGCTCCGTTATACTTGCGCGGTTATGGAGTACGACCTACCTTCTCACGTATCAATTAGACGGTAGAGTCTTGAACATTAGGCCAACAGCCTTGCGGCTGATTTGTAAGTCGAAGTTACCCCGCACTGATTGATAAACCTCTGGCGAGTTCGATTTTTCCAACCTAGAGGACCCGTGGATGTGTTAACTTCGCGTTCGAGTATACAATTGCCATAATCGGTGGAACTGTTAAAGACCATAGGCATCTATGCCTGATATAGATCAAACATGCAGGATATGGGATCATGTTTGGCAGTAGTATAAACAGAGTCTCAGGATCCTATTCATACTTGCTTTCTCTTTCTCTCTCTCGATTTTGCTTCTAGATAGAGAATATCATTATCATGATCTTTGTTATCAGGATTTCAGCATACAATTTTTCATGCATCCCAAAATATTCATGTATGTTTGCCAGCAGAAGTTGACCCGACGACAGTTACTTACGCGAAGAATCCGACAAAACTGGCGCGACTGGCCTCATTAGCGGCGGCTTCTTGGACGTAGTCACGCAGAAACATCCAGAATAGGAATTATGCGCTCTTGTCAGAAATCCCAGCAAAGCAAAATTCATTGAACAGAGTTTCCCCAAAGAGTTCGAGTTGTCCCAGGGTCCCTCGGAAATGCCGCCCTACTTGAAACCGAAAGTCAAGCCGTAGACATTGTGCTGAGTCAATTTTACTTAGTATTGACCCTTAGGTGTGCAATTAGACTGACGAGCTTCTCCCAGAGTTCGCCAACTGCGATCATCTGCCGGCAGCAGAGGCAATAGTCCGTGGTCTCTCGCAGAGCGATCAAATTGGAGCCGTGATTCACACATTTGGTGCAAAGATCATTGTTTGGGAGATGAAAAGTCAGCCATTCACATGGGGAAAGCTCATTTTACGCCGTTACAACGATATGGAGGGCGTCGAAGAACTCACACGAGGCCCGAGCGAAGCCAACCCAGAACCAACAGGGCATGACCACATACTCCCTAACCGGGCTGCGCATCGGAACGTTGATTCGTATTCATCGAAGGCTCGAACAGCTATTATTTGCCCTCTTACTATGTATAGTCCATCTAGGTTCCCTGTATTTACTACCTCGATACAAATCCCCCAACTGTGGAACGTTATACTTCAGCTCGGTCAAGCCTTTACGATCAACGGAAATGCAAGCAATTGGAACAAGATCTATACCCAAGAAATTTCTCTCTTGTACGTGTTGCTCCCGGAAGCGGCCGTTGACGGGTAACCAGATGAGCTGTGGAACGAGAAAGGATACTATTTTGCCGAAAATGGAGACTTCATTACTTCCGATGATTGGGTGATGTGGTCAAAAGCATTGCGAAATCGGGTTATCAAAAAAAGGCTCTTAGCTCCCTCGGACCCCATGGAGCTCTCCAATGACATCGTGTATAGTTTCTGGCGTGGAGGCCAGATGAATATGAGCTCCACCGGCATCGGAGAAACTCGTCGTTCTCAAGAGCTCTTGGGATAGACTCCTGTATTTGGCGACTTCTTTTGAGCATCCTGATCGAACTATCGACATCGAGGCGGGAGTTCTTGGGATTGGGTCACAAAACTGATATGACTTGACATATTTGATGTTCTAGTTTTGAAATGTTGTTTTCATACTTTATACAGGAGGAACGCTTCGGATTTACATTAACAAGTAGGTCTACATGCAGTAGGAAATAATCCTATGTTGTGAAAAGAGTCTACCGATATTTTCAATATGCGTCGTGAGCAGGTAGAATATTAATTTGATTGTTGAAATTATGCGGCTCGAAGACAGTCAGAACAGCTCTGGGGCCAGCTGGGGGGCAGTTGCATTCTAAGTTTTTAGGCTATTGTTAGCAGGCTCGGCGCCGTTGGATAAATGATCGATGGCAAACGCTGTAGTTCTCTTGTGCCTCAAAGTTTCGCAAAAATCCTCGAAGGCACTGCCAGCGTTCCACGCCCCAGGTCGAATATCATGATTTTATCATCTTGCAAAGCCATGATAATGAAATGGGAGCTTTTCCGACCCTTGTAATCCGATTTTCAAGAGTGAGAGAATATGTAATTCTTTCTGGATCTGCTGCGGCCATTTCTTAATGTCTCAATGGGGGGAGATTTGGGGCTACGTCACAAAGATATACCTCTCCTTTAGTCATATTCATCAACTGATGGATATTACCGACGGTGGAATCAAAAAGCAGAAAGTGGCCGATAATGTGTAATGAACGAGATAGCTTTGAAATCCAAGAGGACTTAGGGAATGTTGCTGATACCCAATTATCGGAGATAGTTCATCCCGGTCTATGCAGATGAAAGTGGCCGAGGTCAGGTTCTTCGAAGTCATCGAAAAGCTTCCAAATACCCTTGGAACAATTGAGGCGAAACATACGTAGGACCAGGGGGAGATATTTGGAGAATGAGGATTGGAGAAGTGGGACTCTTTGGAGATTAAAGTTCCTTGGAAGACTGGACGACTCAATGACCCACAATGATGTCGGAGATGATATACTTTGCTTAGAAACATCCGTGGACAGTCTGTATCTTTCATTGGCATGGAAATTTTGAGACGCGATACATAAAGACATCTAACCATCGGGACTTGCTCACTCACTTCAAACATTCTGCAAGTTACCAAGTTACTTCATCTTACAATGTCCCAACAGACCGTTATCCGTCTCCCCGGTGAGCGCAACTCGCTCAAGAACTTCAAAGCCTTCAAGGAGTCTATTCCCAAGCCCGCCAAGTATGAGGTCCTGATCAAGGTTCACTCCGTGTCTTTGAACTACCGCGACGTTGGTGTTGCGCTCTCCCTGTACCCGTTCCCCACTAAGGACAACGTCGTTCCTTGCTCTGATGCCGCCGGTATCGTGATCGAGGTTGGTGAGGGTGTCAAGAACGTTGCCAAGGGCGACCATGTGATCAGCACCTTTGATCCTACCAACCTCTACGGCCAGCAGCCGAATTGGGACAATGGTCACGGCGCACCGGTTGATGGTGTCCTTCGTGAATACTTCACTGTCAACTCGGCCGCTGTTGTTCAGCTCCCCAAAGACTCCCCCCAGAGCTTCTCCGAGTGGTCCACCCTTGTCTGCACCGGTGTCACCGCATGGAACGCTCTTTATGCCAACATTCCTCTGAAACCTGGCCAAATTGTACTTGCTCAAGGTGAGTGATATAACTGCTAAGGATCCAACACGCTTGGTGGCTAACGTCTTTTGAATCTTAGGAACTGGCGGTGTCTCCATCACCGGTTTGATTCTGGCCAAGGCTGCCGGTGCTACCGTCATCATTACTTCCTCTAGCGATGAGAAACTCGAATTCGTCAAGAAGACCTATGGTGTAGACTACACAATCAACTACAAGACCCACCCTGAGTGGTCTAAAGAGGTCATGAAGATCACCAACGGCCAGGGTGTCGATTATATTCTCGAAAACGGGGGTTCTGGGACTATCGCTGAGAGCATCAATTCCGTCAAAATGGGAGGCAACGTCTCCGTCATCGGTTTCCTTTCCAAGGCCAAGGAGATGCCCGATGTTGCTAGCATGGCTCTCGCTAAGGGAGCTGTCGTCCGCGGTGTCGTCGTCGGATCTACTCAACTTCTGCAGGAGGTCGTCCGATTCGTTGCCAGCAGGGGCCTTCGATTGCCCGTTGAGAAGGAATTCAGCTTTTCCGAAGAGAACACCGTTAAGGCCTTTGAGTACCTCACATCGGGCACTCATGTTGGCAAGGTCTGCATCAAGCTCGTCGATTAGGATGTAATTACTATTCCCTAGAGCTTTTTCTGTGAACTCCTGGAGTATATGATCGCCTCGTCCCGGTGAGAATGGAAATAAGTGGTACAACAGACAAAAAATACCATCATCAAAGTATCAATCTTTCTAGGCTATCGGTTAAGTAGTGGCGACCTCGGAGTCCTGGATACAGCCTGGATGACCAGCCACATGATCCAATCAAATACCACTAGCCATCAGTAGCTGTATTTGCCGCTGATCACAGTCAAAGCATAGCGTAACATCGTGGAACAAGGTGGGCTCATGAAAAGGAGTCTGTACGCGCGATACTCAGGCGTCGATCGCCGAGTTTTTCCGGGCCGTAATGGAACGTCCCGAGGCACCCCCGAGGTGCACCTTCTTCAAGTGAATTTCCCCTGATGGACACAATGGCCCCGACACAGTCCACAACATCAGGCGATCGGGGTTCCTGTATCCCGAGTTTCAGCGCATTCAGTCGATGATCTCCCACCAGTTGTGTCCAGTTGGGTAGAGACTAAACTTGACGAAGGCCGACCATTTGCCTCCGAGGTTTTGATAAGTTTGGCGAATGGGACAGCTCGATACTCCACAAAAATATACTGTTCGATTCGTTATCGTTGAGATTTAAGTCTCACTTACTAACTCAAAGGTATGTTCTCACCTGGTAGATATCCTTTGCCGCGAGGGATCGTCGAACTGGGCGAGATATACAAGTATCACACAAGAGTTTATCCCCAAAGATGGACTGGGTCACAAGAAGAAAGGCCCACCCCGAGACATCTGAGCCCCTTCTCACCTTGAATGATTTTATATCTCACCCATCTGAGGCTTTATGCAAAGGGACTGCCCCAGCCCTTGGTGGAGGGGTTGACCCTAGTCCTTCCAAAGCCACTTCAATACCAGGAATTACCTCGTCTATTTCGGGCCTTATCGAAATCTCAAGCCTCAGAGTTATCGATGGCATACGTGGGGAGTCCAAATTCAATGTGTGTTTTCTTGTTCTGTGATTCATACCCGATGCAGCTAAACCCGATGCAGCTAAGAAAAGATAATTCTGGTTTTTATCGTTGCTTCAACATTACAATTGACATGAATCTAAAATTGGAAATGGAAGAGATGTTCAAGACCCGAATCTCTGCCGATAAGGCTACCAAGGGCCAGCGCTGAACCGGCCTGATCGGCAAAACAGGACAAGGACCAGGCGCAATATGCTTCAGTACCAATAAAAGGCCACAGAGCAAAGTCAATCTGTTCATGTCCAGCCTGTGACGAAATGCTCAGATAGACTGGAGCCAGATCCCCTCAAGTGCAAATGGCAAATGCCGATTTCCCAGTTTATGTCTGCGATCAACAAGTATTGTTACTGATCTGCCTTAGGCGTCTATAATTCCTTGTTATAAGGAATACTCTGTTATAACATTAAGAATTTACTACATAGGATACTTAACATTAGACTTCCGCAAAACCCCATTTGGGTTGAAGATTCCGACCCAAAACCCAAGCCCATATTGGGTTGGGTGAAACCTCATAACCCGGATCCAACCCAGACCCAATATGGCCCCAGAAAATCCAACAACCCAATTTGACCCCGTTTCAGCATAAGATCAATCATAATTCTGCTTAAGGATCTGTATACATTACAATTTTTCTTTTATATTCCAGTCTATACCAAGAATCCGATGCTTTTCATCTATAGATATCTCTCAACACGATAATTTTTAGTTAAATCAGAAAGATAATAACTATCAAGATATATATTTTTAGCTCCATATATACTAAATATTTTCTACAGTTTGAGTAATAAAAGATCATATGTCCAAAAATATATAGATTCACTTACTAACAACCTAAATATCTAAATTTATTTGTAGCTATCTATCATAAAATTTTTGACCAACTATAGTCTATAAAGTTTTATACTTAAATTATATCCGATACATATGATGTTTACGGGTGCTTTCTCCTATTTCCCACTTTCTTCCCCTTCTCTTCTTTTGGTTCTCCTCTATACACAGAGTCACAAACCATTCAATTGACCATCATCCGTTCTACTAAAAAATCACATGTGAACGAGAGCGAAAAAGAAAGTCCTCAAAAATAAACAGACCACGGCATGACGAGGTACAAAAGAACATGCAGAGTCTCAGGGGGAAGATCAACAGATTCACATGACAGTTGCGCACATCTCTAAGCGAACATGGCCGATGGGATCAGCACTCGGCTTCAAGGTACGAATTGGTGCGTGCATCTTCAATCACCTTATCAACAAAGCACGTCTTGCTCTACCAATCACCAGGGTTTTCAGCTGGGGACTCTGTCAACTAGAAATGATGATCGTCCCTGAGACATAAATGTGTACATGAGTACCCACCAAGTGTGTGCATCATGCGATTATTTTTTATTCGTCCTTGTGTCTATTTCTACTCTACACGACACGACGCGAGATCTCATCGACGGGAATTCAGTGGTTGTCAACATGCATTGCAAATTGGCATTCCATGTTTTGATTGCCACGGCTCTTACCATTCTATTCTCCAATGAAGCTTTTGCTGCTAATGACAAACGAAGTGTATGTGGTAGACTATCCAACTGATGGTTTCTCAGCTGACGGCGAGCCTTCCAAAAAGGTAGTTGCACCAATCCCAAGCCTCCAGATTCCGGTAGGAAAGAAGTTCATTGGAAGCCCAGCGACAGCAAAGCCACTCAGCCCAAAACATGTTTACAAGCCAGAGGTGTTTAACATGCATCAAGATGGTGGAAATACCGGGACAGTCGATAATTGGGGCCCATTAGGAGCCGAACTGGAGGTTTCAAGTGCGCTTGAGGGTCTGCATATTCTACTTTGGACCAAAGATGGCCAGATGGTTGCCGGCTATACAAAGATTGGGCTCGGCGGGCTTAAATGGGGGCTGGCGGCAGTCGACAATGAGACAATGGGGGTTCAGGCAACCTGGTTTCCCGAGGTAGATGGCCAGACCCTGAATGTGGCATATATGGAACTTGTTTTTGACAAGGACCAAATTGTGGTGACATCCAAAGAGGGCCAGATTTATGTGGTTCAACTGTCTACGTCTGAAGGATCGCCTAGTCTCGATCTCGTTCGAACCTACAATTTGGATTCTGTCCTGGCTCCTGGTGAGCTTCTCATCAATGCAATGTACGATACCGACGGTAACTTGTGGTTTACGAGTGGTGGATTGCGATCTCAAGTCGAGGGGGGACATGGAGACCCCGAACAAAACTCCACCACCATTGGATATATTGAGCCGACGGGACCTTTCCATATCCGCCACATCCCAGATGAGATGGTTGAAAACGGCATTGCGGTCACAGGAACCACCGTCTATGTGATCACTGGACCCTCTGGTACCAATGATCATGAAAACGCGACCGGTACTCTCTATTCACTTACCTCTGGGCCTGGAACATCCATCAAAACACTTTGGAGCATTCCCTACGAAGCTGGTGATGTGAAGAAGCCCGGTTCTTTCGCACGTGGCTCAGGTGCAACCCCTGCCCTCCTTGGAGATCAGTATGTTGCTATCACAGATAATGCCAATGGCCGGGTCAACCTAGTCGTTTATCATCAAACAGCGCAGCATGGTTCCTCGCAGACTGTTTGCAGTGTCCCGTTATTTGAATCGGGACTGAGCAATGTCGACATCGCACCGCTGACACACGGCGATGGAGATAGCTATGGCGTAATGCTTTGCAACGACTTCAATGCACCAACGTTGTACTACGTGGACTCCGGCCTCAATGGGAAATTCAATAACCTAACAGCCATGGCTCCAGGCGTGGTCCGCGTCGATGTCGCGGCCGATGGCAGTTCCTGCAAAGTTGCTTGGGAGAATGATCTCAGGGTCCAGTCTGTCCCAATACTTTCTACCCGGAATGGGCTTGTATATGGCTACACACAGTCTGTAGCCGCGTCTCTGAAGGGCCTCTATGAATGGTATGCTGTCGCATTTGATTGGCACACAGGAAAAGAGGCTTGGCGAGTGCGAGCCGGCGCAGGGGGAACCTACAATGATGACTATCAACCAGGGGCTCTTGGACCAGATGGAAGTTTCTACCAAAGCGTGATTGGGGGCTTGGTGAGGTTTAAAGATGGTGTATGAATGTTGATTATCTTGTGCTCAGTATCACTGAGCGTGCTTTGCCTTCTCCCTTCTAGTGATATATAAGATAGCAAATAAAATCCAGCCATTCTCAGACTTGAGGTTGCCGAGATATAGAGTGCTTCAGCTTCTTCGTCGCTCCTTTGTGACAACACAGGAGTCGGACATTCTTGAGAAACTTACTCTCCAACACTTATACCACCATTTGTGTCATCTGAAATCTTTGATTATACCAACACCTTGACACTCACTAAGTCCTCACTGTTGCTCCTAATTTGCGAAAATGAAATCCAACAGCAAAGGCCAAATTACATATGCTGAGTGTATACCAGGATGGCACACCTCACAGAGGACTGACCTTTTCACATCGAGTGACCACTGCTACACATCCCGGCCATCACGCCCCGAAGACGAATTTTAGGACAAAACATACCGCACTGTCATCCCCTTCCCTCCACCGATTCATGCAATCTCTGGCCACCATGATTGGATCAGGGATTCCCAGTGCTTAGTTGACAGACGATGCCACAATAAGGCTTCCAGGTCTATGCGAGGTAAGCTCATTGTTCGAAGGATTATATTGCCTCTTACAGCGCACATATATGGTCGCGGCTCGGGGAAGAGACGCCCCAGTCGATCATCTGCTGCGTGGACGACATGGCTCTCTCTAATATCTCCTTGATCAGTATGGGCGAGACCAGATCCATCGTCCTTTCTGTCGGTGATTTAGACCATCTTTGTATTGAAGAACATTCGGAACCCATTTTTCGTCACAACTTGCTTGAACGCCCCATCATAATCAAGTGCGACATCGAAACTGCAGAGGGGCCTATCAAGCCAACTCTGATTGGAACAACTCAGCTGGTCAACTTTGGATTCCTTTGTATGCGTTCATGATGTATCGAGAAGCAAAATCTGATGCACATTTCTGCATGTCGCTGATCACTGCCATGGTGTCTGTAAAGCTGCAATTCTTATAGTATACATAGATTCGATCAATCAGGGTCAACTCGGACTAGAGCTCTCCCAGATTTCCGTACTTGTATGTTTCAGTGACCATGTCTGGAGTTGGTTGGGCAAAGTGCATTGTTATATATCTTTCGTTTCTGTTAGGCCAAGGTTATAACTCATTGTCTTGATATGTCTGGCATTCTGACCAGGCGATATTGAGCAGAACGCGAGGATCGACCAGAACTACCTTCAGGTTGCTTATTATCTGTATATCTACCGTTTACACTACAACCTTATCTCAGGTTATATATAAGTCCAGGGAAGATGATACTGACCATTGGGCAATCCGATGGACTTCACATGTATCAGTTCAATAGAGTCAGTGGATTACACTATTCACAGAAGTGCCTATTCCGGTCATGTAGCTCAGTGTCAGAGTAGGACAATCGAGAAGCATTACACCGTCATGGATACTAGACATAAATTGGAATAGCTTGAGCCACCAGATCTCCCCTTTTCATTAGACATGCTCATAATGTGCCGTCGTTGCCCCTTTGACCTTTTCGCCAAGCTGTGTGGTCTCCAAGATGCGATCCCTTTCGGCGTCGACAAATGTCTGCGGCCGCTTGCGCTGGGTCAATTCATGCTTGCCACATACAATCGGCGAGGGATGTTGGATGAAGATCGCGTCTATGTCCTCCAAGGTACGTCGTGAAGTTTCCGGATAGAAACAGAAGATGATAGGGAAGAACGACCAAGCAATAATGGCGAAAACTAGACATGCAAGGTCAGATTCCAGTAGCAAAAAAAGGGTCCCGTGCAGACTTACTCAAATAAAACCGCCAGCGTAGATTGTTCACACCAACACTCGTGAACTGCGTCACGATGAATCCGCCCATCCAGTTTGTTGCCGTGGCCGCGGCAGCGCCTCGGGTGCGCCATCCGAGTGAGTTCACCTCGGAGTTATAGACCCAGGGGACTTTGGCAAAACTTGTTCCATAGAAGAAGTAATACAAAAAGAACATGGCGGTGGTCACCCGTCCCATCTACTTCCATTAGCTATGTGATTAATCTGAATGAACGGAGTCACTTGCCAATTGCTTTCGTGAAGGGTCGCCCTCGCCGGTTCGAAGGCACATTGCAGCAACAAGATAGCATGCGCCCATGGTGATTGCGCCATAGAGCATTAGCCTTGTCTTCGATGTCAGCACATATTTATTTAGAAAATGACCCAAGCTCTTCTTCGGGATCACTTACTTGCGACGCCCAAAACGATCAATAATTGCCAGACAACAAAACGCGGCAAATAGATACGTCGTACCGTTCACCGCAGTGAGCAAGCGACTCTCCTCCTCTCCGAGTCCGACACTTTCCTGCAAAAGGGTTGGAAGATAATACCCAAGGGCGTTGACCCCACTGAACTGTTGCATAAACTGAGTACCACAGGACAAGAGTAGCCGCCGGAGGTTTTGTGTCTTGTCGCGGCACATCAAGACATCCGCCATCGGTACCTGGCTTTGACGCTCAATCTGGAGTGCCGACCGTATGGATAGAAATTGAGCAGTGACATCTTCATCGTGGACGTCTTTGTTCTTCCCCTCGAGTCTCGCAAGTACTGCCAGCGCTTCCTCGTGTCTATCCTTGAGCAAAAGCCATCTTGGAGACTCAGGAACAAATATGAGAGCAACGACCACGACGCATGGGAATATGAGTTGAAATCCCAAGGAAAATCTCCATTGGAGTGCCTCGCCTTGAAAGTATAACCCATAGTTCATCCAGTTGGCCAGACAAAAAGCCGCTGTGTTGGAGAGAGAACCCACTACCACGAGCTTTCCACGAACTCGTGGTTTGGAGCACTCGGCCTGGTACACAGGGCACGTCGAAGAGGTCAATCCCATACCGAAGCCATTAATAATACGCCCAATTATCAGCTGTGGGAAATCCCATGACACAACCTGGAGGACCGCCCCGATAGTGTTGCACACCAGACCGAGAGTGATTGTCTTCTTTCGACCGAGCCTGTCGCCGAGAGTAAAAGCGAATATAGCACCAAAAAAAGCACCAAGCTAAATCTCATCATTAGAATACATCTTCGATGGGAGTCAAGAATAGGAAAATGAGCTCACAGAGAAGCAACTCGATGTAATACCAGAGATATTTGATTCTTTTGTTTGTGGGAAGTGTTTCTTGAAGTCAGCCGAGATTAAAACTCCCGAGAAGACTCCCTGATCATACCCAAACCATGCCGTCGAGCTGTAAAGCGCTTCTATTAGCCATGATTCCCGGTATAGAATTTGATTGGAGATTCACCAAGCATTTGCGACAGTGATGACAGTGATGAGCCATCTCCCACTGAGATGACTGGAGAGATCCAAGCTATCCATCATTATGGTTCGTGTGTCTCACTCCAAGGTCATGTAGGTGAATTGAGGTTTGTGGATTTTGTCCATTAAATACCCCTTGCTCCTCTGATCCGTTGCCATGCTCTCCAAGACTTCAACGCGAATGAGAACGGCGGTCATGAGGTGCTTATCAGCCACACAAAGCCCTCGAAGCCGAGGTAATGATTGAAACATCGCGAAATGACGATTCTTAGAAGTGCAATCCCCCCCCAAAGGTGGGGCCGAACGGCGTTCCACATGGGGAAGATGGGGGTAAGCGGCATGGAGATCAACCTCTCGGTGCAGATGATGCCGAAAAGGCAGAAAAATAAAATGAAGCAAAAGTAGGGTATTGAGCGGAAGGGGAATTGGGATGAAGATAGAAACTGGGGGAACAAAGCCACTTGGGAAGCCTCAGGCGGGTGCTCCAGACCCAAATACTCGACCTCTTGAAATAATCAACTGTATTGTCCTGATGGTGTGATTTCGAACAGACCTCTGGAGTTCCAGTGATGAGCGCTTTCAGGGCCTCGAAATGAATATTATTATCTATCAGGCATGGAATACGACAGGCGAGGCCACAGCAGACAATGAAATGTTAGAGTGAAAGTCATTCATTTTACAACCGGAAGATGAGGATTTGTGCGATTGACGCCCAAAGTCAACGCTTCTAAGGCCCAAACCGCTGCTATTTTGCTAGTTACTACTTTACCTTGAATATGACGGCACTACTGACCTACCTAGGTACCTTCCAAGGTTGATAGTAACCGATGGGTTGGGCCGCAATCTGCATGCACCTCAGCCTGTCCTCCTATCCCGACTCCCGCCTATTTAGCGGCTCAGGTTGTTCAACCACACCATTTCAGTCCACGGTGTGTTCATCCCTCTCAAAATATATACCGCGACTTTGATCGAGTTTGCAAATCATCATGAATTCGCCAACTCATACTATTGATCCGGACGGCGAAGTGATCATAATATTGCGCGATGCGAACAGTCCATTTGCACCTGGAAGTTCAACTCTTTGCAGCAACTCTGTTATTATTCCATCCACTTTGAGTAATATCCAAAGCCCTCATGTGGGGCCCGAAGTTTCCAAGATTTCTTTGAATCCACCAGAGCTTGATATCACAAAACAGAGCAAGAAAGATAAGAAAAAGAAGAAGGGAAAGAAAATAAAAGCTGTTACGACAATGACCTCTCTAACTATCAGTTCTACAATTGAAGAGCCTTTTTCTAAGGAGACTGCTGCCGAAGGATATCCCGCCGAGGAGCCCACCGCTGAAGAGACTATCGCCGAAGAAGATCCCGCCGAGGAGCCCGCCGCTGAAGAGATTGTCGCCGAAGAAAATCCCGTCGAGGAGCCCGCCGCTGAAGAGACTGTCGCCGCTGAAGATTCCGCCGAATTACCAGTACACAGCTGTGTACGTGTTCGGGTATCCGCGAAGCATTTGATGCTTGCCTCCCCGGTTTTAAAAAAGCAATTGACCGGAAGCTGGAAGGAAAGCATTACTTACCATCAAGAAGGTTCAGTTGAGGTCATTGCAGAGAAGTGGGATCTTGAAGCCTTCATGATACTACTTCGAGCTATTCATGGTCAGAATTATCGTATACCCCTGAAGCTGACACTGGAAATGCTCGCCAAAGTTGCTGTCATAGCAGACTACTATGACTGCAGAGAGACTTTCTTTTTTCTGATAAATACGTGGATCAAGAATCTGGACCAGCAGATGCCTACGGTGAATTCTAGAGATTTGACTTTATGGCTATGGATTGCCTGGTTCTTCCGACTCCCAGCCGAATTCAAGTTATCGACTTCCATTGCCATGTCACAGAGCAATGGCCGAATTATGGATTTGGGTCTTCCGATCCCAGGCAGTGTCATGGGTAAGAGTAGATATATTCTTGAGAATTCTTTGAAAACTCATGGTAGTACAGATTTCATGAACGAAAGTAGAGAGAAAGCTATCGAGAAGTTGATTGCCTCCCTCCATGAAATATGCAATGCTTTTTTGAACGGTATTCGGGGCTGTAATTTCGAATGTCGCTCAATCATGTATGGGGCTCTTGATTTGCAGATGCGGTCAAGCAATCTGCGTTCGGCGACGCCCGAGGGCTCGAATTACAATTCTATCGTAAAGACGATAGTGGGATTCAAATCGCCAATATGGTGTGCTTCATCCTCCGTTTATTCTGGCTATCGCAACTTTGGATCCAACTCTACGCACCACTGCTCTCACTCCTCTTTCGCATCCGCATTCGGAAAATTGGAGGATTCTCTCGAGGGGCTGGAACTGGACTGGTTCACAACCTCACAATGATGGTATTATATTGGTTGAAAGATGCGTTGATGGTGCGATGTTAAGTATAGGCCAACCTGCTTGATAGATCCTGTTGTCCCACATATACTCGTTGACCTGGAACATTTGCATGAAAGACCATGAATGCACACATTTTAGTTTCCATTATGCCATACATCTGCTTCAGTTCCTATTTCTTTCGGTGGTAGGATTCTTGATGGAGATACTATGTCAAGTGTAAGTATGCGAAATTTTCTTCTCAATCTTCAGTCATGTAGTGCGTGAACCACTTCAATCGTTATATGAGCCATACTTGAAGTTTGCTCGTAGTAGACTACCCACCAGGGCTCAGTGACACTGACCGAGGACGGTGAGCACAGCGTCAACGGACCTTTTTGTGACCCACAGAAACAGTGACCCGGTACCATTACCGTGGTCTCCAGACCCGCCAGGCCATTTGATCGTCCACTATAGCTTCCATTACTACCCTAAGACCCGCAAAGCCGTGGGACTCGGGTCTCAAGATGTGCCTGGTGACTCAAAAAACGTTTCAAATCGACTACAGTAATTTATATCTGCCGCAGTAGAAGGAATTCAATATAACGTCTCAGACTGTTGGGACGACAACGGAGAGACTGCTTCACAGGGTAGCCTATATAGACATTTCGATATATTAACCCGGGCAATGAAGCATCGGCATATAACAGCGTAGGAATTTCTAGATCTTCATAGAGCTTAGATGCGGTTAGCAGAACATGGGAACGAGCTCGATAGAAATAGCGGCTACGAAATAATCGCGCCTAAGGCTTCGAGGCGTTAATCGGACATATGATATACTTCGCATAGGAAGCTTATGGGGAATTATGTCAACCGCAAGCACAGCCCAATCTCTAGCTTCACTTTGTTCAGGACACGTATGGTTTCAGTTAGCGCTGAGGTGTCTTACAGCAGGGAACTCAGCACCTATCAGATAGGGAGGCTGCTAGCTGCAGCAAAACGCGAAATCGTCAGGATTCTGCCTGACCTATGACTTTGAGAGCATCAAATAACAATACGCATAGACAATACTATAGACAGCTGAATCATGACGTGGCACTTCACAAACCACATTTTTCTTAGCATCACCTACCGGGTCCTATCCCCCCTCTTCTCCTTCCCTCGCCTCCCATTCGGCAAGGGAGAGCTAAGCAGGGATATTTGAATGGCTTCTACGAACTCGAAAAATAGTACACACAAGGTTAGGCTGGATAATGCAAGTATGCGTTGTCCCACCCCGTGCGGGGTCATACATAGGAGTTGTGCTGATTTAAACACCCTAGAGAACATCCAAATCCCATTCTCCCTGATAATCATCATATTACCACGTCAAGCAACAATGGGTTCAACTTGGATCGCCGACATACCTCGCCCGGGGTCGACCGATGTTGCAAACGGGCCATTTATCACGAATGTAGAGCATTTGTCATCTTATAACTGGATTGAGGCGCCCGGCCCCACGATCGTGGTCCCCGGGTGCCCGCCTCTTTGGTCCCCACCCCCGACCCCCAAAAAAGTGGCCAAAGACTCAGGGCTCATTTACATTGCTCAAAACGCGTTTCGCCATCCGGAAAGTCCACTAGAACCACTTTTTCGCTCGCTGTACACTGAAAACCCTTCGTACAACATTCGCGAAGTTGACTTGATAACTGATAGAAACAACGTCCGCAAACTTCTGTCATTTATCAATTCAAATACCTCCAGAAATGGACCGGAGCCTTTCAACATTGAAATTGAGGCCACAGGCAATACCGTGATTTTTTGTCGGGCAGAGACTGAAACATATACATTCATTGGGCCACACGACTTCAAAGGCTACGGTCACGAGTTTGAGAAAGCCTTCACAACAAGCCAAGTATCTGGCAGCACTGGACATCATCGGGTTATCTCCTATAACTTGAGCGATTTGAAACTCATAATACGCTACGAGACTGACGCTTATGTTGAAGAGGCTTTGAAACTTCAGCGTCGAAATGAAGGCTCAGAAAATGAGAATTTTCTGACCATGATGGAGAATCTGTCGCTTTCGCGACCTGAAACTCATTCTTTTCGTGCCACGGACTCTAAATTGGTGGTTCAGAAAAAAGGCAGACAGGTTCCTATTGCTTCAACTCTGGAGATCAAAACTCGCGTGGCCCACAAACCCATCAATATCCAAGAGGTTCTTCCACAGCTGTGGGTATCGCAAACACCCAACCTTGTCCGTGCCTACCACCATGGTGGCACATTCAGACTGCCGGAAGTCAAAAATGTCACTCGTGAACTTGCTGAATGGGAACTCCTACATGCTGATGACCTTGCAAGATTAGTCTTATTGATCAAAGCAATCACGAAAGTTGTTAGAGAGAATGGTGGGAATGCCGTCGTGAAATATGACGGTCGAAGTGACAGCCTTGCAGTTTTCAAAAGAGAAGGGGCCAGGATGTTGCCCGATGACCTTTACCGGAAATTCAGCGACAAAACGCAATCTACTGAAGCGGTTGAATTGCATTCTCGCAAAACCAGACTCAAAATCGGGGATACTTTCCACGATGTTGATGTCTCGACGATACCATATTTTTCAGCCCTTGTTAGATTTCAGCGTACTTCTCACCCGGAAAGGACTGAGTTTACTCACGGCGATATTGCTTTGTTTGACATTGCTCTCAGGGGCTTAGAATCAGGCTACCGGCAATGTTTTCGCGCTTTGGGAGAGGATATCCCTCAGTACCACACGCTCTGTGAAACATATGATTTTCTCGGGGTTGACGTACTTGCCGGACAGTCAATTGATACTATTTTTGCTGATTTGAGGGCCTGCAAAACCGATTATCAACTCGAATATAAGTATTATCGAGCTATCAAGGGCGATAAATCTCGAGCACGGGACGCGGCATTTCGACTGCTATTCTTGATAATACTTGGCGAATTCAATGACGAAAATAAAGACCGTGCCAAGGTTTACAATGCCGTGTTATTCGTTGTCTCGCATCCAGGCACTTTCAAACAGGGCACGAGAGTTGCAGTGCGGTCGTCCTTTGACGAGCGCTTTGTATTGTCCACAAAGCAACGAATCCAACTGGATCGCTGGAAAAGAGAGGATACTACCACCCGGTCAGGCGACGAAGGCACAACCGAGGAGGAATATGACGAGTTATATCTTTCTGACGGGTCTTAGGTCGACAAACCCCAAGAGCATAGTTTACTTGGCTAGGTTGCTAAATATGCCAGCTTGTCGTTATGTGATAGCTAGCGCATCTCAAAGTAATTGTCTAGCTCTCAGGTCTAAAGAATAACAGGTTGAACCCACCTTCAAGTATGGATCCTCCTGCAAGTTCTCTTCTTTGTGTGCTGAGATCAGTACTTTCCGGATTCAGTTAGACGGAAGTACAAAACGAGCTTCACCAACTTCTACTTGTACATTCTTTCTGGGCCCCAGCCAGCGTCTCGGGCGGTGGGGGTGGGAGGGAATGAGAGAGGGCAGATTGGTGAAGCTGGTTTTAAAATCTCTTAGTATACCATAGCACTCTCGCGCGTATCTCAGACCGTTTTCTAGACAATTGGTTGTGTCTTGCCACACATTTGTAAGACACCACGAAGTGTGTTCTGCCCGTAATTGCTACCTAGTGTGTCCCTCTTTCTAAAGTAAGAGACAGGTTGCGGCTATAATCAGCTGCCTGTCTCAAAGATCCAAGCATTGAAGTACAGGCAAGACGAATTGATTGCGAGGCTTTCCACTTCAAAGTTGTATCTGATCCGTGATATTTTGTATAACTCAGTTCTATGCAACGTAAGAGATGGCCGAAGATGAGAGCAAAAATGGGGGAGGGAGATACAAAAAAATGGGCAGGGTTGAAAGCAATTATGCAATAGTCGGCGGAGGCCAGAGGAAAGAATGGGGGCGGCGATGAGTGCAAGATAGAAAGGCAGAGCGGGGGAAAGTGAGAGAAGCGGAAGAGGAGCGAAGGCACGTCTTTGGTGTCGGCGGCATTGAAAATAAATTACGTGACGGCGTATTGGGCACCACACTGATATAGAGATTCACGGGTCCGCCATTTACTAGATAAATGTCTAACGGCAACTTGATAATCATTCGCTCAGGGAGACTGACTGAGACATTAAATCTCTCACAGTATCAGAAAATGGATGATACTGAAATCCCAATTCCTTTGCAGCAGTTTGACCATCCAACCCACAACTCTCATCAACGACTTGGTCTTCTTGTGTGACTTTGGCTCTGAGATCAGGGAACTCCTGCGCTATGATTTTTGCTGCTAAACCATATGAAAATCGCTCTGGGGATGAAGGCACATATCGCTTGCCACCCACTTCTTCCCGGAGTAAGGACTCAACATGGGCAATGGCCAGGTCCCGAACATCAATCCAGAATGGCACTCGTGCAATAGGCAGAGGGTTTTCACCATTGGCAATCTTCCATAACATCGCATTCGACTCGTTGAGTTTATCCACATGGGTGACGGGGTGTACCACCGGTCCAAAGGTCATCGGGGGACATAATGCGACAAGATCGAATGTCGGGCTGTGTTCCTCCACATATTTCCAGGCTTCCAGCTCAGCGAATTTCTTCGATCCCCGATACGCAATGATCGCATTCGTAGCTGGATCCACAGACTCCTCATAGGTGAGAGGATTCCAGTCCGCACCAGTGTATCTAAAATACGGAGGGCCTTTGCGATTGGCATCAAGGACGGAAGCGAAGGAAGAGGTGATGACGACGCGCCGGATTTTCGGATTTTTGCTGGCCGCGTCGAGCACTGCACGTACACCATTTATTGCGGGAAGAATAAGCTCGCGTTCGTTGTTCGTCGTATTGTACGTGAATGGCTGTGCAAATAAGTTTTTAGCAACTGGCAACAGGGGAATCAATGAGAGTATGGCTTACACTGGCCGTATGGATCACTCCATCTACTCCTTGGGCAGCTTCGATCAAGCCGCCAGGTCTTCCAAAGTCGTCAATTTGAACAAACTCCAGCCTCCCTGCATATTGTGGACGAGCCTTGATCATAGCTTCGCCTTTCTCCGGTGATCGTGTCGCGCCACGCACTCGCATACCACGAGCAAGCAACACGTCGACGATGTGGGCGCCGATAAAGCCAGTCGCTCCCGTGACAAGAACAAAATCGGCCATTTCTTCGGTTGAAACAAAGAACTAATTGAACGCAGTCGAGAGTGCAGAAAGAACTCAACCATATGTGCACACAGATATTGTCTCACTGGCCAATCATCCTACCCGGGGGAAGCGGCAACTCCACTGGCGGAATCCCCGCAGTCGGCATTGATTGCGAGATCTTGGCGATGTTGATGGATGCGATGATATGCGATCGTGTCATTTGGCCGGGTTGAATGGGGACGAATGGGGATGGACGTAGGAAGTCGAAATGGTAGGAATAAAAGCACTCTTTACACCCCGAGTTTTCACTGGTATCATCCCAAGTCTTACTCCTCCCAAATATCTTTCATAATGGGTGCTGATTCCCCCGTGCATGTACACGATGTGACAATCACTTCTTTTGAAGTGACTGACCTGCGATTCCCTACGAGCCTAGACGGCGTGGGGTCGGATGCTATGCATGTAGGAACCAACGGCTCACATCCTTACATCCGGCTGAACACAAATAAAGGATCCCTAATTGGAGAGGGCATTGTGAGTCTGAAATTCACTTCTTGACAGATTCCAGTGCTGACACAGTTTCACCCCAGGCATTTAGCAACGGCCGAGGTAGCGAGTTGATCTGTATGGCTCTCGACATCTTCGCCCGACGAGTCGTGGGTAAAACCATGTATGAACTGACACGCGACATGGGAAAGACCTGGAGGTACATGGTATCTGACTCGCAGTACCGTTGGATTGGGCCCGAAAAGAGTGTCACACATTTAGCCGTTGCAGGAGTACTGAATGCTGTTTGGGATCTCTGGGGCAAAATTCTGGGCAAACCGGTCTGGAAGATCGTCTGTGACATGGAGCCGGAGGAAGTCGTGAGATGTATTGACTTTCGGTACATCACAGATGTCATCACCCCCGAGGAAAGTGTTGAGATGCTCCAGAAAACACAAAAAGACAAAGAGTCCCGCCTGCAAGAGGCTCTCGAAAATCGAGCGGTTCCAGCATATACCACGTCTCCTGGGTGGTTAGCCTTCTCTGGAGACCGGATGCGAGAGGTACTCCAAGAAACTATTGCTGCAGGATATACCACGTTCAAATTCAAGGTTGGAACCAATGTAGAAGCTGATCGCGAACGGTTGGCCGCAGTGAGAGAGGTTCTGGGGTATGATCAAGGACACCAAATCATGATCGATGCCAATCAGGTCTGGAGTGTTCCTCAAGCAATCGAATACATGAAGCAGCTAGTGGAATTCAAGCCGGTATTCATTGAAGAACCAACCAACCCAGATGATGTTTTGGGACATGCGACTATTCGCAAGACTCTCAAACCATACGGTGTTGGCGTCGCAACAGGCGAGGCAGCACAAAATCGCGTCACTTTCAAGCAGCTCTTGCAGGCAGAGGCGACGGATGTTTGTCAGATTGATGCCGTGAGGCTTGGAAGCGTCAATGAATGTCTCGTGGGTCCAACTCTCCCTTATACTTGCTTGCCCAAATTTCATGACTGACTCGGGCAGGCCGTCATGCTTATGGCACTGAAATTCAATGTTCCATGTGTTCCTCATAATGGTGCCATGGGCCTTACCGAATTGACATCTCACTTAAGCACAATCGATTACATCGCTATCAGTGGACGCAAATCAATGCTGGAGAACGCAGATAGCCACCGGGAAAATCTACGCCACCCTTCCAAGATTGAGAATGCCCACTATGTCACACCCCTCGACCCAGGATATTCAACTGGCTATACTGACACAGCTTTGGAGAAGTACACGTATCCATCAGGGAGTTTCTGGAAGAGTGATATTGGACTTAAAATCATCGCTCAGCCCACTGGGGGAGAGCTGTAAATAGAGGAAATCCCCAAGACGTTGTCTGCTTCATTCGTGTTGGTTGAGTGAATCAGCCCGTGGATACTCATTGGATCAGCTGTCAAATCATGACTTGTCATCAATACATACGCTTGAAAAGTCTTTGCTTTTTCTGGACGTCTTCAAGTATTGTTATAACAGCCTCAAGACTGGAGAAAGCCCACGGTCGGATATTATTCAAAGCCAGGCTTTGTAGTGCGTCAATATCGGTCACCAAATGCTGCAAAGCGGGATTGAGTGAAGCGAGCGTTAAAATAACAATGGCACCCAGTGATCTGTAAAATTCATGTGATCAGTATTAGTCAAAGACTCCTCATTCCATGTACATACGACAAAGAAAAGGTCCACGTGTATTGGCTCGGTTGTTTCAGGATTCGGGTCGTGCTGTGGATGTAACGACGGCAGCTCTCGATGCAAATCCCAGCCTTTTTGACAATATCGTGGGATATGCAGGTGACATCGTGAGTAACAAGAAACAGAACAAATGGCCTGTATATGATATGACGCGCGGCAAAATAGCGAATACGTAGTATTGCCTGGCGATCATTCGACTCCTGCATCGATGGTTCGCTGTTGAGCTTTGGACGAATGTCTTCTGGTATGGAAGAATGCCACAACTCGAGTTGTGAGTGTAGCTCATCGCAAACTGCACTCATAGATGAGATATCATCCATGGAAAACTCTTCCGGTGTGGCCAATGAGGTGGAAGATAGCGTCAAACCGTGATTCTTGCTCGGGTAGAGGGAATTATGCACGCGATTGAGTAATCTTCGGATGGATATTTCCGCGAGGTAGCAGGTCGATTGCATCATCCCAAGGTTAGTGCACTCTGGAAGGCTGATTTCATCAGTCAGCTGTTGCAAGCCACTTCGTGGAAGTTCCAGCTCGGCGAGTCGATCGCACTCGATCAAAAAGCAGGACCAAAATAGTCGAATCAAGTTCTCTCGCCACCAAGGTTCTTTCTGCTGGCTGTCAATTCTGCCCTCTAGTTAAATCTGCTCTATCTTCGGGGGCGTGAAAAACCTTACCCTGAAAGTTTGAACTGAATTAACGTCGTGGCAGAGTAGATAAGTCGCCAGCTTTGAAGGGGGCGGACGATATATGCAAAATACACGCTAGCAAGAACAAGCGCCTGTGGCAGCATGAGGCAGCATGAGAATGACCATGCCGACTGGCTGAGGAGGGTTGGCAAGGCGTGCTGTATGTACGCCATGCCTGGGGGTGAATGAAGAAATGCATGCGTATCCGGTCGTGACGCAGCGACAGCACCAAGTGCTAGGACAACCATGCATAAAGCCGATGCAATACTGGAATCGGGTCCATTCTCCAGAAACCGGCTGAAAATATCCTCGAAGCCGCCTGGGTCTAAGATTGGATGGGCATGATGAGCTGACGCGAAAAATGTCGATACTAGATTCGTAGCAAGATCTCTTTCAATCTCAATTGATGGGATTGGCGTTGGCCATGTCTCACATGACAACTCCGGAGGGAGGTGAGCTCGTGATTCTAACTGGAAAAACACATCAGTCGGATACTCCCCGATGAGGGATTTGACTGGGGGTAAGCTCAGAAGGTAACTGGAGGATGTTTTGTGTTTGACTGGAATTGTTAATGGAGGCAGTTCTGGCAAATTCGATTGGGTTTCTAATCCGAAAAATGACCAGGGCGAGGCCATGGTCGCATTCGGGGGCTCTCTTGACAGAGTCCATGCATTGCCGGGTGACGAAGCCTTGGGGACAGGACGAGCATCAGTATGAAACTTGTTGATGTCTGAGATCTGATGTGACTGAGTCTGCAAGATTGCCTCAATGTCATGTAAGCGGTTGAGGATTTCTCGAGTGCCACCGGAGGTGTCGATCCTATCCTTGTGAGACAACGTTCACCCTCAGATAGTAAACCGGCACGAACCTTTGAGAAGGCAAGTCATCATAGTGACATTCTACTTCTAGCTCTCTACAGTGAGCACATGATGGCTTCTGGGCATCACATCGCCGTTTCCTGTGTTTTGCTCAGCACAGGCATGAGACATTGGGGACAAGTCACCTACCGACTGCGACAAAAGGTACAAGCTAGGGCCGCTCGCTTCCTGCTAAAGCTCATGTTTTATGAGATCCTTGTTTTTCGATATTGATGCACGCCACAAAATGACTATCTGGAGACAATGCCCATAATGAGCCCTGAAGGTTGGGGAAGCTGACTCATCCCCAGTTCCCGGGGCCCATCCATGTGGGGCGCCGGGAAATCCCCGAGGCATTTGCTTCATTGTCTTTGATGGGTTGAGCGTTCGAGTCGACAAACCATGAGAAGGGTTTCAATGGCGTCGAGAGGTATAGAGGTGATGATGTGCTTCCAAGTGATGCTCGATGTCGTCTTCGTGACTGAGACAAGTGATACACAACAGTGACAACACAAGGGTGCAACCCCGGCCTTCAGTTGCTTGCTGAAGAGACTATCGAGACGAGACTAGAACACCATATCGTTCAGTTATTGCTACATTTAAGCCACTGAAGCTCGTTCATATAAATTGTTTGCGGTTTTTCCAAGGCTCAAATGCAAGTCTTCATACCTATCTTGCCTGGAGTAAGCTTCATAGGTATATGTACCCGAGCATCTTTCATCGGAGAGGGACTACTGCCTGAAGGTTCAGGCTCACCCAATGGGTTTACTTCATCACCCTAGTTCCTTCCCAATTAGGAAGGGGCCAGCCCCAGTATCCCAGGTGCCTTCCCAAATAGGAAGGGACCCTGAGAATCGTCACCTACCCCAGTATCCTCAGATCCTTAAGCCATTGCCAGGGTATAAATACCCCCCTCGCCCCATTTCTCTTCCTCCTTTCTTTCTTCCTCCTTCACATCTCTTCTTCTCTTTGAGTCTTCACTCCCTTTCAAGCTTCAACATCCACTGTGACCACCCTCCATTATGGTCCACCATTTCAGCATGGTCATCTTCCAGTATGACCTTTATCTACCATGACCACATCAGCCTTGGTCGCCTTTCAGCATGATCACCTCCATCATGACCTTTGTCCACCATGACCACATCAACCTTGGTCACCTTCCAACTTGGTCACCTTCCACCATGACCACATAAACCTTGGTCTTCCACCATGACCACATCAACCTTGGTCTTCCACCATGACCACATCAGCCTTGGTCACCTTCCAGCTTGGTCACCTTCCACCTTGATCACCTTCCAGTATGGACCTTCCATTGTGACCTTTTTCCACTATGACCACGTCAGCCTTGGTCTTCCACCATGAGCCTTCCATTATGGTCAGCTTTTATCATGACCCTCATCAACTTCCACGTCCATCTACTTTGAACCATCTACCAAGTTCCACGTCCATCGACTTTCAGCCATCCATCAACTTCCATGTTCATCAACTTCCACGTCCACCCACTTTGAACCATCTACCAAGTTCCACGTCCATCGGCTTTCAGCCATCCATCAACTTCCATGTTCATCAACTTTCCCATCCATCAACTTCCATGTTCATCAACTTTCCCATCCATCAACTTTCCCATCCATCAACTTTCCCATCCATCAACTTTCCCATCCATCAACTTTCCCATCCATCAACTTTCCCATCCATCAACTTTCCCATCCATCAACTTTCCCATCCATCAACTTTCCCATCCATCAACTTTGAATCGCCACCAAATTCCACGTCCATCGACTTTAAATCATCCATCAACATTCAATCGTCCATCAAGTTCCACATCCATATACTTTGAACCATTTTCCAAGTTCCACGTCCATCAAATTACAGCCATCCAACAATTTTGAACCATCCACCAACTTCCACGTTCATCAACTTTCACTGGGTACCTTCAACATGATCACTGTCAACTATGACCATATGCCCATCACGGCCTACCATCATGGCTACTCCAAATTATGAGAACATCTTGTGACGTCAATCGATCTATTACAAAATATGGGCCTTGCTAATTTGTTTCTAGGAGCCTGTATATCTCCCTCTCCCCATATTGCCGGTCTTACCTACTTCACTTCATGGCCATCCGGCAGCCTGAACCGTCCAGTCGACAGTCTTGCAGTGGAAGCATTCCGGCCCATGGTGAGCTTGACCTTCAAGAGGAGGAAAGAAGAGAGGCGGTCCTCGGTCGACAAGAGTCTCCACATAATTGAGTGTCTCTGAAGGAGATTCCTCGTCAGAAAGAGGCGCGGTGTACCCAATGGAGGAGGAGACTCTGAAGACCGTCTGCTACGGTGGCAACACAGGGTCAAGTACCCACATTCGACAACCCTTTTTGGAAAGAACAGCTGGACACGACAGTGCTTCAACCTTCAGAGGAGAGAAGGATGGGGCCAACTTCGTCGACAAGAGTCTCCGCACTCCACAAGAGTGTCCTATAGTGGAGACTCTCTTTTGTAAGATTGGCTGCCCCTTTTCGCAAATCTAAGGCAAGCATGGACACAATATAGGTCCACCAGCTTTTGGCAACCCTTTGGAACACCCACGACAGTGCTTCGATCCTCAGAGGAGAGAAGGATGGGGCCAACTTCGTCGACAAGAGTCTCCGCACTCCACAAGAGTGTCCTATAGTGGAGACTCTCTTTTATAAGATTGGCTACCCCTTTTCGCAAATCTGAGGCAAGCATGGACACAATATAGGTCCACCAGTTTTGGGAATCCATTCGACAATCCATTCGACAATCCATTTGACAATCCATTCGAAATTCCCTTCGACATTCCACTGCAAGACTCAGACGGAACCGGCTTGCTGTCATGAAAACAAATCAATCATGGTCAATCGCCTCTTTTACTCACCCTTTATGTTTCCCCTCCGTTCAGTTCCCGTGGCCTCCATCAGCTCTCACGTCAACCATTGCGCTCGAGCCTTCAGTCAAATGACTTCAGGGCGTGGGGGTTGCTTCCTTTGACAAAAATACATAAACAATGATTCCATGTCAAATACCTTCAATACCATTCTTCAATGTTGTTCTCACAGACACTTCATACATCTGAGATATCTCATTTCATAATTCTAATACTTGAATGTTCCGTCGTAAATCATTTCCAAGGAAGAGAGATTGTGTCTCAAGTGATGTGCCCGCTTGTGTACGGACTGATTCTGCTCAACTTGGCCAAATATATATATCTCCACACGAACAACTCTTTTCTATCATGATTTTATACCTCAAGTATTTTCTTGACAACATTAATGGACATGATGCCCAACATGACTAGAACATGTAAAGAAATATCAACTTAGAGTCATGACTCAGAAGACACTGTAGTTATATATTATAGTGAAAGTGTTCACTTTGTGGCTCCCCGGTAGCCGGACCAATAGATAATCCGAAAGACGAGCGAGATCCACCCGAGCATGGAAGATCATGGAGCACCCAGGTACCTTTCAGGTTGTCATAGGCAGTTGGCCAAACACTCATTTCGTGATATTTTGATGCCAAAATGGACATGACAAAACAAATCACCAAATTGATCTCACTTGATAAGATCTGGTACCATAGACACTTTCTGCTCACATGGGGTTATCTGCGAGTACATTCTGGATACACAATGGCTGGACGTTAACTCGCCCACAGCCGGCAATGGAAAAGAACCTCCTACGGGACTTCCAAGACTGCTACCTTTTTGGTGTAGTCACCGTCGGTTCTATCTCGAGAATAGCACGTCTTATGGCTCCGCCATCCCGTTCAACCGCGTTGCGTGATCGGACAACCGCTCAAATCAAATAATGGTTTGTCGAACATAGTACTACAGACGCTAACATATGTTTTCGAGATCTCTCGCAATAAAACAGCACAAAAAGCTAGACCTTATTTCGTATCAGATGAAGGTCAAGTATGACCGCCATACTCAAGCACTACGAACGGTCGATCACCCTTGAGACATGCGGAACAGAGTGAACAGGAGCCTTTCAACGGAAGACCAACCAGGAAACATGACATGCTCTGGGGTGATTTATCTTTGATGGACCTGTCATATGATCCCTTTTTTTCCCCGTTGTCCAGATCACCCAAGTCCTCAATTGTGAATATGAGACATTGGCAATTTATAAGTTGGGTAGTGTTCTAAAGTCATATTTCTCTACATGGGAGGACAGTTCCAACTACCGAATTTGGTCTGAGATAATGACTTCAATGGCAAAAGGATAGTGTCAATCTGACCACAATCCTGAACGTGCTTTAACATGAGATATGCTTGATCATAGGCTTGTGCTAGACGCGGTGAAATGTGTTGGCGACATGTAAAATTTGAAGGAGATACTTCGGGATTTTATAGAAGCGAATAACTATTGATGGATATAATATTGATTGCTATGTTTGGACCTGTTCTCTAGTATGAAAAATCAAGATAAAGCGTGAAGTATATGAATATAGGGTCGATGATTTTCAGATCTAAATGACTGCTTTTGGGGTTCTATTTTAGATTCCAAGCGTTTTCAAATTTCCTTAGCTCTTGTAACTGGTAGACTGTTCGTTAGGATGAGACAAGCTGCTAAACAGGTATTTTAATCATCATATAACTGTAACGCCATGGTATTGATCTAGCTCCGCGCTTAATGTTTGATGCTTTCGTCTGATATATGGCAATAATAGAAATCGTATTGGTAGGTGGTTCACCTCCATCCCTGCATAAAATCCTCATATGATTTTGCACATAAATATTTTCCGAATGGCGATATTAAAGTGAGAGGTTAGTAGGTTAGTGGTTGTCGGTTCAGGGTCGAATTATGTGTGATGGAACTGAGAATGCTACTATTACGAACATGGAAGAAGACGAAAAAGGTCTGAGATACTCTAGACATGAATCTCCGACAAAAGCAATTCTATAGTGTAAAGTACGCAAGGTTGAAATCTATTGAACAAGTTTTTCGTGCGCAGGTTCGTCCCCGATCTCCATCATCTTCCTCTCCAATAACTTCGTCATTTCAACCACAGTGTCCGCATACTTGGGATCCGCATAACAATTGAACAGCTCAAGCGGGTCCTCTTGACAGTCAAACAACTCCCATTCACGACAATCCTCGCCTCCTGGCCGTGCTCCATCGACAAGCAAATCATCGTTGTACCAGTAAATCAACTTGTACCGATGATTGCGGACTCCATAATGCGCAAACGCTTCGTGTTCGGCATCATTATGCATCCAGTATCTGTGATATGCTAGCTGATCCCAATCAGCGGGGCAATTACCTCCCAGAATTGAGCGGAACGTTCGGCCTTGCATGTAAGTGGGTGTGGCGATGCCGGCGAAATCCAAAAAAGTGGGTGCGAAATCAACATTGCAGACGATGTCACTGCAAACACTGCCAGGCTTGATTTCTTTGGGATAACGAACCATCAACGGCATTTGGAAACTCTCTTCGTAAATGAACCGCTTGTCAAACCATCCGTGCTCACCAAGGAAGAAGCCCTGGTCCGATGTATATATGACAATGGTGTTATCAGACAATTCCGGATCCGAATCGAGCAGTTCGAAGATTCGGCCGACATTGTCATCAACGCTCTGGACGGTACGGAGATACCGTTGCATGTAACGCTGGAATTTGAATTCGGCCAGTTCCTTTTTTGATTCAAAGCGGAAGACGGTGCCGTCTTCATTGTCGATGAGCCTCATCAGTCGAACTTGCTCGTCCGTGGAAGGTGAAGGAACCTTCCGCATACCACCGGCCATCTTCTCTCCGACCTTTCTCCGATCGCCATCGGGCTGCGCCAGACCAAGGTCTTTGTAGGACAAATCTTCCGAAACTCGCATCTTCGCGATTGCGGCAGCCTTTGCACGATTTTTGTAGTCATCCGAGAAGGTGTCGGGTAGCTGGATGGGATCGTGATACAGATCCTTGTGCTTCTCCTGATATTCCCAGCTCCGATGCGGCGCCTTGTGGTGGCACATGACGAAGAATGGCTTGGACTGGTCTCGGCGTTTGATAAAATCGAGGGTCATATCTGTGATGATATCTGTAGCATATCCGTCTATGACTTTTGTACCATCGGGACCAATGAACTCGGGGTCATAATATTCGCCTTGACCCGGGAGGATGGACCAGAAATCAAACCCAGTGGGCTCATGCAATTTCCCTTCCCCCAGGTGCCACTTGCCGATCATGGCGGTTTGGTAGCCACCTCCTCGAAGTTGTTTCGCGACGTTCGGAGTGTGCCGTTGGATTTTCGAATGGAGGGACATGACACCATTGACATGGTTGTGGGTGCCAGTCAAAATGGCCGCTCGCGATGGTGTGCATATACTGTTCGTGACATAACAGTGATCGAAGCGCATTCCCTCGTTGGCGATCCGGTCGAGGTTTGGCGTTTGGTTGATTCCAGCTCCGTAGCAGGAAATGGCCTTCGAGGCATGATCGTCGGCCATAATGAAGATGATGTTGGGTCGCGTGGACCCTACATTAGCGGCCATGGTGGGCTTCTCGTGTCAGCAAATGCAAAGGCAAGAGATGAGAGGCTGGAAGCGTCGTAGGAAAAGACGAGATTGTCACGACTGCGCTCGCAATCTTTGAAAATGAAGAGCTGGGCATGGTGTCTTATTAGCCAAGGATTGTGCCTTCTCATACGACACAATCCACTTAGTCTCAATGCTACATTGAAGATTCGAGGGTTTTCCCCAGACGCGGTAGTCGGGAGGTTTGAGACGGATATCGGTCAATATGCCTCAACTTGGATTAGTCACCCCACCTATTATCACCTCGGGAGTTCCGTCCACTTACAATGAGACCGACACTTATCAGGATGTTACTCAACCTCGAAGTATGGGGACTCTTTGATTTTATTATCTATGGACTTACACCATGCCGACTGCCGATCCAATGATACTACCTTATTTGTCTGTTTTCAGATCACCAAATCCTCGAGCGAAACAGGTCTGTCAACAGTGCCGAGCTCGGAAGGTATTTTCTACGTATCTATGACAATAGTGAAGTGAATGACTGACTGAAATAGGTCGGTTGTGATGGCAGAGTCTCAACTTGCCGCAACTGCGAGCGCCTAGGGTTTCAATGTTCCTTTACCCAGGGTGAATCGCTTCTGGTGGCTGGTGCGCGATCCAGTCCGAGCAATGACGAAAGACCCGAGCGGCTACGAGGGCGAAGTTCCTGTTCACAATGTCGAGTGCGGAAGGTTCGCTGTTCCAATACCCACCCACAATGTGGCAACTGCGTCAAATATAACAGATTTTGTTCATATCCTGCGTCCATGGGGGCCCAGCGACGTGACAGAGGCCCCAGGCCACATGGGGAACATGGGGAATATGATCTACCTGATGCTCCACCCCCGGAATCTGGAGTTGCTGATGCTTTTTTGGCACCTGATACAATCTCAGTTGGCCACGACTCACTGCCGCTCGATCGAAGCAAGGAAATGGCCCAAGGAGATCCGTCTCATGGGGAAGTGACAGAACTGGTTCGACATTTTTTCAAGCATCTCTATCCAGTTCCTTCTTATGCATTTCTGCACCCTTCCACAACATTGGCAAAATGCCACAAAGGCACATTGGAGCGACCGCTACTTCTTGCTATTTGTGCCTTGACCTCGTTGCATGTGCCTGTACACAACGTGACCATCGACCGGGAGAAGAGTGCTGCATGGGTATCGAATGCGGAGGAGATTATCTGGAAGTGCCTGGAAACCCCAACAATGCCCCGTTTGCAAGCATTGCTGTTGACGATCAGCTATCGAATGGCAACTGGGAGCTATGAAAAGGCATTCATGTTGACTGCGATCGCCGCCCGTGCGGCCTCTGCCATGGGTCTGAATCATGAGCAAACCCACTTGGATCCAATTTTGGAGGAGACCAGACGCCGCACCGTATGGTGCTTCAAGTTGCTGGAGTCATATTTTTCCATCGGGTTGACTGAATTCGAAGTTTGTCCCTTTGAGTGCATTTACTTACACCCACCATCATTGGAAGACTCGTTTGGCTTGCTCTGTCCGCCTGGCTCTGAAGAATTTGCCATTTACGCCTTGAGAGATCAGAATGAGCTGGGGTCACTGAATATGTGTATTCGGTTGGCCTCTATTCGCAGGGATATTATGAAGTTGACTCGAGAGCTCGCTGTTTGCACTGAGCCTTACCTGCACCTTCAAGACGTGACTGGGGGTCTTGGAGAGATTCTCTGTGAACTTAAAGCGGAAATGCCCAACCAAGCCGAAATCTCAAGCTCGGGGCTGAAGAATTTGATTGAAAGTTCCTGGCTGCCCCGTCACATAATGATGTTTACCTTGTGGCACGGGTGCTATTTTGACTTGTATCGCATTTTCCTCCCTGGGTACCCTGAAGCCCCGCCATCTATCGTTCTGAGCACCATCGACGCGCAGTTTACTCAGATGGCGACCAGAGCCTGTGTTGAACATGCACTGGCAGTCGTCAATTTATTCTGTGACTTGAATCAGACCTGTACCAAGCCCCGTCTACTTGAGTTCGCTACCGGGGTGTGCGTCTATCACGCTGTTCGATTGATTTTGTTTATCGCTCATTTGTCGACTGAGCCAGATCTTCTGAGCCTTGAATTTGCAGTGAGTCGGGCGGAGTTATGCCTGGCAGCTATCCGGCGGTTTTTCCATGGGCTAGCTTTGGCACAGCCAATTCTCGATGATATTGCGCAATTGATCGAAACATTTTCTTCCAATAATTCCCCCACGGAGAGTCTTTCGGTATTTCACAAAGTGAATCACGGCCGGAAGTCGGACACCCGAATTCTATCTGCTGCGCGACCTCGGCAGCATTTGGCGGTTCACAGTGTCTTGCAACAAGCCAAGTTCTTCACAGAAGATCCTTCATGATGATGTGTTACATTAGAGATTACGATAATGACATGAGCCCAATCTTGGAACATTGTACTGTATTCAAATTACCTGTATCCATGCATATACTTATCGCTATCTCGAACTTAGATAACGCCAAACCCAATCCCCGCATAGAAACCTTGGAGGGTTTCCGATCGGACTAATGCAAGTTGAACTTTAACCTTGTGATACCGCGTGGATGAGTGGAGTCCCGGTAATCGGTCAACCTTACCAGATTGGGATATCCCCATTTCCTTTTTTTTGTTTCCTTCTCCCTCTTTTATCTATTCCGGATTGAAGTTCATGTCGAAAAAAGAGATAAAAAACTGGAGATTATGGGGAAATTTCGAATTTCCCAAGTGGTATACTACGTAGTTACAGTCACCCCACTGTGAATTATACTCCTTCGTTCCTTTTTTCTTCTCGGTTGGATACACCGCCCTTGAGATAAGATATTGACTGTTGCCATAATAATTATTCATGACGCGATCTCGCGTTAATCTCCTTAGGGAGTCATGTGCAGTGTAACATCACATTGATAACACTCTATATAATCTGCAGCTCTCATACATAAATGTAGACATTTCCCCCCGAAAGAAAAATGCAATGTCACCGGGTTTCTTTTTTTTGCTTACACCCTGAATTCGACCTATACCTGATCTTCTCCTTACCATGACAGCCAAGGACCCTGCCATTGGGACGGCTTCGGAGACCATGAAGGAACCTGGGACCCAGTCCGAGAGTTTGGAGACTGCCGACGCCTCGACTGGTACAATTTTCTCCAAGATCAGTGGCTGGTATGCCAGACCTCTCTTCCAGCTGGTCATGGTCGCCCTGATCTGCTTTTTGTGCCCGGGCATGTTCAATGCCCTAAGCGGCATGGGAGGAGGTGGACTGACCGATGCGACCCTGGTGGACAAAATGGTAACTTGTTCCCGTTTCTCCGTGTTGGTATGCTGTACTGACCGCATGGATTCACATAGAACACTGCTCTATATGTCACCTCTGCCTTTACCAGTTTCTTTTCCGGTACGATCGTGAATCGACTTGGTGTGCGACTCACGCTCGCCTGTGGAGGTATCGGTTACTGCATCTATGTCGCCAGCTTACTTACCTCATTACACAAACACGTCCCCGGTTTCAACATCTTCGCTGGCTTCTTTCTCGGTGTGTGCTCGAGCTTACTATGGACTGCCCAAGGCACTATTATGGTGTCGTACCCGTTGGAGCACCAAAAGGGGCGCTTTTTCACCTTGTTCTGGTCCATCTTCAATGTTGGATCGTGTGTTGGTAGTCTGGTACGTTCTCGAATCATCTCTCTTAAAATTGCGCATCAATGCACTTCCACAAAAGGGGAAGAAGAACAAGAGGGAAAAAAGACTGTTCATTTACTAACCCTTGACATGGCAGATTGTCCTTGCCAACAGCATTAACGAAAAGAAAAACGTCAACGTACCAGACAGCACTTATATCGTTTTTGTCGTTCTGACATTTATGGGCTCTGTGATTGGGCTCTTCATGGCCGATGCAAAGAAGGTGGTCCGATCGGATGGGTCGAGAGTCGTTTTGATGAAGAATCCAAGTTGGAAGTCTGAATTTATCGGTCTCTGGATGACCCTGCGCAGTGAACCATCTGTCTTGCTACTTTTCCCCATGTTCTGGTCATCCAACTGGTTCATCTCCTATCAGACCAACTCCGTCAATAGCGCTTTTTTCAACACCCGCACCAAAGCGTTAAACACCTTCCTCTATTACATAGCTCACATCCTCGGAGCCTGTTTTATTAGCACCATGGACTTGAACTACTTCCGCCGCACCATCCGTGCTAGGGGAATGCTTGTCATTCTCTTCAGTCTGACCATGATCATTCATGGTGGCGGCTATGTCTTCCAAAAACAGTACACTCGTCCTCCAGGCGGCGTAAAACCGTCAATCAATACGGACTGGACGGATTCCAACTATGGCGGACCGATGTTCTTGTACTTCTCATATGGCTTCTATGACGTGGTCTGGCAGGGTGCAGTATACTGGTATGTGATGTCTCTTGTCTTTACATCAATCTCTTCAAAATACTTGGAAAGCTGACCAGGAGAAAAATCCATTTAGGTATATTGGAACGATCAGCAACTCTGGTCGAAAGAGCGCCAACTACGTTGGCTTCTACAAAGGCATCCAGTCTGCCGGTGCTGGTGTCATGTGGGCATGGGACTCGACACACCCAGCGTATATGGCCGAGTTTGCTAGCAACTGGAGCCTTTTGGCCGGCTCTGTCATCTGCGCTGCTCCTTTTATTTGGCTTAAAATCAAGGACCATGTTGATGTGGAAGAGGACTTGGTAGGCACAGACGAAAAACTCGAGGATGTGAAGCCTGTCAATACAGAAATGCGCGATCACGTAGCTTGACACTGAGGTATTGTGATGGCAGTAGCGATTGGAAGAGGACCTGGGGAGGATCTGACTCTGGCCAGGGGAAAAAGACCATGGTTCAGGAAGACCTTGAAGAGTCAACAGGCACCCAGGTTGCTCAAACTTTGCCTCAGTGCTGGATCTATGTGAACGGAGAGAAGACATGTATAGTTACATACCAACAGAATATATAATACATTTACGCTAATAAAAACATACAACGTACCATTGTTGGATATCATAGGCATATATATGCCTTATGCCTGATATAGATCAACCGTATCAAACATGCACGACATGGGACCATGTTTGGCAGTACAAGTAGGGTCTCAGTATCCTATCCCTACTTGCTTTCTCTTCCTCCCCAGTGCTTTTCGATAGAGAGTATAATCATTATCTTTATCATCAATATTCTTTCGCAAGTTTTGACACATAAGCAGACATTGTTCAGCCAAATGACAATGTATATCTTTCTCGTCCAACCCAAAGGGTGTTTTGTTACCGTTTCAGGATTACAAAGAAAGTCGCGAAAAGATAGATAAAACATTCGGACTGGCCGGGTCAAATCAATTGGTATGTTTAGTACTGAATGGAATGAGTCCAGAGTAATGTTAATTTGCTCCTCGGACAAATCAAGAAGCTTCGACAGAGAGAGGACTCTCAAGCATAATAATCGCACCAACTCTTTCACGAAACTCCTGAACAAGTCGCCTTTTGATGATAAAGATATTGATGATATTCTCTATCGAAATGCAATACTGGGGAGGAAGAGAAGGCAAGTAGGGATAGGATACTGAGACTCTATTTATACTGCCAAACCTGGTCCCATGTCATGCATGTTTGATAGGGTTGATCTATATCAGGTATAAGGCATATATATGCCTGTGACATCCAACAGCATTTATTGTCTTTCATTATACGGGGTACTCAAGATTCAGTGGCGTTGGCTATGTATAGATGGGGCTGAAAATGAGGCTAAGACTATACTATAGGTTGCAGACCTTCTGGAACATTCTATCGAGGGTGTAAGAACCCCCGCCCTCGATGTACTGTTTACCTGAAGACTGAAATCACTGCTAGAATTCCATATACATCTATTGCCCGAATAACGCTCCGTTGCAAGCTTCCCAAAGGTCACGGGGCGTCAGGTCCTCACGATTTTTGTAAGTGTTGTAAACCATCTCGCCTCCTTCCATCTCACGTAATAATTGTATGGCTCTGGGATCACCATTCAATGCAGTAGCAAGATAGTGTAATGCAGTGTTTCCATCGACATCCTGGGCGCGTACATCGATTCTCGCGTCGGAGAGCACACGAAGGGTGCGGAGCTGTGCATCCTGCTCAGCAGATGTCAAAGGTGTCGGTGGATTGATGTGATGGAATGGCACTTGCATTGCGGCTCTCGTTGGTTCCAAGTGCAGCGGGCTTGGTTGTGAATGCGGAAGCCACGTAGAATCCAGTGTGCGGGCGCAGTGGATACTTCGCACCGCATCAGGGCTTTCTCGGTTTAAAGACATCGAGGTAAGTGGAAGCGAGGCGATATGAAGCAATGTATGACCCAGAGCCGTCGTGCCTGCGCTGGCGAGTGGCATAGGAAGAATCGATAGGATCTCTGGGTTATGGCGAGCAACTACCAAATGAAGTGGATGAACGTCGAAGATAGGAGTGCGGAGATCTAATTCGATGTCCGGGTGCGCGAGAAGATGTTTGATACAGGCCCGGATATCAGGATTATCTGGGTCGCACCGACCTAGTGCAAAGGAAAGCGGCGGAAAGGCAACTGTAGGAGCGACCATTGGCCGATAATTTGGAGAGTAGTGATATTTGTTGAGTAGTCGTTCAAGCATAGCATGTTGACCATGTTCGATGGCTTCGTGCACAGGAGATGTGACGCTTAATGATGATGGCCGAGTATGATCGAAGTTGGGCTGACCCGAAGCGCTTATCCAGGCAGAATCATCTGCTCCTGCGTCACGAACAAGCGCGAAGAGATCCTCATACCCTAGACCAGCAGCCACTTCTAGAGCTGTGATGCCTTTGTTCATCCTCAGTCGCTGACCTGGAACATTTGGTTCAGTCCAAAATCGTGGAAAGCTAGTGCGTCGCTCAGCCAGTTCTGCTTGTGTCAATGGCTGAGTCTGCTTGGTGATTCCCTTACGCGCTGCAACTTCTAGAATGTGTATTCGTGTATGGCAGGGGCCAAAGCTCGAGACATCGATTTTGGCATCTCGGCCGCGCATGAACCTCGCAGAGTAGTCAGACAAATCCCATATGTGGATGCCTGTTGGATCTGCACCACATGCTAGAAGCTCGCGAACATTTTCTGATGAATTAATACGAATGGCAGCGGTGAGTGGAGATTCGTAGGTACCCATATTACCACCACTGATATTTGCGTTAGGAGAGCACCCCGCTAGTTCACGAAGCTTTTTTTTATGGTAACCTAGTAGAGCACGAAGAACGGCTGGATTAGGATTGCCGGCAGCCCGAATGGCAGCAGACTCCTCAGAGACCCATGTGACATCTTCTCTAGTGAGTTTATATGCCATGATATGATGAAGTTGAAAAAGAGGCTTGACATTTCACCTTCAGTGCGGGGTTGTCTCGGTGATATCATAGCTCGGAATGGGTCAACTTGTCCTTTGCTTTGTATTTTCGATGTGACAAGAAGATATATCCAATAAGATAGATAGACGGTGTATCGAAGGAAGAAAAAAAAAAAAAAAAAAAACCGCAAAATCGTAGCAAACCGAGTAGACTGCGACAACACCCGTCTAGGGTGGGAGATGGGCTATATAAATTTTCGAGTGCGCGTTCATAACGCCCACCATGGGCATTACGGCAGGGCTTTGATCGCTATCGCGCCAACCGGGCTTTTGCCAGGCAGAAAATTAGTAGTGTATATGTGTATTCTGTTTACAGCGCTCTTCTGGAAAGAGATCTGAATAAACTTGAATACGTAAATAGTATTTCTCAATATTGCTCAGTCGTTATCAGCCTTACGTTTCCTTCCTGAGGCCCGTACCTAAGTTACACTCTCTGGTAACTGGGGCTCTATTGTCTCTTTATCTATTATATGAGAAGTCTCTCGCTTTCTATCATCTATTCCCCTTCCCCCTTATTGTCACTGATCAAATCAACCTCATCATCCCTTATAAAATTATCGTTTTGCTCCTTCACTAATTCGATCTCCCCCAATATCAAGATCTACTAGAGCTGCTTTACTTCAGCATCCTCAACAGTAAAAGCCTTCTTGCACATAGAAACAAAATCAGCTCCTCAATCATTTCAGATTTAAGACAATCACAGCGAAATTAATAAATATCCCAAGCTGTATTGAAGAGGCGTTCGATACCAGTACCTATTACTAGTATTGAGGGGATATCGCGAGTAAGTAACGCAATTACAGGGAAATGAGACTGGTTCTCCCGCCAGAATTGAAGAGGCCCAATATCAATTAGATCTAGAAGTAAGTAATAAATGGTGGTATAATTGTATAGAATATTAGTTCATTAATATACCACTATCAAGATATTAGGTTGTCTTATCACTAGCTAGCTTTATAGAAATCTTATTATTCTTTAGTATTGTGCTTCAGAAAGGATCGCATGAGTTCTATTCGGAGAGGAACCCCTTGACTATATACATGCGTCTACTGGTCCGTAGATAGACTACTATGGCAGAGAGTACTCACGTGCGGCTCTAGACAGGTGCCTATAGTCCCCAGAGATGCAAGTCTCATGTTTGAAATGAGCTGCCAGGATCTCATCCTCCCCCGCCAAGCCGAAACTGGTCTCTAGTTTCAACCGCTTGTGATTTTACTCATGCGGATCTCCGTTTCCTGGCTTTCGCGCGGGGCTTTTCGGCCCCAAAGTGAAATTTTTGGGTTTCTCCGTTCCCCCAGAAAACCGGAAAAAAGTCCTCCGTTCTCCGATTTGCTGTAAAAAATTCTCCGGAGAAATTGCACAAGGGTGTTTGGGCCCAAACTGGCCCGTTTGCAACCGAATCGTTACGATTGTGAGAAGACAAGAAAAAATCTATGTGATATAACAACATTAGCTTCTTTTAGGCTCTGGAGTCTTTGTGTCATCGTGGTAGCCCTTATTCCTGGATAAAAGGCTGAATCTCAGTGGCCAGTAGTCGAAAATCGAGTGAAAGAGAGAAGTAAGAGATGTGATGAGGTATATCACGAGCGTTGGTGGACAAGGAGAGGCCTTTTAAGGTGTAAAAATAGCTATTCCTATCTGGGGGTTGTCTCCAAGAACCTCCCCCAGACATTAAAATAGCCTCAGATCTGTCCCACAGTGATCGCCTCCCCATTGATTTTTCTCACCCCCTTTTTCGATTGCTTATAACCTTATTTCCTTTCTTAGCCCCCCCCGCGCTTCCAACACCATCGCTACATCCTCGATTCTATCTGTGAAGATGGTGCAATGCGGTATATATATCATTTTGAGGCCCCTGGAGGCCCTTGCGGGGTTCTTTTTCTGGAATTCTGGGCCGCATGGGTCCGATTGCTAACGTTGGGTGTAAATAAGAACCCGCCGTTCTTGTCCCCAGGTCTCACCCGTTTCTTTGATGAGCTCCCGTCCGAGCATTTTCAGGAGGAGCGAAAGATTGCCTCTACTTATGAGCATCTTCACTATCAGGCCCGTTTCGGCTCGTCCCGCCCCCGTTCTGTCGACGATGATACCGAGAAGGGACGTGAATTTTCTGAGGCCCTAAAAGATCTCATCCGTTCGGGACTCCGTGGGCCGGATTTTCGTGCAGGGTCTGATGAGCTTCTGCTCGACTTGTTTCCGGACCTGGCTGGACGCTTGTCTCGGCCTTCTCTGGCACCCCTTGGTGGCCGGGTGGCTGCGACCAGAGCCGCGCCAGGCGACAATGGTGACGGTGGGAACGATGGTGACATTGTAACCGTTCCCGGGCCCGTCCCTGCTGCTGCTCCGATCGTCCAGGTCCCCGTTCCTGGCCCTATTGCTGCTGCTGTTTCCGTTCCGGCTTTTGCGGCTCCCCCCGTTTCCATCCCTGGGGGATTTTCATACAGACTTCGTTCGCACGAGGAGTCCCAGACCTTCGTGGCTAACCAGGTCGATAATGGTGAGCTGTCCTTACCCGATTGAGGCTGATCGTGCTAACATTTTTATCTGTAGGGAACGGATTGGATGCGGCCGGGTTCCCAATTGTGAGCCGTCTCTCCGCGAGTGAGGGAGATAAGTTGTGGAAGCGTGTGTTTCCAGAGCGTGCTGATGTGGGTTGGAGGGAGGGCAAAGTCCCAAAAAGCACCTCCGTGCTCCAGGTGCGGGCCGTTTTGGGCCAATTAATTGGCCATGAGGCTCCTCCCGCAGCGATGTGCGACCCCTGTGCTCGTGGCAACGGCCCGTTTGACTCCTGTCGTGTCGCCTTTCTGGCCGGTGCCGGGTTCCAGTGGGACCTTGCGTGTGCCTGCTGCCAGTATAGTAGCGCGGCTAATAAATGTTCCTTCCGTGAGTGTGATATACTTCCCCGTACGGGGTTGGCCGGGCGCTAACCGATCATGCAGGTACTTCTGGCAAGTTCGCCCACCCCCCACCATGGCTGTATAGCCTCGTGAAGCGTTACCAACCCTCGAACTTGCAATTGCGGGACCCTGCGATGCAAGCTCTAGCTGCCCCTAAGGATTCGGCCCATACGCCTGCCAAGAAAGGACCCATTGAGGCCCGTGTGCCCTTCGCCAAGTCAACTGTGTCCGGAAAGGCTGCTGCTAACGCTCGTGTGGCCCCTACTGGTGCTGTCCCTACGCCGCAAACTCCCGTTAAAAAGCGTCAGGCTCCTAAGGATCCAGTCGGTGACGAGAGTGCTAAGAAGAGCAAGAAGCGTAAAGGCGCAAAAGGAAAGGACCGTGCCGTTGGTAAGGCGAAGGAGCTTCCTACCATTCCCGCACGAGTTCCCGCGGCCCCCGATCGGGCCCTACCTATGATTGCGAGCTGTATACGAGCCCATTGGAGTGGCCGCGGGTGTACAAGATGTCCGATCAGGCCTCTGTCACCGACGTCTACAAACGGGTCCGTGAGGTGTACCACCGTGTCCTGTACGACCTTGACACTCTTAGCGACGCTATGGTCGAGCTTGACTGGGACGTTCCGGACTCTGATGGGGATGATTGTCAGGATTCTCCTTCGAGCGAGAGTTCCGCAGATGTCCTCAACAAGAAGAAATAAGTCCTTTCGGAGGGGCTTGGTGTCTCGCGATTGAACGTTCTGTGTTTGTGGGCCCTGTTTAGTCCCGGATGACTTCCTTTTCTTTTCCCTTTCTGATGTTGATGACAGAGAAGATGATGATATTCTCTATCTAGAAGCAAGACTGGAGAGAGAGAGAGAAGAAAGAAAGCAAGTATGAATAGGATACTGAGATCCTATTTATACTGGCAAGCATGACGGCAGATCAAACATGTTTGATCTATATGCCTGGATGCCTATGGCATCCGACATCCCCCTCATAGATCAAGCATGAAGATGAAGCAAAAGAACATACCCCTCTCGTTCTAAACCCAGTTGCTGTATGAAAATCCTAAATTGATCCTTCGCCAATGCCTTAGTAAACCCATCAGCTGTGTTATGCTTGGATTCCACCCTACGTATGCTGATATGACCTTGTGCAACAGCATCTTTGACGAAGAAATATCTCAATGAAAGCCAGCGATTGGCTGATCTGCCCCCTTTCTTAGAGAGCAGAAGCTGTGAGTTGATACTATCAGTATAGATAACTGTAGCATCGGGCCTCGGCAATTGAAGCGAATCGGCCACTTTGTTCAGCCACATAGCATCCCTGCTAGGCTGATCGAGCGCACACCACTCTGCTACAGTGGTGGAATTGGCTGTGATAATCTGTTTCTTCGTAAACCATATCACTGGAGAGCCAGCGAAAAACCAGATAACACCTTCTGTCGACTTGCTGTCCTGCCAATCGGCGTGTGATGCATCAGAATATGCTGAAAATTGTAGTTCGTCAGACTTTGCAAGGACAATTCCTAGATTAGGATATTGGCGAAGGTATTTGATAACGTGATGAAGTGCCTCTATATCGTATAACGTCGGTTTCGCCAATCAGTGCTGTAGTCTTATCACTGCGAAGCGAATATCAGGCCTAGTTTTGACTGCCAGCCAATTGAGCATTCTAACCACCGATTGATAGTGGTCGAAGCTATCGTCATCGAGCAAGGCCTCTAAATCTTCTTCAATTACGGTTTCTCTCTATCCTGTAGGTAAAGGAATATCCTTAGTACCTAGAGTGCCTAACCCCTGTAGGATCTTTTGTATATAGGCACTCTGTGATAAAGAGATCGTCCTCTTTCCGTAGTCTCTGACCAAAGCACAGTTCAAATACTATTTCGGTTCACCAAGGTCCTTTATATCGTAGTATTTCTGAAGCATAGAAACCACTGTTTGAATCTCTATATCTATCGGAGCGGCGATAATAAAATCATCCATATAGATCATCATGATTGTTAGGCCTATCCCTTTTCCTTTGACGTAGACACAAGGGTCATCGCCTAGGGGTGAAAAGCCTATTTATCGAAGCTTTAAATCCATATCTTCATTCCAAAGGTAGGCGCTATCCCAGAGTCCAAATAGTGCCTGGTTCAATAAGCATACCTATTGGTGAGAGGTCCCATCAGAGTACTCAAATCCAGTTAGTTACCTTATATAGATAACCTCAGCATACTCTCTCGAAGCATTAAGATACGCCGCTATGAAATCAACTTATCTCCATCTAAGGTCATATATCGCGATAAGCGTTAACACAACCTTAATCATACATTCGGAAACCACTAGAGCGTAAGATTCCGCTCTATCCTTATCCTAGAAGTTTCCATAGACCACCCAGCGGGCTTTGAACCCATATACTTAATCCTTTGTGTTTATTTTCAGTGTGAATCTCCATTATCCTAGAAGGACTTTTAATTGTAGAGGTTTCGGGATTAGCGTCCATGTCTGCTTAGCGGTAAGGTCCTCAAGCTGTTTCTCTATAGCTTCTTTCCAGTGTATCCAGAAAGGTAACTTCTCTACCTGCTTATACGTTGTGGGTATATCGATATCCCTTGCGTATAGCGGTTTGTCATTGAATATAATAGGCATAGTGATGTCTACTGTGGCGTTTACGGATCCTTTAGCTTCCGATAGATCCCTAGGTAATCTTGATCTCGATCTTTACGAAGCTCTCTAACTGTCTCTATCCCTTTTCTCGTATTCAATAGAGAGGTGTTTTTGATTAGGGTCATAATACCTCTCTGGTGGTATACCAATATTGGCACGCCTTGAACGACGAGGTATGGGTTCGGTGATTGGATCAGGGGTTGAAGAGATTGAGATAATCTCCTTGTTTTGCTCTTAAAGTATTGGAGATTGTGGTGCTTCTTCTTCTTCTTATTAAGCCTTAATTATAGGCGAGGAGAAAGGATATTAATATCCCCTTCTCTGTACTTCGGGTGATGGAGTTGACTCTATAGATCTGGTTTCGCTAGATCTAATCTCCTGTTTAACAGCCGACGCTTGATTCTTTATTTCAGACATCTCACTCCCTATTCTCAAGACTTGCGAGGTTAATTCTTGAAGTCTTTTCTAGAGATCAGACCTCCTGGTTCGGTCTTCTGCTTCGCTAGGAGCATGGTGCTCGACTGAATCAGTGATATCTTCTACCCTTGCGCCAGTCATGACTGGTAGTTATATCGTAGGAATTGTACTCCTTGGAAAGATGTTAGGCTTTATCACTGGTGGTATAGGTAATGACTTTTGCAATCGTGGTGTTATAGGCATAGTCCAAACTCTGCCTTACGCTCCTGAGAGCTGGATGCTCGCTAAGGGTGTAACAAGAGTGTCCCTTGGGATCGACTTCTCCACTTACTGTGAAGTACTAGGTATATCGAGGAAGCTAATATAGCCTCCACTATCACCTAGTGGTCCTTCTGGCACTGGTGCCTTTACGCGAGAAGGTCAATCTCCATCGGAATCATCGTCTCCTAGTTATAGAAAGCCTACGTCCCTTAAAACTTTGACCTTCTTACTAACAGGGTCCCAGACTTTGAATATATGACCATTGTCCCCCTCATACCCAACTAGCATTCCTTTCCATGCCCTTAGGGATGCCTTTTTCGCCTAAGTGCGCTAAGCTCTTAGGATATACACATAAGTAGTGGATCCCCATGGCAAAAGGTGCTTTAATGTCGGCTCCGGATTCGGAATATCGAGGTCTCTTCTCCAATGCGTCAGTGGCGATATCTTGGTCTTAGGGTTGACCAATCTATTCGTGATATAGATAGCAGTATCGACTACATAGGGCCACATATTTTCAGGTATATCAGCGTCAATAATCATCGTCCGCTAAATATCATTGATATGACCCCCGAATCTCTTAACGACGCCATTTGGTTAGGCTATATAGGGGGGTGTGACTTCAAAAGTCATACCACGTTTTACCCCCAGTCTATGAAATTTTTGAACTCAGTTCCACCATCCATTCGCCAGATCCCAGGGTATCGGCCTGTGAGGAGCTTAATTTTCTCGTAAAAGGAGGTCAATTTGACAAAAGCCTCTCCTTTATTAGTGAGTGTGATCCCTTCAATATATCGAGTCGCATCATCGACTATTGGTAACCAGTATTTCTCCCCATTTAGACCCATAGGCTTCATTGGCTGAGTGTCAACGTGGAACTTCCATACAGCGTCCTATGCTCGCTCCTGGATATCTCGGGAGATCTTTTGCTTTGATTTGCCTAGAAAACAGGCCTCACAGTCGAAGTGCTTATTTCCGTATCTTTCATCGTCGCCGAGTTCCTCTGCATGGCTTAAAGTTGACAAGATCTTCGCCTTTCCAGCGTGACCCAGTCGTCTATGTATCTCTAGAGCAGTCACTCGGTTGACGATACCAAAATCGCATGGTTATTCTTGTTTACTTTCTTCACCGTGATCAGTGGGTAAAACTAGATATAGAACTCCAGATGTTATTTCGGCGTAACCAATGGTATTTCCGTTACCATCGGTAAGCAATTTCGATCTTGTATCATAGGATATATCTTGATCTTGAAGAAGTTTCTGCATTCCAAGAAGCTTCCCATGACCACTAGGGCTAAAATAACCCTGGGTCAAGAAGGAATAGATTGTTCCATTCTGTAGGACTGTTTTGACTAGGATTTCTCTGTGTCCCTGAGTGATGACTTGTCGGATGCCATAGGCATCCAGGCATATAGATCAAACATGTTTGATCTGCCGTCATGCTTGCCAGTATAAATAGGATCTCAGTATCCTATTCATACTTGCTTTCTTTCTTCTCTCTCTCTCTCCAGTCTTGCTTCTAGATAGAGAATATCATCATCTTCTCTGTCATCATGACTCTCTTGCCAGAGTAGTCTTTGTACGCATAGGCGGTGGTTGGATCATCTTGATGATAGGTGTAGAAATCGTTGAAATCATGGGTTAGGGTTTTGTCGGATCCTGTGTCCAAAAGCCAATTGTTAAGCCTGAAATTAGGGCTAGCTACCGCAACAGCCATATTCCTTCCACCTTCCGCCTTTATAGCAACACTGTAGGTCCAAACCTGCTTGCTGCCTATCCATGAAGCTGGCGGTGCTTCTGAGATATAGGCGCATTGTTTCGCAGGATGAGGACCATACCCGCAGTAGGAGCACATGCCATTCTCATCTTTCTGTGTGCCCTCACGCTTCTCGCGAGCGTATTCGTGAATATCCTTTCTAGCTGGAGGCTGATTGCGAAGGCCTTTCTTCTTTTTAGCGTCCTCATTCTCATCTTTAGGTGTGGAGGTATTGTTGCTTCCTCCACAGCCTCCACGGTTACCTCCTCGGCCGCCGCGTTTCGATTTTGATCCACGTCTAGCTTGGCGATTGGCATTGGATATACCATCAAGATCAGCGGCTGCTTGGATTTCCTGAAGATATTGATCGAGTTTTGTGTCGTTAATGGTGCTAGGTTCAACCTTACTGATTTCTTCAAGAATAAAGCTGATCTTTGGGACTTCATTGTGTAGCTATCCAAGCACGTTGGATAACGTTTGGAAAGGATGGGGACCAACTTTGAACCTTAAAATCACATGGTGTTGGTTCTATATTTAAAGAATGAACTCGTGAGCAGTATTGAAGCTTAATCGCTTGATTTTGAAGTATTTCTGCCACTCATTGTGTGTATTGTCTGCTTTATCTCTACCTTGAACCATGCTTATTATCTGGTCGAACATAGTATCGGCTTCTTCTGGAACGTGAGCGAGATTCTCAATCCGCCTTTGTAGGTTCTGATCAACCTGTAAGAACAGCCAAGTGCTGATAATTGATGACCAGTAAACCCATCTTATATGTAATGGATCAGCTCGGTCTGGTCTAGGGATTTCACTTTTGATCAAGTCACTGAGTCCCATTGGTTTAAGTATCATTCTGACTCTCAATTCCCAGCTCCTCGGACTTGTTATATTGTGTTCTAGGGCGTCAATCTTGTTGATATCGATCTTCGCTCTGTCCGGGAGATCGGTTCCTTGATGGCGATAAACCTCTGGTTCTGCCAGTAGATCGGCTGGCGTACCTGGAATGCCAGGCACCTAGGGGCTCTGGGAGCTTTCCATAGTGATTGATTCGCACGAATTGGCGTGCTTTCTCTAAAATCAAGATATGTCTTGAATTGAGAGAATGATGCCTCACTTTCGGTTCACTTTACCTATCGATAAGGTATGAAACCAAGCAAGATTTGGATCCCTTCTGATGAGAAATCCTGATGATTCTCCTAGATGAGGAGATAAGGTTCCTTGATGAGAAACCACTAGATGAACCAGTATGGAAGAGTGCTAGGAGTCTTTAAACTAGCATGAAAAAGGCGCTCATAACCTGATGACAGAGAAGATGATGATATTCTCTATCTAGAAGCAAGACTGGAGAGAGAGAGAGAAGAAAGAAAGCAAGTATGAATAGGATACTGAGATCCTATTTATACTGGCAAGCATGACGGCAGATCAAACATGTTTGATCTATATGCCTGGATGCCTATGGCATCCGACAGATGTATATGATGCATGATGGGGTGGTGAGACCCCTCTTTCTGTTGTAACATAGTTTCTCTTGTAGCCTTGCCCTTCTGTCGCTCCTGTACTGGCCCGGTTGGGTCCGATATAAATCGTTTCAAGCTTTTCTGTTTATCGCTTGCCGTGTATCTTCTGAAGGTGGCGGGATGCGACTGCGAATGGGTGTGCTGACCGATCTGAACCCTTGGTTCTTGATGAGCGTCCTCTGCCCATTCGTACCCTAAGGATGTCACTGATATGGTGTATTCCTCAAGTTCATAGTCGTTATTTTCCGGATTTCATTTATCCGTACCCGGCAGGTCTAGCTCGGGGACGTCTGTGCCATTGTTTTGTCGTTTTTGCTTCCGAACCTGTGCCCGCGTTTTGGCGATCAGGCGTTCGGCAATGGTTTCCTCCCCCACGAATTCTCGCTTCTCGCTGAGCGCCTAAGCACCTGAATTCTTGCCATTCCTCTTTCGTAAAAGTCGAAAGATCCGCGTGTAGCTAGGAGGTGGGGGCTCGACCTCATCAAGGCCCTGGTAGGTGGAGCTTATCTGATGACAGAGAAGATGATGATGATATTCTCTATCTAGAAGCAAGACTGAGAGGGAGAAGGAAAAGAAGAAAAGTATGGATAGGATACCGAGGGCCTATTTATACTGCCAAACATGATGCCATATCATGCATGTCTGATCTATACGCCTGGATACCTATGGCATCCAACAGTCATGCATGTACCCTTGTCATTTTTTCTTCAGTCGGTACTGGTACTACTATAAATAGGTAAGCTGATTGAGTTAGGAAATTTTGCTACTTAAGTTCGTCTGGATTACCTGACCACTAACTATAATCAGGTTCAGCCAAGATATGACCTTGATTGATCATGACCTACCTTACTCTGCCCTCGACTTCATCTTCTCTCTCTCGGGCGGACTTATGTCAGCTATAATGATGTGTATATCGGCTAGGTATTTCGCCGCCGTGGTACCACCCTTGTTCCTTTTTTTGTGGATGTTACAGAAATTCTACCTACGCACATCGCGCCAGATGCGACTCCTAGATCTCGAGGCCAAGTCCCCGCTATTCTCTCAATTTATTGAGACCCTTTCTGGCCTGGTAACAATTCGTGCCTTTGGTTGGGCCTCCGCATTCGAAGCCCAGAACCTGGCACTACTTGACGCGTCGCAGAAACCATTTTATTTGCTTTTTTGCATTCAAAGATGGCTGGATATAGCCTTCGATCTGTCTGTGGCTATTCTTGGTGCTATCTTGATGGTTCTCGTCGTAAAGTTGCGAAGTGAGGTTAGCACTGGATATGTTGGTCTCGCCATTCTTAATGTTATCACTTTCAGCCAGTCACTTTCGCAGATCTTACGAAATTGGGCCGAGCTCGAAACTTCCATTGGGGCTATCGCTCGAACTAAAGCTTTTGTTACTCATACTGCCTCTGAAAACAAGCCAGGCGAGAACGAGGGGCCCCAAGCTAGGGATATTGATTTGTCCCTCTGGCCATCTCATGGCGCGATTGAGTTTCATGATGTTTATGCATCTTACGAGGTGGGAGAAGAACAAACATATGTCTTTCGCAATTTGAGTCTATCAATCCAGCCTGGGCAAAAGATTGGAATATGTGGCCGCAGTGGTAGCGGCAAAAGCTCACTCCTGGCCACGCTATTTCGACTGCTGGAGATTGGACCCCAAAGCCGAATTTTGATTGACGGCGTGGACATTGCACACATTCCACGGCAGACTACACGTGCCGCTCTGAACGCAATTCCACAAGAGTCTTTTTTCACCCATGGCACTATTCGTGCCAATATCGATCCATCCAATACCAATGGCATTGAAGACATTAAGCAAGCCCTTCGCCGTGTTGAACTGTTGGACGTTGTTGAGATGAAAGGCGGATTTGACGCCGCTTTAGATGCCAATTTTTTCTCTCATGGTCAAAGACAACTCTTTTGTCTTGCACGAGCACTATTACGCAAAAGCAAAATCGTGATTCTCGACGAAATTTCTAGCAATGTGGACCTTATCTCCGACGCATTGATACAGCGGGTTATTCGGGAAGATTTTGCGGACTGCACGATCTTGGCTGTTGCCCATCGGCTTGATACTATCCTTGACTTTGACCGTATTGCTATGATACATAATGGCGAGCTGATCGAATTTGATAGGCCAGAAGTACTGCTTAGCATGGACAGTGCGTTCAAAAGGCTTTACGAGTCATGAAACACGAAGCCTGGCAGGATCAATTGGGGGGTGTCAGGCACTATATATACAAAGAAGATCAGGAAGACAATTGCATAAAATTATCAATGCAAAATTTGAGCCACGTGAAGCAGATCGGGACAGCGTAATTGCCAATATCCAAACGAAACGATGGGCTGGTGCGGAGTTTAGAATGTGAAAAGAAAAGAGAAGGTAAGAGGAGAGTGAGGATGGTTGTCACAGTGTATGGCCGTTCTAGACTAGGATGCGGATGTCTTCATACACAACCCGTTCTAGTAATACTTGCCGCCCAGTACATTTCACCTCATCAAGAGATATATAGCTGCTGATGAGCATCGACTCCTACCTCATTCCTTAAAGGTATTTATACTAGGTCAAAGGTCGATCACAAGCAAATTAAATATGTCCACAAGTGTAATGTCTGGATGTAGTCAGTCACGATGTGGGTAGAGCCCCAGTCTTGACATGGGGAGTACTCCAAGTTAGTCAAAATCACCTTTGGCTACATGTAGCTACATATTGCTCACGGGCAAAGGATGTGCAACTTTATGCACCCAGAGGTTCAAACCTTGAATAAGTCGAAGTTGGTGAACTGGAAGGACTGCGGAAAGCAGCAACGTCAGTTTTGATCCAACTCCGCACAGGAATTATCGGATTCGCCTAATACCTACGTCAAGTCGAGCAAAAAAGACTCAACGCGGTGTCAATGTGACCTAGGAAACCAAAGTGTGCACCATGTTCTGCTTGAGGATCGTTGGGGTAGACCGAGTGGGGCAGCCATTGTGGGAAAATTGTTGGAAGCCCGGGTCTCAACGATACTTAGGGAGGGAGAGCGATGCTGAAGGAAAGAAAGGGAGTACCGATCAGGGCGAAATTCAAAAATCAAAGCGGGACTCCTGGGACAATTTCAGTCAGTGGACGCGGTCGGCATGGGTAAGGAGATGAGGGAGACGCAGCAAAATCCTCATGATCCGACCGAGAATCCTCAAGGTTCCTCAAAACAAACCAGGACATTGCGGGTACAGGAGATATAAGAAGCACAACATCGTCAGGTGCCAGGTCCGCCGAGGTCACCTCACACCAACGTACATAGAGCACAACGTTTGTCGACAAAGGTGTGCATGGTCGCGATTCGAGTCTGTTCGTGTACGCATTGCCAGAGGATGCAGCAGACCTGGCAGTCCTGGTGATGCAGGGACTTGAACCCATCGTCATAGCGCCGGAGGCCATTCCATAATTGGCCTAGTGCGTTCCGTATCCTCCAACACGACTTGTCCCTTGTCTTTTCCCCTTGCTCCACCCGCTTCTCCCCCAATCCTACCAACGAATCAGAGCGGTTTCACTGACCATGTCAGATCTACTTTCTGGGGCCTCCGTCATGGAGCCCGCGGCGGAGGTTATTCTGCGGGCCGTCCCTCCCCTCACCCAGCTAAATGGAACGCGGGATGTCTCCAACTCATCTGAGGTTATCTCGTTACGGTTTTTTCATGAATGGGAGAACTTTAAACAGGATGTCCTCGGAGCATCCGACACTTTAGATCTTAGCCATCCTGTGCCTTACACAGATGATATATCAGAAAGCTATATCGTTGGAAACGAACGTGGTTTGAGCGGAAGGTTCTCCAAGAATATTTGTGACCCAGTTTCGAAAGTGTTTGCCACAACTTGCCTCTCCCACTTGAAATTCGGTGATTATCAGTCCTCTACAGGGCCAACGGACACGAGTCAAGTGCCTGATTTCACTTTGTTTCACACAACGGGACCACCTCGCCCAGCGGCTGTCGGAGAACTCAAGTCTTTCTGGACAGTTGAACTTGAGGACTATTCCATTCGCGAAGGGTATGCACGATTAATCGGCATCCAGCATCACATTGGTGAGTTCAGTGCAACCTTATTTACGACACTGTTAACGGTTCCCCAGCCCAACTTGTTAAGAACATGCGGTCAAGTAAGCTGAAGTTTGGATTTTTGTCGACATACGAGTGGACGGTCTTCATTCGCAGAGCGGCTCCTTACCACTTTGATATGTCCTTACCAATTGCAAGAGACGCATCGAACCCCAGTCTCCGGCAATGCTTCTTGGCGCTGGGTGTAATGGCCTCCAAAGATTCGAGATTTATTGAACCCCCTGACTTCAACATCGCCCAGGTAAGTTTTCCAGTTATAACAGCGGCAATCTCCTAATATCACCCCCTAGCTCCGCGTCCCGACCGGCCCTTCACTCCAAGCATCTATTCGTCCATCCGCTTTCCGGAACCAAATTGGCGCCATGGAGGAGACATCTGACATGCTTGGCTCATCATCCATCCTTTACGGGACCGATGACGGTATTGCAACGTTTTTTGTAAATTGCAAGAGCATTATCCAGCAATCCTCCGCCAAGGCGATTTATGAAGTCACATGGGATGGCGAACCAGCTATCGCGAAATGCTGGTCCCCGTCTAGAGTCGACCGGTCTGTTACTATGTCCTTGTAGCGTGGTATCTCAATCGCTAATTCCTTTATTCTACAGGTTTGCTGACGAAGCGAGGACGTATGAGAACATCCATGCGCAACGTCTAGCTGGTTTCGATTTTTTCCCCTCACTACTAAGCATCGGCAAGATATGTTGCTCTTCGATCTATCCCCAGGGTTACATCATTGTGATGACGAAGGTTGCTGGGGAACGGCTCGACACACAATGGAACCAACTTTCTGGAAGCGTCAAGGAGCACATACGTTCCGAGATTTACAAGGCTATCAAGGTCCTGAGGCGAGCATCAACTATTGTTATCGACTCCGGGATGCACAATATCTTGTATGACTCGGAAACCAACGCTGTAACAATGGTGGATTTTGAGTTAATGCAAGCATGTGAGGAGGACACCATGAGTCCTGACGAACCAGAGATGTTTTCCATATTCGGACATTACCCTTCGCGCGTACAGGTTCGTCACGAGGGCTTATGACGCCAATCACAGACGATCACACTCTGGATCTATCGCGAGCCGATGGCTGCCATGGATTGTGAATTAGGTATCTGCACCTTGCTTGATTATTCTTGAATAAATTACATGTATCAAACCCCATACTAGTCTTATTTGAAGTGTCTACCCTAAATTGGTACGGAGTATACGAAACAATGACAAAAATAAGAGATATAATGAAATGTACCGTTTTCTTGCCGAATCTTTGTTCCGAAAGTGAATGAACGCCGATGAGGTCCCAGTCCTGGAGAAAGGGTGGATGCCTTACGACGCCCTTGGAGACTTTGGCAGGTGTATAGGAGAGTAAGAAGACATACATCCAGGCACCATGGAGCAAGCCACCAAGCATTCATATTGAGGAGAGAGAACGAGCAAGAAATGCACACGAAAATTTAGAAAGAGAAATAGGTCGTTCAACATTTGTGATAAGCTAGCGAGCTCTTCTAGCAAGGTTTCTGGAGTCAATGGCATCGAATGAATAGAGGCCAGGAGGGTAAAATAGCGATGAACCTCTAAAGCATGGGAGCAATTCCTGAAAACGCTTTCTGTGATAGTCTTGAACGAGCTGTTATATGCTTGTTCCATTCGGAGGGGGGGTTTGTTGAAGACCATCCAAACTGGTAAAACTGGTCGCACCAAGATTCGAGAATTGCCAAATTATTTCGGTTGGGAATTTTACAAAAGAGTCCTTCGGGGAAACCGCTAGGGTGCCCACCGCCATTATTGCCCCCCCGACCGATCTTCTCACTCTCATAAGTGTCCCTTATTGTCGGATGCCATAGGCATCCATGCATATAGATCAAACATGTTTGATATGCCATCATGTTTGGCAGTATAAACAGGATCTCAGTATCCTATTCATACTTGCTTTCTCTTCTTTTCTCTCTCTCAGTCTTGCTTCTAGATAAAGAATATCATCATCATCTTCTCTGTCATCAAATATGTTGTCCCAGGGATCTAACGTTACACCTCGTTGGACGTCATAACCATCATTGCTAAAGAGAGAACTGCGCCTTATATGTCCGAGCAAACTGTAGCGACAGACTTATGGTGAATGAGTATTAGTTGCGGCCTCCTCTATTAGCTGCCAAAAGAAAAGTTGTTCGTCCGTGACAGGGTCCTGGCCAAGGCAAAGTATCGCGGGCGATAATCGTTGATATTCCCTAGGCCAAAGAAACACCTGTCAAGATTAATCACCGGCAAAGGAAATGAACCCACGTTGCGTATGGAGGACATCTGAAGCTACCAGCAGAAGACCAGGAACCGGTTGCTAAGCGACCATCCTGTATGGTTTGTACAGTTCCACAATATATTTCTACGGAATGCTTTGCACATCTCGTAAGCCTTTCTTAATTTGCATACCACAATACAGTACGCCTTTTTCGACATCCATCAATTTGATGAGGCCCACTCAATGATAAATCTGCGCCAAGGCCTTGGCGGTGGGGCCAGAAAAGAGTGACGAAAAGGGTGTCTGTCGAGCCGATGTTGAGAACGACTGTAATGTGAAAATAAATCGAGTTCATTTAAAAGGGTGTAGGGATTGAAGCGGCTTCTAGACAGATCTACGAAAAGGGTGAGAGCCGGTTTGCGAAGACCCACGTGACTTCATAGTATTTTTTAAAAGGCAGATCAGACTGAAGTCTTAGTAATTGGTTCCTGGCCTCAAAATGGAACTCAACAATGCTTGATAGTGAATGTGGGGTAAATGAAAAGCCATCCCCATAAAACCGGTCCCAGACCACCAATCTCTCCGCGCTCTTAGGGGCGCAAGATACAGAGAAGATCTTCTGAGTGATTGCCCACGCCACGACCGCCGCATTGCAGTGTTTTCTTGAGATTTTTGGGTAAAAGGTATCGGGTAAAGAACTGTACATTCCATGCCGGTAATTTAGGCTGCTGGTATTTCCTACTTGTTCAGCTACAAAACGTATTAATTACACCTATTCATATTTGGATTAGCGTATCTCATGAATAGGGTTTGAAACAGTCTCTCTGCGTCTATTATGTAGAAGGAAATGGCGTGCGCTACTATAGAGTAATAACGAGTATGAATATATATAGGGTCAAGGAGGATAAACGGGGGAGCTTGAGTATTTATACCATATTCGTGCTAAGGGTTGATTCAGGTCTCAGCTGTGGCTGTCGGCTACGAACTCGGCAAAAACTAGAAAAGGCTAGATGCCAGCAGTTCCCAAAGGATCAATTACTTCGATATTAATCATAAAATTCTCCAAGGTTTTATGTCTAATTTGGCTTTTACAGAGCCAATGTACAAATCTCATTTCTTGAGCTGAGCTTTGATCAGGTTTATAGATTGATACTGTGTCTCTCCGAAACGTCAAGGCAGGATCGAGATCCTTTAATCATGGGCTCAATAATAGAAGTAGGCATAAAGAACGCCATACCTCACTACAAATGCTAGTGATCTAAATTTGACTGAAAAGTAGAGCGTGGCCGGTCATTTCAAACCGAAAACTTCAGGGTCTCCATAGCAAAGTTCTGCAAACATATTCCGATTGCGGCATCATGACTTTCGGCAGGAAAGTCAGGGAAGTAACAGCAGTTGCTCCGACATGTTGTTCTGGTGATAAAAAAACAAGATAGGCTTAACTGGGGCGTCAAGTATGCCGTAGTCGACCCCGTAGTTACCATTACCATCGGAAGAAAAGTCCATGAAAGTTGGTAGCTCCGAGCCCAGCAATGCAGAATTAGTCGGACACTGATAGCTTCAGAGAAATTGATGAAATTGACTTCCCCAGAATTCCGCTTCCCACCCCACGCATTCCAGTCGTTGAGACGGGAGAGTGGTCGCAGACCGGAGTGAATGGGGTACCGTCAAGTCTTGACAACTACAAGATGCCAGACAATGGCATCTCCAAACGAATATGAGTTGAAGACAACACTGCCATTGCAGATACCATCCCCGCGAGAGAGAGGTATCACCTGGTGCTGGCATACCTCTCAACGGCGGCTGGAAGGACGCCGGCTGCCACCACGGTGGGGTCCGGAAGCTCAGGAGATAGCGGCCCCAGGGCTTCCACCAGGCAAAGCTCCGTGAAAGAGATCGTGAAGGTGAACTCCGAGGACGGAGTACAAAGCGCCTCACAGGCATCAGATGAACCAAGTTTAGGTCAACCGGCGAGCAACGAAGAACCAGCGTCATCGGGAGACACTGAAATACAGGGGGCCCAGGAGGAAGACATGACGAGGCTCAGTTTTGCAGTAGAGACTGCCTATGCAAGTTATGCAAGTGCAATTAGCGAATCAATCCGCCAGCCGACACAGAAGCCAAGGGGGCTTCGCCAGTCGATACATGCACCGGCAGGAACTCGCGCCAAACCACCAAGACGCAGAGCACCCAGTTGGGCATCAACGTCGTGGGCCACTACCAGGAGCAAGAACCTGACCAGATCAAAGCTGAAGGCAAATTCAGGTACGAGCGGGCAAGGGATGACACATACATCGTGCGCCCACAAAGCGCTTGGTGTAGGCGCCGAACAAAAATATCCTCCGTTGACTATCGAAGCCACGGTGTGTGATATGTTCTGCTCCAGCGCTCACTCTTGTAAGAATTCCTGGCAGACTGTGGGGGAATTATTTGAACCTGGAGCGTCAGCCATGCTCGGGGAGGAAGAGATGTTGAGGAAATCGAGAGCAGTGCCGATCGTGGGAAAGTCCATGATCGCATCGGGCCTTCTGGGACATTTTCAGTCTGTGAACTTGGTCGCCGTCGGCCAGGAGCAGGGGGCAGGGGACGAGTGTTCAAATTCCAACCCAAATCTACAACGAGACTTTGCGAGTGTCGGAGAAACAGGACGCAGAGTCGCGACCAGACCCAGGCCGAGAACGCGGGACCTCGGGAGGAGTGGGGCGGATCGCTCGGCCAATCATCGCAGCGTGTGGGAACTTCCCCTGTGTTTGGGGAACTTCCCCTTCTCTCTAGGAACTTCCCCATGTGCCCTGGGAACTTCCCTTTTTCATGGAAGGTCTCATTTTCTCGTGGAAGTTCTGTTTTTCTCTCGGAACTTCCTTTCTGCTCTCCAAGTTCCTCTCCTGTCATCAACAGTCCTGAACGCCTAGAGTGGGAAAAAAGCCCAGGTCTGCCCTTCTCACCAAAACTTGCCTTTGCCCTATTAGGAAAAATTCTCAAAAGTTCAGTTGCAATCTCCGGGAGTCAAATGCCTCATACAACTCCTTGCCATTCAAAAATAAGACATGCCGGACCAGGTACGCCGCAGACAATGGAGAGAAGAATCCAGAAAGCGGCGGGGGAATCTGCATATCCCAGAATGTTTGACATGGGGCGCGTTCAATCTGGACTTTCCAACACTCGACAACCCAGGCGTCGTGGAACTCCAGATATTTATGCGTGAGCTGGATGGCGAAGCACAGTGGGCAAAATCGAGAGAGGAGATCATCGCAGAATTCATGAGAAAATTGCTTCCCCTGAAGAGCCCACTTAATATCATTGCATCGATACCTTCTGCCTTTCCAGGATCCAGTGGAGACATGATTCTGTTGAAAGACTCGCGGGCTTTGGACGACTGTCTTCGCGAAAAGTTTGACAAACCACTCCTCTATCGGGGATCGGTGTCGGGAAATTCACTCTCTGGTCGCCAACTAAGCTTAGATGCATTCTGGATGCATCTACGTGAGCAAATCAACAACACCATTGACGTTTACGACTATACTGTGGCAGATCCTGCTGGCAGAACACGAAGAATGGCTGTCCAGGAAGTTCTTTCACATTGGGAGATCCCTCAGCCTAAACGCCATGCAATCAACCTCCTGGACATCGAAAACAGAATTGGTGACTTCTGTCCGACTGAAATAATAAGACATGATCTATCGAATAAATTGTCTTGCGGAATTCCAGAGAACCTGGGGAAAACGGAGTCACAATGGAGAAATGAGCGGCGGGAATTCTTTCTGCTGAGCGGAGCAAACGCGATATCCTCCATCCACGTGGATAATGGAGCTCAGCTAACCTGGATTATGATTCTCGAAGGGCGGAAGATCTGGTATTTCCCACGCAAAGTGACGGATGATGCGGTTCGACTCTTAGCCCTTGCAGGTTCCCAGTGGTCTCACGGATATGAAGAAGGATGGGTACGGGTGGAATTATGCGCCGGTGACCTTTTGTGAGTATGGAACCCAAAATACTAGATCATCTTGACTGATTTCTTCAGAGTTATGCCTCCTAGTTTTCCTCACGCAGTATTCACTCCAGATGATTGCCTTGCGGTCGGCGGCCATTTCTACACGGCACCACATCTTAGTTCAACTCTCCGTGGGCTCAGACTTCAGGAGGACTATCCTGACATATGCAATGAAGACCTACAAGCAGATTTCTACAATCTTCTCACAAGCCTTCTTCATAACGGGAGTCAGGTCTGGACTGCTACACAGCGGGTCGACATCCTTACCTCTTCTTCACTATTTCTGGATAACCTGGACACGGCATCTTTAGCAATTCGATATAAAGCCAATGGACGCGCCAGCCGCTCTCGCGGCGCGAGTGATCGCCAGTCCAGAGTCATCGAACGACTCAATTCAAGATCGACCAGCCGCAATTATCTTGGGCAAAGTCGTACCCTCTTCATGAATGCCCTGGAAGTCTTCCGGAAACAGCTCCTAGAGACTTGGGATATCCATTCTTAAGATCCATTGTTCCAGCCATCGTTCTGCGTTTTAGCTTGTTCTTGATTCATTTCCAAACCATACCTGTGATGACAATAGATTTTATTTGCCCGATGTAGCTCACTATTACATGCATGCCAATAAATCAATCAATCAAAGTTCAAATAACCTGATGCAGCCTAAATACCTGCGTATGACTACGCAGGCGCTTCATCCAACTGAAGCAAGAGCTCGATGCCAAACGCCGAGTGGGATTTCTCCCCGAGTATACAGATATATTGATGATAAGATATTGATGATATCTCTATCTAGAACTAGACTGGGTAGCAAGAGAAAGCAAGAAGGAATAGGACTCTGGCAACCTATTTATACAACCAAACATGGTCCCATATCCCATTGTTTGCTATACTTGATCTATATCAGGCACATGGTATATAGATGCCTGTGGTATCCGACATAGTGAGATGCTGATTGTAAGGAGTGGACTCAGCCTTGTCCTGTACTCTGTAAACTCACAATTTCAAGCCTATCCAAACCCATACATAAGAAATAAAATAATGATTGTAGTGGAGTGCGCCCTCCACCTCCTATCTCGCATCTATCTCTCTCTCCCTCTGTTGGAAGGTTCATAGGTTCTTGGTCGATTGGCAGGCAAAACAGCATGCCAAGTTGTTGCCTTCTGAAGGTTGGTAAAAAAAGGCATTCTGGCCAGTTGAAGTGGAGTAACCCCAGCGAGCTCCATTCTTTGGAACGATCAGGCTCTGGTGGCGACATTGTAGTAGTTGTAGGTGATGATGACGATGGAGGAATCCTCGACGATGGGTTGAATTGTGGTATTTGCGGATTTGGGAATAAGAGGTGGGCGCTAGGTTGAGATGGGGTTCTTGTCCACTCTTGGATCTGGGCCCTGAGGTTTCCCCTGTGCTGGCTTCTCGTGGTCAACCCCATTGCGTGTTTAAAGTATGTTTTACTTTGGCAGCCGGTCTCATACCTTTTGCTACAGTCAGTAGCTTCCGCCCTATTGCCCTCTTTTTCTCGGGCTCCACTGCCAACATATTAGCCCGACATGCTATGTAGCAAAGTTCAATACAAAAAAGCCTACTTGAAGTATTCGTTGGTATCTCAAGAGGTTAGTACTCTATCTATTTAATCTAAATTTACTTCAACTAACCGAACGTAGTTGAGTGACGGTGACCTCCCTTTGCATGCGAACTCAACCCTTCCTACAAAAAATATGAATCGGCCCACAATTGAATACATAAGATCAGGCCTATTTATTCTTTGTCCAGTAACAGTAGAAAGGCTTTCGCACATGTATCTATTTACGGTAATGAAAGTACCAAGTACAAAATGAAGTGACCAAGATACCAACAAACACAGGGTAAGATAAAGCTTGGGGGCCAGAATACTGGAGAAACACTGGGTGTTCCGGAGATGGATCGGTCACTGTGGTAGTTATGCTACCTGGCATTGATGGTCCACCGAATTGAAGACTGAAGCGCCGTAGAAGATCGTTAAGACGTTGCCTAGCTTGCTGGGAGTCTGGTGGTTGTTCGTATGGAACTTCCAGCACGTCATGCGCTTGAGGAGCATTCAATCTGCCGTGGGTGGGATGCTTGTGTCTGCATGGCAAGCATAAATCTAGATTGGCACAAACTCTACAGATAACGCGAGTGCCATAAATAGGCTCGTCACAAATATCGCAGGTAAGTCTAAATTTGACACCAAGAAGATATTCCTGGCTCAGGTCAAGATTGAATATCAGCCGCGCATTGTCTTCATCCTTTAAAAACATCAAATAGTGTCCTAACTGCTGCAGGAGAGCCCACGAATGATGGTAGTCAGAAGTAAGGAGGGTGGCCGATATTTGATGGATAGATCGACGGACCATGGAGCTTTGCAGCTCATTATCGGTTGGGGCAATGGCAGGGAAAGTATTGCGAAGTTGGGTTGCCAGTTGAAGGTTATCTGCTGCCCAATCCAAGGAGTTCCTGCCATACCCATCCAGGAGGTAAGGATCAGCACCTAGTTCTAGTAGAGCGAGAGCGAAACGTGTATGACCATGAATGACGGCAAGTTGAAGTGGAGTTCGTGAAAACCTGTCTTGGGCGTTGAGGGTTGAAGCAAGGCAAGGATGCTTTCGGAGTATATGTAACATATTCTTCGATGCAGCGATGTGGAGGGGAGTACGGTAAAGGTGATCCGAAAGTTCGGGATTTGCACCTGTCTGGAGAAGGCTATCAACTGTATGGACAAAGCCTTGATACACGGCAGCAAGGAGTGGATACCCATATTCACCACCGTGGGCATTGACGTTGGCCTTAGCATCAAGCAGTATCTGTACCACCTCTGCGCTCCCATCCAGAGAAGCGGCCTGTAGAGCGTTTCCGTATTGACCACCCTGGGCATTGACGTCGGCCTTAGCATCAAGCAGCATCTGTACCACCTCTGCGCTCCCATCCAGAGAAGCGGCCTGTAGAGCGTTTCCATAGCTACCACCCTGGGCATTGACGTCGGCCTTAGCATCAAGCAGCATCCACACCACCTTTGAGAGCCCATGATGTGAAGCGGCCTGTAGAGCGTTTCCGTATTGACCACCCTGGGTATTGACGTAGGCTTTAGCATCAAGCAGCATCTGTACCACCTCTGCGCTCCTATGATATGAAGCCGCCTGTAGGGCGTTTCCGTATTGACCACCCTGGGCATTTACATCGGCTCCTTTCTCAAGTAAAAGGTCCACTACCACCAATTGACCGTTCAGCGATGCTTCCTGAAGCGCGGTCCCGGCCCCTTTGCCGCTTCCATCGACCTTGGCATCGCTTTTTAGAAGCCACTCAATAAGTTCTTTGTGCCCATGGCTAGCCGCTTCCACAATTGGCGTTCGCCCATCTTTCCCTATCGCCTCAGTACCGGCTCCCTTCTCTCGCAGTAGTTTGGCCCCAGTTATATGACCCTGCCGTGCTGCCAAATGCAAGGGCGTTTTTCCGTCATCGTCGATTCTTGAGACATTCTGCTTGTTCGAAGCTAGATTCTCGATGACATTCAACAAATTGGCAGTCGCTGCCATATGCATCACTGTAGTACCGGTTGGTGGTCTGGATGATCCGTAGTCATCTAGCACTCTGTACACTCTGGTCCATTTACATACGATTTGCTCAAGTAGTTGAACTTCATCGCGCAGTTCATGGGTCCGAAAATTCGCCGCTTTCTCCCCATGAACGAGAAGGTTGAGCGTTGCATAGGATAGGAACGGTTGGCTCTTAACGTATTCCTCTTGTTTTTTTATGGGAACATGTTCCAATTTTTGAACGGTGACCTCAACAATGGCAAGGTACTTCAAACAGGAATGGTACAGCCTGGCCTGGCATTTGATCAAAACTTGTGTGGCCGGCAGTGTTGTTCGCTCCACCTTGCTAGCCAAAGATGCCAGTCCTTTGTCGTGCAAGAAATCGTTGACCGACTGGTGAATCACTTGAATGATCTCGTCGTTCGTATCGCTCTGGGTGACTTCCGCCAATCCACCCGATAGCACCTTGACTCGCGTCTTCATGGCCTCATTGTTTTCCACGAGACCCTCGATCTCCTGTGCTCTCCTGAGCGAGGCTACGACTTTTGTATTGGCCATCGCCATGGCATATCGCATTTCTGTCACAGTCAGTGGTCGCTGGGCCAGATGTAGCCACTGAAAGAATAAGAAGGCCTCCCCCTGATCATCATCGGGTATGACTTCGCTCAGAATGTATTGGTATACGCCTTCGAGATCAGGTGGGACCCGCTTCAACCAAGCGCGAATCTTCTCCCGCGATTTCTTTTCCTTGATCTGCCGGCTAATGATTGGTGCGACGATTTTGGCCCACTGAAACATTCCACTTGCTTGCTTGATTAGTTCATCCACTAGGCCCTTCCACTGGTCGCGATCAGCGACTTGCTGGGAATTTTCACCAAGAAGAGTATCCTCGATATACCTGGTGATATCTGCCGAGTTGTGCTGTTCAACGGTAATCTCCGTAGCCGTGGGATTTCCTACAATAGGATAATGTCGGCAGGAAATGCATATCTTGACGCGTCTTCCCGCTCTTTCCGCCCGGTTATTGAGCTCGTGGAAATAATTCGCCATCATCTCGGCAGATTCACTTCCTGTCTCATCCAGAGCATCCACGAAAATGGTAACATCTTGATCTTTGGCAGATGTCAATATTGCATTGGCTAGCAAATCTGCTAGTGTCTGCTGTGACCATTCCCACTGGCCCTTTGTATCCCCAAACTTCCTGCACCGCTCTGTGTAAGCGTCGCGCACGGGGGTTTGTACATTCTCATCGGCATCAAAAATCTGATTCAATAACGATCTGAACATCCCCAATGGGATATGCTGCATCTCAGCGCCTCGAGCGGTGAAGAAAAACTCAATTTGGATTCCACGGGGGCTCTCGTGCAGTTTCTTGAGCTCTTCATGTAGGCATAGCATTAGGGTCGATTTCCCTGCACCTGCCTTGCCCTTGATCCATAGTAGACCGCTGGACTGATTCCTCCAGGATTTGTAGTTCTCTAGCTCGAAAATCCATTGGCAGGTATGAGCATGGGGTCGTTCGATGCTGTCTCTCCGATCCAGCATGTGCGGGAATGCCAGCGACTGAAGGATCTCTGTTGTGAGTATCAGTCACATCTTTCCTAGTTTTGGATTTGGGGTAGTGCGGACTGTTGTTCAAACTCTCCTGGGCTGTGGAGTATAAGCATCATCAGCTGTTAGGTTGCTTCCTGGCGGAGGGACTAACCTTCCTCGACTCCACCTCCATGTGATACTAGAACTATGATCCATTAGCAGAGGTTGTGCGACGTTCAAGACCTTCATGTTCCCCGTTACCTTTATTATCTTTCCCAAAATTGTACTGAATTCCAAAATGATTGTTGTTCTGCGGTCCGCCACCAGTATTGGCGCTCAACACCCCACTCTGGTTACTAAAGGAGGCATCGTGGTGTTTCGGCAGGCTCGTCATAATTCCTTTGTAGGCATTTGAGGCCCCGAAACACGTCTTCGATACGCAGATATCTCGCTCAAAAATATTGCGTCCGAATCGCGATGATGGGGTGGGCGAGGGATAGACAGGATTGTAGATGGGGCAATTCAGCTGGCCTTGCCCGCACCCACTGCTGCGCGCCCAAGTCACGTCTCCGCTCATCCTGCCCGATCTGGTTTAGTCATTACGCATAAGTACGAATGGGCCCCGTCAACACGGGTATATAGACCCGTACCCAATTCGTATTGATTCGTTTGTCATCTCGTCTTATTTCAAAGATGAAAATTGATCCAAGGATAATGTTCTGATGTGAAAATTTTAAAAAAATGTTTCTGAAGTATAATCATGTTCTATAATAATCGTCTTAGACTGTTGTGTATATCAAAAGAAGATTTCGAGACCTCTTATGGGAAGGACCGCGTCTTGTATATGGGATATTCTCGCAAGGAGTCTCATGAGAAATTTGTCATTAATTTTGCTTCTTCAAAGCTTCATTCGGTCCCTTGATCTGTCACGGGTTACCCTAACCATGTATTCGGGTAGCATAGTAATTCTTTCATACACTATAATACGATATATGCATAAAATAGCCGTATGATAATGTTCTCATATGTACTTGATGCACACGAACCTTCGTACATGAACATGATTTTTCTATTTGATGTGTAACTCACTTTCACTACTTTTTGTACTGAATATGATTTGACTGGAACAAGCTATGAATAGTGGGCTCAGGGAACCAGGATTGAGGCACCTAATACCAACACGCGAGCGGGGTAGATATTCGTCGTGATCAGTCACTCTCGCGGCGCAATCAGTGAAATGTCATAAGATTTTCATTGCAAGATACACAAGTCTGTACCTCCAAATTGAAGTTGGCTTTTCATTCGCGCGCGTGCTCCAGACTAACGAAAAATCGAATAATCTATTAAGATTTCGAATGTCGCTCGACCACCAATACCCGAGGGATCAATGAAGTGTGATGAGAAAAAAAGTAAGCGTAACAAGATAGGAAATATATATTTTCTATTTCCCTTGAGATTTCGAAAATCAGCTTCTCGTAAGACGACAATTAAGACCCGACATAGCCTTGTGTCATATCTTCTTTCTGATGGCTTATTTCGGTGGCTGGAAGCCATGAATTGGTCCATTGAACTGGTAGCCGGAGCCATTGTTGTTATTCTGAGGTGCAGTGCCAGTGTTCACGTTCATCCAGCCGCTTCCTGAGTTGTAAAACGAATAAGACGATTCTTCGTTCGGCAATGAGTCGGCCATCCCCTTGACTTTGCGTAAAGCCTCCTTTAATTCGTCCACACTTGTGCCGGCCACATCCACAAATAGTGAGCTCGTGGCCAATTCAGTCATATGTTCAAGTATGGCCTCCATTACATGCTCCAACCGATCTCCCTTTGCAACCATCCGATATTGTTGCTGGGCATCGGAAGCTCCAATAACATGGAGGAACATTTTATCCAGTTGAGCCGCCTTTTCCGTGCAGCCTTCTACTGCGGGCCGCAAGTCTTGCAAGGAGTCGGTATCTTGTATAGTCTTGATATGGCCCATGCACGTTTCGGAAACCTTCTGGACGAGCGGAATGAATTCAGCTACCTCGCTGAAGACTGTGGGCAGGTCTTTGGTGGTAGCCATTCCAACGCTCGTCTGCTTTGTCTCATTGATATGGAGAATGAGATAACTCAAAAGGCGTCTTGCTTGTTCCCGGCAACGTCGACATTGCTAACTGACTAGAGTAGGACGGCAGGAACAGTTCGGGCTTCTAGGTAGAGACATGTACGAACAATCGGACTTAGCTATCTATTATAGACTTTGTAGGGGGAAAATCCGCCATATCGCGTACCCAGTTGTTTACCGGGCTTTCAATACCGTGGCTCAAATTGATTGGCTTAATGTGCCATGACCCCGTTGATCTGACTCATAGTTTGGGTGACCTAGGTCCGAAGGCGTGAGAACTTCCGACCAATCATTGAGGTACCTGGGTTTGTCCCACTCTGCCAAGCACAATCATCTGGACCCCTCAAAGGAACACGATCGGTAAATTTGTCTGCGCCCGAGCTTCGCTCAACAGACATGTCTCCTTCTCTTTTTCCTTAGTAATCTTGCTTTTATCAGCTACGACATACTGGACATGCAAGGCATATTGTGCTTGATATGGTACATGTAATCCAAACGACATCTCCGATCAATGGCCAAGGAGGCCTTCCATCCAAGGAATCAGGCGAGGCACTCATGCGCCCAGTTCACTCAGAGACCCACTTTCTGCTTTGCTTGACTGCATCTTGGCTTCAAAGTGCCGTCGAAAAGAGAATAGGGTTGGTCTCCTTGTCAACCGAGTCCTACTTCTTCTTTGAACCCCAGCTTCACACGCTCTGTCTACGGTATCACTTGAAATTCTCCCTATTTAACTGAAACGGTTATTCCACGCGCACGCCATGAAGAAGTTCAAGGCCCTCGCAACGCGTCTCAAAGGGCGCCCCGAAAAGCCCGAAGGGAGCCAGAATTCATACAACTCAGGGTCTCATCAGGAGGTCAGCTCGAGCAAAGCCCAAGATCAATATATAGCCTCCATCTTTCCGGATGGGCTTGAGGTCCTCCATGATTGCTCTGACGCAACGTTTGATATTTGCTTTATTCACGGATTGACCGGAGATCGCCGAGCAACTTGGACAGCTGATCGACAGTCAGCGCCATGGCCGCAGGTGCTGCTCCCGTCACATATCAGCGGGGCTCGAATATTGACCTATGGATATGATGCCTATGCTGTGCGGAAGTCCGTCGCGTCATCCAATCGGGTCATCGACCACGCCACTAATCTTCTGCACGACTTGGCAGCTGATAGATCGTCCTGCAATGCTTCGTCGAGGCCTCTGGTTTTCATCGCCCATAGCCTTGGAGGCCTCGTTTGCAAGAATGCGATCCTGTCCTCTCGAAATAATCCGGAGTCCCATCTTCAGAGCATTTTCCATTGCACAAAAGCAATCATATTTATGGGTACGCCCCATAAGGGGTCTTGGATTGCTGACTGGGCCCGAATACCCGCTGCAGCTTTAGGTTGTGTAAAGTCAGCCAACAAGTCCCTGTTTGCCGTGCTTGGAACCGAAAGTCAATTCCTCGAGTCCCTTCAGATTGAATTCCTGGCAATGGTACGGGGATTGCGAGAGTCAGGTAGAAGTCTCGAGATTACTTCCTTTTTTGAAGAGCTGCCTTTACCGCTAGTGGGAAAAGTGGTTGCGAAGGAATCGGCAACCCTCGACGGCTATAATTCTATCAGCATTCATGCCGATCATAGCAATATGGTGAAATTCGGGTCGCCACAGGAGAATGGATACAAAAGACTTGTTGGAGAACTCCAGAGATGGAAATCGCAGCTGAGGTATGTCCGCAATGAGCCCTTTGGAGCGAAAGCCTGAATACGAAATATTGATTCACTCTTGATATTAGAGATTCGGAGCGTTTATCTCCCGATGAGCCAACCAATGTAAAATCTAGTGGAGCTAGCAATCTGCAACGCGGGAGGTCGGAAGCCTTCCCATCTCCGGTAGGAAGCACTTCGAATTTCACATTTCACAACACTGGACAAGGATGGATGAATACCAATGTCGGCCCAGGATCTCAGAATAATAACAATGGCGCCGGAGCCCAATTCAACGGCGCAGTCCACGGTCTCACATTACCTCCAGCCCAATCAAAGTAATGACAATCCAATATGGGATTCTCGTGGTCTCTCATAAGAGCTCGACAAGCCTCATTGCTTTCTCGGTTCTTTCTCTCATATTTTATCTTAGGACTTTAAAGATGATGAGTCGACAGAAGATGACAGTGGATTGGATAAGGCTGAGAAAGAAGGATGGTAAAGGGGAAATGAAAGTGACGATGAGATCGAGGATTCGGATTATGAACAGGAAAATGGATGGGCAAGACTATACTATCTCCGGTGACTCGCCACGAACGTTGAAGATTCGGCTCTTTTGGACACAATGAGGAAATGAGCGATTTCAAATGGAAGCGGAACTTTGTTGCTGAATGCAGTTACCCTGCCATCCCTGTCGTCAACGCTCTGGCCCGGTATATTTATGAGGGAACGCGCTCTGGATCTTGGGAAGGAATGGAAGAGTCCAGCGAGAAAATTTGCGATGTGGCGTTTCATGTCTTTGATCGATATGGAACAGTCAAGACCAAGTACAAGGACCATCCAGTGCAATGAGGAACTGGTGTATGGGGAAGCGAGCTTGACCTTGGCCTGTCTTTTCCTCCTTGAAAAGCTTCATTTCACAGCACTTGAACTACATCGGAAAGGGCTGGGACAAAAATTAGTGTTTTTGCTTTTGGAAAAGGCCAAAACTTTCTTCTAAAACGATACGCTAGACAGCGAAAATGCAGATCATATTTGCGGTCCTAACGAGGCTTTTGAGCGAGCATGGACTTTACATACTTGGGTCAGTCCTGGATATCCAGCAGCTAAACTTAACTCGCAATTAGTGGGCAAATCCGTACAAGAACGCTTTACGATATGGGATCAAGTCCGGTCCGGTGCTATTGATTTTTGGCGATCGTAAGGTTTTTGTTGGATCAGACCCTCCCGCGGTTTTGCATCTTTAATCTCCAGCATTAGTCTCGTGCCATTACGGCGACTTCGGGTTTTGACCCGCGTAGAAGCCATACTGGAGACCTTAAGGACGAAAGACTATAACTTGTCCACGAGTGAAGTTATTTCATTGAAGTAGACTAAGTGGAAATATGAAAGTTTCGGAGACAATACCGCTGTATTATATGGCTCTCACTCTGACAAACGAGGAACCTAAAGCCTTTTTCATCAGTTATACTGATAATAGGACTGGCTGGAATCGAGTGATAAGCTTGGAAGCCACGCTTCTATATATGAAAAGCTTACGAGCTTGAGCCCCTAAGTATGCGATGGCTACTTATGAATACCCACCACGCCGAGTCCTGGAAAGCTGCTCGTGATTTTGACAGGTATATCCAGCTCGGATTTCTGCGAGAGAAAATAGAAAAATCGCGAACTCGGAAATAAAATGACCTTCACATCAACGCAAACACATCAGGTCACTTTGAAAGTAACTCCGACGCCGTAATGTCCTGCCATTCCTGGCTGTTCGGACAAGATGCTTTGGGCCTTTCTAAAGTATGGTGGATTACCTGTTCTTCCGATTACCGCTTTTTCCGTTCCGCTCCCGGTCGCAACTCCTATCCCTGCACCAAGAGGGGATTCTTTAGCTTCTCCATCGGCAAATTCATTGCCATTGACCCCAACGTGTGCAGAAATTCACCTGATGGAGATTTCCGGACCGCTCTATCTGATACCAGTATCCAGTAGACCTTTGCATCGGAAGAGTGTGGTGAGAAAGATCACATATCTTGATATCTAAAGATCTATAACATTATACACAAAAGTCCATACGTATTTCATAGAAGGACAACCAGTGAACTTTGCACTAGTAAGAAACAATGGATTGTCAAATACATGGTTGCTAGGGAAAGCCGTAGTGAATCGTAAACAAAATTGGACAATGAAACACAACATAGTGAGAGGAACTCAATGCGAGAAAAGCAGAGAAAGGATGAACGGTTCATGCCTTCATAGTAAGATGCGCAGTTTCCCATTCTAGGAGCGTATTGGCATTTGACACAGTATGAGGATGAGATGGGCCTAAAATTCGTTGTTGCTTGACCACGCAGGTTCGAAGCAAATCAATTGCTTCAGCATGCTGGCCTATAGATTCCCACGTCGACGCCAGGTTGGCCATGCTCGTCAGCGTGGAGGGATGGTCCGCGCCGAGTTTCGTCTTGCTTGTCTCCATAACCTGTAGCTCGAGCTGCTCCGCCTCCTTCCATCGGCCCTGGTTCCATAATGTCGACGCCAGGTTAGCCATGCTTGTCAGTGTGTCGGGATGGTCCGCACCGAGTTCCTTCTTGCGAGTCTCCATGACCTGCAGCTCGAGCTGCTCCGCCTCCTCCCATCGGCCCTGGTTCCATAATGTCGACGCTAGGTTGGCCATGCTCGTCAGCGTGGAGGGATGGTCCGCGCTGAGTTTCGTCTTGCTTGTCTCCATAACCTGTAGCTCGAGCTGCTCCGCCTCCTTCCATCGGCCCTGGTTCCATAATGTCGACGCCAGGTTAGCCATGCTTGTCAGTGTGTCGGGATGGTCCACACCGAGTTTTGTCTTGCGAGTCTCCATGACCTGCAGCTCGAGCTGCTCCGCCTCCTCCAACCGCCCATCTAGTTCGTAGGCTACTCCTAACATCGCAGTGCTATCAAGGGTGTCATCATCTTCGGCGCCGCCAATCTTCATTCTTTGCTTCCTTGAAATAGCTGCCATATCCTCTGCAACCGAAATTCTGCCACATTCTATCGCATACCATGCTCCTTTATAGAGTAGCGTAGCCCAGTTCTTAAGTGAGTCTTGCGATTTCGGTTGATGTAACAAGGCTGACCTAACATGGGGAAACAGTGACCGGCATCTCTCCCAGTTTTCATACTGACCAGTCGGGAATTCATCATATAGATTCTTAATGAAACGTTCTTTCCACTTCTCCTCCTGGCCACAGGTTTTCAACCATGTGCGTACTGTTAGCTGCACAAGCCGATGCATCGTGAACACCGTGCTATCTTCACCTGAAGCAATAAAGGAATAGTCTCTGAGAATCGCAATATCGCTCTCAAAATCGTCATCTACGTCGGGTTCAGACGAGTAATCTATATCCTCATCACTTGAACTGTTTCCAACGTCTTGCGGAAAACCCAAAGGTTCATGGTTTTTGTCTATGTCTTGCCCCCGTAGAAGACACTCTGGGATCCCCTGCCAGTCGAAAAAGCCCATAAGAGACAACAAATCAGCGGCAGACTGCCTGATGCGTCGAATATGGTCGAACGAAATTTGCCAAGTCCGAAGGATAGAGCTCTTTGCCTGCCAGTCTCGATGGATGTGTTTTCCCTCGTAATTAAGAAGTTTTGTGGCTTGCCGATCACCCTGGCGAAGCTTTTCTAGGTATTGCAATGCCGAGCATCGGGGTGCACGGTGGGTGATGTAGCTAGCCGCTTGCACAATCGCTAGTGGCATGAACTCGAGTTCCTCGACTAGCCGAACCAATTCCTCTCTCTCTGCGCAATCATCTAGCTTCTTCCGCATCAGAACTAGCGCCTCAGCTGTATTCATAGGTTGTATATCGATCAGATGTTTCTTATGGCTGGCGAGCTCTAAAGCTACCCCTCTATTCCGGCTTGTGATGATGATGGAACCATTCGAGCTTTCAAAAAGGTACCTTAGCGGTGGCTGCGTTGGGACATGCCTCGGGGTGTTTGCTTGGGCCTCTATCGGAGTAGCTAATGGTTTGCGAAGGAGCTCATCATCATCGACATTATCAAGGACAAGAATCCATTTTCCGATCTTCCCATCTTGCAACCAGTTTCCGAAGAGTTGGAAAATATTTGAGTTGCGATCCTGGCGCCCGGGAATCTTAGCACGGTCGGCAATGTTGCGGAGACTTTCCTCGCAGCGCGCGGCATTACTTGCGTGAACCCAGAAAACCCAAGTGTCAGACGATTGCTGCCGGACTCGATGGCAGTATTCGATGGCGAGTCGAGATTTTCTTTGGCAAAGTCAGTCTTGCACAGACCGCTCAGGGCTCGCTTGACCTCACCCAACCCCCTAGGCCGACGAGAACTATTCTAGACCCCGGGATCGAGGATTTTTCGTGGATTTGATCGAGGATTTCATCGCGGCTGACAAAATCTGGATCATGCAGGAATGGCACGGTCGACAGTGGCTCTGGGCGGGGTTCCCGTTGCTCTAGGACGGAAAGCCACTATTAGTCGTTGATTCTGATCTTGACCCATTTTTTAAGTGATAAGAAACTCACCAGACGTATAGTATATGGGCCCGTGATTGGCACCCACTTGTAACCCCTGATTCTGGTCGCCAAAAGATATAGAGGTCATTATGAATATACGATGCAGACGATGTTCACTTTTCTGGTAAAAGAAAGGTGACGGGCCCCCATTGTTTAGCGCCTATGCTCAGGCTCACTCTCAGGTGACTTCTTCCCCTCACCTATCAGATGTATGAGAGCGAGGTCTACTAAGTGAAAACATAGACCTGGCCAAATGAACAGTGTCGCGGGCATTTCCAACCCCGCAAAACGCCGACGAGCCCGTCCTTCAACTAGCTACCATGGGGTACTATCAATCAATCAAACAATCAAAGTTCAAATAACCTGTTGCAGTCTTACTAGTTGCGTTTGACTATACAGGCGCTTCATCCAACCCAAGCAAGAACTCGAGTCCAAACGCCGAGCGGGATTTCTCCCGAGTATACAGATAGATAGATGCCGATAAAGAGTGGAATCAGCCCATTCCTGTATCCCGTAGCCCCATGAATGAATCAAAGCCCATTAATCAAAGCCCACAAATCCAAACCCATACATAAGAGATAAACATATAATGATTGCTGTGGGGTGCACCCCCACCTTCCATCTCTCCCTCTCTTTCTTCCTCTCTCTCCCTCTGTATCCTTCCCCGCCTCAGTCTCAATTGATGATGGCTTTGTCATGGCCAATTGATTGGCATGGTTGTCGAATCTGGCTGAGTTCTCGTTTCACAGCTTCGTTTTCGTCATTAGCTAATACCTCATCGTCTTCCACACCTAGGTTTATTGCCGCGAGGCCTGTCGGTTCGTCGTCGTCTTCCTCCTCGATCCCAACGTGTTGAAACTGCTGGAGGAGACCTGTTTGGTACATGAACTTGACCACGTAGCGGGTGGCCTGCGCGTTCGACACGATCTTGTCGTAGTTTGTCTTGTTGATCCCAATATCCCATAGTTGCTCCCATACTTTTGTACGCGGAATGGCATATTTTGGACACTGCATCTGGATGTGTTTTGGTGTTTGTGAGCCCTTATCACAGTTACACCGGTCAGTCTCCGCTGCCTTGATTTTGAACAAGAAGTGTCGAAGCCCGATCCTCATCGTGCGCATTTGGGTTAGGATGGCGCACTGCGGGTTCGACAGGCCTTCGTATAGACGGAGGGTCTTCTTGTTCGGCGCCTGCACTAAGCGCTTTGTGGGGGCCGAGGTCCTTTCTCGCTCCCATTGCTTCTCCCACCGCTCCCTGATTCGCTGGCGTACCGCCCTCTTGGCAGCTGCGGCGAGGCGGATTATCGGTTGACCCGTTCCGCTCCCGGTCGCGGTTTCCATCCCCGCACCGACAAGCGCTGCACTTTTCGCTTCTTCATCGGCAAATTCTGCAGGTAGCAATCTCTGAGATCGGCATTCCGTTCCCTCGCCTTCTGCCGACACGCCTTCTTTGACCAATTCTTGAACATTAGCGCTATGGGCTTTGTGGAGGTCTACTCCCATGTGTAAAAATATGTTTAAAATAGAATTTGCATGGAACTGTAGATTCTGCTGGGCGAACAAAACATTCAGCCTGACGGCTTACAAACCTCCCCAGTCAAACACTCGCAATGAAGCGGCCAGATCGAGTTGATTTCCCCAGTACTCGACTCCTTCCACAGCATAAGGGTCCGGTATGTATTCAAAGATATGGAAAAACTTCTGGAGGCACTCCCTTTTCAATGCCTTCCCAGACGGCGTGAACGGGACTTGCTCCCCATTCTGGAGAGTCCGTAAGAGGGCAGGCAATTTGTACGAAACTAGTTTAGTCGCAGCGAGGTCCTCACGTACCCGCTTCAGGGTAACGTCGTCACAATCTTGCTTTTGCAGCCGCACAAGAGCGGCAACTAATCCGCCAGCTCCGTGGTCTTTGACGGGAAGGACATGCGCTTCGGTGACATATGGGAGATCTAGGAGCTTTCTCTCCAGCTCGAGAATCGATATCGTGTATTCATGAAAGCGAACAACTGTCTGGTTGGTTACTCTGATAAGGACACAGGGGATAAAGGAAGAGCGTACAGTCGGATGAAATTCGCCCGTCAAAATAGTAATCATCACCGACACGGTGGGCTTGATCGCCTGTTTTGTAAAATCCCTCATCGTCAAAGGCGGCGCGAGTAGCTGCCTCATCGCCAATATAACTATCTGTGTAAGTAGATGGCTTGGAGATGGAAAGATGGTCTTACTGGGAGAATCTGATAGGGCTCTTGACGAGGATTTCCCCATGGTCACCATGGGACAGCTTGACTGTGATGCCTGGAATGACTTTACCGATATAGCCCTGATTTTATTAGTAAAAAATCGAAATGGGAAGAAGGTCATGCACAAACCTGCTCATAGAGCGAGCCAGCAGGATTGATTATTACACCCCCACCCATCTCCGTGAGCCCGTAACCGTTGATGATGGGCATACCGGTCAAATCAGCAAAGAAGCGCCAAGTGGACGGATTCAGCATCGAGCCGCTCACAATCACACGTTCAAGCTTCTTTGCTCCGTCGATATATTGATCCCGTTTTTCAGCTGCAAGACGGCCGATATTTTCCTCATAGTACTCCATCAAACGTCTCAACATCGTCGGTGAGATAGCCATTTCCGTAGCTCTCCCTTCTTTCAACACTTCCCAGAACCGGGAAGGAGGGACTTCGTTCTTCAGCATATGTAGATTTTCACCGAGAAGCACACTATCAATCAATCCTGTTCCTCCTACCCAGTGCGGAGGACAGGAGGCGAGATAAAGTGTTGCGGGTGTTATATCTTCTTCGAAATGGAACATCTTCCGGGTGAGAACAACACCCTTTGGGAGCCCGGTTGTGCCGGATGTGAATAAAATCAGACAGCCAGCTGTTTCTGGCAAGGTCAGTCCCTGATTAATCTCGAGTTCTGTGGGGCGGGGAATAGTCGCTACTGCGGGATCTGTTGTTGTGATTGTGATCAAAGTCACACTTTGGCTCTCGATTCGGGCTTGTTCTGCGAATTTCGTGGCCATGTTGACTGTTCTATCCTCAGTCAGGATATAGGCAGCCTTGACCTTGTTCAAAATGCTCAGCGCCTCGTCTGACGCCAGCCCCGTTGCTATCGTAGTTTAGTACCATATCATTGAGCTGAGCCAATTAGCAAGAACTTACATAGAGGCACACATATACCCCCCAAAGCCACAATGGCAAAGAAGCTGATGATAAAACTATATCCGCTGTAGCCTAGATAGGCAATCGACCTGGCGTCTTCTCGCAGACAACCTTGCTCATCGAATGAAACGCTCGAGAGTTGCTCCCGCAGGATCTCCCGGAGGTGGATAATATCACGAATCAAGTCGCTATATGTTGCATCGATGCCATACTCATCGTGGAATAACACACGCGGTGACTGCTTGGCTACCTTGCGAAGCTTAACAAAAATCGGGTCATTTGGAAAGCCTAGCTGGGTCTGCATTTTGAGTATTCTAGCAAGAGCGGCCAATTGAGTAAACACCAACAGTTCAGTAGCGAGTTCTTATAAGACACAGATCATTTTTCATTGATCACGTGCAGCCCTCCTACCTGAGGGATCTACATAAACCTACAACATAGTTTTCAGCTCTTGTTGGCAGTGGGTCCTGGCCCCATCGGTTGGGTCGAGTGAGATCTCATCTTGTCATACATGAATCTAGTAATGTACATACCGTATATACCCAGCCCCCAATCACGATCACAGCCTGTGTAAACGAATAACAATAAGGGACATGAAGGATTTCAGGGAAGGGGAAACACGAGTCTACGTGCGATGCAGCATAGTGAACGAATTCGGATCCGCGTATCATTGGATATGGCGGTCAGACTGTGTAGAAATGGTGGACGGCAAACTGTGGGTCTATGAGGGTGTCGTAACTTTGGAGGTCACTCAATCAATAAATCAAAGTTCAATTAATCTGTTGCAGTCTAACTAGTTGCGTATGACTATACAGGCGTTTCATCCAGCTGAAGCAAGAACTCGAAGCCAAACGCCGAGTGGGATCTCTCCTGGAGTATACAGATAGATAGATGGTAATTATTGTAAGAAGTGGAATCCCGTCAGCCCATCCATTCCCGTACCGCTCTCTAAGCAGCTGCGGCGAGACGGATTATCGGATTATCCGGTCCGGGTCGCAACTCCCATCTCCGCACCAAGAAGCGCTGCACCCTTCGCTTCTTCAACGACTGATGACAGAGAAGATGATGATATTCTCTATCTAGAAGCAAGACTGAGAGAGAGAGAAGAAGAGAAAGCAAGTATGAATAGGATACTGAGATCCTATTTATACTGCCAAACATGATGGCATATCAAACATGTTTGATCTATATGCCTGGATGCCTAAGGCATCCGACATCCCCCTCATAGATCAAGCATGAAGATGAAGCGAAAAACCCTCTCATTCTAAACCCAGCTGCTGTATGAAAATCCTAAATTGATCCTTCGCCAATGCCTTAGTGAACCCATCAGCCGTGTTATGCTTGGATTCCACCCTGCGTATGCTGATATGACCTTGTGCAACAGCATCTTTGACGAAGAAATATCTCAATGAAAGCCAGCGATTGGCGGATCTGCCCCCCTTTTTTAGAGAGCAGAAGCTGCGAGTTGATACTATCAGTATAGATAACTGTAGCATCGGGCCTTGGCAATTGAAGCGAATCGGCCACTTTGTTTAGCCACATAGCATCCCTGCTAGGCTGATCGAGCGCGCACCACTCTGCTACAGTGGTGGAATTGGCTGTGATAGTCTGTTTCTTCGTAAACCACATCACTGGTGAGCCGGCGAAAAACCAGATAACACCTTCTGTCGACTTGCTGTCCTGCCAATCGGCGTGTGATGCGTCAGAATATGCTGAGAATTGCAGTTCGTCAGACTTTGCAAGGACGATTCCTAGGTCAGGATATTGGCGAAGGTATTTGATAACGTGATGAAGTGCTTGTATATCGTATAGCGTCGGTTTCGCCAATCGGTGCTGTAGTCTCGTCACTGCGAAGCGAATATCCGGCCTAGTTTTGACTGCTAGCCAATTGAGCATTCCAACCACTGATTGATAGTGGTCGAAGCTATCGTTATCGAGTAAGGCCTCTGAATCTTCTTCAATTGCGGTTTCTCTCTATCCTGTAGGTAAAGGAATATCCTTAGTACCTAGAGTGCCTGATACCCGTAGGATCTTTTGCATATAGGCACTCTGCGATAAAGAGATCGTCCTCTTTTCGTAGTCTCTAACCAAGGCACAGTTCAAATACTGTTTCGGTTCACCAAGGTCCTTTATGTCGTAGTATTTTTGAAGCATAGAGACCACTGTTTGAATCTCTATGTTTGTCGGTGCGGCGATGATAAAATCATCCACATAGATCATCATGATTGTTAGGCCTATCCCCTTTCCTTTGACATAGACACAAGGGTCATCGCCTAGGGGTGAAAAGCCTATTTGTCGAAGCTTGGAATCTATGTCTTCATTCCGAAGGTAGGCGCTATCCCGGAGTCCAAATAGTGCCTGGTTCAATGAGCATACCCATTAGTGAGGGGTCCTATCAGAGTACTCGAATCAAGTTGGTTGCCTTATATAGATAACCTTAGCATGCTCTCTCGAAGCATTGAGATACGCCGCTGTGAAATCAACTTGTCTCTATCTAAGGTCATATATCGCAATAAGCGTCAATACGACCTTAATCATATATTCGGAAACAACTGGAGCGTAAGACTCCGCTCCATCTTTATCCTGGAAGTTTCCACAGACCACCCAGCGGGCTTTAAACCCATACACTTGATCCTTTGTGTTTGTCTTTAGTGTGAATCTCCATTGTCCCGGAAGGACTTTTGATCGTGGAGGTTTCGGGATTAGGGTCCATGTTCGCTTAGCGGCGAGGTCCTCAAGCTGTTTCTCCATAGCTTCTTTCCAATATATCCAGAAAGGTGACTTCTCTGCCTGCTTATACGTTGTGGGAATGTTAATATCCCTTGCGTACAGCGGTTTATCATTGAACATAATAGGCATAGTAATGTCTACTGTGGCGTTTGCGGATCCTTCAGCTTCCGATGGATCCCTAGGTAATCTTGATCTCGATCTTTGCGTAGCTCTCTGACTATCTCTATCCCGTTTCTCGTATTCGACAGAGTGGTGTTTTTGATCAGGGTCATGATACCTCTCTCGCGGTATGCCGATATTGGCACGCCTCGACCGACGAGGTACGGGTTCAGTGATTGGATCAGGAGTTGAAGAGATTGAGATAATTTCCTTGTTTTGCTCTTGAAGTATTGGAGATTGTGAGGCTTCTTCTTCCTCTTAAGCCTCAATTATTGGCGAGGAGAAGGGATATTGATATCCCCTTCTCTGTACTTCGGGTGATGGAGTTGATTCCATAGATCTGGTCTCGCTAGATCTAATCTCCTGTTCAATAGCCGACGCTTGATTCTTTATTTCAATCATCTCACTGCCCATTTTTGAGACTTGCGAGGTCAGTTCTTAAAGCCTTTTCTGGAGGTTAGACCTCCTGGTTCGGTCTTCCGCTTCGCCAGGAGCTTGCTGCTCAATTGTATCAGTGATATCTTCCACCCTTGCGCTAGTCATGACTGGAAGTTGTGTCGTAGGAATTGTACTCCTTGGAAAGATACTAGGCTTTGTCACTGGTGGAGCAGGTAATGACTTTTGCAATCGTGGTGTTGTAGGCATAGTCCAAACCCTGCCCTGCGCTCCTGAGAGCTGGATTCTTGCTGAGGGTGTGAGAAGAGTGTCCCTTGGGATCGACTTCTCCACTTGCTGCGAAGATCCAGGTGTATCGAGGAAGCTGATATGGCCTCCACTATCACCTGGTGGTCCTTCTGGTACTGGTGCCTTTGCACGAGAAGGTGGATCTCCATCGGAATCGTCGTCTCCTGGTTGTGGAAAGCCTACGTCCCTTGAACTTTGACCTTCTTACTGACAGGGTCCCAGACTTTAAATATGTGACCATTGTCCCCCTTATATCCGACTAGCATTCCTTTCCATGCCCTTGGGGATACCTATTTCGCCTGAGTGCGCTGAGCTCTTGGAATATGCACATAAGCAGTGGATCCCCATGGCAAAAGGTGCTTCAATGTCGGCTCTGGATTCGGAATATCGAACTTTCTCCTCTAGTGTGTTCATAGCGATATCTTGGTTTTAGGTTTGACCAATCTATTCGTGATATAGATGGCAGTATCGACTGCGTAGGGCCATATGTTTTCAGGTATATCAGCGTCAATAATCATCGTCCGCTGAATATCATTGATATGACCCCCGAATCTCTTAACGACGCCATTTGGTTGGGCTGTGTAGGGGGTGTGATTTCAAAAGTCATACCACGTTTTACCCCCCAGTCGATGAAATTCTTGAACTCAGTCCCACCATCCATTCGCCATATCCTAGGGTATCGGCCTGTGAGGAGCTTGATTTTCTCACAAAAGGAGGTCAATTTGACAGAAGCCTCTCCTTTATTGGTCAGTGTGATTCCTTCAATATATCGAGTCGCATCATCGACTATTGGTAACCAGTATCTCTCCCCGTTTAGGCCTGTAGGCTTTATTGGCTGAGTGTCAACATGGAACTTCCATATAGCGTCCTGTGCTCGTTCCTGGATATCTCGGGAGATCTTTTGTTTTGACTTGCCTAGGAAACAGGCTTCACAGTCGAAATACTCATTTCCATATCTTTCGTCGTCGCCGAGTTCCTCTGTATGGCTCAAAGTTGATGAGATTTTTGCCTTTCTAGCGTGGCCAAGTCGTCTATGTATCTCTAGAGCAGTCACTTGGTTGACGATACCAAAATCGCATGGTTGATCTTGTTTACTTTCTTTACCGTGATCAGTGGGTGAAACTAGATATGGAACTCCAGACGTTGTTTCGGTGTAACCAATGGTGTTTCCGTTACCATCGGTAAGCAATTTCGATCTTGTGTCATAAGATATATCTTGATCCTTAAGAAGTTTCTGCATTCCAAGAAGCTTCGCATGACCACCAGGGCTGAAATGACCTTGGGTTAAGAAAGAATAGACTGTTCCATTCTGTAGGACTGTTTTGACTAGGATTTCTCTATGTCCCTGAGTGATGACTCTCTTGCCAGAGTAGTCTTTGTACACATAGGCGGTGGTTGGATCATCTTGATGATAGGTATAGAAATCGTTGAAATCATGGGTTAGGGTTTTATCGGATCCTGTGTCTAAAAGCCAATTGTTGAGCCTAAAATTAGGGCTAGCTGCTACAACAGCCATATTGCTTCCACCTTCCGCCTTTATGGCAATACTGTAAGTCCAAACCTGCTTACTGCCTATCCATGAAGCTAGCGGTGCTTCTGAGATATAGGCGTATTGCTTTGTAGCATGGGGACCATACCCGCAGTAGGATCAATCAATCAATCAATCAATCAAAGTTCAATTAACCTGTTGCAGTCTAACTAGTTGCGTATGACTATGCAGGCTCTTCATCCAACTGAAGCAAGAACTCGAGTCCAAACGCCGAGCGGGATTTCTCCCGAGTATACAGATAGATAGATGCTGATTGTAGTGAGTGGAATCAGCCCATTCCTGTACCCCGTAGTCCCATAAATCAAAGCCCAAAAATCCAATCCCATACATAAGAAATAAACATATAATGATTGCTGTGGGGTGCACCCCCCACCTTCCATCTCTCTCTTTCTCTCTCTCTCTCTCTCTCTCTGTATCCCCCCGCCTCAGTTTCAATTGATGTTGATGTTTTCGTGGCCAGTTGGTTGGCATGGTTGTCGACTCTTGCTGAGTTCTCGTGTCACAGCTTCGTTTTCGTCATTAGCTAATACCCATCGTCTTCCATACCTAGTCCCATTGCCGCGAGGCCTGTCGGTTCGTCGTCGTCGTCCTCCTCGATCCTAACGTGTTGAAACTGCTGGAGGAGACCTGTTTGGTGCATGAAGTTGACCACGTAGCGGGTGGCCTGCGGGTTTGATACGATCTTGTCGTAATCTATTTCCGTGATTCCGATCCCAATCTTATCCAGTTGCTCCCACAATTTTGTACGCGGAATGGCATACTTTGGACACTGCATCAGGATGTGTCTTGGTGTTTGTGAGCCCTCGTCACAATTACACCGGTCAGTCTCCGCTGCCTTGATTTTGAACAAGAAGTGTCGAAGCCCGATCCTCATCGTGCGCATTTGAATCAGGATTGCACACTGCGGCTTCGACAGGCCTTCGTACAGACGGAGGGTCTTCTTGTTCGGCGCCTGCACCAAGCGCTTTGTGGGGGCCGAGGTCCTTTCTCGCTCCCATTGCTTCTCCCACCGCTCCCTGATTCGCTGGCGTACCGCCCTCTTGGCAGCTGCGGCGAGGCGGATTATCGGTTCACCCGTTCCGCTCCCGGTCGCAGTTCCCATCCCCGCGCCCAGAAGCGCTGCACCTTTTGCTTCTTCATCGGCAAATTCATTGCCGTCCACACCAACGTGTGCAGGGATCCACCTGATGGTGATATTCGTTGGGTTTTGCTGACTTCGTGACCGGATGGTTCGTACGTGATTATAGATTGACGTCAGCACGTGCTGGCCAGACGGTCGCTGTGGGTTCTGAACTGCCCGGATGGCAGCTTGGCTGTCGGAGAAAATGATCACTTCTCGAGCCTGTCCCTTGTTATGCCTGGTGTTGGCAATTGCCATTTCAATGCCGTTGAGCTCGGCAGCGTACACTGTGGACTGGGAGTCCATTCCAAGATAGCGTCTTTGTGACGATACCCCATGCTGAAGACTGGCCATTGATGCGCCAATGTGTCCTGCAAATCCGCTCCCGTCCGTGAAAACCATTTTTATTTGCCCCTGTTTGTCACAAGCAGCTTCTTCGTAGATGCCATTGTGGGTTTTCAATGCAGCTTCTTGGTTCTCAATAAAGCATGGGATCCGTGTCTCCCAGGGTGCAAGCACAAATGCCTGCTTCTCCTCCCATTTGTCAGATTGTAGTCGGATTGTTTTCCATGCAATCGCCTCGGTTGGGGACCACCCCCCGACTTTTCGTTCCTTTGGTTTCCTAGCTATTTTTGCAATTTGTGGGCATACCCACCGCGGGCCGGTGAGGATTCGTATGGCTGTTTCTTCGATGATCTGTTGGATTCGTAGTCTGATTGGGGTGATGAATATTTCTGTATCGAGTGCTGCTCCTGCTGTTCCTCGGAAGGCCCCACTAATCAGGATTGCCGCACGTTTTTGTATCTTTGTGAGTTCGTTGGTGAGCTTGTCGAGATCGCCCCTTGGCATTGCTCTGGCAGCTGGGCAGTACCACGCAGACAGTCCCCATAGCATCTGTGGAATGATGACTGCCTGATAGACCTTCCGCATTGCAATCAATGATGACCCCCACGTGGACCCTGAGATTCCGCGGAGTGCTTCGAGACTGCCGGCTCCCTTTGCAAGCATCTTCTTCCGGTGGGTTGTGAAATTTAAGTGCTTGTCGAGCCATACACCGAGGTATCTGGCTACTTCTTTTGGCGCGAGGACAGCTGGTATGTCTCCTGGGATAACAACTGGCATACCGTCGTGGCCTAATGGGTCGTCTGGGACTTCCCAGATATCTGTGGTGGTGGTGGCGGTGTTGGCAGTGGTAGTAGTAGTGGCGGTGGATCGTGGATTTGCGAAATGGATCAGTTCGAACTTATCAGGAGCGAACTTCGCAGCATGTTTCTTCGCCCATATAGCCGCTCTTTGCAGTGCTTTCTCTAGCACCCGGATGTTCTCTTCATAGCTGTTTGAGATAGCTAGAATACATACATCATCTACCCAGCCGTATGCCTCACTCTCCCCATAATATAATCCCCGTAGTGTGCAGGCGCGTACAAGCGGTGCATTAAAGAGGAGGAAGAGGATAGGTGAGATCGGTGAGCCCTGTGGGATACCGGTTGGTGTAGGGAATGCGTCACTTAGGTGACCGTTTGGTAGCTTGATTCGTGTACTCCTACCAGTAAGGAATGACTTGACCCACGGAGCAAGTATACCAAGTCCCATCTGCTGCATGTTGTACAATAACCTCTCATGCGAGACCATATCGTATGCTCCAGCCACGTCGAGGAGTAACATGCTGGCTATCTTACTGTCTCCCCATGCTTGGTGTATCTTTCCAAGGATTAACTGGATTGCATGGTCCACAGAGACCCCTTTTCTTCCCCCAAGGTGCGTCTCTGGGAGCAGCTTGTATTCCTCCACACACCACGCTATTCGCGTGGCCACAATTGCCTCAAGGACCTTGCCGAGTGTGTTTAACAACGCAACTGGTCGATATGACTTTGGAACTCGGTAGTCCCGTGGGCCGGCCTTTCGTAGTGTGACTGTGATGGAGGTTTGAAAGTGCTGTGGATTGTGTCCAATTCGAACACAGACGTCGAAGATCGCGGTGAGGAGTGATATAAACCGATCCTCTGACCGTGATCCTGGTTCCGCAAGGGCCCGCCACAGTCGATTCGGCAGCGTGTCGTATCCGGGTGCTTTGTTCGGTGGTGCTTTCTTGATTGCAGCTCTCACTTCGGTGTCGTTTATCGGTGGGAGGTGGTATTGTTCTCGGTTGCTGGTGTGGGTTTGTTGTATATCGGAGAGATCCGCCTCTGGTGGTTGTGGAAAGAATACCTTGCGGAGCAATTTGACCACCGTGGTGAGTCTTTCCTCTTGATTTTGGATAGGTATTCGGCCAGTCCGATGATCCCTGTGCGGAGCTGGATCAGCACTGACGTTGTCGCTTTCCTCAGGCCCTTCCAGTAAGTCAGATTTGACTTGTTCGGCACCTCAATCATCCTCCGGGTCCTCCGCGCAGTCCTTCCTCCCTTCGTCCACGCCTTTTCCCACGCGATTGTCGATTCCTGCTTCACACTCTTGCTAGCTGCTGCGGCAAGCCGGATAAATCTGTTGTGGTGGTCTGTCTCTTGGGTAGTGGCCGCTGTTTTTGCAAAGATATCGGCTGTCTCATTGCCTGGAATACCTTCATGGGCCGGGATCCAGCGTAATTCAATCTAGACCCCTTGCCTGGCAAGCCACTCCAGTGACTAGAGGCATCCCTCCAGATATACCTGGCCAGATGGCATTTGTGGATTTTGGATGGCTTTAAGAGCTACCTGGTTATCTGTAAAGATAACCGCTCCGCTCTCTACCAGGCAGTCTTTCCATTGGTTATCTTTGTCATTGCATTTTTCCTTGATGACTTCCAATGCCATCTCAATTGCACGTAGCTTAGCAGCGTACACTATGGAATCGTCGTCGGATCCCATGTTACACAATCTGGCCTCATTCTGGCTATATAGGTATGCTGGGACACTACGGCTCCAATGCCGCTTTGATACCCACTCCCATCGGTGTAAAGTCGTGCTGGTGCCCGTAGCTGTTTCGTGATTCTTTCGTGGGCGTTTCGTGCTTGCTCCCTTTCCTCGATGTATACCTTTGGTGGCCTGCTCTATGGTGCCTGGATGTATGCCTTGATGATGATGATGATGAATTCATTGACCCGATGTAGCTCGCTAATTACATACATGCTGCTATGCGGGGATAGCGTTGGATGTATGCCTTCCTGCTTTCCCAGTCCCCTGCCACAGTTCTTGGGGCGGTAAGGCATCCACCCTTTTTCCAGGACTGGGCCTCCATCGGCGTCCATCCACCTCGCTGTTGCTGAGCTTGGCTTCTTTCTTCGAGCATTGTTTTTGGTACTGCATATCTTGGTCCTGTATGTATACGAACAGCAGTAAGCCGGACTAGCCGGTCTAGCTATTGCTACATTGGTAGTAGGTGCAGTTCCACATCAAGAGCTTCCCTGGCTGTTGTCTTGAAGGCGACACTCATCAAGCATGCCGCTTTCGATTGGATACTGGCGAATTGTTTCACGTAGCTTCTCTACCTTAAGGTGGTGGTCAATGGTGAGTGCCATGCTACCGCTCCGAAGAGCATTTGTGGGATCATCACCGCTTGGTAGATAGCCCGCATGGCCGAAAGAAAGAGACGCCCCCCATGTGGAGCCTGTCAAGCCCCGTAGAGCCTGTAGGCCGACCCCTGCTTTGGCGAGCATCTGCTCCCGGTGGTGTCGGAAGGTTAATCCTGGGTCTAGCCAGACCCCGAGGTATCGCTCTGCTGTGGTGGTAGCCTCTACCGTCGTGCTTGATAGTACTAGTGGCGTATGTTTCTCTCCCTCCTGGCCCAGACCTAGGTTTGGGTTGACGTAGTGATTCAAGGCGTATTTCTTGGGGTCAAATACCGAGGCATATCTGGCTGCCCAGGCGTCGGCATATTGGCAGGCTCTCTGTAGCTTAGAAATATTTTCTTGCTCGCTCCTCCCTGTGACAATAAATGCCACGTCGTCCACCCAGGCGCTTGTCTTCGCTCCTTCGCAGCCATCTACCAGATCTGCGTTGTACATTAGGTATAGGATTGGTGAGAGGGGTGAACCCTGAGGGATGCCGGTTGGTGTTGGGATTCTCGCTGGTATCCCTTCTGGCATTCATTCGTATACTAGTGCTTCTCCCTGTGAGGAATGCTTTAACCCATGGTGCTAGTAGCCCTAGGCGCCGTTTATGGAGGTTATGAATTAATCTCTCGTGAGAGACGTTGTCGTACGTGAAAAGGATAGAGGTCCTTTCAATTCTGATACTCGGTTATCTACCTGAGTATGTCATTCACATCCCGGGGTCAAAGCGGGGTTGATTCGTAATCGGCTCGGTACTCGGTTCAGGTAAATGCGGGGTACCCGAGCATAAGAACCCTGAGATCCTTAGGATCCTGTTCCCTTCTACAAGAGTTAGTCTTGCGACTTGGGACGAATACATTTGATCCCCTCTCCCAATCATTAAGCCTTGTATCTTACCCGGTTGACAGGCTTTACACCTGATAATCGTATACTCTTACAAGAAGGTATCGCTATACTCACTAGATCTATATAAGTTAATTAGAGGTCCTAGAGATAGTTTAGTTTTCAATACTAGACTGATATATAATAGATACTCCTTTTCTATTTTAGCGCTTAGTGATATTAGAGTAGTTAGATATATATTCTTAAACTAGGAGTTAAGTATACTTCTTAGAAAACGATTTAGATTAAAGGTAGAGAGCATAGGATAGGAGTGTCCTATTCGAAGATCTAATAGAAAGCGTAGTAAGCCGATAATATATATCACCTTTCTTATAATATATATAGATAGTAGGATATAGTAGTAATTTCCGATGCTAATCGCTGATCTTAGAAAATACAATATGATCCTTAGAAGGAAATGGTTTGTAGATAATGATATCCTATTAGATTATCGTCAATACCAAATGACCTAGCTAGATGAGAAGACTCTCTTTGACGATATATCAAGTAAGATAGTGGTACTAACACTAACTACTATTTTCTAGAGACTAAAACTAAACCCTAATCACTAAGCTAATATTAATCGATAAGACTATCTTTTTAGCTAAGATGAATCGAAAACAAAGGATAACTATAGACATATATAAGAACGATAGTATAGATATGAGTAGATTAAAGAACAACGAAAGATAGGCCATAATCTAAACGATAAAAGTGAGATAGTAGTCTCAAAGATTTAATAACAAGATAAATTACTAATAATCGATATTAGTGCTATTAGAGGTATTAGTTTTGATAGACTCTATAAGAAAGGAAAGGTTAATAGAGAAATTAAAACGTTTGTCACTTCGCTCTATCAGATTAACTATATCATTGAGGTAAAGAGTATATAGACTTAGGACCCCGAAATTAATCAAATCCTAATGACTCTTCTAAAAGAATACCATGACGTAGTAGAAGTCTTTTCGAAGAAATAATCTAACAATTTACCACCCTATAGACCTGGTATAGATTATGATATCATTCTTAAAGTAGAAGTGTAACCTAGATATTATCCTCCCTATAAGCTATCACTTAAAGAGTTAAAAGCAGCGAAGAAATACATCCTCGAGAATCTTGAAAAAGGATTTATTATTCTAAGTTTAGCTCTATATATATCCCTAATCTTAATAGTAAGAAAACCTAATAGGGGACTTCGATTTTATATTAAACTCTGGAGGTTAAATTTAATCATAAAGAAAGACTACTACCCCCTACCACTAATCGATAAGGTATTATTGTTACCAGCCAGTTCTTTGAACGAAAGAGTACATTTCAACGAGAATACTAAGTACAAAGAGAGAAGGAAAAGGAAGAAAGAAAACTCCAGGACAGGATCCTTTGTGGGGTCCTATCACCACCAAGCATGTAAACAATGCAAACTCTGTCAAGACGGAAACATCCGGCAGAGTCTTTTCGGCAGAAATCTTCTCGGCAGCAAAGATCCACCTTCCAGATCGTCACAATCCCCGCATAGCAGCATGTATGTAATTAGCGAGCTACATCGGGTCAATGCATTCATCATCATCATCATCATCATCATCATCATCATCATCATCATCATCATCATCATCATCATCATCATCATCATCATCATCATCATCATCATCATCATCATCATCATCATCATCATCGATTGATTCTTAGGAGTCAGGTAGAGGGGAGTTGTGCATAGAAAGACATGCCGGCGTACTCCTCTATATAGATAACTGGTAGGTTTGCCTTGGGCGACCACTGGTTGCACGGGAATCTTGAAGTTGGATGTGAGTAGATTACCATTGGGAAAGCTAGCTGAACTGGGCGTCAAATCCTCTGTCGTGTGCTTGGACTTTGGGTGGACAGGATGGACAGGATGGACTGGGTGGACAGGGGGAGAATCATTTGGTCGTTTTTACTCCACACCGCCGACTCTTGGCATTCTAGCTGGGGCATCGCCAACGTCTACCATTTCGATTCAAATTTTGTTCGCTAAAAGGATGTTACAATATCTTACTTACATTTCAGATTCACAGTTAACCATATATTTTGCTTCCGCGATGAACCCATATATAACGGACCCAGACAAAATTCCACCTTCTGATCTATATGCGGACCTGCCGCTTTATGGTCGGTACCATCCTAAGCCAAATGACTTCCGCATTGACCGCCAGCATGTTGATTCTCATTCCACTGAATCGATGCATTATTGGGTATCAGTTCTTACACTCTGCAACCAATCTGTTATGATCTATCCGGCGGAGGAGGGTGGCCGCGACGTGTTCGCCCTTGGTAGCATCATCGTCAAGTCGAGCCACATGCATACCCAACAGGGCACGAAGTATACGGAGATCGACTACTCCTATGCTGATGCCAATGAAATCCAGGCAATTAACATTGCAAAGACGGTCTTAAAAGACGTCAGAGTGCCTGAGATATACTTTACAGGGAAGGTACTGTTCTCACCACTTGATTTCGCCAATTTTGCTCACCCTTTTAGATAAATGGCCACCAGGTATTAGTTCAGGAAAGACTTCGGGGTGTTGCGTTGGCTGTCGCTTGGCCATATCTTTCGCGAGCCCAAAAGGGATCCTTCAAAAAGCAAGCACGCAATATACTTCGACAGCTGCACTCCATCAAGCCTACCGATAGATGCCAGGCTCGCTCTTACGTGGTGCCTGATCCCAATATCCATATAAATGGCCGCATCCAACCCCTTGAACGCGATATACTCTTCTCGGTCATCAACACCGATCCAGATATGAGCTTCATGCACAACGATTTAACTGCATCCAACTGTATAGTTGATGATGATAAGATTGTAGGACTTATTGATTGGGAAATGGCGGGCTTTTTTTGGGTGGAAGACGGCTGGAGAAGTCCATCGTAAGCTGAGGCCACACGATACGTCGTTTTGGGAGGATCTCTATGAATAGGACAGGCTTTTTTTTGAGGATTAGAGCAAATTTAAGTGGGATTAGACTTCGGCACAACCCGGACCCAACCCAACCCAACCCAAAATGGGTTTTGGGTTATAGCTCATAACCCAAAACCCATTGGGTAACCTATTGGGGCCCCAATATGGTGTAAACCAGACAAATAGACTTCTAGCGTGTAACTGCATAATTAATACATTTTTTGCTTATAATATTGAGTATTTTACAGCGCTCTTCTAGAACAAATAAAGAATAAATTAAGCAACTAAATCAGGATATATTTCTCTAATATTGCTCAAAATTCTTATCTGCCCTGCTCTTACGCTTCCTCCCTAAGGCCCGTCTCTGAGTTGCAGTCCCTAGTAACTCTGGCTCTGTCACCTCTATATCTATATCTATTAAATAAGGAGATATCTCTCGCAGTCTATCATCTACTCCTTCTTCCTCTTCACTATCACTAATCAGGTCAAGCTCAGTATCCTCTATATATTTATAGTTCTACTCCTTCGCCGACTCAATCTCAGCTAGTGTAAAGAACTACTTAAGCTACTTTACCTCAGTATCCTTAATATTGAATCTTATCATTTTTAAGAACAACATAAGCTCCTCGGTTGTTTCGGACTTTAGACGACCATAGTAGTAGTGATAAATATCCTAAGTTGTAAGAGTATACGATCATCAGGTGTAAGGCCTGTCAACCAGGTAAGATACAAGGCTTAATGATTGGGAGAGAGGGTCAAATGTATTGTCTCTACATTGCAAGACTAACTCTTGCAGGAGGGAACAGGATCCTAAGGATCTAGGGGTTCTTATGCTTGGGTATAGGACCCCGCATTTACTCGAATCGAGTACCGAGCCGATTACGAATCAACCCCGCTTTGACCCTAGGACGTGAATAACGTGCTCAGGTAAATGACCGAGTATCAGAATTGAAAAGACCTTTATCCTTTACAATTATCCTCCCTCTCCCATACAGACGTCCCCGTCTGCGCCTAAAATAGACTATTAAAGCAGTATACTTTCTTTGTCCAATAGACCCCGATTCTAACAGGATTCTCGAGGCTAGCCCCTTTGTGAATAAAGGCTCTCCGTTTATCTTTGTCAAGAATTTGTACTTAAGGGGGTTTACGATCATGATTCTATACCATAACCATCTTCCCATTATACCTCCAATTTCTCGTTCCAATCCCATTTAGTTGGAATACACGTGGTATATGAAGTGCTTACGCACTAGTGTTAACAGTTGGGATACAGCAGACACTAGTGAACCGATGTCGATCCAGTGTTTCCTTAGGACTGCCAATTCGAAGAAATGCCAGCAATATATCGAACGACACGATATGTGTGAGCGTCCTACTAAGGGAAAATGGGGGGACGCTCACAATCTAGTATCGGTTGTGGCCTGGGCTAAGTGGCTGTACTCCCCTAATAATAGGTATCTCTCGCAAGACGCCGATTTCTTAGAGACTGTGAATAAGGGGGTTCTCTAATTGGTCAAGGACTTTGTGGCAGCGCATCGAGCCCATAGGTCCGTATATGGTTTCAAGAGTAATACCAAAGTAGACGAGGGGGATATATATAATCGGACACTGTGCTGTTTCGGGTATATATCGCTAATATCTCGGTAGCTAATCTATGTTTCTTATCGACAATTTTGAGAGGTTCGTTGTACGATATACCTAAATCCTCGTCGTCGACCCTTGCAAAGTGTATCACCAAGGTAGTGGCACCGTTATTATATTGAGTCTGGACAACGTTTGCAGCTTAGAATAAAGGATATGTGTTATAGACCTAGGCGAAGCATGATTTCCTAGATTCGGTCCGGGAAGCCAGTGTTGGTGTATACGATCCCGTGTTGGGTATCCCCCTAGTGGCGTATATTGTTAGTCTTAAGTGGTCCTTTCTAGTTCCGTTGTTTAAACTATAGGCGGCGGAGAGTGTTTTTAGTGGTGGTCTATTCTTGTTTTGATAGGGTAACGATTTTTAAGGGTTTTGATAGAAATGGCAGGTGCGATGTTTGTTATGTTATACCCTTTATCGCAGCTTCCTTTTTTGTAGCTTTGGTCATGTTGTCGTGGACAACCCAGGTTTGTTTATCTTTTCTTCTTAGGTCTGTATTTTTCTTGTTTCTTTAACACCTCACTTTGTTTTGATCTACTGCTTTATCGTGGAATCACCTTCTTTTCAACCCCTTTTCGTACTTATGTCGGTATTGAATCGGCATCTCTAATCATACCTCCTGTTCGCAACTCTCCTTATAAGCTAGCACAGCCTATCTTACGGTAGTTTACGTGGTGTATAACGTACTTACGGGTGTCTCTTCGGGAGTGGACCGATGCCGTATCACAGTCCCTCTAGGTTTTTTCGGTCCGTTGCTTTACTAAGACCTATGATGGCAAGAATTGCTAGTATTGCAATCAGCTACATAAGCCTTGCGAGTCGGTAAGTGACCTATCTTACTCCTGCCCTGTTTCGGTGCCTAGCTATACTGATTTCACTTGGTTTTATGGGTCCCTAAGGGTGTTAAGGGAAACCGTTTTGAGCTATTGGCCTATCTTTCTTGGGTGGAGTTGTTTTGGTCGAACACAGCCGGTGGATATGGCCCCTCTTTAGACGCGTTTATAGACAAGGAGGCCATTGAAATGCTCCTACCTCGCGAGTTTATCGTGGCCGTTACGGAGGCTATACAATACCTTCTCGCCAGCTTTGATAATTTCGTTAAGGCCTATCGCCGGGCTTATGGATTGACTAGGGTGAATATGACCCGGGTATATACCTTTCTTTGGGTGCTTTTACATGTGCTAATGTTTGATAGGAGACTCGGGATACCTATTCCCAGTGGGTGTCCGGCCGTGTTTCGCTGGTGGTTCCCGAGCCTACCCTCCCTGCCTCGGCCGTCGAATTTACAAAATTGGCCAATGAGGCCACGTAACACCCCAACTCTGGGTGACTAAGGAGACTACTCGGAGCTAGTATACCGGCGTTGTGGCCTTCCGCCAAGGTATCTAGGACCTCGTGGACGATACTAAGGCCGAGAGCCTTAAAGAAGATATGGCCTAGTGCCTTGATACCTATATAGGTATTTTCCCTTTGAACCCCCGTATTTAGGGGTGTGTTCTTGTCCTCTTCTCGCTGGCGTTGCGGTGGTGTCCCTTGGTGTTTTCTGGGGTTTTTCTGTGTCTCTTCTGCTTTGTCCGCCGTGGTAAGATGGTCTAGACAATGATTTATAATATCCAATTTTTGGTACCGTTCTGGGTTTGGTTCGGTGCCCTAATGTTTACCAGTCTTATCTTTCTTGGTTTTCTTGTATCTTACTATCATTTTTAGTGTATTTGTCATATCGTCTTCTGGGGCCCACTGGTTGTATTCTAAGGGCCAGCCTACCTATTTCATAAGGTAGTGTAGTTCTCCGTCGAACTTCCAGTCTCCCTCAATCTCTTCGACTTCCCATTCGTTATCGTCAGCTAACTCAGGTAAGGGTAATTATTCTAGTTCCCCTACCCTTTGTTACCATGGTTATAGTAGTTAGACTAGGAATATATTGTGAATTACTCTATATTCCTCTAGGAGTCGGAGTCGGTATGCTTGTTTTCCCACATATTTAAGGATTCTAAATGGTCCTACCCATCTTAGGGATAGTTTCTTTATGGTTCCTTCTTTGAGTCGTAGGTTTTTTGTCGATAGTACCACTAGGTTGTTCCGTTTAAAAGATGTTTCCTTGTGACATTTGTTATAGTAGAGCGCTTATGTCTCGGTAGCTTTTCGCAACAATATCTATAGTTTTTCTCGAAGCTCCTCTAGCTTTTTAATACGAGATAATGCTACTAGTAGACTGCGACATCGCCCGTCCACGGTGGGCCTTGGGCTATTTGGATTTTCGAGTGCCCGTCCATAACGCCCAAGGCCCACGGGCATGCCCACGATGCCCACCATTGCATAAAGTCACCCAAAATGGACGTATAACTCGCTGACTTTGCATAATAAATAACTGTTATTTACACCTGTTTTGCCAACTCCATGTAAAATGGCAGTTTTAATCTACAACATCTATAAATTTTACTGAAATATCTATGTATATGAGAAACTAGTATATATATAATACGAATTGGAATAAAATTTTAATCGAAATACATTATGTTGTGTGGTATTTTTATTAACTTATCAAATCATACTGTAACAGCTTGAAGATATATATTCAAGTCAGTGGTACATGTCTGGCATTTTCCATAAGTAAAATACTACTCATAGATTCTACTTTATCTCTCACTCTGGTATATTTCTTATAGGTAGATCGAAAGATAATTAGTATAATTCTTATTTTATAAGCTTATATCATTAAATTCTGTCAATTATATCACTTAAAGACTTGTGCTATTATTCTGGGAGTTTTAAATCCTTCGATTGTAACTCAAGATAGGCGTTTAGGTATGTTCCTATAGGCGTGCCCACAGGTATGCCCATAGACAAAGACACTTATAGCCAATCAGCTTATAACATATAGTGGGTCTACACTCAATTTACGATCTATTAGATCTATACAAAGTACCCCTTTTACTAGTAATCCTCGTTTCACACGGTCGCAAGTTACCTATTGTAAGTTTAGATCACTCACTCTCCTATAGTCGTTATATTATCCCTTATATCATATTAACCATATCCCAACCTAGTGCCTATACCGTAGGGCCTTCTTTACTTCCTCCAAGCTCCTAACCAGACCTCTCCTACGTCGCCGATATATTTGATCCTAACCTTGATCCAAATATTGATCCCAGTCTCTTTAACAGCCAACAGACTTCTATCTTACTAATAGAGTCCGAGTTCACTTAACCAGCTATTCTTGATTGCTCTCTTAAACGCGTCGGCCCCAATCGGAGAAAGCAGTTTATCCTCTACGACACGATAAACACCGCGTCTAAAGTAAAGTTTATCGAGTGGTGGTGTACCACAGTACACAGCAGCAGTACTGAGACACAACAAAGGCTACAATAGGATATAAAACATATATCAGATATCTAGGAGAACTTCGACCAGGTAGCATATCATATTACAGGCGAACCTTTGGTTATATATCGGACGTGTGGGGTTACATTACCTTATCTAAGTACAAAGCAAAGCGGCACCAATACACTTAAGCGGTATCTAGCCTTAGGCAAATGCCAAAAGGGTGGTAAAAGTAAGTCTACACAATAGTCGATTAAGGAGACTATATAGTATATACCGGTAAGTCTTATATAATTATACCCTTTAAGATAACTAACATATTATATATTAGGCACTAGAGTTATCTTCTAACTCAAAATTCTCGAATGATGAATAGGAAAGAGAGTAGATTGAATATCTTACCAGTCTAAACCTCCCTTTCCGGATACTTGAGAGGAAGTAATTTACTTCCTTGATTCGAATGGCACAAAAGGCTCTAGCTGAACCCACTTTACTCTATCCTCACACTACTTAACGCCGGCTCAAGAAATTAGTCGATAAGGAGTAACATACAATTCTCGCTACCTTACCACAAGATACGAAGCTCTCAATCGCCCTCGACTGCTAGATATCGCCTTTTTAGTAGGCATTTATGGCAATTATAGGGTACTTTATCAACCGAGACTAGAATTACCGTGAGCTCCTACTTGGTTTCGAACCACTTAATAGGGCGCATTCTGGTGTGAATCTAAGTGAAGTACTTATAGAGATCTTTAAGAAGCTTGATATTACTAATCGTGTGTTAGCGATTACATCAGATAACGCGTCAAATAACACGACTTTAGTACAGGCAGTGTAAGACTCTATTAACTCCCTTGAACTACCGAATAGCCCAGTGGTTGTTCGAATCCCTTATCTTACACATGTTATCCAGCTAAGCCTTCGCGAGCTACTTAGATCGGTAAAGGCCGATCCCCAGAACGATACCACAGATCGGAATATTTCAGATATCCAAGCCCAAGCCTAAGCTCGATCGCTCCGTGCTTTACAGAGTGAACAAGTCATTGTACAAACCCTTATCAAGGTAAGTGTATCACTTTCTTCATCACTTAATATATCTAATAACTATCTAGATCCGAGGGCTTGCTATATTGATTAATACAAGCCCCCAACGTCGCGATGATTTCTTCCGTCTCCAGACCAATAGAGCAAAACTTGCGCCTATCCAAGATATCCGCACCCGCTGGAATTCTACCTTCTTAATGCTTCGTCGTACAAAACGCCTTAGCAAGCCCTACGATAAATACTATGATAACATTGGGACTCAGAAATACAAACTTAGTAAGGCAGAATAGCGGCAGGTCGACTACCTTCTATATATCACAGAGCCGTTCTATCGCTTTACCACAGTGCTTTCAAAGACCAAAGAGATAACAGTACACCATATTTTTGGTATTTATAACACCCTCTTTGAGCACTTCGAGGAATCGATTGCACAATTCACTCCGAAAACCATACCTTAGAAGAAGGCGATACTACAAGCCCTCAATGCTAGGATAGCAAAGCTTACCTCTTACTACACAAAGACGAAAGAGATCAATGGTAGTCTCTACGCGATTAGAACAATCCTTACACCCCAGCATAAGCTTCACTTCTTCTCAAGTAAGGTGTGGGGTACATCGGAGAACGACACAAACTAGAGTGATCAGTATAAGGAAACGCTTCGCCAGTTCATAGCTCCTTACGCCCAAAGACACACTCAGACACGGTCCCTACGAGAAGAGCAACCCCCCTAAGCGTCACTTAGCCAGTACAAGTGACCTAGACACCCTCCTTGACCTTCTGCCTCACATCCACTCTAATCCATCATCGTCGGAGCACGAACTTACTAGATACCTTAAAAAGCGTACGTTATATTCACTATTATTACGAGTAGGAATACTAATACCTATAATAGCAAGGAGAAGGGTCGATCCTTTACAATTCTGGAAGGAATATAAGAATAAATTCCTAATTCTTTCAAGTGTTACTCGCGATATTCTCTCTATTCCTGCAATAGGCGCTGGAGTTAAACGTCTTTTCAATTTAGCACGGGATGTCTACCACTACCGACGTAGGCGGCTAAGTGCGAAGACAGTCCAGGATATCATGATGTTCCGGTGTAAAACCCAGTTCGATATTAAAATAGAAGAACTACCCGATAAGGATATATCCTTGGATTCAATACAAGAAGCAGACGAACAGAGAGAGGCTAAGCTTACCACTGATATACCTAAACCAATCAGCGATGGTAAGGATTCCGAGGATAATGATCCTATTGGACTGATCGAGCATAAGTTTATGATAGAGAGTCAGCTTCCTCGTCCTTCTATAGTGCTAAGTACGCGGAAGCAACAGAGAAGTGAGCTAGTCGACAGCGAAGATGAGAGCAGTCCTTATCTCCCTTATTATGGAGATAAGGGTAGCACTCAAAAGCGCCCTGGTTTAAGAGAAGCAAGGAAGCGTGGCAAACCCAACAATGATCAATTTGTATCGTATTAGTGTGAATGTATGAATATAATAAATACCTAAGTCATTATGCAAAGGCTTCCAAGGCTCATTTCTGACCCCGGTCAAAAAAGTGACAATATGTCAAGTTGTTGTATAAAGGCTTCTAAAGCTCATTTCTGACCGAGGTCAGAAAATTGACAGTAGTATCAAGTCATTGTACATGTAATCGAACTACTCAAAAATACAGAGAGAAAATGCACAAATAATGCAGGTCACGAGGTCAAGAAATTCTGCTTACTAAAAAGGCCCATGGGGGCCCACGGTGTCCATAGACAATGGGCCCTAAGGGTAGGGCCCGTCCATGGGCGTATGGATAGTGCCCATCGCCCGCTTACATAAGGCCCGTGGGCACTGCCCACCCGCCCGTCCATGGGCGATGTCGCAGTCTAGGTACCGGTTCTTGAGCGATACTCCTCTAAGACCCCGATAGTCTATATATAGACGTAATCCTCTCTTTCTTTAGGATAAAGAGGATTAGTGTACCCACAGGGCTTTTTGAGGGTAAAATCCTCTTTTTCTTGATGTTTTCCACAAGATAGGCCCAGAGCTGTTTTAGCTCTGTCCTAGATAGAGGGTAGATTGGCCTATAGGGTGGCATTTTCCCTTCCTTGAGTTCAATAGTGTAAGCATAATAGTAATTGTAAGATATATTGATATACTATGGTGTGTGCGGATAAGATTGTTACGGACCTATCAGGCACCCAACGACCCAAACTACCCCACCAGCATCAATGGGCCATCGAGAGCCAATGGACCAGGATCACGTGCAAAGAACACCCCGACAAACCAGAAACCGTGTCACGTGATCATGCAGGTAGTAGACCGGTCGACGGTAGAACGGTAGATCCCGCCAAGACAAATCTACCAAGCTACCATCTACCCAACTACTCTAGGAAGACAGGAGGATATATAAGGACGCTCATTCATGTACCTAGTTTAGTTCTTCGTCTTCAATCATACATTGTTACTTGTGTCTACCTTTGAGACTACCGACTCTTGACTTAGTTATAACTTGACAACACTACAAGCTAGACCAATACTCCGGTATAGATCTACTCGGCGCTCTACCTGGCATCGATTCCTCGACACGACTTCTAGGGACTTAGGCTGAAGTAAGGCCTAACGGATCAGGCAACAGCTCAGTGACGACAGACGTATTGTTGACGTTGGAGAACCCGAGGCGTATTAAGGTAACTATACCCTGAACCGTCCAACCTAACCGTGACCAGTTAGCTAGTGCGTAACAAAGATATATATTTTACCGGTAGTATCTAAGAGAACCTTAGATATCTTACTTACGGTAAACTATATTATGACTCACAATATATCGCCATAAATCTAGGACATCATAACGAAGTCATCATATTATTGATGACTTTCTATGATATTCTATACTGCTAGAGCTTGCCTATATGAGGAATGGAGGATTCCTAGCTAGATAATTAATCAATACAACTTTTATTACCTCTCACCTATTATCATCTACTTAAGCTAAGTATAAACCTTTCTATATCTTGTGTAATACAATATTATATAAAATAAAGCTTACCTAATACACCTTCCCCTACAAAATATTATAACCTACTATTAGGCTATAATATTATTTCTGCTAAAGTGCTCACATATAGTATTTATAGTTTTTTGTAATATAGTGGTTTTTATATAATATAAATTATCTTTCTTATTAGCTAAAGCAACTATTTTCTTTAAAGGTGTATATAAGTATGCCTTATTTTTCATAAATAGGGCTATTAAATCAGATAACTGGTGTATACTAATAAGATTAATACCTAGATTAGGTATATAGAAAACATTTCTTAATAAGTATATATATCCAGTATTAGATTTTATATATATATCACCCTTATAGGTTGCTTTAATAGTATTAGCTTTACCCCACTTTACTATAGTAGTGGTAGGTTCAGCAGAAGAAAGATATTGCAATTTACATACAGTACTAATAGTGGCAGCACTATCAAGTATGAAATCCACTTTTTCTTTTATAGGATTCAATCCTATATTATCTAGTGGTTTTTCAGTCAATAGTTTAGTACTATATGATAATAGAGGACATACCTCTTCCATATTATCATCTATATCTAGTAATTGATTATCAGTTTGATTATCAGGCTGATTTTCAATACTAGTATATAGTTCTTTATCTGATTTAGGTAAATCAGATAGATCAGATAGCATATCTATATCTTTAGTAGATTTAAGAGTATCTACTATATTAGATATAATCTAATCTTGTGATTCTAGCTGTTTAGGAGTCCTAGGGCTTATTGAATTTATAGTTTTAGCCCTAAAGGATTTCTTAGTAGCAGAAATAGGGGGTTTAATAGTCTTTTTAGCCCTTTTACCTTTCGGAATCCAGCCCTTAGGAGCTAGATTAGGAAATGATAGCCAGCAGGTATTAGTATTATGACTAATAACCTTACAATGTTGGCAGTATTTTCCATTAAAAGGCTTATTTTTATACGATTCATAATGCTTATGTTTAAGCATCATAATATTCGTATAATGACTACCTTGATATATAGAAGATTTCCTACCTCTAGCTTCATCAATTAAAAACAACTCTTTTTGCCCAGATTTAATTCTTGTCCTATCTCGCCAACCAAGGGCCCTACGGCTCTCAAAAACAGTTCATATTCTTTCTAACCTCCGGCTCTATCTTTTGATCCTATTTTTGTAGGAATTAAAGGATGGCGGTCGTCGGTGGTGGAAGAAAACCGGATTCACCCCCTGAAACTGAGTTTTCAAGAGCGCCCAAAAACCCACGCAACCACTTTAACACTATGAACGAGCTCGCCCATAGTGCTAGAGAGGTGCTAAATGCCATGGAAAATGACGGAATAGGTGAGATATATATTATCAACTTCATCAAATCCGTAGAGCAGTATGCACTGAAAGCCCCAAAGGGGGACAAACCGCAGGTACAGGTCATGGAAAAGGTGCAACAGGCACTCGACCGACTTGACCAGCGCATGGAAATCATTGAAAAGGCCACAGCGCCATCAACCCAAACCAGCAATTCGAACGATTCGGCGGCCTTCTGGGCGCGGCTCCAGAAATGGGGCCAGGGGACTGGATCCGGCCCTCCTCCGTCTCTCCCGAATAGCAACGGATCATCCTCGGTTGGAGTTTCGCCAGCTGAGCTCCGTGAAGACCGAGAGATCATCGTCAAGATCCGTGACAGCGATACACGCGAGACCCTCCGTCGGCGAACACCAAGGGAGATCGTCGAGCAGGCCGAGAGGACACGTGAGCAGGCGGCACGGAAGAAGGCCAGTGCTCCCCTTGGTGGTGGCTGCTACTTTGTGGCAGCAAAGGTTCTCCCCTCCGGAGACATAAAGATGACGGCGGATAGCGCTTCGGGTGCGGAGCTGCTACGGAAACATGCAGACGGCTGGCTGAAATCGTTCGGCCCGGCGGCTCATGTTCGGAAGCCGACGTGGGGGGTCGTTACGCGGGGCATTGACACGAAGACGATGCAACTGACGCCGGAGTCAATGGGGAGCACGGCGAAGGAGCTTATCCGGCAGAACAGCCATTCCTGGGGTGGTTCCCAGGAGATCGAGATTCTCCATCTTGGCTGGCTGATCAAACCGGGTAAGCGCCGGGAGGGATCAATTGTCATTGAATTCACCAGCCCAGTGGTTGCCAACCAGGCGATCACACAGGGGACGCTCTGGCAGCACCAGGTGCACCAGACCACCCGCTTTTGCCGAGAGGGCCGCTCGAAACTGTGCCTAAAGTGTCAAAAACCAGGACACGTACACTCACAGTGTCTAAACGAGTATCAGTGCGGCCACTGCGCCAAAGGGCACCCGACCTGGGAGTGCCCTTCTAAGCATGGTGAAGTCGTCGAAGCCAAGTGCGCCAACTGTGGCGGGGCCCATAGGCCGACAAGTGACACCTGCGAGGTGAGGACGGCAGCGAAGGAGGAGGCGAGATTGGCACTGGCCAACAGCCCTCTATACCATCGTATTCCACTCCACTTCCGGCAGAGGGAGGCTGCAAAGAGCAGCACCACTACCTCCCAGTCCCAACAGGGACTTGATACCTCAATTCACGCACCGCAAAGCGTAGCACAACAAGAGATAGTGGTGCCGCAACCGAAGACAATTGTCAAAGCAAGCTCTAAGCGAATTCCAATTCCCGCGTCAAGCGAGATCCGGAGAATGTACGCCAAAGTTGGAGCCGAAAAACCTCAAAACAGACGAAAGGAGCCAGCTACCGGTCATGCAATGCGGACAAGATCAAGAACGTCAGAGGACGACGATCTGCCAGCCATATTAGAGGAACATGCCGAGTCCGCCATTGTGGCAAGCCAATCAGCTCGCTCACTCCGGTCCCAGAACCAGGCGCCAGTCGAGTTTATGACAGACCCAGAGAAGCAACTACAGGCTATACACAAAAAAAGGCGGATGATAGAACCTGCCGATGTCATGGAGGAAGACCAGGAATGGGAGCAGCCAACCAGCGTCGTCACAAGGATGGTGAGACGCTATCAAAACGCACAGCTTAGGATCACAGAGGTCGAGGATGACCCAGAGGAGGAGTTCCATGATGCCTCAGAACACAGCGATGCCGCTGAAGCCGAAACTGACACCCACACCACCACCTCATCGCAATGAATCACTTCCAAATAATTCAATACAACGCACACAATGCCTATCCAGTCATGGCCTCGTTCCTGACAGACAGGAACACACAGAAGGCGGACGTGATCGCGATTCAGGAGCCATGGATTAACCCTCAATCCGGAACAACTCATTACCCCAATAAAGCAACTCACCAGCTAGTCTTTCCGAAGGAGCTAGACGACGAAAGGGCCAGGGTATGCTTGTTTGTCTCGAAACAGATCGACCCAGGGACCTGGTCATGCAGGACAGTGTTAAAGGGATATCAGCTCTTGAAAATGCGGAGGAGCCGACAACACCCAGAGGGGTGGACCGACCTCTTTGTGCACAATATATATAACAACGATGACGGCGAGACTATGGAAACGCTGGACAAAGAGATCACCCAGAGAACGTATGCAGAGCATATAGTTGTGGGGGATATGAACCTACACCACCCAGCCTGGGGGAGCTCGAAGGCCGACACAGCGGCGGAGGGACTGCTAGACATAGCTGGGAAGCATAACCTAGATCTGACAACGGAGAGGGGGGTCCCAACGTGGCGGCGTAACGAGCAGGCATCTACCATCGACCTCACTTTCGTTAGCGGTGCGTTAACAGGGAGGGTGATTGAATGTCGGGTAGGGATAGACCATGGTTCAGATCACTATCCAGTAGTGACAACAATCGACATTACAACACCGCCACACGAACCACCGAGAAGAAGAAACTGGAAGGCGACAGATGACAAGAAGCTCATAGAATTCGTCACCCAACACACCAACGCTATCACCAGACACCCCACAACGGCCGACGAGGTAGAAACCGAGTGTCAAACATTCATAGAAATCATCACCAAAGCAGTTGACATCTCGACACCGTGGGCGGTACCGTCACGGTGGGCTAACCCCTGCTTCACACCAGAGTGCCAGGAAGCAGTGAAGGAAGTACGAAGGCTTCGCCGGCAACACGAAAGGACGCACGATCCTTACGACAAGGAACTGTACAAAGCAGCAAGGAACCGGAAAACACGAGTAATCAGGGCCGCTCTCCGCCTTCACCACCGACGGAAGGTACAGGAAATCATGGAAGAGGGACCGGCCGGTATGTGGAGGATGGGTAAATGGGCAAGAAACCGGCAAGGAGCGTACGACAAAGGAATCACACCATCAATCAAAGTGCCAGAAGGACTTGCAGAGACTGTTAAGGAAAAGGCAGCTGCTTTCCAAAAGGCCTTCTTTCCAACGCCACCACCGGCAGATCTCTCCGACATCGACAATAACTATCCAGAGCCAATCCACTTCCCGGAAATCACGCGCCAGGAGATCTCACAGGCAGTCAAATCGTCGCCACCAAACAAAGCACCAGGGGAAGACGGTCTACCAAACTCGCTATGGCACAAATTGATCGAAATCCCAGCGGTCCTCGATACCATCTCACGGATATACAACGCCTGCGTACGGCTTGGAACCAACCCTTCACACTTCCAAAAATCGATCACAGTGGTACTACGCAAAGCGGGCAAAAGGGATTACCAGCTTGCAAAGTCCTACCGGCCAGTTGCCCTTCTAAATACCCTCGGCAAATTCCTCGAGGCAGTGATTGCGCGAAGGATCAGCTACGCAGTGGAGACAGAAGGACTACTGCCGGACACACACCTTGGTGGGAGAAAGGGTATCTCAGTCGACCACGCCATCCAGGGGATCATCGGCCGGATACGAAGAGCGTGGGGACACAATAAGGTGGCAAGTATACTTATGCTCGATGTCTCTGGGGCGTACGACAATGTCTCTCACGAGAGGTTAATTCATAACCTCCACAAACGACGCCTAGGGCTACTAGCACCATGGGTTAAAGCATTCCTCATAGGGAGAAGCACCAGTATACGAATACCAGAAGGGACATCAGCCAACATCCCAACACCAACCGGCATCCCTCAGGGTTCACCCCTCTCCCCGATCCTCTACCTGATCTACAATGCAGACCTAGTAGAAGGCTGTGAAGGGGTGAAAACAAGCGCCTGGGTTGACGATGTGGCATTTATCGTTACAGGAGGAGACGAACAAGAGAATATCTCGAAACTACAAAGAGCCTGCCAACATGCCGACGCCTGGGCAGCCAGACATGCCTCGATCTTTGACCCCAAGAAATATGCGCTGATCCACTTCGTCAATCCAGCAGAAGGAGGTGGGAAACACACACCATTGGTATTACCAGGTACTACAATACAGGCCACCACCACAGCAGAGCGATACCTTGGGGTCTGGCTAGACCCAGGATTAACTTTCCGACACCACCGGGAGCAGATGCTCGCCAAAGCAGGGGTCAGCCTACAGGCGCTACGGGGCTTGACAGGCTCCACATGGGGGGCGTCTCTTTCGGCCATGCGGGCTATCTACCAAGCGGTGATGATCCCACAAATGCTCTTCGGAGCGGCAGTGTGGCACTCACCATTGACCACCACCTTAAGGGAGAGAGGCTACTTGAAGCAATTCGCCGGTATCCAATCGAAAGCGGCATGCTTGATAAGTGGCGCCTTCAAGACAACAGCCAGGGAAGCTCTTGATGTGGAACTACACCTACTACCGATGCAGCAACAGCTAGACCGGCTAGTCCGGCTGACTGCTGTTCGTATACGTACAGGACCAAGATATGCAGTACCAAAAACAATGCAGAGAGAAAGAAACCAAGTTCAACGACAGCGAGGTGGATGGACGCCGATGGAGGCCCAGTCCTGGAAAAAGGGTGGATGCTTGACGCCACTCCCGGGATCAGTGGTATGGAACTGGGAGAGTCGAAAGGCATACATCCAGGCACCATGGAATGAGCCACCAAAGGTTTATATCGAAGAGAGGGAACAAGCAAGGAACGCCCACGAAAGAATCACGAAGCAACAAATCCGGGCACCAGCACGATTTTACACCGATGGGAGTGGGTATCAAGGCGGCATTGGAGCTGCAGTGTACCCAGCATACCTATACAGCCAGAACGATGCTAGGCTGTGTAACATGGGATCCGACGACGAATCCACGGTGTACGCTGCTGAGCTGCGTGCAATTGAGATGGCACTGGAAGTCATTGAGGAAAGATCCAGATCCAATGACGAAAACAACCAATGGAAAGAGTGTCTGGTGGAGAGCGGCGCGGTCATCTTCACAGACAACCAGGCAGCTCTCAAAGCCATCGAAAATCCACGAATGCCGTCCGGCCAGATATACCTAGAGGGATGCCTCCAGTCACTGGAACGGCTCACCAACCAGGGGGTCCAGGTTGAATTACGCTGGATCCCGGCCCACGAGGGTATTCCAGGTAATGAGATAGCCGATATCTTTGCAAAGACAGCAGCCACCACACAGGAACCAAACCACCACAACAGGTTTATCCGGCTTGCCGCAGCAGCGAGCAAGAGTGTGAAGCAGGAATCGACAATCGCGTGGGAGAAGGCGTGGAAGAAGGGAGGATCGAGGAGGACTGCGCGGAGGACTCGGAGGATGATTGAGGCGCCAAACAAGTCAAATCTGACCTACTGGAAGGGCCTAAGGAAAGCGACAACGTCAGTGCTGATCCAGCTCCGCACAGGGATCATTGGATTGGCCGAGTACCTATCCAAAATCAAGAGGAAAGACTCACCACGGTGCCAATGTGACCTGGGAAACCAAAGTGTCCGACATGTGTTGCTCGAGTGTCCGCTCCTGGAAGAACTCCGGACGGATATGATGGAGGAATTGTTCGGGGAAGGGGTGTCGACAACGCTGGGAGAACAGGCAATGTTGACAGAGGTGAAGGCGGCACCGATCGTGGCGAAGTTTATGATCGCATCGGGACTCCTGGGACAGTTTCAGTCAGTGGACTCTGTCGCCATGGGTAAGGAGAAGGGGGTAGGGGACGAGGATCATCCTGATCCAAAAACAAAACCAAAACAAGACACTGTGAGTGCTGGAGAAACAGGACGCACAACCCAGTGGCCGGGCACCAGGTCTGCCGAGGTCACCTCACAGCAAAGGAACGCATGGAGAACAACGTTTGTTGCCGGCGAGGACGAAGATACATGGCGTCGCGACCCGAATCTGTTCGTGTACGACCTGCCGGAGTGATGCAGACCTGGCAGTCCTGGTGATGCAGGGACTCGGTGACTCGGGGAGCCAGGAAGGGGAGATGAAGAAGTGAAGAAGTGATGATGATGATGATGATGATGATGAGTTCATTGACCCGATGTAGCTCGCTAATTACATACATGCTGCTATGCGGGGATAGCGTCCCAGAGCCTGCTCCCGACGACGAATGGTGGTGCATCCCCAGTATGCAAATCCACCCGGTATGCTGGACTCGATTCCTCGAGGTCCCGCAACCTGAATTGTAAGGCCACAAACCGGCCGGCAAATGCAAAATGACATAAGAAATGCAACGTAAAGATAGTAGTCCATCCCATGTAGATGGTTTCCCGCAGTCCCCACGGGCGCAGAGAGACCCCTTTTCTCTCTGCAATGCACCTTTCGCTTCTTCCATCCCCCTGTAAACTTCTTCACTTCTTCATCTCCCCTTCCTGGCTCCCCGAGTCACCGAGTCCCTGCATCACCAGGACTGCCAGGTCTGCATCACTCCGGCAGGTCGTACACGAACAGATTCGGGTCGCGACGCCATGCATCTTCGTCCTCGCCGGCAACAAACGTTGTTCTCCATGCGTTCCTTTGCTGTGAGGTGACCTCGGCAGACCTGGTGCCCGGCCACTGGGTTGTGCGTCCTGTTTCTCCAGCACTCACAGTGTCTTGTTTTGGTTTTGTTTTTGGATCAGGATGATCCTCGTCCCCTACCCCCTTCTCCTTACCCATGGCGACAGAGTCCACTGACTGAAACTGTCCCAGGAGTCCCGATGCGATCATAAACTTCGCCACGATCGGTGCCGCCTTCACCTCTGTCAACATTGCCTGTTCTCCCAGCGTTGTCGACACCCCTTCCCCGAACAATTCCTCCATCATATCCGTCCGGAGTTCTTCCAGGAGCGGACACTCGAGCAACACATGTCGGACACTTTGGTTTCCCAGGTCACATTGGCACCGTGGTGAGTCTTTCCTCTTGATTTTGGATAGGTACTCGGCCAATCCAATGATCCCTGTGCGGAGCTGGATCAGCACTGACGTTGTCGCTTTCCTTAGGCCCTTCCAGTAGGTCAGATTTGACTTGTTCGGCACCTCAATCATCCTCCGAGTCCTCCGCGCAGTCCTTCCTCCCTTCGTCCACGCCTTCTCCCACGCGATTGTCGATTCCTGCTTCACACTCTTGCTCGCTGCTGCGGCAAGCCGGATAAACCTGTTGTGGTGGTTTGGTTCCTGTGTGGTGGCTGCTGTCTTTGCCAGCATGTCCGCGATCTCATTGCCCGGAATGCCCTCGTGTGCTGGGATCCAGCGTAATTCAACCTGGATCTTATTCTGTGTAGAACACCATTCAAGCAGGCGAAGGCACCCTTCCAGATATACCTGGCCTGATGGCATCCTTGGGTTCCGGATCGCTTTGAGAACGGCCTGGTTATCTGTGAAGATAACCGCCCCTTTCTCCATCAGACGTTCCTGCCATTGGCCATCGCTGAACCTCTCTTTGATGGTTTCCAATGCTATCTCAATAGCCCGCAGCTCAGCTGCGTACACAGTGGCGTTATCATCGGTTCCCATGTTGCATAACTTTGATTCGTCTTGGGTGGTTGGGTATACTGGATACACTGCTGCCCCGATACCTCCTTGATACCCGCTACCATCGGTGTAGAGCTGTATACTCTGCTGGTTGGTGATCCTTTCATGTGTCTTCCTTGCTTGCTCTCTTTCCTCGATGAACACCCTTGGTGGCCTTGTCCATGGTGTCTGGATATATGCCTTCCTATTCTCCCAGTCGCTCGCCAAAGTTCCCAGGGGTGTAGTGAGGCATCCTTCCTTCTTCCAGGACTGGGCCTCCATTGGCGTCCATCCTCCTTTTTGTTTTTGACTGTGGTTTCTCTCACAGAGCATTGTCTTTGGTATTGTATATCTCGGCCCTGTACGGATACGTATAGCAGTCAACTGGACTAGCCGGTCGAGTTGCTGTTTTATAGGTAGTAAATGAAGTTCGACATCAAGTGCCTCTCTCGCTGTCGTTTTAAAAGCCCCGCTTATCAAGCACGCTGCCTTTGACTGGATAGTTGCAAACTGTCTGATGTAGGGATTCATTTCCCTTGCTGTTGTTGTAAGAGGTGAATGCCAAGCCGCTGCTCCAAATAGCATCTGTGGGATCATCACTGCCTGGTAGATCGCGCGCATGGCTGGGAGAGATGCCCCCCATGTAGAACCAGTTAAGCCTCTCAATGCCTGCAAACTGGTCCCTGCTTTGGCGAGTATTTGGTCTCGGTGGTACCGGAAATTCAGCCCTGGGTCTAGCCAGACCCCTAGATATCTCTCTGCTGTCTTTGTGGCCTGCACTGTAGTGCTCGGTAGTACCAGTGGTGTATATTCCTCACCTCCACCTTCTGGGTTGACAAAGTGGATCAGTGCGTATTTCTTAGGGTCAAAAACTGAGGCATGTCTGGCTGCCCAGGTATCCGCATATTGGCAGGCTCTTTGTAGTTTCGAGATATTCTCTTGTTCGTCTCTCCCTGTAACGATGAATGCCACATCGTCAACCCAGGCGCTTGTTTTCACCCCTTCACAGCCTTCTACCAGGTCTGCATTGTAGATCAGATAGAGGATTGGGGAGAGGGGTGAACCCTGAGGGATGCCGGTTGGTGTTGGGATACTCGTTGATATTCCTTCCGGTATTCTTATACTAGTGCTTCTCCCTGTGAGGAATACTTTAACCCATGGTGCTAGTAGCCCTAGGCGTCGTTTGTGGAGGTTATGAATTAACCTCTTGTGAGAGACATTGTCGTACGCCCCAGAGACATCGAGCATAAGTATACTTGCCACCTTATTGTGTCCCCACGCTCTTCGTATCCGGCCGATGATCCCCTGGATGGCGTGGTCGACTGAGATACCCTTTCTCCCACCAAGGTGTGTGTCCGGCAGTAGTCCTTCTGTCTCCACTGCGTAGCTGATCCTTCGCGCAATCACTGCCTCGAGGAATTTGCCGAGGGTATTTAGAAGGGCAACTGGCCGGTAGGACTTTGCAAGCTGGTAATCCCTTTTGCCCGCTTTGCGTAGTACCACTGTGATCGATTTTTGGAAGTGTGAAGGGTTGGTTCCAAGCCGTACGCAGGCGTTGTATATCCGTGAGATGGTATCGAGGACCGCTGGGATTTCGATCAATTTGTGCCATAGCGAGTTTGGTAGACCGTCTTCCCCTGGTGCTTTGTTTGGTGGCGACGATTTGACTGCCTGTGAGATCTCCTGGCGCGTGATTTCCGGGAAGTGGATTGGCTCTGGATAGTTATTGTCGATGTCGGAGAGATCTGCCGGTGGTGGCGTTGGAAAGAAGGCCTTTTGGAAAGCAGCTGCCTTTTCTTTAACAGTCTCTGCAAGTCCTTCTGGTACTTTGATTGATGGTGTGATTCCTTTATCGTACGCTCCCTGCCGGCTTCTTGCCCATTTACCCATCCTCCACATACCGGCCGGTCCCTCTTCCATGACTTCCTGTACCTTCCGTCGGTGGTGAAGGCGGAGGGCGGCCTTGATTACTCGTGTTTTCCGGTTCCTTGCTGCTTTGTACAGTTCCTTATCGTAAGGATCGAGCGTCCTTTCGTGTTGCCGGCGAAGCCTTCGTACTTCCTTCACAGCTTCCTGGCACTCTGGTGTGAAGCAGGGGTTGGCCCACCGTGACGGGACCGCCCACGGTGTCGAGGTGTCAACTGCTTTAGTGATGATTTCTATGAATGTTTGACACTCGGTTTCCACTTCGTCGGCCGTTGTGGGGTGTCTGGTGATAGCGTTGGTGTGTTGGGTGGCGAATTCTATAAGCTTCTTGTCATCTGTCGCCTTCCAGTTTCTTCTTCTCGGTGGTTCGTATGGCGGTGTTATAATGTCGATTGTTGTCACTACTGGATAGTGATCTGATCCATGGTCTTCCCCAACCCGACACTCAATCACCCTCTCTGTTAACGCACCGCTAACGAAAGTGAGATCTATTGTAGATGCCTGCTTGTTGCGTCGCCATGTCGGGACCCCCCTCTCCGTCGTCAGATCCAGGCTATGCCTCCCAGCTATATCGAGCAATCTCTCAGCCACTATGTCCGCCTTTGAGCTCCCCCAGGCTGGGTGGTGTAGATTCATATCCCCCACTACTATATGCTCTGCATGCCTTCTCTGGGTGATCTCTTTGTCCAGCGTTTCCACAGTCTCGCCGTCGTCGTTGTTATATATATTGTGCACGAAGAAGTCGGTCCACCCCTCTAGGTGGTTCCTCCGCATTTTTAGGAGCTGGTATCCTTTCGACACCGTTTTGCATGACCAGGTCCCTGGATCGATTTTCTTCGAGATAAAGAGACATACCCTCACTCGTTCCCCTTCAAATCCCCTCGGAAACACAAGTTGGTGGGTTGCCTTGTTTGGATAATGAGTCGTTGGTTCTGTTGCGTGGGAGCTCACCCAGGGTTCCTGGATTGCAATAACGTCTGCTTTTTGGACTGCTTTGTCGGTCAGGAACGATGCCATGACTGGATAGGCATTGTGTGCGTTGTATTGAATTATTTGGAAGTGATTCATTGTGATGAGGTAGTGGTATGGGTGTCAGTTTCGGCTTCAGCGGCATCGCTGTGTTCTGAGGCATCGTGGAACTCCTCCTCTGGGTCATCCTCGACCTCGGTGATCCTGAGCTGTGCGTTTTGATAGCGTCTCACCATTCTTGTGACGACGCTGGTTGGCTGTTCCCATTCCTGGTCTTCCTCCATGACATCGGCGGGTTCTATCATCCGCCTTTTCTTGTGTATAGCCTGTAGCTGCTTCTCTGGGTCTGTCATAAACTCGACTGGCGCCTGGTTCTGGGACCGGAGTGAGCGAGCTGATTGGCTTGCCACAATGGCAGATTCGGCATGTTCCTCTGGTATGGCTGGCAGATCATCGTCCTCCGACGTTCTCGATCTGGTTCGCATTGCATGACCGGTAGCTGGTTCCCTTCGTCTAGGTTTTTCGGTTCCAACTTTGGCGTACATTCTCCGGATCTCACTTGACGCGGGAATTGGGATTCGTTTAAAGCTTGCTTTGACAATCGTCTTCGGTTGCGACACTACTATCGCTTGTTGTGCTGCGCTTTGCGGTGCGTGAATTGAGGTATCGAGTCCCTGGTTAGTTCCCCGGGACTGGGACTGGGAGGTAGTGTTGCTGCTCTTTGCAGCCTCCCTCTGCCGGAAGTGGAGTGGAATACGATGGTATAGAGGGCTGTTGGCCAATGCCAATCTCGCCTCCTCCTTCGCTGCCGCCCTCACCTCGCAGGTGTCACTTGTCGGCCTATGGGCCCCGCCACAGTTGGCGCATTTGATCTCGGCGGTGTCACCATGCCTAGAAGGGCACTCCCAGGTCGGGTGCTGCTTCGCACAGTGGCCGCACTGATACTCGTTCAAACATTGTGAGTGCACGTGTCCTGGTTTTTGACACTTGAGGCATAATTTCGAACGGCCTTCTCGGCAGAAACGGGTGGTCTGGTGCACCTGGTGCTGCCAGAGCGTCCCCTGTGTGATCGCCTGGTTGGCAACCACTGGGCTGGTGAATTCAATAACGATTGAACCCTCCC